TATATACTTTACTCTTAGAGTTACCTATTAGAGTAATAGTATTATTATTTAAAGCTATAGAAGAAGTAGGAGTCCTTATAGTTATATTAAGGGTATTTAAGATATTAAATCTAGAAAGGGTAGCTAGTCCTAAATAGGTTAGGGTTAGTTCTTAGGTAAGACTTACTAAGGGAAGGAAGAAGGGGTTCTTATTAATATAGAAGTATCTTATAAAGTGTAATAAGTTAATAAGGGAGGCCTAAGTAAATCTAAATAATAGATTAAAACTTAGGTTAAATATAAGAATTAATAGTAATTCTTCTATTCCTATATATATAACTAATCCCATAATATCCTATAGTTTTATAAAATCCTAAATATAGGATCTATAGGATTCTATAGTATATTACGTAACCTTCCTATTACATGGTCCTAGTGTTCTAAGGCTTAGCGTATAGAACACTATAGAACGTTACCTAATTCTTTAGTAGGGCTATAGCCGCCTTTTATTATAAGTAGCTTTCTTCCCATGTTAGATCCTAGATTCTAATAGATCGCTATAACTAGGAATAAAATGTATATATAATACTATTATAGTTATAGTAGATTAACTCACGAAAGCTACTAAGTTTAGGCTAATAGAAGAATCTATATTAGTAGAGGAACTAGCGTATAAGGTAGATAATGCGCTATTTATAGAATATAGCCCACCTAAAGAATTTATTATAGACTATAATAAACTCTTTATATCTAAATACTAGAATACGTTTACTATAACGTTAGGAATATATAGAAAACTCTTAATAAGTTTCTACCCTTAAATAGATAGATAAATAGAATAAATAAACTAGATACTAGAATAGTACCTTTAGTTCTATATAAATAAATAGTAAGATAATTAGGTAGAACTCTTACCTATAGCGTAGTTAGCGTATAATAGCTCTAGGTTAGGCTTAATAGGGTACTCTCTACACTATACTAACTATAGATATAAACTAATTATTTATTAGAATTCTAGAGATATGGAAAGTCTTTCTATAGGAGCTTATAATAAAGCTTAGAAAATAAAGGAACTTTATAAAATCCTATATAAAAGAATTACGCGAAAATCCCTCTTAGCATCTAAAAATATAAATAAATAAAGGATTAAGGGACTAACCTTTAAGAAGGGGGATAAAGTTTTCCTATTATAAAAAAATCTAAAAACTAAAAGGTAAAGTAAAAAACTAGATTACCTATAGGTAGGCCCCTTTAAAATATAAGAAATTAGAGGACTAGTTATAAATAAATTACTTCTACCTATAGGCACTAAAGTATATAACATCTTCTATAAAAACCTTCTAGAACTAGTACCGCTAGATACTCTAATTAAGACCTAGCTAGAACTAGAAGATAATAAGTATAAAGTTAAGGATATTAAGAACCTAAAAATAGTTAAAGGTTAGTAGAGATACCTAGTTAAATAGAAAGAATAGCTAGAATAGTATAATATATAGGAGCTAATAAGAAACCTTATAAACTATAAGGAATTACTAGAGGACTTCTACTAAGGAAGGGGACACCTATAGAGAGATTATACGCTAGTATAGTAGGAACTAGGTTAGGAAAAGTAGTAGTAAAAGCTAAAAGATTAAAAGAAGGGTTAGCCTATAACTAGATAGAATTAGTAAATAAAGGTAAAAATAGTAATAGTATATAAGTGCTACTAGAAGCCCTACCCTTTACTAAGCCCTTCTCTTATAACTAATCTATTGCGTTAGTAACCTAGAAATTATAATAAGTAAAGGAATATTCCTTTATCTTAACCTTAGCTAACTCTAGTTTAAGGTAGGTAGTTTTAGTATATACCTAAAGAAGAGCTAACTACTTCTACTCCTTCTCTTTATAAACTAAGGTCTAATTATCCTTAGGGACCTATAAGCTATAATTAGTATAAGCTAAGATATAACTAGTATATTAACCTAAGGTTGCGTCTATAAAATAGTAGAGTTTTAACTTCTAATAATACTTATAACTAAGTAATATCTTAAGGCTTTAGAATTTAACTTTTAGCGTATAAGCATAATACTTTTAAACTAATAAGTAAGGAGCTTTAGGCATATTTAGAATAGATAGGGAAATCTAGGTTAGGGTATAACTATTACGAACTAGATAACGGTAGGGAAGTTTAGGCACTTATAAAGGTAGAAGATATAATAACTAGGATTATAATAAAATAAGGACACGCTAAGTCGCTTAGATAGTAGTTATATAACTTACTTAGCTACTTAGGGTTCCTAAATAACTAAGTAGCTAAGAGTTATTATATAACCTACTTAGTTATTTAGGGCTCCTAAGTAACTAAGTAAGATCCCTATATAGGAATATAAGGATAAACCTTTATACTTATATTTAACCTAAGTTTTAATCTATTATTTAGATTTACTTAGGCCTCCCTTATTAACTTATTATACTTTGTAAGATACTTCTATATTAATAAGAACCCCTTCTTCCTCCCCTTAGTAAGTCTTACCTAAGAACTAACCTTAACCTAGTTAGGACTAGCTATCCTTTCTAGATTTAATAATAACCTAAGTAGGTAAGAGGGCTAGCGCACCTTTATATATCTAATAGGCACTAATAGGCTAGCTACACTATAGAAAGCTAGACTAGGGTATTAGAATAATACTTCTAAGGGGAGGGATAATATTATAATTATAGTAGAACTAAGTAAGGCAAGTAGGGAGGATTATACTTAGAATATTAATAGTAGAGGTAAGCTAGATTAAGCCCTATAGGCTAGCTAGATAGGTAGCTTATATTATCTATTATATAATAAGGTCTAGTATAAGTAGAAGACCCTAGGGACCTTAAAGGCCCTAAGGACCTTAAAAGGTCCTAGGACTTTAGAGTCTAGGTAGAATCTCCTAGATAATAAAGAATAGTATATAGTCTAAAGGAACTTTAGAATTTTTCCTATTCTTTATAGTTAAAATTCTATAGTTAAAATTAGAGCCTATCTTCTACACTAAGATCTATTAGTCTTCTTATATAATTATTATCTTACCTTTAAAAGTAAGACTAGGATATTCTCTTACCCTATTATTATTTATCCACTCTCGTCTACTAAATACCTGCAAGGTCCGACCTAGGTTAGGTACATAGAAACCCCCTTGTAACAGGAGCCTACTTTATAGCACCTATCCAGTATTTAAATCCTATCATTCGCATGGCTTTTTGACGATTTTGGAAACAGAAAGTCACTTCTACGGCACATTAGGAGGTTGAAGAAGGGATGCAATGAATGTTAATGGCGCCTCCCTCTCCGAACAGCTGAGGCTCCCCTCGACCGCCGGTTTCGAAACGACAAGTGACCTCCATGCCACGGTAAATAGATACTGTTAATTATTGTGTATCGAGATCCTCCATATCTATCAGGTGGATTCGGCTGTTAGTATCAATTACCTATGGTACATTGTCCCTTGGATTTCAGCAATACACGGGGATCATTCATGGTCTTGCACAACTCGCGTGAGACATGTCCATAGATATCATAAAGACCTGGTGTAACATCGCAAGACAAGACCGAATTAACGGTTTGGCAGATTGAAAGGATCTCAGGACTCGTGCAAAGATGTCGCCATATATGAGACGATATATCGGCCTCTTGTATATAGACTATCTATCGCGTATCAGTGACAGAGTTCTCTTTTGCGGGTGCGCCTGCACACAACACCATGGTCTTGCGCAGCACGACTATTACCTACCAATAATACTCACGCTGTGGGGTTTGCCTCAATCAATAGCGGATTGGTTACTCGTATTCGATCTTTCCTGGAGATTCGGATGACCAAGTTTTTCTGTAAGTATGATTGTGCTTGTGTGGTGGCTCAACATATTATTGGAAAACATGGCTATTATTTATAGAAAATTTCAGGGATACTTCTTAATATGACCTAAACACATAAACATTGTCCAATAATACCAAAAGGCAACTTATATTGAGCAGTGTCTCCTTATTGCTCTGGAAAAGAAATATAAAGCCAATAGTGCGTCACCGCTGTTCAAGCGCACCGGTACCTATCTACTACAAGCATCTGTCACATCAAAAATTGTGTATGGCACCTTTCGATGGCGGCTGCTCTGTCCTCTGACCCGGGGTGCCGAAATCTAGCACACCATACAACATGTTCTAGTTCCCTCGGCACTCTGTAAAGAGTGCAAATCTCAGCCGTGACTCCAAGTTATTGCTTGAGGGTTCAGAAATACGTGCGAGACCCCCAGTTGTGTTCTGCTCGCCTCTATCCAAAAGACTAAGCACATGAAGGCAATGTTCACTGGTGGCAGATCCCTAAAGCACAAAACATGTTCACGTACTTTCAGAACATGTTACGTCCAGATCCTGTGAAGTTTTCTTGCGATGTGAACTAGTCGAAAGTCATCTAAACGCATGCCATGAGCGGTTGGGCCCTCGCGCTAAAAGTGCACTGTCATGCCGGAAAAAGCGTGGAGAATGTCTTTCGGGACCAGTTGGTATTCGAGCCTTTTCAACAAAATCCATATCTGGATTGCCTTGGAAATTGTACACACATCTCTATATGGGCTTCCTGCTGGTGCGTGCCCGAGATACGAGGCTCTGTCATCTTGGGAACAAGCTGTCCCGCATCGATCCGGCGATGAGCCTGCCTTTGCTAGGTATCCAGGAAAAAAACGGGGTTCAAAAGCATTACTCGATGTCTACATGCCCGGGAAGATATTGAGGAAATATCCTAGTGGTCCGCATCGAGTTTCCAAGTGTATTTTGTTGAGATTGATGGTGATCATTTATCTCCTTACTAGCTGGGATCAGATGGAACTCTGCTTATTAGGAGATTACCTGGCCAGAACCTCGGCATGGTCAGTTCATGAGTTCCTTCCACGTTTCAGAACGTATGCTTGTGCTGCTTTGTGTCCCCTGGAGCGGCGAGCAAGCCCTGATGGCGGTGAAATTGTTCATGTCGTCATTAAACCTAGAAACATTCAAAGACAACGGTTGACTATGATTAGTCGGTCTTGCGTTCATCTTTGTCATCGTGGTTATCCTCTTTCTCATCATCCTCGTCGTCGTCCTTTTCATCCTCCTCTTCGTCGTCCTTTTCATCCTCCTCTTCGTCCTCCTCTTCGTCCTCCTCTTCGTCCTCCTCTTCGTCCTCCTCTTCATCCTCTTCTTCTAGCGAGCACTTCAATAAATGATTACAAAACCCAACGCCATTCCGCTTCGCCTTTGTTTCAGACATCTCCTCTTCGCTCCCCGGCCACACTTTCCTCCACGCTATCTGCGTGATTGTGGCCCACTCTTTGGCGTCGGTTTTGCTGGGGTCGCCAGCCGTGACAGTGAGCGCGATCAGTTCATGAGAACTCCACCCCCAGTAAGCGTGGACAACAATATTGCCTTGAGCGTCTTCAGGCTTGTTAGTTTTAACGAACCACTTGTCGTCCATAGAGTCTGGTCGGTAGCCTTGCAGCATTTTGTTGTAGTCCTCATATGTGATGGTGCGTCCCCATTGTGCCGTTACTGGTGGGGTTTCGAAGGGGATCACCACTGCACAATGTTAGTAGCGAGACGGTTTACATCGACAAATAGACGTACTATCTGAATTAAAACGTGAACGTGCTCAGAGTTGGTGGTAGAGACTCAAGAAGAAAAGTCAGAGCACAAAGGGTTGGGTGAAGGATCTGGAGATGTTAAAGATGTTGAAGATGTTGCGGTGGTCAAGTGCAATGCGTTTTTACTTGGGTGACGTCCAACGCGGGGCACCACCAGTGCCTCCGGCGAGCCGCCCCCACTTATGTAATCGTGGCTGAGTCCGGATCAATCGCTCGCAGAACACCTCCCAGAATCAGGTCACGGACTTGGATGTCTTGTGGAAATGATTTTGTACAAGCGTGGATGCCTGGTATTCGGCGTGCGGTAGCACCCCGTAATGCGAACTTGGCCAATGACAACGCAAGCTCGCGAAGTGGCCACCCTAATATCTTTTCAGAAGTCCGGTGAGCCCCCTTTCTCACGTTCGCTGTTGATTCGCACTTTTCCGAAATTCCGGATTGAGCCTGCACAGATTGACTGTGGCGAGATTCGTAATACAAGAATAATCCGGAGAGTCTGCAGGTGTCAGTATCACCATACGGTAAGCCGGAATTTCGATATGAAACCCGCGCAAGAAATTGCGGCTGACATCCGCTTAGCGTCAACCTGGAGCTGCGAGTGGGCTGCGCTGCGTAGTGTCCGTAGTGTCCGAAGTACGAGCGCAATGCAACTTTGGGGATCCTTTCGTACGGTAAGGAAGCGGAGTGAATCAATACGGCTATGAAAGGGTCTTCCACGGCAACATGCAGAGGTTCCAAGGGTCAATCTCTTCCATCATCCATTCATCCATTCATTCATTCATTCATTCATTCATTCATTCATTCATTCATTCGTTCGTTCGTTCGTTCGTTCGCTCATCTTGTTTCGACACTCATTTAGCCATTCGTCGCATTTCCATTCATTTAGAATCTGAGATCCGTTTCACTTTGAGTTTTTCTAAGCAACGAACACACTTGCAGTCAACATGTTTTGGCGGAAGCCGTTGGCCCTTCTTGGGTTCCTAGCTACCGTGAGTAGCACGGTAGCTGCCCCTACGGAGGTGGACCTCGAGTGGGAGAATGAGGACGGCATGTTCTTTCGAGCTGATAGGTATTTCTCCCCTGTGTGCAGGATTTTGCGAGAAAAGTATACCAGTGTAGTAAACTTTATTGCTCAAGGACACGTAGTATACGGTCGACTGCTTAATATATCCAACTCTTGCTGACTATATATGCGCCTATCAGACGTTCGCCCGATGCAATCAAAGCCGCTGGTGCTTTCAAAACATTCGCTCAAAGCAAGGGAACGAAGCCAAACTATAGTCTGTGGGACCATTGCAAGATCAAGGAAGCATCCGCTTCGTTTGGAAATCTTCCAGATGATGGCTATGTTGGCACGAGTGTGGACATCAACTTCTGTTCGAAATGGATGGTGGAAAAGCTCGAGGACGGCAAAACTGAGAACATCGAATCTACCATTTACAAGGTTGCGTCCGATAAAAACCTCATTAGTTGCCAGGAAACCCTCGGAAAACGTACGAATCTGCTCCATACTTGCCAAAATACCGTGCTGACTTGACTCAGATAATCCAGAACCCGTCGAACAAGAATACGCTGCTATCGACGGCATTCCTTGGAAGCAAGTCGTAGGCTGGTACAACACCTTCACTGTGCGTGGAGGAGGGAGCACGAAAACGGTCACAAACGCCATGTACCATGAAAACCCGGACTTTGATTCAGCTACATACAAAAACCTCCCCGACGGTACCCCCAGCGCCACCAACAACTATAACTACAGACTTGCTGGATTCCCCCTTAAGGACAAAAGATGGAAGGAGAAACCTTTTGTAGACGCTATGGATCCTGTCTGCGGTCAGGCAGAATCATCGGGAGGGAAAGGCAAGAAGGGGAAGAAGAACGCTCGCCGCGATGTCGATGACATTGAAGATGACGAAGATATGGAGATCTTGGCCCGAGACAGCGAAGACTCGAACCTGGTCGCTAGAGCCAGGGGTTCCAGGGGCGGAAGTAGGACCCGGAGGCCCAGGCCGAAGAGGCCTGCAAGAAAGCCCGCGAAGAAGCCCACGAAGAAGCCAACGAAGAAGCCAACGAAGAAGCCTACAAAAAAGCCAACGAAGAAGTGCACGGTAGCTATGAAGAAGGCAGGAAAGTGCGGCACTACTTCGACCTGCTCGGCTGCAGCAAAGAAGAGGAATGGTGGCAAATGCCCCATAAAGAACACTTGCACTGCCGCTCAGAAGAAGGCTAATGGTGGCAAATGCCCCATAAAGAACACTTGCACTGCCGCTCAGAAGAAGGCTAATGGCGGTAAATGCCCAGTAAAGGCCACTTGCACTGCTGCCCAAAAGAAAGCCAATGGTGGTAAATGTCCGGTAAAGAACACATGCACGGCAGCCGAGAAGAAGAAGAATGGTGGCAAGTGTCCCCCGAAGTCGTGCCCCTTACCTAAGACCAACAACCAACTTGCGCAAGAGTATATCAAGTTGTGGAAGTCAGGAAAGCTTGGGAAGGGTAAGAAAGCTGGATCTGGCTCTAGCACTGGGAAGAAGGGAAGGGGCGGCAGGGCCTGAGCGCAGGATATGATTCACATGAGTACCGGAGATACCGGAGACGAACTGGTAGATGTGGGGAGGGAAGTTGAAAGGGACGGCATTGAAAGAGCGTTCATGGTGGGCTTTCCTGGGTCGAATCTTTGATGTAGTGCAAATCGTATCTGATGCGGCTTTGGTGTCCCCTGGCCAGTCGTCGCCAGTACCATCGACCGAAGGGTCTGCGTCGGCTTCGTCCCTCGTGCGCTTGCGCTTGCATCTATTACTTCCTTAGCTACTTCTATCATCAAAACAGACATCAGGAGGTGAACATCGTCGGCTAGGCAGAGGCTGGAGCCCTTGCATCTCTGCGTGTTCTGATAGGACGTGATTTTTCCAGTCATCGAAATCGTCGATGGAAGCATCGCCCTTTCCTTGACGGAGGCATTCGGGGCACGAGAACGGCTGCGCGAATGGTGGGCATGAAGCTGTTGGAGCAGGCGCGAGGAGTGCTTCGTGGAGGACGAGGGGAGGGGAGGGGGAAAGCGAGGGAATGAAACAGTGCGCGTGAAGGAGTCTAGACGCCGCGGGTCAACGCCCTCCTATATATGCGTACTGCGCGGGAGGGGCGGATCTCGAGGGTGTCAGAATGGGCCACCCAGCACAATAGAGCGCCGTGCCACGGCGGGATGGGCGACAACAGTGCCAGGAAGCGCGCAGGCACATGTGGACAAGGCTCGTCTTCGCAGGTTTCCGGACGCCAGAGTGAGCGGGCGGGTCCCAGGGAGAACGACGCCATATCGAAAGGGAAGAGAGGGCATGGATGGGCAGCTCCAGCGTCGGTCGACTGAGGGTGTGGGCGTTGGAGGGGTGCCAACGCCGACCATGGCATGGCGGGCAGCGCAAACGCCCGCCGTGGAGACTTTCCCTAAATTAGCAGTATCAGATTGCTGCGCTTAGTGGGGAGCAAACTATGTGGTGAGCGCGAATACATTCACCTGACAAAGACTGTCGAACAATATCGGTGCTTTACAAAGGCTCCTCCCGTGCCTTGTCATAACTGTATGTATTGTTTATAGAATTTCAGCCAATCTGTGAACTATGGGAGTCCAATTACTAGCGGGAGTCTAATTACTAGTTGGATTTTATTTTATTTCTGTGTCTAGGCCGAGTAGATGTTGAAATAGGGCACTAAGTTGTCAAATAATTAAGTAGTTTTACAACTAGCCTCTTATAGATCTGCATTAACTAAGGTTCCATGGAAAAGGCACCTAGAGCTATGGAGAGGTGGAAAAAAGTCTTGTAATCGACTATAATTGGAGATGAACAAAATTCTCGCGTGGTGCGTCACAAATCGTCGCATTGCTGCAATTGTCCGGAATGCAGATGGATACAACATCGAGCGTTGCAGGGATATGTGTGTTCAATGTTCGCAAAAAGTGGCAGAGTCACTGATGTACGTGTCGCAAGTATAACTGTTGGTCAGACATACTATTCATAGCTGTATAAAGATCTGACTTATTCTGAGTGAGCCAATAGTGTTCGGTGACAACAGGCACTTCCTAGTACCACATTGCTAAAATGCTCTGATTTACTGGTGATCGAAATTATGATCGAGATCTGGAGCATGCCGTCTGGTGAGCGCACATTCGAGAATATGCCTCTTGGAACGAGCACACGCCTTGCACAACTACAGGCAGCGGGCATCCGATGGAAGGAAATGAACCGAGCGTGCACCCGGATAAATTTCAGTCTACTACCTCCAGAGACCGGAATGGTAATTTGATAATGAAATGCAGATGGGGCGGAAAACCCACGATTAGCCCCGAGTAGGATTCACCGATCAGGCACCAGCCAATCACAATAAGTTGCGATGTTAATCCAGCTCCTTCGCTCCTTCAGCGTCCCAAAAGAACTCTCTACTTCGCGAGACGACTACCCATGCGGTGGGTTCTAGGTCTAAACTCTTCCTGTTGCATTGAAATATCGATAACACGAGAAATGTGTCAAAAAGGGGCTGTTGCCTGTGTGGTCTTATAACATTCTGACTGGGCCGGCATGATAGGTTCGCGTACGATGGTATAAGTAGCAGCTCGTCGTCTGTTAACACACAGTATCATCATCATCAAGATATTCTGAGTTCCGTAGCTCAGTTTCAGACACTCTCACCATGGTCTCCAAGCTTCTCACCATCTCCGCCCTCGTGGCTACCATCCTTGCCCTTCCCGACGTCACCCCCAAGCAACTTCCGTCGGGCTGTGCTTCATATCCCAACTACGATGCCGACACCGGAGAGACAGGTAGTTTCGTTGTGAAAGTGGTCGACAGCGAGAACCCAGCAATTGAAGGATTCTCCGACACATCCGATTATTCTATCGGCATTGGTGCCCAAGGAAGGCCCTACATGCGCTGGGGATACGTGAGCATGCCCATGATCTATCGCAGTATTGAAACTAATGTATGCAGCTCACCATTCCCGTCCGCAATGACATCGCCAAGACCAGCCTTAAATGCTCCGACGCCGTCCTCCACGCATATGTCAACACTGAGCTGACCGCCGCTGGTGCACCCACGAACACCCAATGGGCCCCTCTTGTGCTCTCGCCGTATGCAAACGATGGCGTACTCCTCTACAAGGTCGAAGGCGAAGAAGTGGGGGTTTATGAGCATTATGTGGGCGAGGAGAAGCAGCCTGGTCTATTCCTGGGAGGATATGATAACAGCACGACGTGGGGTTTCACGTACATCGCGCCGGATGCGACATCTACTGATGGTAATTACCAGATGAGGTTGATCAGGGGGACTGAGGAGGTTGGTACGAACGAGACAAGGGGTTTTGTCAAGATCCTGGGTTCCTAGGCGTTACGGACCACGTGGTTCAGCTGCGATCGTTAGGGATACCTTCCCCATCTGTTGGTATCAGCATTTGAATTGTTATAGGATGCTTAGTGTATCTCCATTACCCGTCCCTTTGGTTTTGATAACATAATGTCCCAACGTGGATCTTGTATTTGTGAGATCAGCGTTATAAGCTTTTGCTGTGATGCACCGTTGGTAGCATTGGATGTAATACTCTATATTGAAGGCGAACGCTCATCGATCTATAGACCATGTGGTTCCCATCGTCTAACGCTGTGCTATTTACATCGGGGCAAACACGACCTCGGGAGCCGCTCCACATTCTCCCCATTGCGGTTGACATCCGTAAGCTGGCCTGCAATAATCGTCTTGATTGCCACACCACCCGTAACTCGAACAACAGCGCCCATACGTTGACCCTATACAGCCGACCCCGTTCCCACATTGTCCGTCCGTGCTCACGGGTACTGTGGGGCTAGGTCGAGCGGAGCTGGTCGTGGAGCTCGAACTCGGACTTGGAGTGGGTGTAGGCGTTGGTGTTGGCGTTGGCGTGGGAATGGATGTTGAAGATGTGGACGGCGACGGAGTCGGAATAGGAGAAGAAGACGACGACGAGATTGGAGGCGCGTTGCCACACGTTCCGAAGCCAGAGCGGCAGCCCGTGCCACAGTAATCGAGCCCGCTGCCGCACCAGTACCACTCTGAGCAGCAATTCCCGAATGAAGAGCCCGCACATGTTGTGGAGTTGCCGCAGAGGCCGTTCGTGGAGACGATCAGGGTGCCAGATGGGAGGGGTGGTGAGACGGTCGAGCTTGTTGAAATGGTGGAAGAAGATAAGCTTGGCGACGAGGTAGAAGATGTCGACACTGAAGGTGTCGGTGTCGGCGTGGGCGTCGGAGTTGGGGTAGGCGTGGGAGTCGGTGTATCAGTAGGTGCATCGCCGCATCTTCCGTATTGTGGTTGACAACCCACTAGGGCGTTGCAGTATTCGAATCCAGTTCCGCAGTAGCCGTATGAAGAGCAACACTGGTTGTCTGTACATTTTTGATTTCCCCCATCGGCGCCGCAGCGGCCTTCCAATTGGCGTGGGAACAGAAAACGGGCATTCAAGCTCGGAGTGGTCGCATTGTTTATATGCAATCGTCGTAACGAAGAGTGTGTCAATTCCAACGGGGCACGCGGCGCGTGAAGATTGGCCGCCGTGGAAGCGAAAACGCTTGAGGTGCTCAATGCTCCAGCTAGGAGGAAGGCCGTCAACCGCATGTTTTACTGCGAGGTAGAGACTGGCTTTCTGAAGACAGAAGAGGGATAAGTCACACTTAAATGACGGTCAATTGGGCTTCCAAGAGCTCCTGATCCCACACTAGAGAGCAATACGTCCCAAGAATAGGACAGCAAGGTGATAAGAGGACGACTTCCTCAATCTGAACACGCGTGAATATGTACGCGAGGCCTCGCGTGGACGTGAAAGTATTCTCCGAGCTAATAGAATGTTGCGCCCAAGCCGGTATCAGAGTATGCCATGCATGCTTGTGGTCGCACAAGGTAGGAAGAAATTCCCAGGTTATTGATCAATATCGAACACGGCGTGAGAGAGCTGGGCATGTGGGGCTTATATCCATGTCGAAGCCTCTGCGCTTTTCTCACTTGTAACAACCTCTTAGTACGCGTTGGGAATCTAGGGTCAAGCTTCGATACTGCGACATGATGTCAGGCTCTACTGCGAAGGGTGGCGTGGCAATGGTACGGTGCCGATTTGCAAAACTGGGCTGCAATTGTGCAGCTCCCCACCATTCCGACGACCAGGTGGGGCAATGCGAAGCTTGTCAGGCCGTCGTAAAGAGCATTGGCGTTGCATTTATTTCCATTTACGTCGGAAGGGAACGTTGTAGCGCCTAAATGCGCTGCCGAGAGTACCGAGCAGGAGAACTGCCGGACCTAAGACAGGCTGCGGATAATGGCCGTAGACAACTTGCAACAATGAAATTAGCGAGTTCCTCGAAATGCGCGGCATGGGCACGCGTTATTTCTACCGCGAATAGTCAGGGTCCACCAGCATGCGGCCTCCGAAGTTCGCGTCTAGTTCGTGAGTAAAGCATTGGTGACGTGCTGCATCCTGACCACGAACCGCAAAAATGACAGGTCGTATTTAAGTAAAGATGCATCGGTTCCACTTGCAAGCTTCTCTTTTAGTACCCTGAGTTCTTTGCACATGGCTGCGAATTCATGTACATTGCTTGTGAACGATTTCATCAAGCCATCGAAATCTTCCGACTGGGATGAAGGGCTTGATGAAGTCGTGGAAACATGGCTTTGACCGCCAAGATCCGTCATCGATGACAATGTCGAGCCATTACGCGTGTAAGTATAAGTATGATGTTCGAACAAACTTGCGTTATCGCCTTCAGAGTCTGATTCAGACCATGAAGTTGAATCTGCTTCCACGTCTGATTGCGAGCAAAATAACAACGGTAGCTCAGCCATTCGAAGGCGCCTATCGAAACTGCAAAAGGTGGCGTCTCTCATCTCTTTCCTGGAATTCGGCCCAAGGCCGCTTGTTAGAAGTCGCCACATGTGCGCATTGTTGGGTCGTGTGTATCTGGGCCGCATGTGATACTCTTTGCCGTGACCGAAACGATCTCTCCATGCGGGATGCATGGCTTGGTTCCATCGATCTTCCATATCACTATCATCTGTAATGTTGCTGAATCCAGGATACCAAAGCGGAGGCAGCCCTAGAAAAAGGGGTTCTGCAGCTGATGGCAGCAGTGGCGCGTGGCCCTCATATTTGCATCGAAGCTCGTTCTCGAACTCAACCATATGTGGAGCAACGTAGTCACACTACACATCCTCATTAATACAGACATACTCGTTGGGTGACTTCATGCTTACCCAACCGGACTCAAGCGAGTGCCAAAGTTCGGAAGTGATCTCATCTTTTGATCGCTCGCCTTTCCCAACGACAGTACAGCCCCAGAGATGCAGCTGAGCCACCATATAGTCTTTGGTAACCAACTCGCCTGAGTGCAACCTGTCCTTTATAAAGCTCGCCGGTTCGCGGGTATGGATACCCAGATAAATTTTGCCGTTGTGGAAACTGTATGATCGAGCAGCAGTACCTGGGCCTTCGTGCGCAAACACGCGTGGACGGGCGCGCGAGGTTTTCTGGTCCATGATAGCTAGCTTCTTAATCAATGCAGCTGGAGGTGTCGGTGTATCTTTTCGAAAGACAGGATCATTCTCGTCAATCCAGGGTGCCGGTGATCTTGCGGCCTCGCTCGGTGGCGGCTCATCAAATCTTTGCCTTTTACTAAATTGATCACTGTGCTCGGTCGCAGGAGAGTCTCCTTGCTCCGACCTTGATCGCTTCTTCGAATGGTAACGTAAAAATCTTGCTTCAGCTTCAGGCGTGATGAGAGCCTTGAACCGTTCGGGTGCTCCTTTTCCGACGACATATTTGTTATAGGGATCTTGGGTGTAACAATCCTTATCTATACACAGATAAAGCGGCCACTGCTCAGCCGATCTAGATGGCTCGAGACCGTAATACTCTCGGCGCACGTCATCTTCGAACTCAATAGCGAAAGGCGATGGTATATCGCACTGCGGCTGGTCAGCAATGGCCGCGGCAACTATAGGCATCGCCTACCCAGCCTTTATTCAACGCTTCGATTAGATCTTTCCGATACTCATCCTTTGTGTATTCCCCGTCCCATCGATCATGCCAACAACCCCACAAGCCCAATTGAGCTACCATATAATTTACTGTAACCAAACCACCCTTTTCTTTATAACTCTTCAGTCGGTTACGTATCTCGTCGGCCGACTCGCGCTTGAAGCCATTCGCGTAAAGCACACCGTCATAATAGCTGTATTTAACGGGTCGACCACGCCCACCTGGACCGTGTCGCACATCCATACGAGCAGGAGGACCATTTGCTTGACCGTCCATTTTGTAAGGAGCACGGAAGACAAAGCTGTGAGTATACGATGGGAGGACGCGACGCGAACCTCGGAAGCGATCGAGACGCGTGGTACACGCGCTAAAGTAGCCTCATCATGTGACGTCGGAGGTCCCGTCGACTGCTCATATGGATGCGAAAGCTAACGGCGTATTTCATCACAAACAACACATCTTGCTACTTTCAAAGTCTATAAACGCCCCTCAACATCTGTCAGGTTTCCGCTTCATGGTTGGCTTCCCTGCCACAGCGCATTGCATCCCCGCACCCCCGATGTAGCAAATAGGCCCCCCAGGAAAGCGTTGTTGAAGCGAGCCTTGGCGTGAAGTCATTAACCTCCAATGCACGACTCTTTGCGCCGCAATTCTTTGCGCAATGCCAGCTACAAATCGCAGACGGCGTGTATCGATCGCGTTGCTCACGCGCCCAACAAGTCTCTTGCTCATCGTATGCCTGCCGAGTGCTAAAGTTGTTACGCCGCACACAGGGGCGCTCTAGCCCAATCCTGCGTAAGCAGCGTCAGCAAGTCTCGTGATCCATGTTCTCTTGTCTGCCGTGCCTGGTAAGTAGAGTTCGATCTTGAGAGAAGTTTTATCAGGCTACCTCTGGCCTGGTCAGTTCGTCCTTTTCCATCATCAAGTTTCTCGCGGCGCGCCATTATGTTGGTAATTTATCTGCTGTGTGCTGCCGTTGCCTTTGTCGTGTATAGCTTCATCTCCTCGGCCTCGACGAGGCGTCGGCATGCTGCAGTGGCGAAGAGGTTGGGCTGCGAGCCAACTCCTATGGAGCATTGGCCGGATCCATTCGCACTTGTCAACCTGTTCAGAACCATGTGGGCTCACAGCAACAATCGGACCCTTGAATACATGCGGGGCACCTTTGACGACACGTCTTTGCGCGTAAAGAGGACAGTCTATACGTACGAAACAAAGATACTAGGAGACACGGTTATCTTCACGTGCGATCCGAAGAATACTCAGGCCATGTTGGCAACCCAGTTTAAGGATTTTGAACTTGGGCAGGTTCGAAGAGGATCATTTGCTCCTTTGTGAGTTAGATTTTTATCGTCCGTCGAGAAAGACAATACAGGAGACTGACCGGCTGATATAGACTTGGTCACGGCATCTTTTCGGCCGACGGGAAGCAATGGGAGCGCGCTCGCGCTCTTTTGAGACCGCAGTTCTCGCGCGACCAAGTTAGCGACTTAGACCTGGAGGAGCGCCATGTTCAGAACATGCTTCAAGCTCTGCCCGCCAAAGCCGACACCTGGTCGGAGGTGATTGATCTTCAGCCGCTCTTCTTTAGATTCACCATGGATTCTGCCAGCGAATTTCTGTTTGGTCAGAGCACGAACACTCAGCTCTCCGCACTCTCCGAAGAGGCCTTGGCCAAGAACGTCGAAGACAGCGCGTTCGTGAGTACTTTTGAAGCTTGCCAGGACCGCATAATGATGGCCATGTTGCTCAATGAGTTCTACTCCCTAATCGAGACCAAAAGCTTCATGGACAGCTGTCGGCTTTGTCACCGATACATCGATAAGTTTGTCAACAAAGCTCTCGGCCGCCGCGAGGCCCGCAAGCAAATGGAAAAAGGCAAGAAGGAGAAGTACGTGTTTCTGGACAGCTTAGTGGACGAGACCATCGATCCGGTCGAGATTCGAGATCAGCTGCTCTCCATGCTCGTGGCTGGTCGCGATACCACGGCAGCTTTGCTGAGTTTCTTGTTCCTTATGCTAGCTCAGCACCCTAGGGTCTTCAGCAAGCTGCGCGAGACTATTATCGAAGAATTCGGGACATTTCATTCGCCCAAGAACATCTCCTTTTCTGGGTTGAAAGCTTGTTCGTATCTCCAATGGTGCATCAATGAGACCCTACGACTGTACCCCAGCGTACCTTGGAACTCACGGCGGTGCACCCGCGACACCAGTCTTCCCTGTGGAGGCGGCGAGGATGGGCTTTCACCAATATTTGTGCCAAAGGGGACGGAGACGGTGTATATGGTATGGTTGATGCATAGGCAACCTGAATTCTGGGGCCCAGACGCAGAAACATTTAGGCCGGAGCGATGGCACAACCAGAAACATGGTTTTGAATATCTGCCATTTAACGGTGGGCCCCGGTAAGCACCCTAACCCTCAACGGTACTGTAAATTAAATACTAACGTTTAGTCAGGATCTGCCTTGGACAACAATTCGCCTTGACAAAGGCTGGCTACGTGGTCGTGCGCCTCTTGCAACGATTCGACAAGCTGGACGGCTCGCCTGGGGCATCAGAACCAGTTAAGTTGAGGCTGTCTTTAACAGGAAAGCCCAAGAATGGGGTCAAGGTGCGATTGCACGCTGCAGCTGAAGAATAGCCTCGTTGATCGCGTCGGTGTAAATTGTAGACCTTGCTAAGGGGTCGTTCATCCAAACTCTGCTCTGCTTTCAAGACCAAATAAACCTTACATTGAGTTAGTAACAGTATATGTAGTATTGATTATACCCAGCCAACGAATTCTACAGAGTTTCTATCAGCAAAATCCGACATGTGACTAACTGTGTTCGGCTAGTGTTTCCCCACATACAGCTAGCGTTCACACCTACCGACCTTGAATAAACCCTCTCTTACACTCCACACTCAACCCTCACAACCCCGGCTTGGAGTTCGTACTAGGCCACAATGCAGAATGTGACAACGCCCGAGGACAAGTCCGATCCTGTGACATACACCTGCACATGCCCTGCCCAAACCGAAGGCGGAAGCGTCCTACTCTTCTACCGCTACTGGGCTAACGCCCCGGTCCTACCCTCAGAACACTCACAATGCACTCACTCACCCCAAGCACTGGCCAACTTTCATAAGGACCTAGCAGCTTCCCTTCACATTGGCGGAAAATTCCGCATCGCGACCGAGGGTTTCAACATCACGCTAGGCGGCACGTCCTCCGCCATCACCCAATACATCGAGGCATGCCGCACACACTGGTCTTTCGCTGGCATCGAACTTTCGACTCAGCAAGCGCGCGACGCGTACTTCAAGCCGACACCAGGCTGCGCTTGTGCTTTTGGCGGCAAGGCGTCTGTAAAGGTCACAGCTGAGATTACGCCGCTTGGTATCACGAACTATGCGCCTGCATCGTGGGGTAATGTAATCTCCTTATCTCCAGCGGACTTCCACGAGTTGTGTCAGAAAGGTGACATACCCTTGATCGATGTGCGGAACCATTACGAGTCTCGCATTGGGTACTTTGTTACTGGGGACGGGAGCGTAGCTGTCCGGCCTGCGGTGCGGAGGTTCAGCCAGTGGCCTGGATATGTCGTAAGGCATGTGCTGGGGAATGATGCGTATAAGAGACCCTCTGGGGTAGCGACGTACTGTACGGGCGGTATCCGATGCGAAAAAGGGGCACGGTGGATGCAGGAAGCGCTTGCAAGCCATGGAGAGAACGGTGATGCGCCGGTGTATACTCTGCATGGCGGCATAGTAGCGTATCAAGCGTGGATAGAAGAGCGTATTGCAGAGGGGAGGATGAAGCCTGAAGACAGCTTCTTCAAGGGAACGAATTACGTCTTCGATGCACGAGGGGCGATTGGAGGTAGAAAGGCGGTCTCGACATGCCACGGCTGTGGGGGAGCGGAAGATCGGCTCGGCAAGTGTGATGTACCCGGCTGTCACTTGATTCTTGTCGTTTGCGAGGCGTGCGAGCGAAAGAGGACAATCAGCTGCTGTAAAGATTGTCGTGAAATTCACGAAGGCGATGGAGCAGGCATACGGAGTGCACGCATGTGCAATTGCGAGAGCGAGCGCGAAAAGTCACTCTGGGGTGATGGAGGCGCAAAGCTTGGACGGGGAGGTGGCAGAGCAAAGACACGAGGCGCGACGGCAAGGTGACCATATCTAAGTTTGGGTTCAGAACCTAAAGAGTCTAATTTCCTTGGTGTATGCGACTGCGATGCGGGAAGCGCAGTCCTTTGCGTTTGTCGGTCGCCTTCTTGCGCTCGGGTATAGGTATCCTGCACCTACTCCTTGAAGCAATCCTAGAAGCACTCGGTGCAGGAAGTCACAGAGGGGTCACCGTTTGATCTGCCAATCCATATAGAGGTCGCATGTCGGTGTCAATCATAGTCCTAAGAGTTGGATATGTATATCTCGCTCAATTAGCTGAAAACCATCAAGTAAAATTACAAGAAAGATCATATGCAGACGTTGGGCTGGCTATCCTTGAAGAGGAATATTTCATTGTCACATGCACTACGCCATTTGGAGTTATGTGTCATGCACAGGCTCGACACCATACTATGGTAGCCTCCCTCACTACGTTTTCCAGCTCTCACTAACAGTCTCTCACGTCGCACTTCAAAGGCATTCTCGTAGAGAACATCCTCTCTTACCAGCCAGACGGAGTTCTCCACCGCCGCGGCTCATACGCATCCAATGCACGTACGGCCGTCGTTCTTTCCCTATCAGATCAGCTTGCCTTTCACTTTTCACGCAGCTACACGTGCCACATCTAAACAAATGCGTCCTTCACTTTTCACCTGCAAACCCACCTTCTCATTAAATGAATCTACCTCTCACTTACTCGCCTATATATGACACTCCCATCACCACCAAATCATCAATCGCATGGGTCAATTCCAAGTCAGCCTCCGGGTTGGCGCATTGGGCTCGGAACGTACTGATGTAATTCCGTTTCCTCAGGAACTGAACGGGGCCAGCAACGAAGGGATGCCACTTCTTAGTGTGATAAACGCTAGGGTCGTTGTTGGGGCTTCACGCAAGTGAGGTCGGGGTATCAAATGCGGTGAGGGGATTTGTGTTTTGTTCGATTCGTCTGTTGGCCTTTATTTTTGCTATTTATTTTATGCCATTTGTTCTTGTTGGAGGGTAAAAGGCAATGCGCGTGGGGCAGAGGTGAAAGGTGAAGAACAGGGTGGGGACGAAGTTATGCTTTTTGTCCACCATCATCTGGAGCAGGTATCCTTTCGCGGCCACGAAGCTGGACAACGACATCTCGCGTCAATAATGCGTCCACATTCGGTGCCCAAAAGCTTGCTAGGATCCCTACACCGCAAAAGGCAATCGTGCTCAGAAACACCGTCTTGTACGCCTCTGCGTTGGCCTCCTGATATGCTCTCACACCTGCAGCCTGGCTTTCAGCTGACAGTCCATTGACGGCAGCCCACGCGGCTGGCGTGCCGAGTGTCAGGGCAGAGAGAAAGGAGGCCACGCTTGAAGATGGGAGGCCGGCTGCGATGAGCGCTGGCGGTACGCGGGCGGGGATCGTGGCAGCGAGGCGGTTCGAGAGGATGACTGTGTAAACGCTTATTCCGTTAGCAGGATTTACTACCTATGGTACACATCAGAAAGCTTGACTTACGTAGAGCATATGGTCGAAATGAAGGAGCGCGCTGAGCCTGCGATGCCAGTTGCAGTTCCAATCTCGCGCTGATCGTTGATGACGATAGTGGCGACTGTAGAATTGAGGATCTCGTTCCACCCGATGAAGGCGGCAGCGAGGAAAACGAAGACGGCGGCCATGATGGGCGTGTCTGGGGTGGACGCAGCCATTGCTAAATCCATATCAGCGTTGTGACCTTACAAGAGACGCTGCTCGCATGCTTACCAGCAAGGAAAACACTACCGATGAAGAACACCACCTTGATCTGTACATCTGTTCTCCTCTTGAAGAACGCACCCACGAACTCGCCAAACAATATCCCAGAGTTCGAAATGCACGACATCCATCCCGCCCACATGAACCCATGGCCCGGCGAATACAGCGTCGCCACCATGCTCGGCCAGATGATGGCAAGTGCATAGTACACCGCAGCTCCGAGCGCCCAGAGCAAAACCGTGACATCCCAGGGAACATTTCTCAGCAGATGCACCGGCAGCAGCGGCTCTTTCAACCGCGCATAAGATTCGTACAGGAAGAAGCCTGCGAGGCAAGCGAAACCCACAAGGATGGTCGCGATGACGTTTGCGGAGGCCCAAGAGTGCAGTGTGCCACCCCAGGAGAGGCCCATGAGGAAGAGCAGAAGGCCGAGAGTGAAGAGAAGAGTGCCAATGTAGTCGAAGTGTGCAAGAAAAAGGGATTTGCGAGAGGAAGCGTGCTTTTGGTGGAATGTTGGCGGCTTGTAGAAGAGAAACCATGCAAGTGTTGTGGCGGCGTTGAGAGCGATTAGGAGGTAGAAGATGCTATGTCGTGGTTAGTTAGACATACGTAAGAGATAGAGAATGAGGCGCACCCTCGCCATCCAACATTAGACTGTACGAAGGCATACGATATAGCGGGAGCAAGGCCGCTTGAAGGGATCGCCCACGCGAAGCTAGTAATGTCAGTTAAGTCTCTTGACAAGGACAAAACCTTACACCCAAGCCTGAGCGATGAATCTGTGTGTTGTAGGTACGAGTTCACCCACAACAACTGCAACACTGTCAGTCGTCCAATGTTCTTGCACCCAATATGCCACACTTACAAGCATACGACAGCTGGCTGGCCGCCCCCAGCCCGATCAGCACCTCCGCTGCAATCAATGTGGGCACATTCGGCGCGACAGCAGCAACGATACATCCCAGAGTCGCGAGCGCATTTCCGCCGATAAAAAACCAGCGACGACCTACTTTCCATCAGCCTTGAACCCACACCTACAGGCATCAAGGCATGCGTACATACCAAACAAATCACTCAACCTCCCAACCAGCATCAGCCCGACTGAGTTCGTGAGCAGATAAGCCAGGCTAACCCAGCTTAGATTCGCGTCAGGACCGATATCTGCGTTGATGAATGATAGAACAGGTGCGGCGAGGCCAAAGCCGCCGACGCCGCAGCCGAAGCTGGCACCGATGGCGAACACTATCCGTTTCCATTAGCGGTGATCGAGGGCTCCTAGAGATAGATGAGGCGCACTGGAGCCCAAGAAGTTTGCGCTGGTAAAGTATCCTTTCGGCAGCTCCGAGTCTGCGAGCGTGAAGTCGCGGCCTAAGACTTCGACATTAGACGAGGTATGTGGATCGAGCACCTCGATGATATCAGTTTCGTTCTTAGGGGTCGCCATGGTGAGGATGGACTCTCCTGCTGAGGTGTATCTGCTCGGATGGTGGGAGATAAAGTATACACGCGTCAGGGCCCTGTCCTCCCCTATAAGCTGGTGGTAGGCCTCCCTGTGCGTCGTCTTTATTTTCCGGCATAGTGAAGCACTTGCATGTGGCGTATAGCAACCGCGAGAAAAAGCGCTTGTAGGTAGTAGTATCAAAGGGTGTGTGGTTTCGGAAAACGATATGCGTGGATTCTCCAACCTTACTCCCGTTCAGCTGCAGACTTATCGATGGTTGTACGTTGGACGTAGCATTCGCTAGCGCAGGACATGTAAATCCGGGGAACATGCGGGGTCAGGTAGAACGCTAGGAGTGGGCGTGCACGCTACTTACAACTCCGATGATTCAGTCAAATCCGTTCCCTTCGAGCTTGCCTCAATAGCTGTGTAACCATGCAAACCGTGAGACTACATGTGAATGCTTAGAACTGCTCTGATTCAACATCTAGGCTCATCTACGTCTATTTAGTCGCCATCTTGGCAACATGCAAAGTAGATCTTCCCTTAGGGTACAATATCCCTCACTCGCGCTATGTACAGTGGCTATCCAAATGCAAAATGACAAAGACAAATGTTTTACAGCTTGGCCTTGGGCGCCTCGAGCGTAGGCACCATCAGATCCCTGATATCACCGGCCGCCTCGTTGAGGTAGAAGCTCATCTTGTCCTATACGCCGTTAGTCCACGTTCAGATCTATCCAAACCAAAGATTTAACATACCGAACCCAAGCCCTTCGAGCAAACATTGAATTGGATGCTGTTTTCGTTGATCATGTATGCGATGCCCCACCCGTCATCGATGACCTGGCTCCATCCGTATCCGTTGAAGTACTCCGAGCTCAGCTGCGAGCTTGAGATGAACCAAGTGCTGCTGTATCCATACGCTGGGTCCTTGTACAAGCTAGGCAAGTCCTCGCCCTCCTTCAGGCACCTCTTCAGGCCGAACAGGTGTCGGTCGACGCCTCGTCCGTCGGAAGCATCGCTGATGTACTTGACGTGGGCGTTTAGCGCATCACGGAAAAGCTTTTGGGTGTGTTCAGCGGATGCGTTAGGGTCGGCCATCGCGGCGCAGAAGGCGACGGACTCGTCGGAGACGGTACGGCACGTCTCGGTGCGGCCTTCTTGGAAGCGGCGCGTAGCTGCGGATTCGTATGTGGGGCGGTTCTTGCCGTAGAACTTGTGGTACGCGAGCTGGATGATCATTTGTACGTAGGCGTCGGGGCTGCACTTGAACTTCTTGATCAAACCCTTGCCATAGCCTTGGTAAGCCTGAACGCGGAGCTCGTGCGCGTTGATCTGCTTGTTGAAATGCGCTTGTGCAGCAACGATGTCTTGCTCAAGCTCAGAGTTCAGGTTGAAGCGGAGAGCGGTGGGGTTGGGGAGGTCGGAGCGAACTTCTGTGACATCAAAGGGAAGAGCGTTGGAAAAGATTTGCTGATTGGCGTAGTCGTTGAGACGGTGTGTTGGTGTGCCATCCATCATGGAGTGCTCGCCCATAAAGCCTGAGGTTCCGTTGTCGTTGATGATGAATTGAAGCGGCTTGTCAAACCAGCGGTTCGAGCCGTCGCCATGCCAGTACTGGTGCGCGCGCTCTTCGAGGGTGACTGGAGAGGCATCATCGAGGCAGACAACGAAGGATGCGGACTCAATGGCTTCGATGGAAGTGGCGTTCACATCCGACGCGGCCTTGAGCTTGGGGTAGACGTCAGACCAGACATCGCGGTTCTGAGATGTGAGGAATCCAATGGGTGCAGACTTCTCTGCCTTTTCGTAGATGCGCTGGAATTGGAGCTCGAGCTCGGCGGTGTTGAGCTGCTTGCCGTTGATCTCGTGAGGCACCTTCCAAAACTGGTTCTTCCGGATGACAATGATGTGCTGATTATCCTCGAAGTTGTGCTTGACAGTAGTGTCTGCGGGCTTCTTTGGTACGCGCGAGCAATTGAACATGTATTTATAGGAACTCATGGCCATGGGTAGCTTCTTCATGTACTCTGGCTCCAGCGACCCGCCGTCAACCATTTTCTTGAACTCGAGGACAGCCGTGGACATGGCAGCTGCGCGCTTGGCGGGGTTTCTTCGCTTCTTGTCATCGCGATGTGAGTAGAAGTAGCTCACATATGGGACGACGGGGTCGCGATAGCCCATGTATGCTGCCTCATTCCACCACTCAGCGATCCAATTCCGTACGTTGGGATCCTCTCTCCGCGCAACCAAGCGCTTCTGCAGTGTCTCGCCAGCTCCTCCGGGCGCAACGAAGTCATTGACAGCCTTTGTTGTCTCTTCATATTCGGACTTTGAGAGCAGCGGGTGGACGGACTTGAGGTATCGTTTTGCGGTCTCCTCGAGCGTAGGGACAGGCAGGCGCGGTAGAGAGTCCTCGAAGCGCAGCATGGCGCCTTTGCTGTGGTCCTCCTTGTAGCCTGCGTCTCACATATCAGCGTGTGATCCATGTCATTTTGCGGCTATTGACATGTGAAGGATGCAGCGACGTACCGGCTGGCAGCGATGACTGCTGCCGTCTCGCAGCAGCAGGAGCCATGGCAGTGATCTATGGTAATTCATCTGTTAGCTTCGTTCTGCTTGCCGTGTATGCATTCATGTATGCATGCTCTTCGGCGCACCTTTGGAATCTGTGTGTTGACAAGCGAGCGGCGGAGAAGGGAGGCAGGTTGCGCCCGGGCTGCTGCGCGAAACATCTGAAAGGAAGGAGGGAGGGAGACTCGCAGAGGAAGAATCGCGGTGCTATGCAGGCTCGGTTCGGCGCGTTGCTGGTTTTGACTTGGATAGGCCAGCTACTGTGGCAGCTCAGGCGGCGGGCGAGATGAACCTCGGCTGACGTCGGACGGCGACCCGCGCAGTCAAGTGACGTGCCCCAAGAATCCCAGCCGGTTGTCCGACACCTCAAAATGACGGGAGTCAGTCTTGACTTGCATGCACCAAGATTTCCCTTCAAGACATCCAAATTGTAGCCTATTCTACTGCAGTTCGATAGCACAATGCTTGGAGCTTCCCCAGCATCTCTCCACACATCCCACCAAGCTACGGCTCCAGTGAAAGCACGGACTCCAACCAATCGGCGTGCGCGCGGCAGCCGAGGATCTTCCTCGGCTGGCCTGGGTCACTCAGTTGTGAGGCTCTGCGGGAGGCTTTTCCCATTCTTGATGCGACATGCTGTTCACGTGCCATAACGGACATGTGCTCTTGTCCCAACGTTCGTACGAGGTCACGACCTTGCTCTTCGTCGAGCAGCCTGTCGTAAGATCCAGCTGTGCACTCGAAGCCGACATCGGACAAGTGACTTGCATCGTTTTATTGTACCTAGGTATTCACCCATGGTAAGGGATACAAGCGGAACATTGCACTCAAACCCACCGAAGATTGACCCGGCCTGCGGGACCTTCAATGAGAAGGGCTGCGATCTCGATCCTCTTTAGTCGTCGTTGTCTAGTCTACCGCCACTGCACGAAAAGATTTCCTGACAGAGCTTAGACTCTGGCATCATACCCTGACTATCCCTCTTCGTCATTGATACTTCCATAACAGTACAGGTTCTTACGCCAAATTCCTGTTTCTGGCCTGACCCTGTCGTGCGTGCGTCGCTCCGGAGACGTAGCCCGCACAAAGCCTTCTGTACAACTCTTACATCCGCCCTTTTATCTCCGGTCTGTAGTGCTCAGAACGACCGACGAAATTAGTACAGACACGTTATCAAGTCGATGGACCCTGCTAAGATGAATTTGAAAATGCCCAGTTTCCACTTCCCTTCTTCAACTTGAGTTCATCGGGAAACAATAAAACCAAACCCTTCGACAATCATCTCACATCAACCATTACAATGCCAGCCGATCCAACCACAGACCTCCTCCTCATAACCTGCGCCTCCGGCAAACAAGCCACTGCTCTCCTTCCCCTCCTCTCCCACTGGAAGTGCCTCCGCCTCGCCGTCCACAGCGCTTCTTCCAAATCCCGGCTCGAGCAACAATACCCACATGCCGAAGTCATCGCCGCTGACCTCTATTCCCCCACCACGACCCTTTCCCTTCTCAAAGACGTAACAGCATGCATCCACATCGGCCCCTCCTACCATCCGCACGAGCGCTCAATCGGACACATGATGATCGACGCCGCTCTGCTATCTCCAACATTGAAGCATTTCATCCTGAGTAGCGTGCTGCACACGCAGCTCGACAAAATGCTGAACCACTCCTGCAAACGTGGCGTGGAAGAGCGGCTTATCGAGTCCGGGCTCCCGTACACGATTCTGCAGCCTACAACCTTCATGGACAATATACCTATTGGCATGTTGGCAGGGCAGGAGCAACCCGTCTTCCCCGCGGCCTGGAGCACAGACAGTAAATTCTCATGGATCGCTACGAGAGACCTAGCAGCCGCGATGCACGCCGTGCTTGTGGAGCGGGAAAAGCACTTGTACGCGCAGTATCCGCTGGTCAGTACACACGGGCCGCTATCCTTCGGCGAGGCTATGCACATCATTTCGAGCAAGATCAGCAAGGACGTCAAGATAGAGCACCTCGATTTTCGGAAAGCGGTCGACTCGGTGCTGATGAGGTTGTATGGGATGGCGGAGGGGATTGATCAGAGGACGAAAGATACAGCGCAGAGGATGATACTGTATTATGACAATAGGGGCATCGTGGGAAATAGCAATGTACTTGAATGGCTGATTGGTAGGGGCGCGACGCAGTTTGATGACTGGGTCGATGTTAAGCTTGGGGAGCTGAAGTGAGCTGCTTTACACGCCCATGAATAAAAATTAACTTGGGAATTTCCTTCCATAGAAACCAGCGCAACCGAAAAACTCTCACCTAATCTTGGCTTCGAGCGGGTGATTGCAAAGAGGTGAATGGAGAAAAGAGGCAGTATATTGTGCTAGGATACAATCAAAATCTACACACGTGACACCTCAGAGAGTGCGCCACTCAGATCCATATCCCAGCCCAGTCCGTCCCAAAATACAAACGCTGGAAGGGAAATGCTCTCACTACAACCCCAAGATCTCCAACTCATTACTATTGTACAACCACCCGCTCAGAGTGATGCATTTAAGGGTTCTCCTTGACGAACTTGATACCCTTGTTGATGTTGCCAGCAAGGTCCTTGAGGCAGACATCGAGGAGCTTCTGCTCGTAGTCGGTGATCTTGCCAACGGGGTGGATCTTCTCGACACCATTGGGGCCGAGCTCGACGTTGGAAGCGAAGTACTCGACACCCTGGTCCTTGTAGAGAGGAGAGTCGACGAAGGTGGGCTCGATGACGTTCTTCTGGCCCTGGGCGGCCTTGAGGAGGGACTCAGCGAAGCGGGCACCAGCCATGGCCATGGAGAGGGTGGCGGAACCGGCACCATCCTTGGCCTGGACGACCTCGTCACCACCGAACTGGACGCGGTGGACGTACTGATCGAGCTGCTCGCCTTCGAGGTTGAAGCCGGCCTGGGAGAGGAGGGGAACGATGGTAGCACCAGAGTGGCCACCGACGACGGTGATGTTCTCGTTGGCGGGGTCGGTGTTCTTGAGCTGGGAGATGAAGCGGGAGGCGCGGACAACGTCAAGGGTGGTGACACCGAAGAGGCGCTTGGGGTTGTAGACGCCCTTGGACTTGAAGACCTCGGCGGTGATAGGGACGGTCGAGTTGACCTGTCTCGGGTTAGCCCATTGTTCCGTATCCCCTTGATCTAAGCACATACAGGGTTGGAGATGATGAGGATGTTGGCCTCGGGGGCGTGGTCGGCGGCGGCCTTGGCCAAATCACGGACGATGGAGGCGTTGGTGTTGAACAAATCTGGGCAACTGTCAGTCGTGAAACCTGCGACAAACAGTTGTCAACGTACCGTCACGGGTCATGCCGGGCTTGCGGGGAACACCAGCGGGGATGAGAACGATCTCAGAGCCCTTGAGGGCCTCGGCGAGGCCAGAGGGAGTGGGGTCGTATCCGCGGACCTTGTATATATTAGCATTGCGAACTATTTGCGCATCGGACAAGGCAGCGTACCTCGCTCTTGGTGTTAATGTGGCCAATGTCGGCAGCGACACCTGGGAGGTGCTGTTAGCATGCAACTGGCAAAGTTATGATGGCAGGAGCGTACCGGGAGCAAGACGGATATCGTAAAGAGCAAGCTGGCTAACTCTGGGGTTGAGCTTGAGAAGGAGGGACAAAGGCTGGCCAATGCCACCGGCAGCACCGAGGACGGTGACCTTGGACGACTACATGACCACTAGTCAGCATACGCAGTGCAATTGAGAGTCCAAAGCTGATGCCGCATGTCCAGCAAAAGCAATGGCGCAACATCGGATCGTACCTGGCGGGCAGACGCCGCGAAGCCGCGGCGCTGGACCTGTGCGAATATCTGCCTAGCGGAGAACATAATGGATGTGATTGGAGAGAGTGGAGATGAGCTTGTGGTTGGAGTGGGTGTAGAAGAGTTGGTAGAGACGGATGATCGGATTTGTAGCTGGAGAGTTTTCCAGCGTCACTTCCCGCCAAGCTGTCCATGCTCCCACCCGACCTCGGGGCCGCGCTAGCCGGAATAGTCTCCACCCACCCGGACATAAGTCAACACCATCCGTTTACTCCCTTAAAGCTCACCTTGAGACCACTCGAGACGCTTGCTTAACCCGACTTGACCCGTTCGCCATTCAATTGGTAAGGTCCGCAGAAACAGTGTAACTGGGCCAAAGGTACCTTTACGCAACGGCGTGAGCTCACTATGATGGAACGGGGACAGCACCATAGGTAACCACGTCGTATGATTATTGATCACGATATCTTGATGAGCTTTCCGAAAACTTCTTCGTTCTGAATATTAATTCACACGTCCATAACCTTATCTTTCCGATCGCGCGCTCCCCAACTCAAATCACTTAGCCTGGAAACAAAACGTAGTCATGAACTATGAACCTCACCAGAGTAGAGAATACAATTGCCATGGCGAAAGAAAGCCGCTTCAACTCGACCAAAGCATTTTGTCTCGAGGTAAGGACTGCGCAAGTGTCCTTGTTAATCATACGATCTTGAATGCGCCCTGGACAATGTTTAGCCTGACATGATGACCTCAACAGCGAGCCTCATCGTCATTCAGTGGACTTACGCGGCCGAAGATGCGCACATAAATGCATTCTGCATTGATGTCACCGCCGAGGTCAAGAGGCAGACGGCAGAGCTAGGTCTTGATGTCGACTTCATTTACCTCAATGATGCTGGTCCAATTCAGAAACCGTTCTCGACTTAGGGCGGCGGTAAGAGTTTGCCAGGGCTCAAGAGGGACAACACAAATACGATCCGGAGCACTTTATGGAGAAGTGCCTGGCTCACGGGTATGGATTGGAGTCGCAGGGGTGTGCGCTGGTAAGTACTTATGCGACTGCGAAACTTAAATTCGTCGACTTGTTTGAATTGCAGCTTGCTGCCTTTCTTCGTTCTACTTTCTTATTTCCTTTTCGGTCACTCTAGAGGTTCCAAGTCCGTGTCTTAACGTCCCCTTCTGCGAATTGTTTTGACAGTCTGCCTTGGAAGTCTACTGTCCCCTGGATACCACTCGATATCTATCGTACCTTCTGAGTTTCACCATTTCAAATACAGCCTTAGATGTCTAAGCTCGCAGCTGAACGCCTAATATTTCCATCTCAACGTTCCCGTATGACTATATAGTTTTCAATGATAAAGGAAACGCGCAAAACGGGAGGACTTCGAATCCATTTCCAGAAACACCATTTTCCGGTGACAACGGAGGCAGCATCCCCACAGAACGCCAGGCATCATCACCACTATTATCGAATTCCTCAGCAGAAGGAAGACGTTCCACTGTATTAGCCCAGGTCGCGAGAACGAGGTCGTAGTCGCAACAGTCATGAGAACAATTTATAAAATTAGCTTGTTGCTGTGCTTTAGCTAAGCCTAGGCAATTTCAGCGCGGGTAAACACCAATCTTCTGGCATTGTATTACAGCAGTCAATTCGATGGACTGATAGACGGAGTGATAGCGTTTTCACGAAAATGTCTAGTCAAATCCACCTCAGAATTTACTACCTTCAATACCCATAGCTCGAAATTCATTGAACCTAGGTTCTAGTTAACCATAAACCAGTCTGGTACGTTAGCTGCTTTTTCCGCTACAGAGGGATGTAATCAAATTATTTAACATAAAACAACGTTTCGAAACTCGCATGCTTTACAAAATGGGATCAAATTAAAAGGATTGAGAGAGCAACGTGTATGAAAGGCTGTTTGCCTCTTAGGAAAAAGAATCTACGAAGCCAGCATTGCAGAAAGCAAGTCTAGCTCGATGCCCAGTGGATACATTACGCCTGCTTCGAGATCCCGCCGTGGCTGGCGGTCGACTTGTGCGCATCAAGGGTGATTTTCGTCGCACTAAGGATTGATGGGTGCAGAATCGGAACCTTGCGCTGCAGCCGTAGGCAGCTCTTCCAACTCTGTGTCCAACTGACCTGTCGCCTTACGATGACGAGCCGACTTCTTATGCGTCGTCCAATGGTCAAAACGTACGCCAAAACCGCAGTACTCGCAGAGACGCATCTTCGGCTGAACAGGGTCCAAAACACCCATGAGAGCTTGATGTGACAATGCCTGCTCATGCCTCTTCCAGCTCTTGACATTAATGCTCATCTGACAGACTTCGCAGAACCGCTTCGGCAGCAGAGGCCCCACTGGATCGACCACCCCTAAAGCTTTCTGGTGCTTGATCGTCTTCTGGTGTCCTGCCTGATACGTGGCAGCGACGACAACATTGCAGGTTAGACAGAGAAACTTCTGTGGCTTACCGTCTGCGCTCTCGGACTGATTCGACCCCGACTGCTCTCCCGGACTCGAGATGTCTGTCTCGCCCGTAATCAAGTTTCGGATCGACATGATAGAGCTCGTGTTGGCCCGCTCACTTGGGAGCTGTGAAGTAAACTCAGAAGCCGACGTGTTCTCCATGCTTATTATACTCACTCGATGAGTTTCTCTCTCGTTTGACTTTTCTTTCTGTTTCGACAATATCGCCTCTGTATGAGCCTTATGTACCATCTCCAGACATTGTTTGGCGGCATTGTCAACAGTAGACATTGTTGCACGAGCAACATCAGTGCACAATGTATTTGAGGTATCGTCGCTGTGACGCGTTGTGGAAGGCCTTGTGAATTCTACCATTTTCTGAAGTATACGACCGGTCAAAGAACACCATTACCGATTGCCAATCTCATCGGAATTTTATTACACGCATATATGTCGTGGCATGGAATGTATAGTACCTTGCAAGAAAGTTGAGTGGATTCATCATGCGCGTTTCAATAAACCATATCAGATAGCCGCGAAGAAATCTTGCCAGCTTTTATCAGTCGTAGTAATACCATTGTATAGACGGCACTTGGAAACCGCAGCTTATATCGAGAGCACTGAGAGAAGAACAGAAGTAGAGACTAGCAGGATACGAGTGATATGGTAAGCATGTTTCCTACACGTTTTTGTTTTAGCTAAGTCTTGATAAAGGCATTTGATTCACGGCACGCTCTCCAAGATCGCTAGGACAATGATGTCGAAATTGTATACATGTAGGGACTATGATTGCACTAAAATCACAAAACGTTTTCGATCGCGACCGGCGCAAATCGACGCGATATATACTCTAGGTCAGCGGAGCACCGTTTGACATCATCTCAGTGGTACATCCCGTGTCATGGCCGTCTCAGACGTTGTGGTACTCTTTCAGAATCCGATGATATGTCGCGGTCTTAGTGTCACCCTGAGGCGACCACTCCAGGCCTGCAATCACTCGAATACGAGCCTTGATTGCAGTTGCTGACTTACCTTGCATCTCTTTGGCAATTTCCTTCTCAGGCTTTTGCTGAAAGTAACCGTGAAGGATCTGCTCGTCTTCAGCCTCAGTAAAAACCTTCTTGTTGGGAGACTTCTTGCGAACAGGCCTAGAATTCTTCGAAGCAGATGACTTGGCCTTCTTCGAAGCAGACGACTTGGGTTTCTTCTTCGAAGCAGACGGCTTAGATACGCCACCCTTGCTAGCAATGCTCTCACGCGCCGCATTGGTGCCTGGCGAAACCGGGCTAGCAGGTTTGGACACCTTTGGGCTCGACGTGTCTGCAGTGGGAACATCTGTGTCAGATTGTTCGCCCTCTGAGATCTCTACAGTAGGTGCTGTTACAGCGGGAGAGTCATTTGCATTAGATGACTCGGCCTCCACATTCTCTACAGCGGGTGGGGTTGTGGCAGGTGAGACTGCAGATGCAGCGGCTGCACGAGCAGCTGCCAAATGCATCTTGGACTTCTTATGTCTAGCATAGTTATCGGACCGGCCCCATTTATTGCAGTATGCACAGAACTTCCGATCCACGCGACGAGTTGTGGTGTTCCTGTCATTCAGAATGTTAGCGATAGACATAATCGCATGGATTTCTGGCGTGGCGCGACGAGGAATATCCGCTGCAGACATACTGAAAATGTAATATGTGCTGTTACTAATGGTTGTTTATCTTGGACTCTACGAAGAGAACTTGGAGATGTGTTCTTTCCCCTCTCATTATAGACTACGGAAATGGACATTGTAGACCAGTATTGTCAATCAAGTATGCAGTCTTCACAATGTTAGCCATCTTTGGCTGTCATTGTGAGACCGCGCTCTTTATTACATGGACCAGCGTCATCTGCCGCACGTGAAGGCCAAGGCGCATTACTGCCATTGATGCCTGTGAACGCTGCGGCCCATCGTTGCTCAGGTGTCATTCCGCAACCCCTGGTGCGAAGCTCCATGCTGGTAGCGAACTAGCCGGCAAGATCCGGTCGCCGCCTATGCGCCGGGACGTGATTGTGGAAATTTTCACCCATAACAGAGCGACTTATTTTAGACGAACAGCTACTGGCTGTGGATGACGCCGAGCTGATTAAAAGGCCAAAGCAAGTATCAATGCTGTTTAGAGGACAAGGAGCCAAGCGATTGCAAGCAAATGTATCATAGGTAGCTTCGGCATGGTTGAACGTGATGCTTTGAGTGCTCTTTAATCAATTCAGGGTATGTCCCAGTGTGCCATTTTTTGGCGGTGGCTCCTCGGGGCAATCATCTTGGTCTAGGTGTTTCTGTATTACGATGCGAAAGGGTGCGCGGCCCCTGCGCGCGAAGCTTGAAGGCAAAAAGGTGATGATCGACAGCTCAGGGACCGAATGCTCGCCTGGCAACCATCAATTGGTGCGACCTTTGGTCCTCCAGGGATGAAACCAAAGTCTAACTGGTCGTCTCCCAACTTTAGGGCATCTGGCGCGAGGCTATCGTAGCGTGTGCATCATCTGGCGTGTGGGGAGATTCCACTAAGGGGAACTACTTCGGATGCACGGCGCTCCGCACTTGAAGCCCGTCCCGCCCCGTCCTCCTGTGATCTTTATCCCCTGCAGATTTCTCTGCAGAATGCCCTACAATGGAGTCCACTCGCGATAGATGTGCTACCACTGTCGATGGAGTGTCTGGTATCATTGCTGAGGCATGGGGACAAGGCTACATGGTCGGAGGCCTGGTTGTCCTCATGCTGCTGACTCTCGCAAGCTTCCGTCGCCATGCGCTTCTTCATAAGCTCATCCTCACTGAGATCATCCTTGCTATATTCCGTGGAACCTACATCTTCTTCGATGGAAGCGGCGCCGGCTGGTACTCGAGTTGCACTTCTGTACTGCTCTACATCTCGTACAATCTCCACAACATCATCAACTGGATCAAGATCAAACCCTTTCTGGGAAGAGCTGGGCAATGGATCTATCTCGGTACGATCATATTAGTATGGCCATATTGGATCGCCGAATGCTACTTCCTCTTCCAATACAACAACAACCTCGGGAGCGATTACTTCGTTCACTTGCGTCCATGGGAATTTCTTTGCCGGGAGCCGTGGTGGCTATTCACGACCGGTTACTTGATATACATCATCAAGCGCGCCTACGATTGCAGTATCATCCACCTCATTCGCACAAGTGGGAAGTTCCTGGTACTTATGTTGTCGATGGCCTTGTCGATTGCCTTCGTCATCGCCGATGTTGTTGTCGTTCTGGTCATCGATACGCCCTGTCGTGGAAAGAATCCGATGTGGAAAGTACGTGCTACAATTATACTGTCCATATGGCCAAAGCTAATGTAATAGATTGCTTTCATTTTCAAGTGTACGGCCGACGTCATCTTCCTGGACGACTTCAAGTCAGTGCTCGACAGGATCTCTGTACGAGGATCATCGTCTTCCGATGCAGATCGCCTGAATGCGAAAGAGGACCGAGATAACGCGCGCCATTTCGATTCCACTCCTTCCAGAGGACCTGGTTCGCAGCGATCAGGCACGAGGCCGGGGGACCGCTTCGATAACATCGAGACAGTCTGATTTTCAAAGAAAGCAGTAAATGATACGGCATATTCGCACTGACCAAAAATGACGACTGAATCAGGCAGGCTCTCGTCTTCCTATGAGCTCACAGAAGCGTAAGAATGAGATGAGAACGGAATGGCGTGAACCTTGAGAGAGTACTCCGGTTGTGGACATGCAAAGGACATGCAACGAAAGTTGCAGTGCGCACCAGAGCATGGGCCGGTTTGTGGAGATGGCGTGGAGAGCGGTGGAGAGATCGGTGGAGACAGCACCGCACCGTTACGGACCCATGCGGAGGAAAACGCGCTAAGAAGCCTAGTCCACGCGCTAAGTTTTTCGGGCTTAGCGTGTCCTCCCAATTATCGGAGAAGAGCGCGGTTGAGCAATCCCACACCCTCCACTGGTAAACGGATTCCATAGCTCGGCTATCCGGATCCGTTGTGCTTGCTCGTATTTCATGGCGGCCGATGAAGACCGCAGCTACTCTCTTTGTCAGGAAAAAGCATCTGAAGTCCCAGAGGACGGAAGGATTGCGCTGCTTGCCACGACAGGCCATATGTTCGTGGGAGTGCCAGAAGAGCGATTGGAAGCAGCATAGAAGAATATACGGGAAGAAGTCAAACCAAGCATCCGATATTAGGCTGTCAAGGACTGGCCAGTAACTTTCGAGAGCCCAGATCGAACGCCGGCTTACTGGAGGAATTTTCCGGAGTCCCAAGCACGATCAAAATACCATTTCTACCGATGTTGGTGAAGTATCTCATGATCCTTGACAGCATACACAAACACCAGACGTGTTTTGTCTTTGTGATAATCCGACTCCCAGGAATCACAATGCTGTAGCTTTCCAATGGTCATCATTCACAAACGCAGGAATTTGCGGCGTTTCAATGTGCACACCTGGTACCGGGAGGCAAGAAAGCAGTGAGCGGTTGACTCAAAACACCATCCTCATCTTGAGCATATCCTTCTGAATGATATCCTCTTTCTTCTTCATGAGCTCCTCCATATCCCATGGACAGCTCACGTACGTCCCACCTAGCCACTCCCTGCGCTCAGCAGCCAACCATGCGATCGTATCACCAGCTATATCTGGACGGTCAGGCAATGCATCCCGCACCTTCTCGGGCGCCCCCTCAGTAATCTTCGTCTTGATCGCACCCGGATTCACGCAGAACGTCAAAAGTCCTTCGTCACCATATTCCAACTGCAGTGTCTCGGTCCACCTCAATATCGCAAGCTTTGAACTTCGGTAACCCCCGCTCCCAGGACGAGCGCTCAATGCGCCTGAAGAGGAAACATTGATCATTGTGCATAGACCGTCGTTGATAACACGGGTTGAGAGCTGCATGGGGAGGAATGTGCGCGCCATATTGAAGAGTCCGCGGACGTTGACTTCCCATGTTCGCCAGTACACATCCGGGTCTGAATCGAGGAGTGGCTTGTATGGCTCCATGTGGGCTGCATTGTTCACGACGATATCCAGACGCCCACCAAAGCCCTGTGACACGGTGTCATACATTGCTTGAACGCCCTCTTGACTTGCAATGTCAACCGTGCAGCTCAGCACCATGGGCTCTGGGCGTCCGGCTTGCGTTGCGGCCAACTTCAATTTCACGGCAAGATCGTCTGCCATGCCGTGTAGATCAGCTATTGCTACCCCGGACACTCCTGCACGCGCAAAGGCTGTGGCTGTGGCATATCCGATCCCGTTCTCCCAAGCTGCGCCTGTGATCAGAACATGTTTGCCGGCTAGGTCCAGCTTTAACGGGGAAATGTAGTCGTAGGTCGTGGAGTGATGTGTGGCTGTAAAGGAGCCGCCGGACAGCTCTCTTCCGGCCGACATCGTTGATTTGTTGTGGCACGCAGAGACAGACCGTACGTCCTGGAGGTCTAAAGACTAAAGATATGCGTGTGAAAGAATCGTTAAGCACAGGCCAAGATTGTGCTAAGATGGCAATTGAAATTTTTCTACAATTTTAAATTGACTACAATCAAGCATGTTAATAGTAACGTGAATAGCGTTCTGGTTGATTACTATACTGGCCTCTCACGCTAAGGCTCTGCTTAGAAATTCGGAAAGTAGATACTAGTAGGGATGAACCTTTACCCAGCTACCCTTCAATGATTCAGCAGAAGTGGATAAATGCATTCATAGCCAGCTGTGCTGTTTCTCAGGTTGCGTCGCACTGGTGGCAAGGTGCGCTAACGGGAGCTAGCGGGATCTAGCCGGCACCTCGGCGGATGGGGAGTGCGAACCTCCGATCCATGACCCTCTTGGACGACCTTGCGACAGGTATCAGCTCATGCAGAGGAGGGAGCCTTGTGGGCTCCGATAATTACTTGAAGGGAAAGTATTCCGCTTACGTCTCGGTACGGAGGGTGTCTCGCCACACAGGGAGGGACGCTACTGCTAGTGATACGAAACAAGACTATCATGGTGATCGCGTTATTACATCGAAAGATGCTGTCGCCGACGCCATAGGCAACAAGAGAGCTGGGCAATGAAACAGAGCTACTCCGCTACTGCGGTCTGCCGTAAGAACAAGATTTCTGATTACCATCATAACTGCTAGTAGTCCCTAAGTCTCAAAAGGCATTTTCACATATCGCAACACTGTCCATCCTGCGTATCCTGCGTATCCTGCGTATCCTGCGTATCCCCCGTCGGAAAATAACAGCATTCCGAACAACATTGTTTAGAGTTGTCGATTGTGCATGGCTGGCCTACCGGCTCGCATTGCCGTAGAGGCCCATTCGATACTGATTTTCGCAGTATTCACTTGTCGACCCACAGTACCCATGTTCAGAGCAGCAGTCTCCGTAATCCGATTTCCAACAAGTGTAGTTATTGGTTCCACCGCATGTTCCATCTGGACTTGTTTGTTGCGTTTCCGGAGCAGACGTTCTACATGAGCCAAATTCTGCTTGGCATCCAAATCCGCAATAGACACTCGAGAAGCCACTGTTGATGGTTCAGTTCTTTGCATGTTTTGGGTGGAAGGAACGGAATGTACCAATATCCGTGTTGTGAACAACACATTCCAAAAGCCGAGCCAGTGCACGACAATCCCACCGCGGAACCGCATTCACCTGTTTGGGAGACCAGCGGTGAAGATTGGGCATTCGAAATGCCTAAGAAGAGGGCAAATGCCATGGTGAGACGCATGATGGATGCGGGGATCAAGGCTTTCAAGATAGCAGAAGGAAAGAGTGACAACATAAAGTAGGTTCAGATGCTGCTAAATATCCCGCATAAACAGCAAAGGCATAAGCTAAGGTACTTTCTACACATATAATGGTCGGGCAAAGCTATCAGGAATGCACTCCGTCGCACAGCGGCCGCTGCAACCGTGAGTCGGACGGACCCGCACGCCAGGATGATAAACATCAGGGAGTTTTTCCCCCAAACCTAACTCACGGAGTGTCCGATGTTCTGCAACATAAGTCCCACTGACGCGAGTGTTCTGTGAACCTCCAACTACAAATTTTTGCTTGGGAGATGTTTTTTTCCCACCACGCGATCATCGAAGGCCAACGTTGCTTGAGGTGATTTAGTTGATGAACATGGAAACCTAATCAAATGGCAAACATCCAGTAGCCATTCAGCACAATTGAAGCCCACGTCAACAACCCATCTTTCTGATCCGGATCCAGCTCCATGACGCCTTCCTGCACCGCCCTGGCCATGTTTACCCACTTCGTACTCCCCCTGTCGCGCTGCTCAACAAAGTTGTCAAAGAACATTCTAGAGAAGAGAGCGCCGACACCATCATGAGTGGGCCACAACGTAGAGACCACCGAACTAGCACCAGAATACAACATGGCTGGAACAAGGCCCATGACCTCATCGCCAGCTTTGGTAACTGTCATTGCACCTGAACAAGCGATGACGTTGAGGTGTGCCCCTTGCTGGAGACGCAATCCAAAGACCTCTCGAGCTGTCAACTTGTCTTCCGTGGCACCGTCCTCTCCCTGCGCGGCGAATTCGATGCGGTGGTCGAGCGGACTGCTACTGTCCCACGAGCAGTGCGTCTGAATGTGGATGAGGCGCGATTCTTTTGCATGCTTCAAGAAGTCGGACTTGGTAGCGGACCCATCAATCATGGCGGTACCCTGGAGTTGCTTCGCCAGTTCTCCAATGCTGTCACGGCCTTTAGTGAAGGTGTCAGCAGCCTCGCCAAACCCGGCAGCAATTCCAGAGATGAATTTTGCGTTGATAGGGGTGGCGCTATCCAGTGCGTATCGTGCCGCCGAGGAGCAAGATCTCAACAAGGAGTGGCTATGGACGTACACACAAGGATTGCGCCAGAGAAGGGCTTCGTCTTCGAGGCTAAGTGCATGTATTGGCAGACCGTTCAGAAATTCTGTGGGGCAGAGTACGAGGATGTCGTCCGGTTTCGTTCTCTTCGCCAGTGGCTGGACAACCGCGCCACACACCTGGTTGAACTCAAGTCTCACACGCGTACCGGCTAACGGGGGATCCATGCCCTTGGGCCACTCCGACGCGGTAAGGTAGTCTTTCTTCCATTTCTCAATAGCGCCCACATCGACCGGGATCTCATCAACAGTTGGAATCTCCCCTTCCCGAACAGTCAACATCAGGAGCTTGCCACGATCGAACAATGGATCAAGATAGATCCAATCCACCAAAACAATATCATCCTCTAACTGGCTGGTGAGGTTCTCGAGACTGTCAAGCGAAAGTGGCGTGCCTTCTCGAAGCTCGATGAGCTGCCTTAGCAGAGGGTACTCTTTAATTTTCTTTCGATGCTCATCCAGGCGTAGGCGCAGGTAGAAGCGATCTTTCGGTTTTGCTTCATCAATCTTAGTTTGTAGGTCGACCATGTCTTGATACATTGAGACTTCATCAGAAGATTGTATCCGTTGTATAAGACTCGGTGGATTGGTACGGTACATTCCAATCGCAAGGGATAGCAATCGCGCTTTGTACTTTTGCGTTAGATCCCAAATGGCGATTCTGGCTTCCTCTGAGAACTCATCCACGCCGTCTACCTGTTGTTTGGAGAACGAGTCAGCAATGGATTTTATCAAGACGTACGGGTACCTACCCAATGTCGTATGGCATAGCGCGTTGTGGTGTAACTCATTTGCATGCGACTCAACTCGGTACGTTTCTGGATGCCCTCGAGACCGTCTTCCCAACACGCTTCCCGCTCGGTGCTGGAGTATATTTCATCGATCTCGGTGAGCAGTTTGAGCCCCATTTCTCTTACAACCGGGATCGCATTTTCGGCGTTTTCAATCTCGCCGAATTGCTCCTTAGACATCTCAAGAACGCGCTCCTCAAAGGCACTTCTCTCTTTCTGAGCAAAGAGCGTTCTGTATATGCAGAGCCTCCTGAGAACAAGTAATGCAACTTGAGCCTGAAGCCGCTGAATGTTGGCCAGCCCCGTAACTTGGTTTGTCTTCCTGTAGCCCTCGATTGCTATGTCGCACGTATTGTCGATCTTCATGAGGTACCCATAGTTGTCGAACAGTGTCCATTGACCGCCACTGAGGAACTTGGACCAGTAGTTCCAGGCTATGGCCGCATGCCACGCATACGACCAGGAGGTCGTGAATTCCTTCAGCATGCGTGGCAGCGACTCCCAGAGGCTCAGCATGTTCTCGCAGTCGCGAATGGACACGTCTTTCAGGCCTGCATCCGATGCCATCTCCTTGCGGAAGTCAAGGAATCGAAGGAGACACATAAGACGGCGGTCGCGCGAGCCTCGAACGAGCTGTTGAAGCCACTTGCGGGCGAATTCGTAGCGGACCTCGTGCGATTCTTCTTCGTCTGTTTGTTCTCCCTCTTTCTTGCTCTCCTCAGTCTTCTCCTTCTCTTCAGTCTTCTCGTTCTCCTCATTCTTCTCCTCCTCCTCAGTAGCCTTTGCCGGCAACCACAGACGTGCGAATAGTTGTTTCTGGTCCTTATCTTTGAGCCATGTCAATGTATCCTCGAGCGCGCCCTCTTCGATATCATCGCGGATATCGAACACCAAGCACACTTCTGGTACCGACAGTCGGCCAGCCGCAACATCTTGCAAAGCAAATTCGATCATCTTGCTGATGACCACAGTAGGTCTTTCGTCTCCATAGACGGTGGTCCAGCCACTGAGGAACCCGTCCTCGTCATCATTATCCTCCTCCGAGTCGTAAGGAGCTTCCCCAACAGCGCCATCTCCCGGAGCCACCACATTGCTGCTATTCAGCACGATAACACCCTTCCAACTTCCCGTCAGAGTTTCCCATTCGAGCGCTTCAGCTGCAGCTTCCTCCGCGGCTTCTAGGTCCCGCAGTGTGTGCAGAAGAATTGCTTTTCTATTCCACAGTGATGCCATGACCCGTGGTGCTTTGAAGTCGGGATACTTCGCCATGAAGCCATCGATCCACTCGATTGCCTTGCGTGCATCGACATGGTTGTGCTGCGCAATGCTGTGACTTTCGTACGCATGGGTTGAAAGGTCGCAGATATCGCCCGTCACGTCCTCGTTGTAGCGCTCTAGACGCTCGCGGAGCGCTAGACACTGTTTTCGATAGTCGAGGTTTCCGGTGAGCTCTGCAGCCTTGTTCGCTGTTTCTGCAGCGAAGTCTAGGCAGCTGGACTCGTTTGAGTGGCCGAAGTCTGACATACGGTCTACTAGGTTCACGGCTGTGCGCAATCTCTCTTCGTGATCAGATATGAAACCGAGCTGCACCTGCTCGATCTCGAAGCGCAGGGGAACGCTCGCGCTCTTGTCGAGGCCTACATCGACACACCACTGATCCAGTGTTGTGATGCTGAATCCAATGTCATCTTTAGCTAAGGCGAGGTCGTGCACTTCAACCATTGCCTTCGCCAACTGTAATCGGACACCGCTGATCATGAAGTTCCTGTTCGGGTCTGAACATTTGTCCAAATCTCGAAGGAAGCCTTCTGCAACGACGCGACGCTGCTTCAGAGGCGTTCGATTGAGCTCGGGTTTAAAGATAGCATAAGCTTCTTTCCACCTGCATTGCTTCACTAGCTCGCGCCGAAGATCGCCGAGGCCTTTCCATTCAATGGTGGAGGTCGGCTCGTTGGGAAGCGGGATCTTGTGATAATCGTTGAGGTTGCCCTCGAGCTCAGTCTGAAGTCTCGTCATGAGGTACGCTATTACATACCGCCAGGCAATGTGGACATGAAGTTCAGTATACTCCGAAATTGGAAGTTCTACGAGCCATTGTTGAGTGCGTCGAAGCTCAATAACACCGGGTTCCATCCAACCTCTGCATCGATTTGCACCAACGCTGTAGATCAGCGCGAGAAGTCGCCATTCCGGTTCGTCTAGCTTGGTCGGATCGTCCTGCTTCCACCGTTCAAGCCTCAGTTCCAGCAGGTTGCAAAGATCTTTGTAACGGAAATTTTGGTAATGTAGGTAAGAGAGCTCAATGAGCACAACTGGAACCTCAATGACAGGGCTTAGACAATTGTTGAAGATCTCGAGAGCGTCTCGGTATGTTCCGATCTTGCTCGTCCAGATCGCTAGCTCCAGGTGGTCCACGTATTCCTGCTTAATCGTATGATATAAGGAGGCGAGCATGCCGTGATGAGTATACGTACTCGTTGCCATGATATGATGCACGATCGAATGCTTTTCTCTCCGTTGACGTTTGGACCGCTCTGTGCAATCTTCAAGCGCACTTACGTCTAGTCCAGCGTGACACCTAAAGATCTTTAAACGATTGTGCTAATTGTGCAGCTTTGAACCTCTATTGAGATCAATACACGTGTGATAAGGCGCATGTTGGCGCAGAATGCGCCCAGGCCAAGGATCAAGGTTGTGCGAATACGAGATGCGCTCCTATCGGGTATCGCAGAATCCCCGTTTCAGCTTTTTCAACAATTCTATGAGGTTCTAGCCTTGCGGCAGGGAGTCGGAGCTTTGCAGCGGGGGAATATTTGTACTGTTTCAGCTTTCAGCTCTTCCATATATAGTAGGCATTTGACGCCTATTTTCATGCGTTACAAGGCTGCAACAAGGTGTACTTTGCTTTTTCGGATGCACATGCGTGATATATGATTCGCACTACAAACTAGACTATCAGCTGTAAGCCAGCATACTTCAAAGACCGAAAAATTTACACAGGCTGCTTTATGCCTCACATGGCTTCCGAAACGACAAGCCACGCGACACACAGCGATGCAGCTCCAAGCAACAACGAACCGGTGAACGATGCAACTGTCACCGACGCAGAATTCTCATGGTCAGTGCCTTTGCAAATTTCGAGCGACTCAGCAACGTACCTCGACCGCCACCAGACTATCGATGATCAAGAACTCTCCATACCTAGAGAAGACATCGCAGAAGTCGTCGGCGGCTCTCGTCTCGTAGCTGAACTCAAAAGACCAATCCAAATTGGCACATTCAATGAGCTTCCGGCATACCTCCTCCGGACGCATTTTTCATTCCAGAGAGCGTCCTCCAACTGGCTATATCGTATCAGGGCCGCTGAGATCACCATCGTGTTCGAGGACGCGCCAACGAAAGAACCGATCGTGAAATTGTCGAGGAACAAGCAACAGCATCCAGCCATTGCGGCATTTCACCCTACGCTTTTCGAGGGCGAAGTATCCCATGCTTTAGTGACTGAGTCGGTTAATGCCGGTCTTGAGGCCACTCAATTCGGAGTTGGAGCAACGTTGGGGACGGAGAGAAGCAAGACTTATGTAGGTACAGATCCATTATCAGCGCTCGATTGCTGACCAGGTTGCGTAGCTCGAGAAGGGCCGAGTTGTCGTCCATGGTGTAAGAGGTGGTGGCCGACACCGCAACAGCATTACATGGGTAGTCGAGCAAGACAGTGTCGAGAAATCGGGCATTCCAAGAGACATTAAACTTCCGCTCATAGTGACGAGGCAGAACAACAACCGATTCTCTGCACGTGTTACTGTGAAGGCGCATTATGGGTTCTGGCGAGGAGCCTTAGCGCGGAGTGTCCCCGTCGTGGGTAAGAATGAGGAACCACTCTACTTTGATCCTGCAACACTGGAGGACATGATCAAGGATGGGACTAGGGGCCCGGACGGTACGCCTGTCGTTGAGTTGTGCGAAAAATTTGATGAGGCAGACCTGAAGAGTTGTAGTTCGTTTCCCTAGCTTCCACTAGCGCAACAACATACTCAAATGATATCAATCTTGTGGTATGTATTCTCAAGTAGCCCGCCCTGGGTGTCTCTCGGCCTTGCGTCGATTACCGCAGCTCTATCTTTGCCTCAATTCCGTCTTTTCAATACGGCTCCAACGACTTGGATCCTGCAGACATCTGCGTATGCGCCCTGACCAATCTCTTCTGACCACATATCGGGATGTAGTATCGTATACTCAAACAAATCGGTATCCTCGATGTTGTGTAGCTTTTCCAGTAGCGCGTCGTGCGTGGGATCAACAGTAGGTATTGCGACTCCTGTGTACAGCATAATGATCCCGTTTGTAGAGAGTATCTTGAGAGCCTCCTCCACGATTCTAAGAGAAATTCCGAGTCCGAACTCAGCGCCCCCATCCGCATATATTGGTAGATCTTCACCTTCAGTAGTTGACGCAATGTAGGGGGGATTGCTGACGATGACGTCTACACCAGAAGATTCTAGATTTTGAGGTACTGCAGCATAGAGATTCGATTCGTGGAAGTCAACATTGACTCCTGCTAATTGGGCATTTATGTCACCCAGTGATAGCGCACGCGGGTTCAGGTCCAATCCGAGCACTTTTGCTTCCCTGTACGTCCTTGCCATATGTATCGCACCCGCACCTGAGCCGCAGCATACATCTATGATGGAGCTCGGTGCGTCCGGGAGATGGCGCACTGCCTTATGTAGCCATGATACAAATAGATACGTATCTGGCCCGAAGAAAACGGCATCTGATGCGGCCGGGAAGGACGAGTGGACATAGTAGAGCGACGAAGACTCGGGATGACGGCACGGTATGTGGGGGAGGTAAAAGTTGGACACGCGTACTGTTGAGCGATACTTGTCATCGCTCAATGTGATGATACCGGTGTGGTGCAAGACATCGAGGATGGTGTCGGGGACGAAGCTCTTCAATGCCTCTCTGGTTTGCCTGTTAGCGTGCTCGACCACGGTAAACTCACCGTGGACAACATGACATGGGGCATCATACCTTGTACATGGTAGGTTCCAACCGAAAAAGTCTTGCGCAGTCTTCGCTTCTGCAGTGGATGTTTCTAAAGTCCTCTTTCGGACCACTCTGCCTTGAGTCTCCGGCGAAGGGCACACAAATGCATACTTCACTTTGGCCAGGTGCTCGATGAGTGCCCCGTAGGCGGTGGTGTCTCCGGCCATGTTGGAATGTGTATGCTTCCGCGGGCCAAAATCATGGCGCAATAGGAGACAAATAGCAACATGGCGTATTGCCTTGGCCTGGAGGGCAAACGTTGTATGTGGACATGTTGTGGTCACCGTGACGTGGGGATTAGTCCAGGAAACGCTGCTAGCGTCACGTTGACGATAATCAGGGTCCGAGGAACAAGAATGTAATTGGCTGAAGACGAGCCCAATGCCATGGCGGGCGATCGTAAACGACCGAGATCCCCGCTAGCTCCGCCGACAGGTGACCATGTGATGGCGTGTGTTCAGATCCGCTACACTTGGTCGCGGTCATGACTGGTGGCAATCGTCATCGTGATTACCCTTTGTGGCACTTGTCGCCCCAGGCTGCCTACTCATATTCAACAATGCTACGCTTACCACTGGCTGAACTGATAAGCCCAATATGTTCATCTTACACACTACGATAGCGGTCCTTGTTTCTTTTCTAGCTGTCATCGCGTACGATAAATTCCGCACCCGCCTATCCAAGGGCAGATCGAAAAGAAAAGATGTCGAGATCCCACTCAGTCCGACGATAGCTGCCCACAGGGACGTAAAGCCACCACGTGCGGAAGATGGAGGAGAAACCGTCGTTTGTGCTGAGGAGGATGCGGCGGTCACTAAAGAGATGCAATCACACAAACATTTGTACTATAAGCTACACAATCTCGAACGCAACCCGGATATACTGCCCGAGTGTCGCGAGCTTCTTCTCTCCTTGTTATCATCGACAGTCACGGATGCACAGAAGCATACAGACGACACCATCCTCGCCGTCGAAGACTTCTCCTCGGAGAAGCTGAGCGCATTCCTGAAAACAAAGGACGACGATGTGACTAACGCATATGAAGAGTACATTGCACGTCGCAAAGCAGGAGGCCCACGCGAGATGTTTGCCGACAAAACCGAGGCCAAATGGTGGCTTAAGCAAGCTGCGCCTGTCAAGTACGTAGATGGCGCATGGCTCGGGCACATAAACAAGATCACTACACCATTCATGTTCCGAAACATTACCAAGAATGCGTGGCAAGTCATGTCAGAAGAGCTTGGGGATGGTGACCTGGCAAAGAACCATGTTCACGTGTATCGTGCGCTGATGGACGAGATCGATTCCGGACTTCCTGCGGCTGACTCAGAGGATTTCATCGACTCGCGACATCACTTAGACGAAGCACGATGCTGGGAAGCTGCCGTGGCTCAATTGCTCATCTCGCTCTTTGCACATGAGTTTCTTCCCGAAGCGCTCGGCTTCAATATGGCATACGAGAGCCTGCCGCTTCATCTTCTAAAAACCATCAAGGAACTTCGCGAAGTGCGGCTCAACGCTTATTACTTCGAGTTGCACATTTGCATCGACAATGCGGATACTGGTCATGCTGCTATGGCGATGGCAACAGTCGTCGATTACATAAATCTAATAGAGCAGACCGAGGGCAAAGACGCGGCTGAAGTCGCGTGGAGACGTGTACAAGCGGGGTACATTCTCGCTGAAGGCCTCCCCACTACACCGGAAAGTCCCTCGCTGAAAATGAAGCGGCACCATGAAACGCCGTTTCCAAGGTCTGAGACGGAGGCATCCGTAATTGAAATATTCGCTGCGAAGTGTGCGGTGGCACACAAGATCCACTGCAACAGCCGCCTAAAGATTGGCCGTCGTTCTTTGGTCGACTGGCTTGAGCCACGTGCATTTGCAGACCCCAACTGGCAAAGGGAATTTCTGCATGACCTGGCCTGTTGTAAGCCTTGGATCATCAAAGGAAATAGTGAGAAAAGCAGGCTGGTAAGAGAGCTGTCATGGGAGGGGCGCATGTTCGGCAGCTTCACGCAGAGCGAAGTCGAAATCGTGAAAGCGTGGATCAACGAGCTTGGAGCACCGCCTCAAACGCCGTCATATGACCCACAGGTTTACTTCGACTTCACCAAGCAATCGCCCCCAGAGTCTTCGGGCCGTGAATCACACAATTCGGATATTCTGGAGCAATACCCCGTTCTTTCTACTACCCAGGACGTTCCCGCACCAATACGCCTACTACACGAGAATGTCATTGATGAACTGGCAACTGAGCCTCCTGTGGACATCTCTTCCATCAACCTTCATAACTTATTACCCCTCTGGTTTGCATCGACCGCTCTTCTCGAGTCACTTCCATCCGTTCCTGTTCGTGCAGCAGATACCTTCGGTTCTGCTCTGATCCGCGTTCTTCGAGCCCAAACCGGGTTTGATCTTGAAGGACCAGGCGTAGCCGGGATGGAAGAAGTGCGACGCACCGATTCCGGCGAGGCATGCGGCATCGTCGAGCTCGGACTGGAGATGTGCGCTCGAGCAGGTATACACAAGCCACAAACCTTGAAAGAGGCGGTGACGCTGGGCAGTGCTGAGTCTGCTGCACTTGCGGAATGGATGCTGTGGATGGGAATGCGATGGCTGGCATATCGCGATGTTTTGGTGGGCATGTCATGGGCATTTATGGAGGTACATGAAGCGCTTGGGCGGCCTGGAGTACATGAGGCAATTCTGAGCGATAGAAAAAGGACTATTTTGGGGCGAATTGCAGGAAGGGAGAGAATCGGGCTTGAGACCTGCAGGCAGGAGATTGAGCGTACTGGCGCGCGGAGGAACGACTTTGAGAGGGGCATTGCAGTCGCGAGACGAGCATTAAGATCGGCCGGTTCTGCGTAAAAGCGACTTCGATGGTTCTGATTAGCATATAATAGTTCTTGCAAATTTCAAAAGTACGGAAAGTTTTCAACGAAACAACGAGACAAGAAGACATCAGATCTCTTCTATCCAAGCATCAGTGATTGAAGCGAATGGTGTGCGGCGCATTGGCAGTACATCTCTACGACGCAGAGCTCGTAACATTCACGGTCACATTCTTCACCGAACAACCACCCACTGTCGCTGTCCCTTCAAAGACATGTCCCAACCACTCCAGTGCCCTCAGCCTCCCATTCGTGATCTCCGTAATATGGGTACCCACGGTATTGCGCTGATATTCAACATCAACGCCAATACCGCACCATCGTTCTACCAGCGCATCCGTTGAATTAACAGTCGAAAACTCATCCCCAATTGCCTTATACACAAATGTAGGCATCAGTGGCACGCCATGATAGCCCTGGTACCAGTTCCTGTCCGCAATTTGCGTCAAGATAGGATTCTCCAGGTCGGCGCGTCCATTAACAAAGTATGAATAGATATCCTGACCAGCATAAGTAGCAAAGGCCTGGGTGACTGTGAGGTTCACGTCTGCGAGAAATGCCGTGGCATTGTACGGGCCCGATGTTTTGAGGCGCGAGACGAGGAATTCACGGGCTTCTTCGTCCTGGCTCGTCAGCCCGAGGTATGCACCAGGGAACAGACCGGCATACGCGGTTCCTGTGAGATTATTGCGGGTTTCAGTGATGTTGGGGACGCAGCCACCGATTGCCATGCCCGAGAAGCTGAGCTCAGGCGCATATTGCTCTTGCAGCTCAGACGCCCACTCGCTGGCCACGGAACCACCGGAATATCCCCACATGGCGTACTTGGTGTGAGTATTCTTGGGAAGAAGGCCTGATGAGAGAACGGCTCGGATAGAGTCGAGAGTTGCGTGGCCTTCTGTGATGCCCATTGCGAAGGAGGCAGTGGGGCCTTCGTGGTCGGGCATGTTGACGAACCAGCCATTTCCAAGGGCGTAGGAAGTGTCGTCGTTTGTAGAACCTGCCCCGAGCCTGGAAATGAACCTCAAGTCAGCTACCAGCTCAAGTTCGATATTTTATGTAACTAAAATATGCCAAATACGGTACGATCTACTTACGCTGGCTGCGCAAAATCATAGTATATCGCATAGCTGGGACTTGCGTCCACCGAAGCTGAATTGTACGCTATCTGAATAGAGAGCAGCGAGGTTTGCGATGAATTGGTCGCAGAGGTGGCGTTCTGGAACGGGACAAACAAAGTCGTAACGGCGAACGAAGGTTTATAATATGAGTTGGTTGTGCGGTAAACAATGTTATAGACAGCTGATGCATTCGCTACCACGGCCGTGATGTTCCCAGGAGCGTGGCGGATGCGCAGTATTGTTCCAGGTGCTGTCTTCTCGAATCCACGCGGCGCAGTGTAGAAAGGATCTCCACTTGGTGGTAATGGCTCTGATGGGGAATGTGGCTGTATCTGCAACGGCGAAGCTGCGATACTGCAAGGCGCCAAGAAGCAGGCCAGTGCTGCGTAAAATCCAGTGCGAAGCATGTTGATTTGTGAGGCTGTTGGGGGAGCTACAGCTGTGGCTTCACTGACCGCTCTCGAACCATTTATATGTACCACTAATAGACATCGTCCGCGTAACGCCGACAGCAAATTAATGTAATTGACTCACCGTTCAGGTGAAATGATAGATCGGTGAGAAAATAGTGTACGCGTTGGATTACCTACGCTGCTCTGACCCGGCTTCCTATGTACTGTTACGGAAATACGCTAGCCATACGTCGTATGTTGCGTTGCGTGCTGGGTTTTTTCATTAAAGCCTGATCAACGTTGCACAAACTTGACACAGATGCAGCCAAGTTCAATCGCAACCTGGACGGCAGGATCTAGGTCGAAGGAATTTGGGTATGCAAAAAGGTGCATTTTGGGTTCATTGTCGGATCTTCGGCGATTAGTGGTTGTACCTTAGCCATGTTCGGCCCCGAGCTGTACTCGAGCTCTTACATTCCTGGTGAAATAATTGAAATGAACACGAAACAACCTCATCGTGATGAACAAACGCTGGTGTAATCATTTAGCACGAGAGGTGCAATCGCCGTGAGGACGCGGAGTTATCGTTAAGCACTTCCTGAGCCAGGGCTGCGCTATTACGTAATGTGGGACTGGCATTCCCGCGAGGATGCGTAGAAGATATTTCTTTGAGCTTGCCTCTTGCGTCGCGATCTGTAGGGCTGCGAATATCTCGAAGCTTTGTTGGTCATGACCATGCGCTCGAAAACGACTACGAAAGTTCCATCATAGACATGCCCCGTCCTTTGTGACACCGTAGCGCCCTCCTCGCCGCAGCGGCGCAGCGAGGAGTGCCAGCGCGATTGGCAACCTCAGCATCTGACAATTCCCCTAACAACGTCCACATACACGTACCTCGATGGCGCGCATATTCATAACAGGTTCCTCCGACGGGCTCGGCTCGATCGTCGCCCAACGCCTCGTAGCTCGCGGTCACTCGGTCGTTCTCCACGCCCGCAGTGCACAACGCGCCGATGACGCGACAAAGGCGTGCCCTGGCGCCGAAACTGTGGTCACAGGCGACCTTTCCAGCATCACCGATACCAAGAAGCTCGCCGACGATGTGAACAAGCTCGGATTCTTCGATTGCGTCATTCACAACGCGGGCCTCTTCCGCCAACCGTACAGCGAAACAGCAGACGGCATACCTCCGCTCGCAGCTGTGAACACCCTCGCGCCGTATATCCTTACGTGCTTGATCAACCGACCGAAGAGGCTGGTCTTCGTGTCGAGTGATATGCACCAAAGCGGAGACGGTAGTCTGGAAGACATCTTGTGGAGACAACGAGGGGAGAAGGAATATGATCCCATCAAAGCGTATCGCGCGAGCAAGGTGCACAATGTCATGTTTGCGAAAGCCTTTGCGCGCCGATGGCCAGATGTTCAGAGCAATTCGCTAGATCCAGGCTGGTTGCCAACAAAGATGGGCGGCGCAGCAGCATCTGGGGATACGGAAGCAGCGGTGGCTACATATGTTATGCTGGCGGAGGGGGAAGAGAAAGATGCGCAACGCAGCGGCATCTACTACAATCCTGGTCCGAGAGAAGGACGGCCGCAGGCTGTTACGGATGATGAGACAGCTCAGGAAAGGTTGCTGCAGATTTGCGCTGACTTCACGGGCGTGCAATTACCCGCTTGAGAGAGTGAGGAGTCGAGCAGCGTGCGTGTATCTTCATGAAGGTAATCAAATATCCCTCGGAGCTCAGCCCTATCGTTGAATTCACCTGATTCCCTCTCAAACTTAAACAGTATGTTCAGGATGAACTGAATTTGCGCGTGTACTCGATCTCATAATTCATGGGCCCTCACATCTTGCGTGCATTTGTCACCTGGCGAAAACCCCCGGGGGTGCATCTTAGAACGCTCACCGTGACAGCCGATGCGCCATTATTCTTCATCAAGTAACTTCAAAACCTTTGTATACGAAGGCTATGAACAAGACGATAAATCACGTTGTCCCAGTAGGTACGTCTTCCTGGACAATGTAAGATCCAGCCCCCAGATGCATTGGGTGACGATCTGCACCCAAGCTAAGCTGCAGATTAACGAATGGCTCGCAATCTAATCCCAGACTCGTGCCGCTGCTTACTCCGGACTTCAAAACTCCTGCTCATATCAGTGAGACGACGAAAGCCAAGTCGTCCAACTACCCCGCACGGTACGGATCCTTTAAAAAGTGTCCAAAACAAAAGTTCCCAGAGTGCTCTATTTCTCGAAAGCTATTACCTGTGCTATGGCTCGCGGACTGCTCATCTTCGGTTCTGCTTTTGCAGTATTCGGTGCAGTGCTCTGGCAACTTCTATTGAAGGACCTTCTGTTCATCGTGCTCGGCGTAGGCCGAGTAGTACAACCCCTCGAGGACTTTCCATACAAATGTCGGAAGATCACAGACAAGAGGTTGACGGGTTGTGAAGATATGTGGTTGGACGACCAGGAGAGAATGTAAAATTTATTCCACAATTTTGAAGCCGCTGTCCTAACGTGCCTCACAGATTGTACGCTGCATGTGCGACTACCGAAGGTCGACTTGCGTGGAACGAAGCGTAAGCATCCATTCCCGGAGAAAATGGATCGTCGATATTGACGCGAAACCAGGCTGAAGAAAGTTAATGTTTCTGCGAGAAGGGAAGGCGGCACTGAATTTTTGGCTCTCTCAATCGACAGCGAGCTGCCTGATGGTTCATTCCCCATTCGCGCCATTAACCTAGATAACTACGTGTCTCCAACGGGCGACTCGTCCGTTGATATCCTTGGGTTCGACGCCGAGGTCATCGACAAAAGTACCGTGCACTTCTATCTCACTAATCAGCGCCCGCCAGTGGATTCGCAGGGTAAACACATTGACGCTACCGAAACTGGTGCAAATGCAACGATGGACGTGTTCGAACATAAGAGAGGGACTAGCAGTATGAGACACTTGAGGACCGTGTGGGATCCGGAGACTCTCTATACGCTGAACAATGTTGCGGCGGTGGGCGGCGGGGCATTTGTGGCGACAAATGATCACTCGAAGTCGCTAGGACTGGTGAGTGTTGCTTCTTTTCCAACTTTCAAACCGTTGAAGATCTAAAACATCCTAGCGCAGAACACTTGACGACTACATCGGCGGCGGCGGCGTAACCTACTGCTCATCCGCCTCTGCCTGCTTTCCTGTCACGCCCCCTCGAACATTCAAGATGCCGAACGGACTCGCTCGCGGCGCAGATGGGCTCATTTACGTTCCGGCCACCTTCGGTGGCACCATCTCCGTATACTCCCTTAAGACATTCGGTGAGCATATGCAGCCTATGTTCAGCCTGCGCGATACTATCAACGTTGGCATGCCGCTCGACAATCTAGCGCTTGATGGGAATGGTGACTTGTGGATCCCTGGGTTTCCGAACGGTGCGAAATCATTCAAATGGTATGAAAATCCTGTCAAAAACAAGATGCCAGCAACCATATGGAAGATCAAAAAAATTGAGAAGGCATACCAGGTGGAGAAGGTGCTTGAGGATAGTGAGGCGGAAATTTTGCACGGGATCACCACTGTAAGGCACGATGTCAAGACCGGGCGACTGTTCATGGGAGGTGAGTAACGCACATCTTGCTTTGGTAGAGTGCTGACGTGGGACAGCTGTCTTCAACGAGTTGGTCGTGTGCGATCCGATCGCTTGAGGTCAAGTATAAGCCTCTCGCTAGATCGGTCTTTGTCTGCCTAGGCTGCTCGGAATTGGCCGATATGGACAGATGTCTACCTTTGAGTGGGGACAAAGACCAAAGGTAACTGATGCCAGTGGTAAATTTCTTTGTGCTGATTCTACAACAATGAATGTCTGTCTTCTTTGGCCTCGAGCGGGGTCACCAAGATTTTCTTGCTCGCCAATCTTCGCAACCCTTTTAATCCTATTGAGTTGATCGCTGAAGTATATGCACGATGACCACCAAAAGACCACCTCCCGTGGACGATGATATTTCGTGTGACATTGATTTTACCTACCATGCAGAACGAACTCAGCAAAAGAAAAACCCACGCCTTGTGGCGAACAGGAAATTCGTCAACAGACTCCGCTCCAAAGCCGAGCAAACCCAATGGGACCGCCGCGCAAGCTACGAAATGGACGTAGACGAATGGGATACCATCAACGAAGAGACACAGAAGACGGAGCTGGCAAACAGATTAAGGATCCCGACTGAAGACCTGCACAGCATTCGCCGGTCCGGCAGCACTGTCCAGGTGACGTTCGACCTTCGAAATGCTCGTTTGCACGTCCACAAGAAGCCTCTTTACCAGGATGTAGGCGATGATGGTAATCCGGGCACATTGTACGGAACTCACGCACCCAATGTGGAAATTGACCCATACATCGGGCCCTATTGGCCATCGGATCATGCAGAAGAGTCAACACGCGCAGAAGCTCTCAGCTACAAGCCCATTCTGGACGCACCGCCGGCTTACATGGATCTCCCGTGGAAGGAACTGCTGCATCCTCAGCACATGATCACCATTGAAGAGTTCTTAGTCTACTTCCCGAATCACGTCGCCCGCTGGCCCGGTCTCGCAGCTGCACTACGTTGGTCGAACCTCAATCGGCTCTTCTATCGCGCAGTACGCATCATCAATCTCGCTCGTGGATCGCACCAGTGTCAACGCCGCGAGGATCAGCATACTGAAGTCCTCCCTTTCCAGATGAAGATAGAAAGAGCTATTCGAGAGATTGACCCCGGCTACAAGCTGTTTGACTTCCCGCACGAGAACTATTCGAAAGAAACAATAAACGCTCATCTTCGTCAAAGACCACGTGGGCAGAGCGAGCAACAAAATTTGGTGTGCACGCTTCAAGAGGCGGCTGGCTACATCACCGGCATCAACGAGTTCGAAGCGCACTGTCCGTTCTCACAATTTATGAAGCAGTTCCAGCCTGTATTCAAGCCCGTTCCTCCTCCAAGCATGCCGGAGCACGCTGGCGGGCTTGGGAGTCTAGAGGCCTATGTCAGATACCAAACTGCCGCGGGCGACAACTTCATCGCATGGCCTGCACAAGCAGTTCAGCCGCTGTCAGAAGTGTGCCAGGATTCAGACTGCGAACGATTGGAGTGCGAGAAGATACACAAGACCGAAAAGACTTCTAAGAAGCCTGACCTCTCGAAACTTGGCAACCATAACAAAAACAAAGCTGACACGCAAGTTCCGGCTCAGGCATGCAATCAGGGAGCCGCATGCCACAAGAGAGAATGCACCTTTGACCATCCCGGCCCGTGGACAGATACAAGCGTGCAGCTGAACCCTCCGAACTTCCAGGTCCACTGCAAACAGCAAGCCAAGTGCACCGACCCGGGTTGCAACAGGAGCCACATGTCCTGGGCATGGATGCACGAAAACAAAGGCCCCGTGGGCAACACCAACGGTACAAATGGCGAGCTGCACCGTGCGCCCTGGCAAAAGGCGTGCAGTTTCGAGACACGGCCTGATGGTTGCAAGAACGTCAAGTGTGCATTTGGGCACCGGGGGCCGAAGACAGCGGAGGACGTGCAGGTGGAGTTCGAGCTACATCCGAGGTGTAATTGGGATCGAGAGTGCAAGAATAAGAGGTGTAATCAGGCTCATTCTTCGCTGGCGACGCCTGTTAATGGAGGCGGAAGAGTTGGCAACTCGGGTGGCGGCGGTCGCGGTCGCGGGGCGAACAGTGGTGCTGGTCCTCCACGGGGTGGCGGTGGCTTACAGGCTCCACGTGGTCCTCGAGGCAGAGGCAGAGGGAGAGGAAGGGCCAATTGAGAGTTTGAAGATGCAGAGAGGTAGTCATGATCAGTCGGTCGCAGCTCAGGTAAGTGTAGAATTCCGGAGCGGTGATCTGTACTATGTTATAGCTTTCATCACACTTGTATACTGTTGATTTGCCAGAAGATTATTTAATTCAATATTCCCGTACACGGACTCCCGATGGTTCCACCACCAGAACTAGCAAGCTCAGACTTTGCACTGCCAATTCAGAACCGTGATAGTCTAATGCATCCCCAGCCCAAGCCATCGCCGAGCAAGTAGCGTAGAAGGCAAGTCTCGCCGGAGAACCCATCACATACCCTACTCCTCTCACATTGCCCCAAAGACCGCGCCCACGGCCGTCAGACCCAGAAGCGCCAGACCTCCTACACCTACACTCCTCGCCTTGACCCCACCTCCGCTAGTCTTGCCCATCACACCCCATTGACCTTCCAACCTTGCGTCCAAGAAGCACTGCCATGCGTCAGAGGCACTTCCCTTCACCACGTGTGCAACCAGCACACAACCGATTGCATCAGCCGGCATAGTGTTATCGACGTAGAACGTCGGAGGCGAGCCGGCGCAGCGTTCGAGGATGGCATGATTACCGGTGTTGTTGGTGACGTAGATGTAGGGCTCTGGGATGGTGATGTGTGCGAGGCTGACCTGCCAGTTGGGAGGCGGGTGGGCGCAGGTAGCGTTGATGGTGGTCCAGGATGGGAGAGGGGGATTCATGATTGGGACTTGACTTGGGCGATTGAGAGGTGTTATCTTGGAGATAATGAAGTGAGAGGTGGGCAATGTATGCACAGGACTTGGAAGATATGGAGGAGGTTGTCCGTTGCTGTCATAGCGTACAATCTGGATTCTGGTTAATGATAGCGTGTACACATCTGTTTGCATGGCAACACGTCACGTATGTCGCACATGCACTCGATGGCGCGGGGGAGCTGACAGCTTGCAAAGCGGAAGGCACTATACACGAGGTCAAATATCACATTTGTGCAAATGGACAGTCGCACTTCAACGAAGCACCATGTATTGGCGTGCGGGTGATGTTGAGAAGAAGTGACTCGCGAATGCCTCGTTAAGCAGTTGAAAGAATTTCCGTAACCTGATCGTCTACTCAAAGCTCAAGCTGTCACTGCCTTGTATGTGGGCTTTTTGGGTCAGCAAGAATGTATCAAATTATTGAGCATAGCTAGATGGCACAGTGTAAGCGCGCCGGGCTCATATGGAAATTCCTGTAAACCCGGAGGACGAAGGATCGAGGCCTTTTCTAACTACGCCTTCTTCTCGTTTGCTTTGGGTGATTGAAGTTTTTGTGTGCGTGTAGTCTCTGGTGTAACGCAAAACCGTCTTCTTTTAGTTGTGTTCGTAATCATAGAATTGTCGAATGCTTTCCTTTCTGTTTAAAGTGTACGTGTGGCTGTTGAGGTATTCCATGTCTTAACGTAAAGATAGCGGCGTGCGCGACACAAGAGGTCCATGAAGTTGTGTAACAGAAGCAAACGAGTGTGGGCGACACATCGATCGAATTGACTTGGCGGCTGATTTCGATGCACAGTGCGGATTCAACGCAGGTGGCTACACTTAAAAAGTCTACGCACATGGTAGTGCAATTGGGCAGGTTGCAGTGAAGAGTCCACACACACTCACGCTTTTTAGAATAAAGACAAGGAGAAAACAGTCGATCAGAACAAGCTGATTAGGTTCTGACAGCCCCTCCGAGCCTGATCCGTCATCCATGTATGAAAGTGGTGTGTGGGCAACATTGTGTAGACCACGCCTCATGCTTGCATGGCCGCAGCTGCAGCTGCACCCTTGCGCTCAATCCTCATTTGCTCTTCTCCACCCACTTTCAATCGTATCACGGTCACAGCACTTAGGGCACGCATGTACAGTAAACAGTCTTCGCTTTGGGTATATAACAAAAGGTGCAGCACTTGCAGCTCGTGACTAGGTCTACCCTGCTCGTTCCCTGAATGGAAACAATCCGCCAACACTGATCTCTGCAGACGTGATGATCCACACTAACGCCGACGCTATGCAAAAAAGAGAAAAAGGTTGACAAAAGAAAGAAGTCGAAGGCATCGGCAAGGGAGCTTCCGAGCGCAAGTCGAGTGTCCTCTGCGACAATAATATGAACAAAAGAAAGAAAGGATACCATAGGTAATAAGTGTCGCGATGATCGTTCTAGCCAAGACACCATCTGAAGTCGGTCTGAGTCGTGCCCGGGGGTTTGACGATCCCGACGCGTGATGTCGAAACGCATCACACCTCTGTCCAATGACGCTTCTCGCCGACCTGCTCGAACTCATCGGCCCATGCTGCGCGTCTGCGGGCACGCTCTTCGCGACCGAGACAGCAGAATAGTCGCGCGAAAGGGTTTCGTCGGCGTGGTGTCACGCCCTCGAAGGGGCTCTCTTTGTATGGTGGTGAGGAAGGCGAAGGGCTGAGTGGGATGGTTGCGTTTGCGAAGATGAGGGAGTCGCGGCGTCGTGGGCGGTTATCCACGTAACTGTGTGCTGACTTTTCGTTTGGCGTGGGCGTTGTATCCATGTAACGAGCGGGTCTAGATGGAAACGATGTGTTGATAGGTGAGAGTCCTGGACGGGTTGCTCTTGGTGACTTGGGTAGGCCGTAAGGCGAGTTGGGCGACAGAGACATTGTGAGAGTGCAAGTTGTCGAATCGAATCGAGTAGTGCCGGACGGCTTTTGTGTTGATAGAGTATATAGGCGTCGTTAGGCGTGGTCGCACAGCAGTTGATGGAAGGTTCAAAACAGAGTTGGCAGAGTGACCTCGGGGTTGCACAGAGATATACCGATCTGCGACCTCATGCGGAGGCCGAATATATAGGAGGCACTGGTCTGCGTATCTACGCCGTAATATGAGCAGGGGCCTGCGCACTTCATGCCCCCATACTTATGCCGGGGTTGAGGCCTCCCGGCCCCCTGCCGACCATCATCGCCGCGAGGCGTTCGACAACCGCGTCTGGGACAAACACACGCCGCCTTCCGCCAATAGATTGCGTCTGGATGTTGGCCTTAGGAACATGTCCGAGTCGCAGCAAGGGTACCTTGTTTATACAAACAGCAGGTTCTGCAGTTTCGACGCCGTGCAGTTCATGCGGTCAAACACTGTGGCCTCAGTTCGGGGACGTCAGTGTCCATCACGGACTCCGCTATGGTGTGTGCGCGGAAAAGGCGCTAGCAACGCGGGTGCGAAAACACACAAGCGCAGTGTCGGTGATTGGGCCTCGGTCGATTCGTTTCCCCTTGAAACACTCCACCCGTCGCATAACTGTGAGAACCCCATCCATTTCCACTGCGGATACCGTTGCCAGCCACAGCAGTTCGCCGTCTCTGTTTAACAGCGACCCGTGTCAACTATAATGCATCAAATTCTGTGGCGCTCGCAGCGCTGTTTGGACGCTGCAAGGGATATCGCATGCACGACTTCAAACCAAGAAACAGCCTGCAGATACTCATCAATGACTCCTTCTCGTCCGTTGCGAAAGCACACGAATCGAGGTAGCAACCGATACGAATGCCTGCTATAACACACGGACTCGAAAGTAAGAAAGCACCGCCGTGCCTCTCGTGAACTTGACTTTGGCCTACAAAACTGGTCTAGCACGTGTGCAGCGTTCATGCCGTCTGCTTCGTGTAGAAGGGTGGTGTAGTGGGGGCGCAATGAATGGAAGTTTGACGCAAACGACGCTGCCGATCGCCAATAACGCTCTTAATCTTCATGCGCGGTGGCTCGCGCCGCCGTACAGCCCGTCGGCAAGGGATTGTGGAGGCGCATGTCATTGCGGCACAGCCAGCAGCCGTGGCCATGTCCAACACCAAGAGCACGAGAACAGTCTGACGTATTGTCATCAACAACGGCATGAACATGTTTGTTTTTCCGCCATGTTTCGATCGGACCTAGGTAGATCCGTGGAGAGCGTGAACTGTTCGTCCAGGACCGTGCGGATTCGATGATGTTTCCAGTTCGCGTTTCATCTTGCTGCGAAGACATGAGATTGAACGTCAATGGCACCGATCGTGCCATTGCGAAGATCGAGTGATATCGTACATGAACTGCTCATGTAGCTACCCAAATGACACCCCACGAAATCGTCTTTCGATCAACACAGTATGCACCTCTTGCTCTTCGACTGGGTTCCCTCGTTATCAGCTCGTGATCGGGTGACCGTTGACATGTGGGAGAGCGGCACAGTTGCTTTCATTTCGCCTCGCTAGAAATACCCAGGATAAGCGCGCTGTGTGCGTTGGCACGCTTGCCAAAAACATTGCATTGATCGGTGAAGTTTACTGAGGCAAGGTAGTAAGTAGGTAAGGCTGACTTTGCTGAACCGTGGACTCAAGTTGGAGTTCGGATGCGCCTTTCACGACACTGATCGCTTTCGAAGCAGCCAATGATGCTGGTGGACAGTGTACTTTCTGAAATCAAAACAGACATCCTATGCCTTGATCGACGGTCTTATTGAAAGTCTCAGCCACGTAATTGCGTGCTTATATCCGGCACAAGCTACTCATCTGGGTATTGCAACAGGTGAATCAGGTATCGTACCCACCTCTTAACTGAAGAGCCAAAGGATTAATACCGCTGAACGATCTTTCACCAGAGCTATCTCAGTTTGGCGGTCGTAGGCTCTCCAGCAATGACTATGCTGTGTGCACCTGGCTGGTAGATCCCAGTGTCAAAACATTCGGGGCCTAAGGATGATTGGCACGAGCAGGGGCCCCAGTAGTATCTCATATCTGAATCCGTGGAGGTAATGTGCCATCCTCGCGAAGAGGTATCTGCGTATGTCTCCAGAGTAGATTGTGCTGGTGAGGTTATGGTAGACATGTGTGGCGGCGTCGACCGCTCATCCGCAGCAATGGGAAGTATGGTGGCGGTGTGGAGTTGATACTCAAAAATTCGCGAAGAGCTTGGAGTCACAGTTAAGAAAGCCCCTGGCATTAGAGTTCGGTTTCTGACCGATAATGTTGACGCTGGTGCACGTAGGCAACGGTCGGAAGTTCAGCCCCCTGGTGCGTAGATACGAGCCACGACTGCACCTTCCAGAGAAAGTTATCAAGTAGTATAATAGACTAGAGAAGGCTTCTTGCTAGTTCTCGCACAACAACGAAGACGAAAATGATCTATGAGCCAAATTTCGAATGATTCGTTACGATCCGCACACAGGGGTTCAGCCTGTGGTGCACCGTTCGAAGGACGCCTCATTTACAACGGAGAAGGAGACCAACAAACCGTCAAACCGTGTATCGAACGCTGCTGGAAGCTTACATGCAAAGTGGCGGCCATAAATTTCGGTGCGATGTCGCGATCAACCTCACAACGAATCACATCAGCTCTCTAACCCGAAACCACTCCCCTATTACATGATCCCCTCCAACTCCTTCGCATCGCTCTCCCCCCACGGATACTTCTCCTCACTCCTCTCAATCAGCTCTCTGTGCTTCGCACTCCTCGGCTCAATTCTACACTTATACGGCACAGGATGGCTGAGGACCCCTGGCTCAAATTCAGCTTTAGGTACGGCGTCTGTAGGCTTGATATCGAATACAGCGAGCGATTGTGCGATGGTGATGAACAGAGCGTTGTCCGCTACATAGCGACCCGGACAGATGCGGCGGCCGTAGCCGAAAATGAAGTTTCGGGGGTCGGGCTCAGGGTTGTGCGTGCCCATTTGAATGAAGCGATCGGGATTGAAGGTCATGGGGTCAGGATAGACGGCGGGGTCGTGTGTGTACCACCTGGGAAGGAGGAAGTGAGCGGAAATTTGTAGAAAATCAGTTGTTAAGGAGGGGTTGCGTCTTGATTCAATGTAACGAGCAGGAAACCAGCACGGTAGAGTACACGGGAAGCCGCAGTGGAGCGCAATAAATATTGAGAACACATACCAAGTATTAGGAAGGAGTATCGAGCCCTTTGGGATCCTGTACCCCTTGCACACGTCTTCCGCATCGCTCGTGTGAGGTAGTCCCATTGGTAAGATAGGATGCCAACGGTGCGTCTCGAGCATGATGGCGTATGTATAAGGCAAACTGTCTTTATCTGCGGCGACAGGGAGACGACCGGCGCCGATGACACGGTCGAGTTCCTCTTGCGCTTTCTTCTGCACATTCGGATATAGAGTCATAGCAAGGAAGAAGGTCATCAAGGAGGAGACAGTCTGGATTGTGGTCAGTGGGAATTCGGTGAATGAAGATGTAATGAGATAATGGACGATTATAAGATACCGGAAAGCGTTTTTTCCAGATTGAACATCTTCAAACATGGTACCTTTGATGCAAGACAAAAATCAGAAACTTCACTCACTGTATCAGCGCCGCCAGTGAACAAAGACAAGGCCGTCCACTTGTGAACGAAGTCCATGTAGTCATCATCAGCTCCGATGGTTTCGATGGCTTGAGACAAAAACGATGTTTTGGCTCGCTTTTCGCGCATTTGCCGTTTCACGAAAGCATACGGCTTTTCCGCACAGTCGAACAAAGCCTTTCGCATTTCGCGACCAGGTTTCCGGTATGCGGTGCCTGGAAAGCCGTCGGGGAGATATTTCACTGCTAGCGGTCAGATATCCGTCGTTTGATACTCAAAGTACCATTATTGATGCTCCGAAACGTTCATCCGCTGCGATATCTCGAATGCATGATGACGCAACTCGGAGACATTCGATCATAGTCCTCCAATGTAGCCCAAATCGCGGGCTAAGAAGGTTGGGAGACTGGCTCGTAAGACTTACAAAACGGGAAAGTATCCACAGCCCACTTCCCCGGCACCGTACTCTCTGTAAAAGCCCACATGGCTTTACCCGCCAGCTCAACCAGCGGATCCTTGCCCCTGTTCTTCGCCGTATACCCATAGGTAATCTTCAGAATCACTGTCCCAGCCTCCGTCCGTATATGATCGAATAATTTATCTGGCTCCGCGAGTAGGTTCATCAGAAAATGAGCGGCCTCCTCTTCCTGCACGCGATCAAAGGCCGTCACTGATATGTTTGATGAGGCAACCTTGGTGATGCTCTTGCGGTGGATCTTCCAGTAGTCGTTATATGGGCTCATTGCCGTCGCGTTCTTCCATCCGACTAGGTCGCAGCTGAAGTTTTGGTGGGGACGTCCAGAGTATATATTTGACCGATCGCGTAGGAGCTCGAATGCGAGCTTGGGGTCGTTGAGGATGACCATAGTCTGGCCTAACACTGTGACAGAGCTGATTGGCCCTGTAACACTGCCACGTGCTTAGCGTTTGTGTTACCATAAAACGGTAGGCCTGTAAGGCTGCATGTATATGTACCGTAGCGATCCTTGTGCTCTAGCCAGTGGTGGGCCTCCAAAACACCGGGTTTGGGCAAGTCATTGACATTGCCGACGATGGGAAGGCCTTTGGGTCCTGGAGGTAGAGGCCGTGCATTGCTGTCTCTTTTCACTAAACGACGAATTGCATACGCGACAAGTATAGCTAACGCTCCAAGAGCGAGTGTAGCGGCAAATCCCATGCTGGAGAAGTTAGGAAAAGGGCTGATAATCGAGAAGAGGCAAAAGGGAGAGGTACCGAATCCTCAGGATATTTTATAGGATGGACCACGACATATTATATGCTCCAAAACTTGTATTCTAAGCTTACGACAGGACGAGCGGGCAAGCGCTTGTGGTGCAGTAAGCAACAGCCCTGTGCTCTTGCATAATTGCGCGTCACGCACTATACTGACATATGCAGAATAGACACTGTAGTGGACAGATAGTTGGCTAGTGACGCTTCATCAAACCCTTTAGTATGCTTCGTGGTTAGCGTAAGGCAGGCAATGACGACCATCAGGCAAGATTTATCCGTGCATGTCACGGATGCTAAGCTTGTGCACTTCTTTCTTGATTTGCTGCATAGGAGCTGCTGTCCGATTGAATTCATGTGCAGAGCGTTCGAGTTCGCTCTATCCTGGTCATGGATCTTTCTTTCTTAGCAAGTCACAGTGCATCCTGGTCGTTGCATGACGCGTAGTTGTGACAATGTATGCCTTAGCTCTACACCCACCAATACAGTCTTGGCGGGGCAGCGGTCAGATGTCATGAGTACCGGGAGTACCACAGATGTGACGAATACGAGCATGGATACTGCATGCGCTCCGTAGTAGGGGAATTGAGGTGTACGTCGTTGAGTTACGCCCGCCAGTTAAGCCAATGCGCTAGCACATTCACCAATAGGATGCATCGAACCTGCATTGTACCCTCCGCCTAGAGCGAACATTTACCGTTGGCGAACGCGTGTTGATAAGGAAGCAGCATTCCCAGAGGAGCGTTCAAGGTTCTGCTCACCTTTTCTTACTTACGGTGCGGAGTCCCGCTCCGGGCGATCACAACTTGGGCTTTCTTCCTTCCAGGAGCTTCATCTCCGAGACGCGGCATGATAATGATACACACCAAGCAGCTGGACCAAGCCTGTTTTAATCAACCAGTTTGTGCTGCCTGAGGCATCTACATACTCTCCACATATACTTGGACCCCCAAAATCAAAACACGCCAAATCCAAAACAACAGTCGTTAAATCGTGGCGAGCCACCATAACAATATCAGGTGACCCCCTAGTTGCGCTATACAAAGCCGCGGTTTATTCCACCAAGAGAACATGCCTCCATTTCTTCCGTGATTTCCATCCTGTTCCGAATCAGATGATGTGGGTATCAACTCAACGCCGACCATGCAATGCATTCGTTCTTAGACTGGCAAGCCAAAGCAATAAATCTCTCAAAGACGATTGTATCGAGCCGCATGCGAAGACTTCCTACCGTGTCCTCCACAGCCTGTAAGGTCTTACCGCGAAGGCTCGGCGCGATAGTAAGCTGCGGACTGACTGCTCGGTGGCGGCGCATGTAAACGACCAGCGGCCCTCTCGCTTGGCGGATAATTTTCGAACATGACGCGTCGCTGCGGAAGAGCAAAGTCCTGCCTTTGGGCTCGAGCGTCCGCCCTTGTATCTGGTAAGCGACCAGAGTTATTGGGACTGCTCATAAAGAGAAGAGTATCCACAGCGTCTTTCTCTGCCTGTTGACTGGGCATACGCAAGATGCCTGCTCGGGGTGTGGCGGGTGTTCGAGAACCGGCACCGAGGTCGCTGAAGTGTTTGCGCTGGTTTGAACCAAGCAGCGGTGGAGGATGAGATGCAGCACTCGAGCGACGCTTTCTCCGAGATTCGAATTCTGGAGCAGGACCAAGCATTGGACCAGAGTTGGAGCCAGTAACTGAGATAAGGTTCACCGCAGCGTTCAAGGTAGGCTTGGTCCCTGGTCGCCAAAGAGCTACATTGAGTATTAGTATTCAATCAAGACTTGTGTTATTGTGACGACACATACAATTAGGCGTTGATGCATGCGATCTGGAAGGATCTGGCGATGTCCTCTGACCCGGAGATAGCATCATGTGGTCGGAATTTTCAGACACTCCGCTGGGCCTTCTGCGGCGTTCTGCCGTTGTGGGTGTTTCAAAGACTGGTCGTGATCCGGGCGTCCTATTGGACACGGAAATGGGCGACCCTTGTTGTGAGATCCGCTCTTCAAGCTCTTCAATGGACTGTTTCTCCCAGTTGTTCTGCACCTTGACCATGGCATACGAAAGACGCGTCTTTAGTTGTGCTGATAACTACAATAACAGTTAGTCAGAATGTTCCTCCATTGAGAGTTGCTCGTAGCAGGACAGAAACCCGGAGACGATCTACGTGCGTAGATAAAGTAACTGTCGCTCCAGTTTTTGCCCTGATTGTGGATCTTTGTCGCGTACCTGACCGATCCGACCATTTGACCCAGTCTCCGTGCTCTTGTTGCGTTTATGACCCACGGTAGGCACTAAGGGAGATTCGCTTATTGCGTCGGCGCCTTTCACTGATCCATCGGCTGCCCTCTTTAGACCCTGCATCGCGGGAGAATCCAGTGACATGGGGCTTGCTGCTGTGTCACCAGCTCGCGGCGCGTTTGCGGCATCGATCCGCAGCGTGTCTGGGACGCGAGGTCGAGTCGGTGATGGCGGGATCGTCTGCGCTGTAGGCGTCTTCTGAACTGACGAAGCTTTGGACAGGGGCGGAGATGTGATCTCAGTGTCTCCAGCCGTTGATGTGGAGAGGTTGCTCGATGTGAAAGGCAATTGAGGCTCGGAGAACGTGCTTGACGCGGCAGAGATGTACGACTCCTGCGAGTCAGGTAGCTCACGCTGATACAACGAGGGCATGGGCGCCGGCATCGCGGCGTTGAAGTCTGCTGGCAACACACCGTGAGTCCCTTTACGCAATATTCTCAGCGATGGAGACGTGAACTTACGGATGCGACTGTAAGTGGCGGGGTAGCTGTCGACCATGGCCCCGCAGTCGACCATGAAGGTATCCGTGTTCCAATGGGTGCGCAAAAATCAGTTGCAATACTAGAGATATAGGAATGGGTGATCGTTGTAGTAGAAATAGGCAAGCTGTTGGTTGCGGGTGGACGATGTTAGCCGGCGGGTTATGAAGGCAATACACGACTTGTTGCAGTCGCGTCGTGACGCGAGCGGCAGGCGGATGACCACTGTCTGACAAGCCGGAATTCAAAGGACAAGCAGAGCAGATACGCGCAACGTGCTCGAGCAGACGAACGTCGCGTCGTGGGAAGCAATGGAGCACGAAAGAGCCTCGGGGCGACCTAACGGACGGGTGGTAGGATGCGGTTCAGAAGCGTAATCATGTGCACGCGGAAACCCACTTTGCCCGGCACGCGTCAAATGGCGCGCCAACGTAAGTGGCAATCGCCCAACAAAGAGCACGCGCGACTGCGGATAGGAATCATCAAACGATGCTGTGAAGTCCTTTCCGAAAGGTTGCCTTGCAATAAAAAGGTCACTCGCGGTTGCCTGCTTTGGTTCACGCTGGCTCCCAGGCGCAAACACGGAAGGAGCACCACGTCACGTCACGGCCTTCGGTCGCTGGCCAGCTTGGTGCACTTGGCCTCGCCAGCGTCAGAAGTGCTTCGTATTGCAACAATGTCTTCAGCTGATATTCCGTGTTGGAATTCTGAAGTCCGTCATTGCCAGCTCCAGGATACTTCGTCTGCGCCGTCGTTGCCGCTGAGTGGGCGTGGCTGTTGCAACAAAAGCTGCAGGGGTTGCAGGTTCATCTCCATGAGCGGAGCCCGAGAGCGCGTTCTCGGTTGGGCAGACTCCAGCCTGATCATCCTGTCGCATGGTAGGGAACCATTGTGACCGGATGAAAATAGTACGGAAAACTGCTTAACGTTCACCCAGGCATACCCAGATAGGTCCTCGCTCCAAAGCTTGGGATGAACTGAACGACTTTCGGACTTTTAGCTCGCGTTAGGATCTAGGTAGATCGAGCTATCCTTTCAGTGTCAGGCAGACAAGAGTTGTATAAGGTGGCGATGCTGGATTTTGGGCCGAAGAGCATGAGTTCAGCAGAGCCAAAGCTGCGTGGAACTGAGCGTGGGCAAGGCGTTAAGAGGGCCAATGTGCCGACAACCGCGCCATGCTTGGTGCATAACAGGATTCGACTGCTCTCGCAAGTCTTGAAGCTTGCTGTTGCGCCTCTTTGTGCGCATCGTCTTCGTTATTGTGGACACCCCTGATATGTGGTGACAAGCGTACAAGAACGGCGGAGGTCTTAGGAGTAGAACTCAGTGGAGGGGTCCAGTGACGATGTAATGCTGTTGCTCGCTGGGGAAGCGGGCGGTCATTTGAGGGTATAGGGCCGTGAAGGTGAGAAGGAAAGTGAGAGGGTGAGCGGCGAGGGATTAGTGGTCACATTATGTAACTGTAACGCTGTAGAGGACGTCAATTGAAAATTGTAGAAGTGGTCAGTTCAAGGTTGCAGGCCAAGGTACTGTCCAGCACGTCTCGGTCGCGTTCAGACGGCAGGCACCACCCATCACCCCCCGGAACAAAACGACGAGAGATATGGCATCACACATATTTTGAGGGAATACGACCGGATTGGTGCACTTGGAACTCGTTCGATTCGCGAACATAACGTACTGATATCATAGAACTTCCCGATCGTGTGTCTCCCACGGTTCCCGTGCGCCATAAACGCCAATTCAAACCAGAAAAGCCCAACATCAATGCCGCGGTTACATACATGCTCTCACGCGACACCGCTAACCTTACGGTATGTAAGTCCATGGTCTTTCATTCCCATGCCCCCCCAACGCGCCGCGAGGTCTGCAACTCCCCCGCGCCCTTCCTCCGCCAGCTTACCAGACACTTCACGTCGCCGCCCCGCCGTGCCTAGGTCCGATAGATCCGTATCGTATGGGCTCATGTAGTCCACGCCGGACCTGCTCACCACCCGCGGCGACTGGGCCGTGACTGGCGTGTAGTTGGCCTCGCCTGTCTTCCTGAGGCTTGCAAAGGACTTCTTGTCTAAGGTAAAGGGTACGTTATCCATCTTAGGGGCGCTCGGGGAGTTAGTGGTGTATTGTTTTGCAGCGCTTGGCAGGGCATATGTTCCATGGGTGCTTTTCGTTGGGGAAGGTTGCGGCGAGTTGGCTGGGGAGTCTCCTCGAATGCCCTGGGTTGCCGCCTTGAGATCACCGTAATACCTCGACTTTGCCGATTTGACCGTGCCAGAGCGGTTGAAGGTGGCCTCTGTTGAGACGGAGGTCACTGTCATAGTGCGCTTCAAGGGAGACGGGGGAGGTGTGCTTTTGGGCACGGCGTCTTGGAAGTTCTTGGCTGGCGGTGGTGTGGGCGGATTCATGCGAAGTGGCTGGGGCACCATGGGAGATCGATAATCTTCGTCGTCGGAGAGGTCATCATATGGCGATACCACACCATAGCCGTGATTTTTGGGCTTGAACAAAGATGCTTTGGGCTCTGGATACTGCTCTTTCTCATTTAGGTCCTGCTCATCATGAACGAACCAATTGTCAGACTGTAATGTTTCACGAGAGTCCTGCATAGCGATGTCGCCTGACGCTTCCTGCTGCTTGGCAGACTTAGCAGTTGACGGCGGCGTGTAAAAGTCTTGCTTTGACGACGAAGTGATGAAAGAGTTGGGGCGAGAGCTCCTCTTGATGGCTTGTTGGGCGAGGTATGCCTTCCGCTCCGCTAGGCTCTCACTGTCGTTCTCGTCCCTGCGAAGAAGGTCATCCCGATGGTTGATATCTGCGCGTGACTGTCGAGCCGAGTTGGCTTGTGCATACATGGTGAATCTATCGCGTGACTGCCTGGCTGAGTTGGGTGTATGTGGTGAGTACGTCATCTCCGAGTCCCTGCGAGTGTGCATGAAAGACATTTGGTTGCGATCGGGGCTCGGTATTTCTTTCTCGCTGATAAGAGGCGCAACCTGGGAATTCCTATGGTCCGTATTCAATGTAGTAGTCGTTTGCGCGCTGAAACGCTTGTCTTCTTGCGTCAATGGCATGATGGCTGAAATCGAAGAGTTCTTATGCTTGTGTTTAGTCTTGCGGCGAGAGGTTAAGTTCTCTTCCAACGGGTTCATGTCCGGAGGGAGACGCGCGATCTTACGGAAGATGTAGACCAGGTACAGGTCCAGGACAATGGCTGCAAGATGCAGCGCCGCTACTGTCGTGGTAGTAAGCCAAACGGTAAGCAGGACCTTGTCCGTTTCTTCGTCAGTTGGGAAGAAAGTTCGCCAGCGTCCTTCCGTCCCTGCTTCCTCGTTCAAGTTTCGCTTCGATAGCAATGCGGTGAAGACATATAAGGGTATGAGACCACAGTCCATGACGAGGGCGAAGAAGTGGTAGCTTGCGGAGCTCCCGGCTGGTCGCGACTTTGCATTGCGCAAAAGATGGTAGATGGCATAGAGACATATGACAATGTCCACACCGGGCTATGGTTCTCAGTCATTGATCATATAGAGCTGAAGGTACACGTACTGGTATTCTCATGATCCAGCCTTCAGTGTCCTGCGCTCCCTTGATGAAGATGCCGCAGAGCAGCGCGCCAATTGCGCCCAGTAGGGTCAGTATGCGGAAGGCAAATTGGATCCATCTCACAACGCTGACGATGACCTTGACCTTCGGATTCATAGGCTTCGCATCGGTGTTGCCGTAGGGAAGCACCACATAGCTGTCGGGGTGCCTGTTGAAGTTGATGAGCGGGCCCTCGGTCTTCTTCTTGGGTGGTTGGGGCGGTAGGCGGCTCGCAATGGTGACGGCCTTGGGATTGAACGAATCCCGCTCGGAAGGCGCATCGTAGAGGTAGGGCTGCCACTGCTGACCCATGGTGAACGACCCGCAGGAAGGCAAAGGAGTGCACGCCTTCGAACGCTCAGCAGCGAGGAATGAGCTTGAGGGGTCGCTTAGCTTAGCAGAGGAATGCTGGTGAACGAGCAGGGGACGGGATGATCAATGTGGAGGTATGTTGTTTACGCGTCGCCATGGCAACCCCTGGGGCAATCGATATGTGCCCCAAACCGGCCATGACGCGATGGTCCGACATAGGCCGTGCATGTGGCTGCATGGTGTGGAGCATGTTCATGGTCTCTTCGGGAATGGTTTTATTGGAGTTGCGAAGGTTTGGCGATGGTTCTGCCGTGCGGCCGGGGATGCAGCGGTGTCGTGCACGCGGCGCTGCTGCACATCCGGGGCGCGCTGGACTTCGCCGACAGACTCCGATCTCGACCGCAACGTGACAAATCTGAAGTGTCTATCCAGAGCTCGGGTATACTTGGGATGCAATGTGTAGTTTGAACTTTGAACCCAACCATAAAGCAGTCCGACCGTAGTTTCAATAGTGCATGCGCCTTATCGATAGTCATCGACGAAGCTTCGACGTAGCAAAAATCAGCAACCCAGGAACGCCGCAACATGCCCGTTCATCACGCCCGGCGCGCGCCATACGTTTGCGCTAGCTGCATCCGCAGGCTCCATCATGTTGCTCCGAGAATAACACGTACATACGCAACCAGTGGACCGAAAACTGCCATCTCTGCCGCCGCCGAACGCTCGCCACGCCCTTCCCTGAGAGCACCCGCTCGCGCAGTGCACCTTCGGCGCAATGAATACAGCACGTCCACCAGGAAGCCACTGCGGCTGGCCATCATCGGCTCTGGCCCGGCAGGCTTCTACACAGCGCAACGTCTGATGAGGCAAGTCAAGGATGCCGTCGTCGACATGTACGAGAAGCTGCCCGTCCCGTACGGTCTCGTCCGCTTTGGCGTTGCGCCCGACCATCCCGAGGTCAAGAACTGCCAGGACAGCTTCGAAGAGGTCGCCGCGAGCACCCGCTTCAATTACATTGGCAACGTCGAGGTTGGAAAGACACTTGCGCTGGCGGACATGAAGCCTCATTACGATGCCATATTGTTCGCCTATGGAGCGTCCGAAGACCGGAAGCTGAGCATACCAGGAGAAGACTTGCCGGGTGTCTATTCTGCAAGAGAGTTTGTAGGATGGTACAACGGCCATCCTCAGTTCTCGCACTTGAAGCCTGAGCTGGACAAGGGCGAGCGAGCCGTTATCGTCGGGCAAGGCAATGTGGCCCTGGATGTTGCGCGCATACTGGTTGCGCCTCTTAATCAATTGCGCAAGACAGATATTGCTGAGCACGCCGTCGCAGCCTTGTCCCGCAGCAAGATCAAGAGGGTTGAGGTCGTTGGACGCCGTGGACCTTTGCAGGTAGGTACTGCTGAGTCATCCGAGCGTTATATAAATAACGTTTTATAGGCTTCATTCACTGTAAAGGAAGTTCGTGAGCTCATGCAGTTCCCAAAAGTCGGGTTCAAGAGCACAGGTCTCCGATCGTTCTACCCACCCGAAGGCATACACACACTGCCTCGCGTGCAGAAACGCCTTGCAATGGTCCTTCAACAAGGTGCTCCGATAGACAAACATGACCATAAGAAAAGGTGGGAGCTGTCCTTCTTGAGATCGCCCCACGCTATACACGCCAAGAAAAATAGGCTCAACCAGGTGATTGGTAACCGCGTCGACTCCATAGAGTTTCAGAAGACCAATTTCGTACCCGACGCCAATCCATTTTCCGAGGACGCCAAAGTGCATCCCACTGGAGAGATGGTTACAACGGAAGCATCGATGGTATTCAGATCCATCGGTTACAAGTCTACCCCACTGCCAGGCCTGTCCGACCTGGGTGTTCCGTTCGACGAGAAGCTCGGCATCATCCCGAATGATGTCCACGGTCGGATCATATCACCTTCAGCAGGCCCTGGAAATCTATCAGCTGGACATCTTCCTGGCCTATACGCGGTTGGGTGGGTCAAGCGCGGACCCACCGGCGTCATTGTCAACACAATGATGGACGCTTTTACAACTGCCGATATCATAGCCCAGGACTGGAGTACCAATGTACCGTTCCTCAACACCGAGAAGGGCAGCGATGCGAGCACGGGGTTGGGTTGGGACGGCGTAAAAGACACAGTACTGGCACAGGGTGTCATTCCGGTTGACTGGGAGGCTTGGAAGAGGATCGATAAAGCGGAGCGGGAGAGAGGAAAGCAGGTTGGGAAAGTGAGGTGGAAGTTCGCGGACACGGAGCAGATGAAAGCAGCCGCTGGACTGGCGAGTTCGTGGAATCCCCAGAAGATGAAGGCGACAGCGGGATTGGCGTGAGGTACACGCTCTGCGCTCGATACACAAATCCAACTCAAATTTTCCACCGATAAGTATTTTAGCACCTCTTTTGCTCGCAAACAACGAGACGGAAAATCGTCGATCGTACCAGCGCCGTCTCAAAACACAGGTACAATCAAGTCTCCGTCCCCTTCAATCTCACTGCCACAAAATTCCACCTCTCTCGCAGCCCGAGGATCACGCTACCTTTAAGCATAAACACCTCAGGACCAATCTTGACGCCTTCTTCCCAGGGCACACCTGCCATCCCAGCCTCAGGTACGTTCCACGCTCCTCTAGCGCCCGCGAACAACCACGGAGGCGGCGTGAACCGTTCGATCGACCTCGCTTAGATCCCTGCGTGGGGGCTCGAAGCTTGACTTCGCGCCAAGCTCAAACACAACATGCCTCAGCAGGGGTTTGGACATGATCGTGTCAAATGACATCTCCAGGTGTGAGACTCGCTACCGACGCCAAGCAGCGGTGACGGTGTCAAGCTTTGGTCAAGAGATGCGAAAATATGAGGCATGCAGGCCAAGATACGGTACCGTTGCGATCCTCAGGAAACGCATATAAGATGCATACACACCGCGGGCTATAGCATTCATTCTATCATCCTCATTCACTTCAGGCTATTCTATTGTTTGATTCTTGTCTTCCACAGCTGGGCTGTTCATTCGTTGATCTTACTTTCTATATCATTCTTTATCTTAACGACTTTTCGTACCATATACCCAACCAGCCCAGGTGGATTACTCTTGATCTTTCGAATAAACAAACAATATGCGTTTCTCCGCCTCCGTCATCCTCTCCGGCCTTCTGGCTACCGGTGCTATTGCTGCTCCCGCTGGGTTGAGGAAGCGCGGCGTCCTGACCGCCCAGTCCTACGCCGATTTCCAGGTCTCTGATGGCGTCGCTGGAAACGCGCTAGCTGAAGTTCAGGCAAAGTTCCCCGTACGTCTCTCCCCCTCTCCTCCCCATTCCGTCTCTCTAATTTCCCATAGATCGACACATCCGACCTCGCCAACGTCGACGCCGCCGACGCCAAAATCATCTCGGACGCCCGGGAAACAGCCGAGTCCGCCGAGACCGACGCCTTCAACCCTGCCATCGAAGCCGCATCGGGTGACGCCGCGACCGCACTTACAAACGGCAAGATAAAGAACAAGGTGCTGAAGCTGCAGCTTGAGGTATTGGATCTGCAGATCTCGGCGGCGCAGAGTGGAGACGACAACAGCGCTAAGATTGCGGAGGAGCAGAAGAAGTTGGATACGAACATTGCGACGGATAAGAAGAATGCGGGACAGGCGAGTCAGAGCGTGCCATTCACTGGTTAAACAACGACAGCGAGCCTGAAGTGACGAGGAGAAAGATGTACGAAGTGAGGAAAGCAGAGGGGAAGAATTAATGTTGTGGAAGCTCGCATAGATGTCATACCCAATGAAGCAAATAGTAACCAAGCGAAGCGTGCAATATGAATGCAGACTAATGACTATGCATGTTGTGAGAAATGTTTTGGGTTCGACGTATTCTGCCATACTGTAAAAGCCCGTGAGCTAAGAACATCGTACTGAATCGGTGGCCCAAGCTGGTCGATAGGGACCCAATGGCGACGTGTGCGAGTTACGAGGTTTCATACGTCGACTCAGCTAGAAGATCACCAGTGTCTTTTGAGCTTGAAGGTAGAAGCTACACGATCATCTGTTTGCACCTATTGTTAGTATGGAAGAGTCAAGAGACTTCTGAATCCCGTTTGGGCATATGCAGGGTTCGGTATTCGAGGTGAGATATTTGCGATTGATGGCGACGTAATAGTCCAGATTAGGGAAGGCATGTACTAAAGTCGTACGCCATTCCTTGAATGGTAATTTGATCTAGGGCTTGGCGCAGGGGAGAGCTTGTTGTACACCGCGTAGCCATGGTGGCTAACCCTTGCTCGTATCCGTTAAGTAAGCTGACATACGACGGGCAGGGCTGATCGACAATTCGGCGATTATTGGTGCTTACGCCTGGCCTCGCCTATGAGCGAACCTCGAATTAAATAGCAAAGACCCGCATGCAAGATTGACTCCTACCTTTCATTTTCTTTCATCTTCGAAATCCCTGATGAATTTCAAGTCGTGATACTTGACCGAATTGAGCATACAAGTTCGTATCAGGAGTTTGGAAGCCTCCTGCTGCCTCAAACTAGTCTCGCAACACCAGTGATAGCCACACGTCTGGCTCTCACCACGGCAATCCCCATGGCTGCTATAAACCGCACAATACTTGGCAGGTGCCTCGACAGATGGTTCGCCTGGACAAGAGGGCTCCCAGCAGAGCGCTGCAATTACTCCATGCAGGATCTGAAGATCCCAATCGATACTAAGAATAAAGTCACGGCAAAACTCTACCTTCCGCTCGACTACAAACCCTGTGGCACGATCCTTATCCGAACACCATATGGTATCGATCTACTATCCAGTCTCCCTCTGGCACGAATGTGGGCCGCGCGAGGATACCAAGTCCTCCTCAGCAGCTGCCGTGGCACGGCCGGATCAGACGACGAACTAGTGCCTGGCGTAAACGAGGCAAATGATGGAGCAGCAGTCGTCACATGGATGAGGGACCAACATTGGTACAGTGGATCTTTTGCTATGCTGGGAGGATCTTATCTGGGGTACACTCAGTGGGCAATCCTCCGCGATCCACCATCTGACTTCAAAGCCGCCGTCATCCACACCGGAGTGCATAGCTTTCATGACTTGATATGGGGAACAGGCGCATTGGGTTCCTTCATCATTGCGTGGGCGGACCTGGCTTCTTTCATGAACCGAGGAGTAGGTTTCATCCGAACGATTCTTCACTTCAAAAGCCAGAACAAGCGATTGAAACCGGTGTATGATACTGTGCCGCTACTAGGTGCCATCGAGCAACATTTTGAGGGTGATCCACCGACTTGGCTACGGAACTTTATTACGAATCCTGAAGCAACGAGCGAGGTGTGGAAAGAGGATAACGTAGCGGATGCGCTGCGCAAAGCCAATATCCCGATTTTTCTCACGGCAGGCTGGGACGATCTAATCTTACCCCAAGTAATGCAGCAGTATTCCGCGTTGACTGGCCGGAACTGCCCAGTTGCGCTCACCATCGGACCATGGACGCATCTAGGTGCGCAGCGCCAGAGCAAGCTTTCAGACACGCTCGCATGGTTAGACCAGCATATCGCAGGTCTAGAGGGCAACACTCGACGGGCGCCCGTGCAGGTCTATGTCACTGGCGCGAGTGAGTGGCGGGATCTTGCAAGATGGCCGCCACCCTCGCAGTCCTATGAATTGTTCCTACGAGTAGGAGGGAAGTTTACCGTCGAGCCACCATCCCCAAGTGACACTACATCCACCAGCTTTACATTCGACCCCGCGGACCCGACGCCGTCTGTTGGACATCCCCTACTGTTCGATGACGGACCAGGTAGAGCCGGCGGCAACACCGCTCTTGCAACACGCAAAGATGTCCTGACGTTCACCACCGAGCCTTTAGATTCCGACCTAGAAGTCTGCGGGCAACCCCTCCTCGAGATTCACCACTCAACCTCATCTCCGCACGCCGATCTCCTCGTGCTGATGAATGAGGTCGATGCCAAAGGATTCTCACGTGGTATCAGCGAGAAGTACATGCGGCTCCCTATTCCGCGCGACTCTGGAGCTATAGAGGTTATTCTAACGGATTGTGCACACCGGTTTCGTAAGGGAAGCAGGATCCAGGTGATTGTAGCTGGCGGGTCGCATCCGAAGTATCTGCGGAATTTGGGCACTGAGGAGAATGCGGTTACCGGAGTGGAAATGCAAAAAGTCGAGCATACTGTACACCATGGGTCTAGTATGGTGTCTAGGCTGGTCTTGCCTGTAACCCCGATAGATAAATGAGAGTATAGGAGGAGGATGAGCCTACCCTTGTAGTATTGCGATGGCAATAATATCATAATCTGTCATTTTGGCTTAGTACACACAGTGGCCAAAATTATAAGCCGGACTTCTGGCGGTAGCGCCTCCTGCCAGTGAAGACCGACGACAAAATATTACATTAGAATTTTATACCCTCACTGTAGACTGAGTTACCCTAGGGTCATCCCCATATGGCACTTACTGACCTTTCTTCGGTGACTAACTGACCTTCATATCTAAGATAGAGTGTCCGAGATTTTCCTTCGGCTTCTGTGACAGAAGACTCGGGCTCATTCGCGTTAACATGCAACGTTGTCGATGGCGACACTTGTAAGACTAGCAAGTCTCCGAGGCCAGCCTACAAGAACGCACATTGCCCACACTCGTTTTCTCGGCCAGATATCGGTCTGGCCCAGCTTCAAGCTTCTCGATGAGACACAACTAGTCCGAAAACCCCCCAGTTCAGAGGTAAAAGTAGAAAGGGAGCTTGCGGATAAGAGGGGCGGCGCGAACAGTGTAACGGCAGAGCCAGCTAGCCGCGTAACTGGTTTAGGAAAGCGCGCCCAAACACTAGGTACCTTCGTGACCAATAACCCCCGCTTCATCAATCATAATGCCTCATGCATTCCATCAGGCCACGCGGGATACGAGCTTTCACAGTATCATCGCCGCTTGTTATCTCAAGGCTCAATGGTCAAAGGTCTTTCAATTGCCAAATTGACGCTGAGCCTTTGCACCGATACAGCGCCGGCGGTTACCACCCCATACACTTAGGAGATGTTCTAGGCGAGGGGAGGTATGAGGTGATTCACAAGTTAGGCTGGGGTGGATACTCTACGGTCTGGGCTGCGAGAGATCGCAGGTATGTGGTTTATTGGATTCTACTACCAAGTACACAAGCTCACTTTACACCAGATCTAGTCTCAATGTAGCCGTCAAAGTCAACGTCTCTTCAAGTGAAATGGCTTGCCGTGAGCGACAGCTACTACGAAGTCTCACCACGGATCGTTTCCTCAGCCAGAATTGTTCCAACCTCATACAATGGATAGATGATTTCGAAGTCAACGGACCAAATGGAAAGCACGTCTGCATCGTCGCTGAACTCCTGGGACCAAGCATTGCAGACTTTCTCGAGACGCAAAATTCCAGAAACGGCAGACTCTCAGCTCCATGGGCTAAGAATACTGCGAAGCAGCTCCTCGCAGCTCTCAATTGTCTTCACCAACGAGGTATCGGACATGGAGGTGAGAATGAACAGATGGACTGAACGTATTTACAGAGTTTGTCTGACTTGGTATAGACGTACATACCCGCAATATTGTCATTAAAGATGATAGATGGGACCGCATATCCGAAGCGGAGCTGCTGTCCAACCTTGGCAAGCCAGAGACGGCTGAAATCGTATCGGAAGAATCCTCAGACCCTAACCTTCCAAGATACTTAGTCCGGCCAAGCACTTTTCGGGTGACGAATAACAAGGCTCCAGACATACGACTTATCGACTTCGGTGAAGCGTTCACAAAAGCCAACAAGCCTCAGACACTCCATACACCACTAGCGCTGCGTGCTCCGGAAGTCCTCTTTGAGGATGAATGGGACCACCGAGTTGACTTGTGGAGCGCGGGATGTACTGTAAGTTCAGATCAATGTGCTTACCGGATTCTGTGCTAATTGACACCAGATATTCGAGCTCCTTACTGGACAACCCCCATTCGATACGATCATGACTACGAAAGACATACTTATCGGTCAGATGGTTGAAGAGGTTGGGCCACTACCAGACCGATGGACAGATAGATGGCAAGCGAAAGACTCAGATGGAGATGATGAAAATTATTCGCTCGAAGAATGGTTGTTGGAATTGTATTTGGACAAAGGGAAAGAGGCAGAGCTTACGCGAGAGCAATTAGGGATGTGGGCAGACGTGATCAAGTCGCTAATGAGATTCGAGCCGGGGAAACGGGTCTCGGCTTCAAGAATACTGCAATACTCCTGCTTTAGTTGAGATCATATCGATACAGCGGATGGAGCTCGGATGCGAGCAAGGTGGGTGTGAGCTTGCCAGCTACAAAAGCGTTACCAAGTCGATCATACATTGTGTACCGTGAAGTGAACTGCCTTGTGAAACAATGTCCAAGGTTGAGACCTGATAGAGTATAGTCGGAGTTCACGGTAATGTCCACGCGAGAATCGCGCCGCGCCTACACGGAAAGCTATGACCAGGTTCACGCCTTACCTAACCCGTGTACTTGCATCATCGATCAGCAGCATCCGCCTCCAAACCCCAAACACCACACCGGTCCACCCATAATGCTGCACCTCCTACCGCTTTCGACGATCCTTCTCCTCCTCCGCACGATCGTCGCAAACCCCATATCCACCCCACAATCACAACCCCTCCCCCTCCTCATCTGGCACGGCCTAGGCGACAACTACGCAGCCGAAGGCCTCCACACCGTCGGCGACCTCGCAAACGCCACCAACCCCGGCACCTTCGTGTACTACATCCGGCTCGACGAGTCGCCCGACTCCGACAAGACCGCGACTTTCTTCGGCAACTTGACTGAACAAGTTGCTCAAGTCTGCGACGATCTTGCAAACCACCCGATCCTATCCACCGCACCGGGTGTCAATGCGCTGGGCTTCTCGCAGGGCGGACAGTTCCTGAGGGGCTTTGTGGAGAGGTGTAACTTCCCGCCAGTGAAGAATCTAATCACATTTGGAAGCCAGCATAATGGGATTGCGAGGTATCAGATTTGCGGGGCGACCGACTGGTTGTGTAAGGCGTATATCGGGTTGTTGAAAGCGAACACCTGGGGCGCATGGGTGCAGTCGCATCTTGTGCCTGCGCAATATTTCCGATCTACGAATGATACGACGGGCGAACCTACGGAGGAGTATCTGGAAAGCTCGAACTTTTTAGCCGATATCAATAACGAGCGCAAACTGAAGAATACTACCTACGCGAAGAACCTCGCGAGTCTGGATAAGTTCGTCATGTATCTGTTTGACGAGGATACGACGGTAATACCTAAGGAAAGTGGATGGTTCGCGCATGTCAATGGGAGTAGTGGAGAGGTTACGGACTTGAAGGACCGAGATATTTATAAGGAGGACTGGATTGGGTTGAAGAAGTTGGACGAGAAGGGTGGGCTGGAGTTTAAGACGACGGAGGGTGGGCACATGCAGCTGGACGACGAGATGCTTATGGATGTGTTCAAGACGTACTTTTCGCCCGAGAAAGCTAGCTGGGCTGGACCTACGGACAAGGTACAGGAGCAGGTGGAGTTGTAGGCCGAGTCCATGGATTGTTGCGGGTTCACATTCTCTTGGGAAAGGCTCATTCTTTCGATTCTGGCGGCGTCGCCGCTTCGCCGTAATAATTGCATCGGTGTTGTATTGCTGATTGCAGCGGTATTTGCAACAGATTGAGCGGCATTGTACAACAGCGAACGGAGAAAGAACTTTGGTATTCATTCGTACATAATCAGACCCATCTTTTATGCACCCAAACGCCGCGAATGAGATGATGCTATCAGAACGCAACAATCTACCCAGTGATCAACGGCGTCTGCACCGAAGACAACGCCTCCTGCTTCAACTTATTCCTCTTATCCTTGCTTATTGAGCGGGACTTCGTCTGCTCGGGGTCCTTCTTCGACTTCTTCGCTTTCCTGCGTTCCCTCTTCTCCTCGAGATCTTCGTCGTCGAGCATCTCCTCTTCCCACTCTTCCCACTTCTTCCGCTTCTCGCCCTTCTTGCTGTCCTCCGTGATCGCGCGTGTAGGAGCCTCGTCCAAAACCTTCTCCTCGTCTACCCACATTTCGTCTGCTGACCATATGGGAAGAGCCTTCGTCGTGGGGCCTTTGATGTACAGGCCGCGCACATTTCGCCACTTGTGCTCGATGTGCTTCTCGACCAGCTTCTCAACCACAGCCTCGACATTCTCCTTGAGCTGCTGCGCTGTCATAGACTGCTTTCCGACCTTGATCGAGGTGTTCGTCGAAGCGCTCATACTGACATACGTCGCGCTAAGCGCCGCCTCGATCTCCTTTGCCACACCCGCGGGCGTGCCCACAACATTCTCCTGCTTCTTCTTGTCTTCCTTTTTGCTCTTGTCGATGTATGCGCCAGCGGTGAGCTTGATTGGGATCGGCCGCTTTGACTTGGTGCCGTAGAAGGTCTTGCCCAGCGCCTCGGCGACAATCTTAGTTACGCGGTCATCGACCATGAAGATGTCGTATTCGGCGAGGAGTTGGCGCTTGGTCTCAAAGGACTTCCACTTTTTCTTGAGCTTGTCGACACCAATGACGCGGGCGACCTTTTTGCGGAGCTCCGCGGGAAAGGCAGAGGATTCGTAGATGAGGTCCTTGTAGGCGCGCTGGGGGTCTTTGGTGAAGATGCATATCCGGACGTCGCTGGCGATTATGGAGTGTGGTAGAGGGCTGTGTTGTGTCAGTAGTATTCTGTTGGGCTAAATGCGTGGATACATACAGTTTTGTGGGCTTCAATCGGCTGGTATCGTGGACATGCTCCTTGGTGGTGACAGTGAGGAAGATGGCCTGATCCTGGTCTGCTGCGTCGTCGTCGTCGGCAGCGAGGTTTTTCTTGTCGGCCTTGTCTTCCTTCTCCTGTGCGTGCTTCTTCATATGCGTAATGAGCCCCTTCGCTGCTCGTTCAACCTGCGCGGGATCCAGCTGGTACGGCGAAGCGGACTTCTTCGTAGCGAGCGCATTCTCTTTTTTCGGCGCGGATTTCGCGACGGCCTTTGACTTTGCCATGGTGTGAATTGTAAACGGGTAGCGAATCACTCCGGGTGTGTGTTGCAAAGGTTCAAGAAAATGTTGTCGCAAAGTTCACCGCCCGCTGCTGCCGTAGGGAAATCTTGGCGCTTAGAATTTTTGGAAGCAGCGACCCACTCTTTTTTGCAACCAAGGGCTAGGAGAAACGCTTTTCCGAGTGAAGCGGGGTCACAACACGTGATCTTCCAGAAGCCCTGGAATCCAGGACGAATCAACGCGAATCCTATGCAGCGCGTACCGGCACGCGACTTCACCCTGCAATTGTTCTGCCGTCACCCGAGCCGTTGTCAAATTCTGCAAAGCTGCAATGCAGTCATCCTTCGAAACAGCTCTCATACCACCAGGCATAGCATCGGTCGTAGTTTCAAGCTGACTGCAGTGGTCCTACCGCGAAGCTTCAAGGCAGACGCGCAATGGCACCGGAATAGATTGTCTCGCTGCAATTCGTCCGGAAGTCCTTTACATTTGAGCAATCTAGCCACGCGATCAATCGCGACGCTCGGTCCCCCGGGGCCTTCACTCAGGTTTCAACGCGTCGGAGACGTTATGACCACCGCGCTGCTCAACGCGCAACGTCCCAGCCCGGTAAGCAAAGTGGGCTGCTGCACAGGATGATTTTTTTTCTTACGCTACGTGACGTCCTGATTGACGTCCCTCGTCCCACAATGCGACACTACTGCATGACTGTGCCTGTAGTATGGATGTTTACAGCATTGGTTGCAGCTAGACCCAGAATCTTGACTAAGTGCTATTGCTCAAGGCTGTAATCGCGTCGGTAAACATTGTCTGGTAGAGCATCGGAGGATCTCCAATCTCTCGGACAGGCTGAATCGGAAATAAACAGCTCGTTCTTCGTGCAGAGTGCATATACGAACCAGGGTTTAGTAGAATCACAGCATGGCGCGTAAAGGCCGTCTGCCAATTGATGCTGGCAGGCCAAGGCCGGCCGGCAGAGGGGCTGGGACGAGCCAGACATATAGGCACAGCAGCAGCCGAACGAGGGAACAGCTGTGCTGCGCTCGTGCACGGATTTATGAACGAATCTACGGTCTTTGCCGAGGATAGCCCTGGTAGAGCAGAGACAGCGCGAGAATGCAGCTTCAAGACAGCGTCTTGCAGTAGACATGAACTTAAGATATCGACGACGTGGAGCACGCAGCGTCACGTACGACGACTTGTGATTGCAAGGAGTAATTTGTTCTGTGGGCGGAGAAATGGGAATTCCTGCTGGTCGTGCTTCCCGTCCAAGCTCTGTAGCGCGACTGTGGACCGTGAACCGCGATTACTCCACCCACCCTGGACGCGCCTTCTCACGCACACCTGGCAGACGCGGCCGACGTGACGACCTACTTTCTCTTCACAAACTGACCTCATGGCCAAAATTCTGTGACCACCCTTGACCGTCCTTTCTTTCCTCTTGTGCACCCTACCTCACTACAGCCGCCCGTCTGCCGGCTGACCCTCCCTCTGCACGTCCACGCCGGATACACGTCGCCCACCAGCGCGTCTTGCCCTCAACTGGACATGGACTCTTCTCCTTCCACCAGGGCACCGCAATTGCCCCTGGAGCCCGAGCAGCAGCGCTCCGAGCAGACGCGGAAGCCCTCGCTGCTCCCCGCCTTTGAACCGCTCTCGTCATCACCCTTCCCGCGTCCCAGCTCGTCGAAGCGCAAGCTCGACGCGGACTCTCCCACTCACGCCAGGCACCACCTGAAGTACTATCCTACGCCTGTGCCTACTTCGTCGACTGGCATTTTGGCATCCTCGTCGCCTCAGAAGAGGCTCGCTTTCGATCGTACCATCTCCGCCCTCTCGGAGCGGCAGCCGCTCGGGGCTGTGCCGACAGTCGACCTACCCGCGAATGGTGATATCGTTCGAATGGGCAGGTCTTCCAACTCGTCTGACTATCAGTTGTCCGCAAATCGCCTGATTTCGCGTGTTCACGTCCAAGCCGCGTATTACGCTCCGACCGCGTCTTACCCGAATGGGTATATTGAGCTGGAGTGCATAGGATGGAACGGTGCAAAGGTTCACTGCGGAGGCAATGTTTTCGAATTGAACAAGAACGACACGTACGTGTCAGAGAATCCAGGGCAGGAAATCATGCTGGATGTTCAAGATACTCGCGTCTTGATCGCGTGGCCTCTCGTTCCGGCGAAGCCTTCTTGGGAATCGGAAGATGATCTCTCCCCTACTCGACGATCTGCCCAAGACCACTTCGCGTCGAGTCCCCCAATTATCCCGCGTTCGCCCGTGTCGCAGAGTCCCATTCGCCAGCCTGTGTTCGCCGCCGCTCCTTCCCTGCCACCCCCAGCGGGGCCCGTGCAGATCTTCGAAGATGACGATGCTCGTGAGGAGAACGGCGATGCAACTCCCACACAGACTAGCCCCTTAGCTGCAGACGAGACCTTTGTCCGCCCTTCGCAGTCTCGCTCCAGCTCTGGCCCAGGAGCGGGAGCCTTGGACGCCAAAGCCAGCATTGGCCCCTCGTTCGACGAAGATGGTTTCTCGGATGGCGATGAGGAGAATGATCCTATCGTCCACTCCTTTGGTCCCTTCGGCCAAGATCTGAACTCTCGCCTTGCGTCGTTCTCCACCGCTACGCCTATTCAGCCTTTGTCTGCTCATCGCCGACGCTCGATCTTGCACTCAGCCTCGCCCCGCAAGTCATTATCTTCAGAAGCAGCACGTTTCAAAGAATCTCCGATCAAAAACCATATCATCAATCAACTCGCGTATTCCCGGATCCACTCGCAGCCTTTATCGGCCATCCACAGCAACCTCCCCGCTGAGTTAAAAGCTTGCCAGTCCAAGAAGTCTGAAGACGAAGAGGGTAGCGGCGCATCCACTCCGGTACCGCAGTTCAGCAAGCAAGATCTCAAGAGCTTGATGGATCGTATCCCCTGCATCGGAGAGATCCCTCGCTCTGGAAAGGACGCTGCCGGCCAGCCTCTGGAGAACGAGTTCTACTACGTTCCCGAGATGGACGCAAACATGCTGAGGCGCGAAACCGTCGGCGTGCGTGGTACTGGTCTACGGTCTGTGAGGAAACAGCACAAGGTATGTTCAACGTTAGACTTGCACCTTTTTTTGCTCACCTATTGCAGCAATACTACTGGAAGAAGCCCCGCGTTTGACCAACGTTCGCCAATTGTTCCGGGATACTGCAATTGTCTCTCTCGAGACCACGCAACCATTTGTATCTTCGCCCAACTTCTCGCTCGCAGTTCGTTGTCGTTCCGATAGTATATTTGGATGATTCACACCGTTGTTGCAAACGTCGTCTTCGTCAATTTCCGTACTGCGGCCAACATCAGATGCATGGCAACTGATTGCCTGTAGCTGTCTCCAAGACGTTCAGCACCCAACACTCAACTTTCCTTTTCGTGCGTGATTGCATAGCCAGGCGTTGTCGATACCAGAGTTCAGAGTTTTCGGATTTCCTTTTGGCTACCTGTTTCCTTTTCTGCTTTAAGATGTCGTATATCCCCCGAAGTTTGTGTACCTGGTTGCACATGTAACATTATCTTTTCCTTTCTAGCATCTGCATTGGTGGAGCTCGGATGGAAGGATGGTTGCACATATGGGAGGACGGTGTTTCTTTTTTGATGGAGGTCATGAATCATGGCATGGAGCTTTCGTGGTGTGTCGCGTTTGAAAGGAGGGCTAAGGAACGGGCTTTGTCCTCAGTGTAGGGGTCGATACGCGACGGCGCCTGGGGAATGTAGATGTGGTGGAAAAGTTTTGCTTACGTCTCTACGTTTGTTGACCTCTTCTCTTTGGAAGGTCGACAACAACGAGGTCTGTGGCATGTTGGATGAATGTGTTTTAGTCAATGCGGTCATGTGCTTCAATACAACTTCTAATGCGTAATATGGCTAGATCATGAAATCGTGCATTGAGTGTTAATTACGAGTGCGAATCTTTTGTTTCTGATGCATTAGCATTCAAGTCATTTTCGTACTCCGTGGTGTTTACTCTCGTGCCCCTCACCTCCCAGAGTAAACACATCATGACGTCATCACGGATGCGAATGTGGCGCCAGTTCACGTGATCAGAGTAGCGCGGGCGCCACCCGCAGTCTTCAATAACATGCAAAAACGACATCGCGATTTGACAAAGAGAAAAAGCCTTGAATTGCTGAGTGATCGATTCAATCTACATGAACGATCCTCTCAATGCTGGAACCGAGGTCGTGTCAGAAAATGCATCCATGCATGTGCCATAATTCCGCGCCATCTTTGTTGGAATATTTTCCGTAGCCATAGCATAGCAATCGTCGCACTCGTTTCCCTTGTCCCATCCATCGCACCAATACGCCAAGGAGGTGAGCCGCTCATTTGAGCTTCTTCTTGGGCCGGAGCTGGTTGGTGTGGCCGCACTTCTTCTTGCGGCAGTTGACGGCACGCGGAGGCAGGCGGGCGTAGCACTTGCGGCAGATCCTGCACACACATTAATACATCGTGTCTTTTACGTCATTACCACGGGTGGGGTGGTGTATGGGTCAAACGCACATCTTATCGCAGTTGTACTTGGAGGCGAGGGCCTTGAGCGAGGGCTCGATGATACCACCGCGCAGACGGAGGACCAAGTGCAGAGTCGACTCCTTCTGGATGTTGTAGTCGGAGAGGGTGCGGCCATCCTCGAGTTGCTTGCCGGCGAAGATAAGGCGCTGCTGGTCCGGGGGAATGCCTTCCTTGTCCTGGATCTTGGACTTGACGTTGTCTACCCTACTGTTAACACAATGTTCCTCTATTCTCCCGACGATGAATTTGAAAAGGCGATGCGCATTCGTGTGCAGCGGGCTGCAGGAGCAGGAGGCGTGGGATGGAGGGTGTGCGTACCAATGGTGTCCGACGACTCCACCTCGAGGGTGATGGTCTTGCCCGTCACTGCAGGAATTGTTAGCAGGATGGAAGGGCAACAGTATGTATCCGGCGCGACGTACGGGTCTTCACGAAGATCTGCATGGTGTCGGTGCTGCTGGATCTTGTCTGAGGTTCACGATGTGATGAGGCGAGCGATTTGGAGACTTCCAGTGCGCTGCTCGCTTAGCATGGCACGGGCCAATGAGCTAAACCCGATCACGTGGCGTGACTTCCGCCCGGGCGACACCCGAACACGACCATCGAAATAGCAACTACCAAACGGCTTGCTAACGAGAATTGCAGCTTTGTCTTAAAAAGCCAAGGGTATCTCATATGCTAGTTATCGCGGACTATATCTCAGTTGAAGGCCCTTCCGCCCGTGCGACAAGTCTACCGACCTCATCACTGCACACTCCATCTGTCGTATGTGACACTGATGACTTGGTTCAATCATTATCTGCATCCATCCTCTCCGCTTCTACGCCTTCCACTCGCTCCTCATTCACCCCTTGTGGCTCCGGTCGTTTCCGTCTACCCTGCTCACGCGCAATCTTCCTCTCAATGTGCCGTACACATCTCACAAGCATATCCATCGTAAGCCCAGAAATCCTAGCCGCCTCCTCATAGAACCTCGCAGCATGCGGCGGCAGGTTATGTTCGTTCGTGTATTCCGGATAACGTGCCCCAGGCCTCAGAACGTTCACATCCTCATCATCTGCGACTGCATTGACCTCCTTGATCGTATTATGCACCGCCCTCACAAGCTCGAGCTTCTTCTCATGTCTTTGGTCAGCCGATATCGCCTGAGGCTGAGTATCTGGGTCTGCTGCCACAGGAAATAAATTGTACATTGCAGCCTGGAAGGCATCGTCCGAGGTTTTTGTTTGGATATGTGTTTCATCCACGAAGTTGGCAAGATAAAAGTCGAGGTACTGGTCTAGTTCGGCGCCTGACATGGAGAACACGTCTTTCTCTTGGACCTTCGTCAGCTCCTCTGTCGTATATCGGTGCCGACCACCCCGTTCTGCGGCTCTCGCTTCTTTTATCAGTCCGGACCAAGCAGGCCAATCCATCGCCGTCGCTGCAGGTTCGGCTGCAGACCTTGGATGACGTTTAGAATCGTCGAAGGGAAAGATAAGTTTGACGCATATCACCAGACATGATATCAGTCGTGCCTCGGGTAGGCTTGTAATATTGAACTTTTGTCTGGGAGCAATATAGAGCGCGAAGTCGTATCCGAGTTTCTCACCCAAACGCATAGTGGCATCGTATAGCTCAAGTGGGAGCGCGAGATCCTTCAGATAGCGGAATAGAACGACCGGCACGTTGAGTGAAGGCCAGGCTATTGAGTACTTCAGCTCGAGTCCGGCTAGCATATTGGTATATGCGGTGTAGAAGCGTCTGAGGTTAAGTAGTGAATATGGGCTGAAGGCGCTGTGGTAAGTGGCAGGCAGTCGATTCCTCATCGCAGGGGGGATGAGGCGTATTGCGTTCAGATATGGCATGTCCTCCTCCGTAGTCCAAGTGTAGACGTCTCCTGGCGTTACAGGCAATCGAAGTGTGAGAGTGCCCAAGTAGCATAATGCGAGGCAGTCGATCAGGGTCGGATTCTCTTGGAGCTTCTTCCTACGGGACTGTAGGATTAAAGGATCTTCATCAGCCTCTGTTTCGCTTTCTTGCGTGCTGAAAACCTGAGATGACCCCGACTCTTGGGTTTCGTCCCTAATCTTATTTGCGAGTTGAAGGATGCGAAGTGTCCACAAGTCCTGGACGACCGTTTCGAGCTCTGCTGGTAGACCCTTCTTCTGGATCATGAATGCCAACTGGTGACGGAGGACTAGTTGAAGACATTTGACGTAAAGGTCGATTCCCCTGGCTCCAGTGTAGACTGCGCACAGATATCAGCCAACGCTCAAGTGATTACTCGCCACGGGCATAACTCCAATACGGTCTCATGAAAACAAAACAAAGAGTTGAAGCCAAATCAACGACTTGACTAGGTTGAGTTTCAAGATTAACGCACTGTTCTCAGGTCTTTCTTCCGCTTCCTTGTCGATCTTCTTTCGGGTCGTCGTTCGTATGGCCGTCTCAAATTGGTCCTCATCTTCTCCTGCGATTTGTTCCTGCGGCGTGGTAAGCCACATGTTTGTTGAACTACCAGCGCCCTACGTACGCCCTTCCGATGGCCATTTTCGCAGTAGAGGTAACCATCCTCGCCCTCTTCATATTTGCGCGAACGACAGTTTTCCACGCCACAGCGAGGCGCCATGATAGGCCAGTCAATTGTGTTGCCTTTTCAAGTTGTGGTGTCAGTCTGCAAAGCACTTTTCCACCAGTTGAGGCAGTCGCAACGGGTCTTCGCTTGCGCTAGCCCGAAGCGGCAAGCACACATTCACTTGAATTTCACGAATAGCAGCGACCGTGAAGGAGCTTACGTAGTATCATCATCTTTATCATTGCCGTTAGGTATATCTAATCTCAGGAGATTCGTGACACGTTTCTCCAGTACATGAAGGCAATGCAAGAAGCCCAAATCCGTCCGAAGATCCACAAACGTTCGTCGCCCTCAGGATGGCGAACGATGACTTTCAAGCCGAAAGTCACCGTACAGGTTGCAGCTCCACGCTATCCACATGAAGTCCCCCGCTTTTTAATTGACCGCTACACAACTTTTTCTAACCCAGGCCGTTCAACACTGAGTTATCTAACCAGTCTTGGGAGCCTCCTTGGCATCAATGGCAGCCTCCTCACCCATAGCAGTGAGAACGATAACGTCTGAGTTTCGATCAGCTCTGTCCAAATTGACTTTTCAATTGCCTTCACTTACTGGTGTCCTTGCCATCCTCAGTGAAGAGCTTGCTGATCTTGTCACCAACCTCGCCATCGGGAAGCTTGACATCGTCCTTGGTGGAGCCGTCGTCAGACATGAGGGAGAGGAAACCGTCGTCAGTAACGTCGAGCTGAGTGGAGTTAGTGCTGATCCAATAGTGGAGGTCTTGGCGCACTCACGAGCTGGTATTCCTGGCGGCGGACGTTGGGGACATCCATGTTGTGGGTGGACGGGCACAGCTCTTCGAGCTTCTTCGCGGTGAAGATGTCGATGGCGACCAAGTGGACCTTGGCGTGACCGTGCTTGCCAGTCTTGGAGGTGGACATTTCGACGATCTTGCAGGGACGGTTCTTGATGACGACGAAACCGTTCTTCCTCAGCGCAGAGCACTGCATGGGGTAGGTGGTGGAGGCACCGGCATCGGCGCTCTCGAAGGTGTGCTCATGCTGTAAACGATGCGATTAGCTTGCGATCTTGATGATTGTATGCGGAAAGCTGGCATGAGGGCTGCGCGCACTCAGGCGGCGGCAATGGCAGAGGCGGGGTACTGTGCGCACGAGTGCACATGCAAGCCCTGGAGAAGAAGTACGTACCTGCGCGTCGTCGGCCATGGTGATTAATGAGTGGAATGCGGCGGAAGGTGAGGAAGAGGCTGTCGGGATGGTGATCGTGCGAGGTGGGGTGGGCAGAAGCTCCTTTTAAACGGTAGAGGAAGAAGTCTGCAGTCTGGATCAAAATTGAGGGTTGGGGCACTGAGGGGCGGATGGCCCGTGCGTTTTCGTAAAGGCGGCAAGGGCAACCCGTCGTCGGATTAACGACGGCCCGAGGTTGAGCTGGGAGCTGTGGATAGGTACGACGGAACACGAACCATCGACTCGAACAATGCGCCCTTGACGAACCGTGGACTGTAGTTGGCACGCAGTATGTGGGGTCTGGACAGGCTTTCCGGGCACTCGACGCCCTCGGGCACGCCTCCACCGCGCCGCGACTCTTACTCCCCAGCTCCTCGCCGGCTGCACCCCACGGATAGACCCGCGCCCTTGCCGTTGCGACCTGGCCTGAACCCACGCTCGTCCTCATTGTCGCTCATATCACCGCTCTCTTCGACTACGAGTCTACCCTCCACAGCTAATATACCCAATGGCTCAGGGCGCAGACGACCGCCGGGCGGTGTGCCTCCCAACGTGCCAGATCCAGTGCAGGTGTTGGAATCGATTATGGGAGGACCGCCGCGCAAGCCGCCTCCGTTAAAAGTCAACGGAATAGGCGTAATACCAGACAAGCCTGAAGAGTTGGAGACGAGCATCGACTTCGGGGGGCTAAGTCTGCAGGACTTCGCAGCGGAGGACACACCCGAGCCAGTGGCATCTCCTGTACATACATATAGCGCTCAGTCAGTTGAAGAATGTACGTGCTTCACTCTTTCTCCAAGTGACCTTGCTTATTGTGAGTGCAGTTGACAAGGAGAAGGACAAGTTCGAGGACCTGCACAGGTCTATCATTGCGTGCGACGAGGTGCTCAAGTCCGTTGAAACCTACCTCACCAATTTCCAGGCCGATCTTGGCGCCGTTTCCGCGGAGATAGAGTCTCTGCAAAACCGCTCGGTCGCGTTGAATACCAAACTCGAGAATCGAAAAGTGGTGGAGAAGATACTAGGTCCGGCGGTGGAGGACATAAGCATATCACCGGCTGTTGTGCGGAAGATTGCAGAGGGGCCGGTGGACGAAGGCTTCCTACGCGCGCTATCGGATCTCGAAAAACGGTCGAAAACGATCGCCTCCAAGTCCACTTCGCAGACGGACCTCAAGGCTTTAGAAGACATAAAGCCGCTGCTTACCGACCTTACCAACCGCGCTACCGAACGGATACGCGACTACATTGTTGCTCAGATCAAGGCGATACGCTCGCCTTCTATGAACGCCCAAATCATCCAACAGCAAGCATTTTTGAAGTACAAAGACTTGTATGCCTTCCTAGCGAGGCACCAACCGGAACTTGCCTCGCAAATATGCCAAGCGTACATTTACACTATGCGATGGTACTATCTGAATCACTTCACGCGATACAGGATAAGCCTGGAAAAACTGAAGATACACGCATTAGACAAGTACGATGTGCTCGGTGAAGATCCCACATCGAAGAGAAGCGGCGCACTCTTAGGGCCAGCTAGGGGCGGTCCACCAGCCTCATACGATGCCTTCTCCCTCGGCCGCCGCGTTGACACCCTCAAAACCACCTCAGTAAACGCCTTACCGGCGCACCTTGCCGAAGAAGAAAAAGCCGCACACTACCTGGAAACACCCTTCCGGAGTTTCAATCTCGCCCTCATTGATAACGCGTGCTTCGAATACACCTTCCTAACAACATATTTTTCGCCCAGCCAAACGTACCACGCTATCGGTCGCACTTTCGCAGCGATCTTCGAACCCACATTTGCCCTTGGGCAGGCTCTCACGAAGCAACTCGTCGAAACGTCAACAGACACGCTCGGCATGCTCCTCTGCGTCCGTCTGAACCAGCACTTCGCCTTCGAGCTGCAGCGCCGCAAAGTTCCCGCTGTAGAGGGCTACATTAACGCCACGAACATGCTTCTCTGGCCGCGCTTCCAGAAGATCCTCGACCTGCACTGTACATCCCTCCAAAAACTCACGAATTCCCTCCCGAACCGACCTTCAACCGGCGCAGCCCTCCTCGGCTCTCAAAACACCGCAAATTCTACCGCGCCGACGCTGCTAACGCAAAAGTTTGCGAACTTACTGCACGGAATTCTGTCGCTGAGCAGCGAGGCCGGAGACGACGAGCCGGTTTCTGTGAGCGTGGGCAGGCTGAGGAGCGAGTACGAGGCGTATCTGGTGCGGATGGGCAAGGGGATTGGGGATGCGAGGAAGAGGGAGAGGTTTCTGTGTAATAATTACAGTCTCGTGTGTACAATATTGACCGATGTGGAGGGGCGGTTGGGTGAGGAGGCGCTGGCGCATTTTGAGAAGTTGAGGGATGCGCATGATAAATGAGCAGCCGCATTGGCGTTGGAAAGATCATGTATTTAGCGTTCCAAGCATTTGAGCATGCATTTGTCTACCTGTCGACATCTTGATTGTTGAAATTAGGCTGATGAACGCTCATCCCCCTTCCATATCTTCTTATGCTGCTCCTTCACCCCCCTCATCTTCCACCCCTCCAACGTCGCCATAACGATCCACCACACCAAGAACATCAAACCAAGCGCCAGTGCCCACCCAATGGCCTCCGTTCCAAACCACTCAAAAATCGAAATCAACTTCTTCATCCTTTGACTCGGGCCCTCGGACCCTAATCGCATCTGCCGCCCAGTCAGAATAACCTGCATTGCGCTCAAGATCACGCTGAATGAGGCGAAGAGGAATAAAGTGACGGGGAAGAAGCGCTGGAAGTACACCCCGTAATTGGACTCGAAGCGGTTGAAATGATAGCGGTGGAGGAAAAGGCCAGAGTGGAAATTTAAAGCTTCGAGGAGGAGTTCGCCGTAGCGCCAGCGTGGGGAGACCGCTGTAAACGGAAGCGCAGTGAAGGCGGACGTGAAGGCGACGAGGGATTCGAAGGTCACGGTATCACCTTGTGGAAGTAGGCCGTGACAAAGCGCGATGGTATGGTCAGAGCGATGCGTTATTAGCTGGGCGTAGGTGCGTAAGAAGCCAAGGGACGTTGATGTGAGGCGAGCTCTTTCTTCTGGAGAAATGGAGTGATTTCTAGGGTCGAGGAGGTACTCCCAGAAGGCGTGGGAGCAGAGGTATGCGGGGAGTGGTTTGATGTATATGATGCGGTTTTCGGATAGTACGAGGTGCAGGGAGGGGTCTTCAGTGACGACGATTCGTCGCTCGAAGGTGAGCTGGTGGCTTAGTGTCTTGACAATGGGGTTTGCGCCGCACCACCAGAGCTTGTGGTTGAGCTTGTTGAGTCCTGGCGTGTCCAGGTCTTGGAGGCTGTATGCAATCATGCTACGGGAATCAAGAGAGACGCTGGGGGCGTCTGGCAGCCGTTGAGCCTTTGTGTGGCTGTGAAGATATGATGGTTCATCTGTTCCATGGATATATTCAAGTTCCTTGCAGAGTTGCTGTGATTGTTCGAATGGAGGAAAGCCGGGCAAAGCTTGGTTGCTTGGTGTGATTGTGGATGATGGAACTGAGGTGACATATGTGGGCGTGGGTGATACTGGTGTGGTCTGATGCTCGTCCATTGGTTTCTCTAAGCCTATTGTACGCATGAGGGAGAGCCGAGTCGCTGCCTCAGGTCAAATGATCCTGAGGTGCTTAAAGTCTGGCGATGCGAATTATACGAGCTGCTGAGATTAGTCAACTAGCATGCAGAAGCCCGCAGTCGATGATTGGGTCGCAAAGGCCGCGAAGCCACCACCGATCGGTCACAGGCTAACCACAACCAGATAAAATCGTGCAGTTCGTGGTTGCCTGACTGGTGGTCGGTACTGCTGAAATGTTCGTGTCACTTGAACTTAGATAATTTGCGCTCTCTTCCTCTAAACCAAAACGAAGTTCGAAGCGATTGCAGAATACTTTTCATAATCATCGAACGTTTTCATTCAAACGGTCCGACGACTGTCTACGATCGATTTCGTACCCAGGGCCGTCTCGCACCCGATGGTCTCACTTGCATTTCTAGTTGTGTTAGCCAAGATCCAACGCACTGCTATCAGGTCATGGAAGCGAAGAGGAGAAAAGTGGTAGACGTGTGAATCACTGACTGGAAAGATCTGGTAGACTTTGAAATAGTGCCTATCATCACATCGACAGGAGTGAATACCGAAATATTGGAGACTAACGATGGCGCGGTCGTGGCAGGTGGGGTTCGTGAAGATGTTGTGGCTGTGCTTCGTAGATAGCAGTGCTCGTATACCAGCCGAAACTGTGGCTGAGCTACAAAGCAGAACAACATACTCAACCCACGGTCGTCAAGAGATCTGTATTCCCTTTTGTATCTTATTGAAGATAGCCACCTCTTTATTGCTTCTTCCAGCTCACTTTTCGTCTTGCCTTGTTCAGAGAGACGAGTACAATGGTTTACTCTGCTGGACGGTCCTGGCAGTGGCAAACCAGTCCTTTCAAATGGATTTCTCGGGTCTTCAAAGGAGTAAACGTCTCCTTTGGTTTCTGGGTGAGGTATGTCAAGGATGATGCTCAACCCGTCGCGTCCACATTCGCGGTAGGGAACCTTGCGTGAAACCTTCGAACTGTAGGGACACGAAGCTGACAACATTGTAGGGGCAAGACCTCAGGTATACGCCCCTAGAGCATGGGCAAATCCGGCTTCTTGCGATCCGTCCTGGCCGTTCGGAAGACAAGGTTGTGACGCGATTAGTCACTGTCCCTTTATCAGATTCCCTGCCCTATGAAGCTCTCTCCTATACCTGGGGCGCATGGAATGATCGTGGCACCCTTGTCATCGATGGGCAGACCGTAGATATACATGCAGGTCTGTTCAACGCGATCCATGCGCTAAGGTACGAGAACTTTGAGAGATTGATCTGGGCGGATGCAATTTGCATTAACCAAAGGGACAACGAGGAAAAGTCCCACCAAATCCAGATCATGGATCAGATTTACGCCACCGCGGATAATGTCGTCATATACCTCGGACAGGTGACAGAGCATAGCCAACAAGGCATAGAAGCTTTGCGATCGTTCATTGATCTGGACGTCACGTTAGCACAACCGCCTTGGCTATACGTACCGCCACCTCAGACGGAAAAATGCCTCGCAGATATCTTGATGCGGCCGTGGTTCACACGCATTTGGACTGTCCAGGAGTCCGTCCTAGCTCGGTATACTACACTCGTCTGTGGAAAGCACCAAGTATCGTGGCGTGGAGATTTCCAGACCCTGAAATCGATCGTTTTTCGTTTCAAAGCTGCCGCTATAGCCCCTCACTTTGGTCCAGACGGTAATCCCAGCCATTTGAACTGGACGCCATTTCTCCAGACACTCGAGGCACAAATGAGGCAAGCGGCGAGAAGGGAAGGCGCCATGATTGAACGGACCCAACTTGACCTTGCTTTCGACTTCCGACATCGACGTTCGACAGATCCAAGGGACAAATACTTTGCAATTTTCAGCATCGTAGAGAACGACCGTGGTGGCACTCTCGCTCTGGCCTCGGATTATAGTAAGGATGTCGAAGAGTTGCACCGCAAGTTTGTGACGGAAATGCAGCGCCTTAGTGAGACCATATAAGACAAGAGACCCCAGCGCTGTGCGGCCAAAATTTTGGGGACTAGCACAGGTAGGATCGTGGTCGATGTAGACGGTCGGATTTCAAGAACAAGACAAGCGCTGTACGTCAAGACTGTGTGAAGATACAGGAGCAGGCCTAAGGCGGATACTGTTGTATGTTAAGAAAAGGACTTTTTAAAATAGGTCGGTTTCGACGGAACGAGAGGAGTGCAGGCTACCTACGGTACGCAACTGGGACGCGGGTATGGAGGGGTCAAGCAGTATAGAGGTCACTTAGCTTTGGATACTAGGTGTATTCTGAACAACTTGAGTTGTACTGCACAACTTGTTGATCCGGAACACCACAGGTAGAAAGGACTTACGGTTGATTGTGGTTGGAGGCAGACATACGTTGTCATTCTGCTGCTGCTGGGATGTGGGATGCAAAAGTGCACTCACTATTTGGTATTTCCTCAAGTTCGTTCAATGCAGCTCAGTTAATCCGCCGTTTGAAATCCTAAGGATCTTTGAATGCGTCTTGTAGTGGCCTGATGTTCCTAGGATTTCCCTTCGCCCCGCCTCGGCTCGATGCGGCGGGCTAAACCCTGTTGAGCGCTGCACTTGCGACAACGTCATGCTTGTGTTGTGGGTCGCAGCTCTCACCACCAAGGAGATGCAAGCTTCTTAGTCAGGACCCCGAAACGTTTAAATAGTCCCTGGGATCCTGTGTACCATCTATCCCTCCCTCCTAATCTCCTCTCTTTCTTTCCTCCCTCTCCACTCCTTGTTGGCCTGCATAGCTCACGCCGGGCGCTTGCAGCTTTTCGAATCGGCGATTGTTCACTAGAGGATCATAGTCACACCCAGACTAAAGAGCAATTGAAAAGAATCAACCGTCAAGATGTCCGTATCCGCAGCATTGAAGAGTAGGGTCAGGAGACCGAGCTATTTGAAGAAGATCGCCAAGGCTGAGGACCTGCTTCATCATTTTCCAAACGGTGCATATGTCGGTTGGAGTGGATTCACAGGTGTAGGGTATCCAAAGTGAGTATCTCATTTCGCTTTCCTCCGATCTCGGTCAAGCTGGTTGTGAAATATTGAGAATGGGTGTTGTGTTTGTCCCGAGGCGGAACGGAAGTTTGAGGGGCCGAGCCATCTCCGAGCGAGAGATGAGAGCACGGATGAATATTTTTGTGGGTCAATCGAGGCAAAGCAAATGTTTGGAACTTTCAGCGCTAGCGATGCCTGTTTATGCAGATTATGTGCGTTTGATGGGCAAGAGATGAAGGCAAGGGAAATTGGCCCACCAATTTCACTTGGCCTCTTCGACCTATATGCCCAGATCGACGAACGACTAACAGCCCCACTTCAGGAAGATACCTACTGCTTTGGCCGACCATGTCGAAAAGAACAATCTGCAGGGTCAGATGAAATACAACCTCTTTGTTGGCGCGTCTTCTGGTGCCGAGACTGAAAACCGATGGGCGCGTTTGAACATGATCGAGCGGCGGTCGCCTCATCAGGTTGGAAAGGAAATTGCAAAGGGTATCAACAATGGAAACATCAAGTTCTTCGATAAACATCTGAGCATGTTCCCGGTGGACTTGATGTATGGGTATGTACAATTTCCGATCAATTCGCTATAAAAAACATGCACGAACAATGCATCGATTGCAAAGAAAATAGAACGCTAACATTGAGTAGATACTACACACTTAACAAACCCTCAAACCGCCTCGATGTAACCATCGTGGAAGCTTCTGCCATTACCGAAGATGGTGGCATCATTCCTGGTGCTTCCGTTGGCGCATCACCTGAGCTCATCCAGATGGCTGACAAGATTATAATCGAAGTCAACACGGCAGCTCCCTCTTTCGAAGGCCTACACGATATCACCATGACTGATCTGCCTCCTCGCCGGAAGCCGTATCTTATCATGGCCCCTGAGGACCGCATTGGTACCCCTCATATCCCGATCGATCCTGAGCGTGTCGTGGCGATTGTCGAGAGTGACTACCCCGATCAAACTCAACCGAACGCGCCTGAGGACGACACGAGCCGGGCAATTGCTTCGAACTTGATTGAGTTCTTGAAGCATGAGGTGAACCACGGCAGACTCCCAGAGAACTTGCTCCCTCTCCAGTCTGGTAGGTAATTAAGCCCTAAAATTAGGCTAGTATATTGATTGGCTAAAGGTATTGGTAACATTGCGAATGCTGTCATCGGAGGTCTGGCTGTAAGTCACGCATCATGTTTTTGATGCATACGGCGAGATGCCCTTCTTAAGAATTAACACTAACGAAACGTAGTCTGGAGGTGCAAACTTCAAGAACCTCAAGGTTTGGACAGAGGTGCTACAGGACTCCTTCCTTGATCTTTTCGATTCTGGCAACCTAGACTTCGCCACCGCAACCTCCATCCGCTTCTCCCCCGACGGCTTCCAGCGCTTCTACAAGAATTGGGACCGCTACGCACCCAAGCTACTCCTCCGCTCCCAGCAGGTTTCGAATTCACCCGAGATCATCCGCCGCCTCGGTGTCATTGGTATGAACACCCCTGTCGAAGTGGACATGTATGCGCACGCAAACAGTACCTGCGTCATGGGATCCCGTATGCTCAACGGCCTTGGCGGATCTGCAGACTTCCTCCGTTCTGCCAAGTACTCTATCATGCACACGCCCTCTACACGCCCCTCCAAGACCGATCCCACCGGCGTCTCCTGCATTGTGCCCATGTGCACGCACATCGACCAAACAGAGCACGACCTCGACGTTATTGTAACGGAGCAGGGTCTCGCTGATGTACGCGGTCTTTCACCGCGCGAACGCGCCCGCGTCATCATCAAGAAATGCGCGCATCCCGATTACCAGCCTATCTTGGAAGACTACTTCAACAAGGCGGAGTTCGAATGCTTGAGGAAGGGCTGGGGCCATGAGCCGCATTTGCTGTGGAACAGCTTCGACATGCACAAGCACTTGAATGAGAAAGGTACGATGAAGTTACCGAGCTGGGACTGGAGGAGCAGTGAGGAGGGTATGAACAGTGCGAAGAGCAAGCTATAAAGAGTAACGCAGTAGATCAATTTTTGCAGAGATATGGACGGCGTTTCGGTAGCGTATTGTAGGATACATCAATGGAAATACTCTATATATGCTCAAGTCTCGAGTAAACCATGCGCGGATAGTAATAGTCTGCTCTTTTCCTACCGAGACACTGTGGGAGTAGTTGATGCATCCAATACAGTCGAGACGAATATTAGATAGCCTGCAACACCGGGCATCAGCTAAACTTGGGCAGCACCTGATCTCTCACAGTACATCAGGCTAGTCGTTGCTGTCACATGTATCGGCCCCTCACCATCCCACCTTCACACAAATGAGTTTTATCAATAACGAAGGAGTGTAATTGTGTCTATCTCTATGGACATAACAACAGTTGGCGAATGGGAAAGTCGGTAAAAGAAAGGAAAGGGAATATAACTGTCAACAATTGAAAGTCTCACCCATCATCTGGGTATGCTGCTGTACATAGCGATACTCAAGATATAGTGGTGCTTCCGCATGAAAGTTGAGTTTTAAGGGGAGAATGTAGAAAGCGGGGAACCTCTTTCATTGATTCCGCAGATCCGGTCTTTAAAGATCAGGAGTGAAGGCATAATGAGTTGGGTATCAATGAGGAAACCTTCGAAGCATCGGGAAGTAGTTGAAAATCGAGTCCAACTACTAGACGCCGACAGTGTTCGTCATCTACACTGCGGTTAGCCAGAAACCTGATACGTGAAGCTAGGGCGCCAGAGCGAAGCTAGTTCTGGTATTTACTGGCCCTTTTCAGCAGACGAATCTTTTTCTTATCCTTTTTCGTCTGCGCTTGCTGCTGCTTGGCGGCGGCATGCTCGGTTGCAATCTCCTGGCGTTGAACGGCCTCATTTGCCATCTGCTCCTGCGCCTCTGCTTCTAATTGGAGATCATTCTTGCTCCTATAATCCGCTGGTAAGTTCTGCTTGATCTTCTTGTAGGACATGTTGTAGCCTTTGGCGTAGGGATGAGAGTGACAACCGCCACCACTCTTACTGCTCTTCACCGTGAAGACATCTCCACAGGCCTCACAGTAAGCAACGTGGTTCTGCTTGAAGCACCGCCAACTGGGAGCTCCACCACATAGCCCACAGTGGTGCTTGTAGTTGTTGCTGTCCCCATCCTGTTTGTTGCGGGGAATGGGGGCCATTTCGGATAGTATGCGTTGTGCCTGGCTTTTTCGTGAAAGATGCCAGGCTTGGTACGAAGTCCTAATCTGCTTGCGGTTCCAATTTGTGTTCAACCGTAAAGGGTTGCTGTTGATGTCAGGTATATGTTGAGTGGATACTTAGGAAAGAGTAAACCTGTGGCATCTTATCGCACCTGGGGCTCTAAGGCTGCATGTGAGCCTACGTTCACTGCAAGTGGTGACACATCACGAGTGATCATGTGGACTGGGACGGATGATTCTTAATGGTCGATTTCACCTGGTTTCAGTCACAGGGCTAGAGCCAATCACTGAGTACGCAACACGCATAATATATCCGTTCCATTGACAAGCCCAAGGTACCGTTCCGCCCAATGGTGCTTCTCCGTGATTAGAAGATCATATGAGACAAAAAGCCCGAAAAGGGTGAGCAATCGGAAAAGCCGCCGTACGTGAATAATGCCTGTTCAACCTGAACAATGTCCATCCGAGACACTGCGTTCAGCCACTCGCCATGATCGTCCAGAATAGGGGGCTAGCTCGTCATCCCGAAGCTAGTGCTGATTGCCGCGACGCTTTCCCTTCTCCTTCCTCGTATCCTTCTCCCCTTTCTGGCCCTTGTTCTTCTTAGCCGCTTGCTCCTGAGCGGCTCGTATAGCCTCTGCAGCATCTTCGGCCTCTCGCACGCGCTCAGCAATGATGTTGGCTTCTTGCTGGCGCTCGAACTCAGTGCGATGGTCCGCAGGCAGACCGCTCTTCACCTTCTTGGCGGAGAGGTTGTAGCCGTTGGCGTACGTGTGGTCGTTGCAGCCAGTCTTGCTGAAAGACTGAAAGATGTTGCCGCACACCTCGCACCGACAGACATGGTACTGCTTGAAGCACCTCGCGTGGATGGAACCGTCGCATGTTCTACAGTGGTGGCCATAGTTCTTGACCGAGTCTTCGGTACGAGTGAATCCAGTCATTCTGTCCTAACTTTCAGTTAGTTCGAGTCTTTTCGTGCCTCTGAAGAGCATTTTGCTTTATGTTCAAGATCTACTTACTGCGACTTTCGGATTTTCGACTTATGTAACTTGGTCTCGAGATTCGGAGTTGAGGTTGATCTTCTGCTCTAGAAGTTGGGGGGGTGTGGCTCGATACGAGCTTTGGTAACTCGAATGAGTACGCATATCTTGTAGAGAGGAAACTACTACAGGGGCCAATCTCATAGTGAAAGCGAGCTTATCGTCCTCGATTAGGTACTTGGCATTTTTGGAGTTGAAAGATCCGACCGTTCCTCGAGTCTAACAACCTCCCATGTAGTTCATCAATACAGGCCCCATGCAAGGCTATAGCACGAATTCATCTTGTGGAACCTGGATCCGTGTGTTTATTATGTCTGATGTGCAATTACTTTCACAATATATTCTTGTTTTCAGCGCCAGTCCACAGTGAAAAGCCAGTGAAAGATGAACTGGGATGCCTAAAGACGTCGACCTGTACTGAAACTTAGTGAAAGCTACGGAGCGGGCTCTAGCACCGGTCGGCGGCGCACTGCTCATATGACGGTCGCTCAATTTGATGGGAAGTTCCACACATTTCTGGAAACACAACCCGTCAACTTTCTCAAACATCAACTCACCACCAGCGATTCTCTAGAGGCTTATCTATATGGAGATACTGAAGCTGCTAGCCTGCTGTGCAGGTCGTAGAGATGCACATTCAACTCTCATCGATGCGGACATTCCCCAAGGTCAGTTCCAAGGATCGCAAGCTTCGCGCGACCTTCATGTGACTCATTCCACAATCGACCTGTCGGATGAACTAGTTGACAATCATACCTCGACACCAAATGGTACTCTGTCAATCGATTCGGACGGCTCATCCTGGGACGAAGAGCTCTATCGCTGGGGCCCCTTTCAAAACATTCCGGACACGTCTTTCGCAACGCTCGCCGCGAACGCGTTTTATTCGGACGAGCGTGGTGCGCCGTTCGTAGTCGAACGCCGCGTACATGGCCATCACAGCTTCGTGGTCGTCCTCAGCAACGGTACCAGCAAACTGATTGTCAAAATCCCGGTAGTGGGCACGAAAGATCGATGGAACAAGCAACACGAGCCAATCCTGAGCTCTGAGGCAGACACCATGGACTGGATTAAGGACCAGGTCCCTCACTTTCCAGTGGCCGATGTATTAGAATTTGATACCGGCTTTGACAACGATATTGCCGCGCCATACAGCTGCCACTCTTTCATTGAAGGCAAGTCTGCGATCGACATCTGGTACGACAGCGATGAAGAAGAAGAAGAAGCCGAAGGCGAAGATGTCGAGACTAATACTACCACCGAATGGACGGACGATCCTTCCGAGGAATGCGAGCAGCGTCGCCATCTATTTCTTCAATCTTTGGCACGAACCATGGCTGAGTTGCGTCATGTCTCCATGAGTGCTACAGGCATGCTACAACTGGAGGGCGACGATTTTGACGAGGCAACTATATGTCCGCTCGTTGGTTACATGGGAGCAGGCTTTTTGATCGACCACCCATATTGGAGTTTTCCAGTATTCCGTACTGCTTCAGCATTCTGGAAAGAACGTCTAGCCCGTTACAATCCTACCAACCCCTATTCCAAGGGCTTGCGTGTTGTGCTAGAAGTAATCGTCAATTCTCCTCCCTTCTCATGTTCGAAAGCGTCACCTCAGGATGAGGATGAGTCATTTACACTTTATCACCCGGATCTCAACCTACAGAACATCCTCGCGGCAGATGACGGAGAAGTGGTCGGAATTCTTGATTGGGAAGGCGCCTTCTTCGCTCCTCGCTGCGTTGGCCCCATCTCCCTACCATCATTCCTCAAATCCGATTGGACGCCCATTGCAGATACTCTTTCTGCAGGTCGACTGGAACACCTCAGCAAGTACCGCGAGATCTACACGAATGCAATGGTTGAAGCGTGCGGTGGTCCGGAATCAGACGCCAAATACACGATGCAATCGGGCTTATATGGTGCAGTCGTATATATGTTCTTTAGCAACTTTGGCCCAAATTTCCACGACAAGGCCGCCAAGCTTGTCAAGTCACTATTCAAAAAGATTCCAGAACTGCGCGATATTGAAGGGGAAGCTCTTGAAGAGTTTCTCGGAAATCTTGGGAATGGTTCGCTGGAGGACCGCAAGATCTTGGAGGAATGGATTCCCAAACTTCTGGACCACCGAACTTCGTAATCCGCATACAGTGCTGGGTCAAAGGATCGGCACTGCTTACTGTGGGATAACACATACGAACCCAACGGAAATCCTCGTTGCTCGGAGTTTTCCAAGCACTAAGCGTGTATGACGGTAATGTGCTGCGGCTTCTGGGACTAGGTTGAAAGTTCAAGTCGTTGGGCGCGTAGGGGGTTCTTTTTCACTATACAAACAATTCGTTCTATCTTAATTGTCTATACACAATAGAATCTCGCCTGAAATTTGGCCATTTGTCTCTAGTCCACATCAACGCTAGCTCTTTCCCCACACCTCGGTTACGCGCCGACATCTCCAACGCGACTCAGCACTTGCACAACAACATGTCTTACGGTTGCTCCCGAGGTCTCACTATGCTCTTCATTGACTACGTCGAAGTTGTCATGCTTCACGGGAGCAAGAGAACAACAGCTTACGCACAAACTCGATCTCCCTGAACAGCAACATGACCTCACAGCGTCCGATACGTGTTGCAGGTATGCTTCAGTGTGCTCACGAGTTCATCTTATATTCACAAAGGCCACAGGATGCTCGGGCTCTACCACAGACCGGCGCAATGCTATGGAATTGCTTGCCTCGAATCATGGGAACGATCCTATCGATGTGCTTGTAGGCGACTGGATGAGTGAAGCAAACATGACAGCACGCGCCAATGTTAAATTGAGTGGTGCGAAGCCATATGTTGTATACTATGTATGTTTACTGATACGTAGCAGGGCAGATGGAAGCATACGAGCCAACCTTCCTCGAGGCTCTCGAGCCCGCCCTTCCGCACATCGCCAAACACGGCATCAAAGTGGCCGTCAACGCAGGCGCGTCGGGCACGGAGAAACTTCACAATATGGTAAAGGAAATGATTGCTCTTAAAGGACTGAAACTCAGTGTTGCATGGATTTCTGGCGATGAAGTGCTCCCGCAGCTCCTGGCTGCACAGGGGAGAGGCGAATCGTCCTTCGAGAACATTTGCACCGGGCAGCGGCTTGACGACTGGCAGTTCGAGCCAATATACGCACAGGCATACCTAGGAGGGTTGGGAATTGCAAAAGCTCTTGCAAAGGGCGCAGACATCGTCTTGTGCGGGCGAGTCTCTGATGCAAGCCCGCTTATTGGCGCCGCGTGCTGGTGGCACAAGTGGCAGCAGTCAGACCTTGACAAGCTTGCGAACGCGTTCGTTGCAGGACATTTATCCGAATGCTCCTCGTACAGCACTGGCGGGAATTACACTGGATTCAAGGACCTTGAGAGCCTTGGCTGGGAAACCATTGGCTATCCTATTGTTGAGATCGCAGAATCAGGCGAAGTTGTGATCACGAAGAACAAAGGTTCTGGAGGCGAGGTGTCAATCAATACACTCACATCGCAATTCCTGTACGAGATCCAGGGTCCGTGGTACTTCAATTCGGACGTGACTGCTGTGCTGGATAACGTCTCATTTGAGTATATATCGAAGGACCGGATCGCTTTATGTGGTGTCCATGGTGCACTTCCACCTCCAACAACAAAAGTTGGTATCACGGCGACACCCATCTACCAAGCCGAAATGCACTGGTTCATGACAGGCCTGGACATATCTGCCAAAGCGCGCATGATGGAGCAGCTCATTCGCACGCAGTTGGGCGCCCATGTGCGGAACTTCACACGTCTTGTATTTCAAATCATCGGCTCCTGCGCAGAGAATCCTACAACCCAAAACGAGGCTACGACGGTTTTACGTGTAGTTGCGCAAGCACGCATGGCTGAAGATCTTGCTCCAGCGAAGTTCGTGCGGCCGTGCATAGATCCTGTCATGTGTGCATATCCAGGAGCGACACCGGACCTTGATCTTCGGCAGGCGTTTCCAAAGCAAGTGTTTGAATATTACGTTACACTATTGCCACAGTCCGCTATCAAACATAGAGTGCATCTAGCTTCTGGGGAGGTAATCGAGATCCCACCGCCTCCTGACAGCAAGACCTGGCCCAAGACGCAACCCACACAAGACATTACAATGACATCAGAAGATCTGCGCAAGTTCGGCGTCAGCGTTCGAGCGCCTTTAGGCACCATCGTACACGCGCGTTCGGGCGATAAGGGCTCAGACTGCAATGTGGGTTTCTGGGTCCGTCATCAGGACGAGTATGCATGGCTACAGAATCTCCTATCAACCGATTTCCTGAAGCAGCTGCTGGCTGAGGAGTACAACGGCAAAAGAATCGAGAGATGTGAATTTCCCGGCCTTAAAGCAGTTCACTTCGTATTGAAGGATCATCTCGATAGAGGTGTGAGCTGTACGACGAGTGTAGACTTCTTGGGGAAGAACTGTGCGGAGTTCTTGAGGGCGAGGGTAGTGAACGTCCCCACTAGATTTTTGGCCAGGGGACGGATTTGATGATTGCTACCTCGACAACTTTGTCTTCTTGATTCAATATCATGAGGTGTATCCACAGGCCCCCAGTCGAGATGCCAACCGTGTATAACAAAACGTCCCTTCACAACTTGCTCGACGCGAAAACGACATACTACTGACCGCTCAAAGTCCATCTGTCTGCCTCTCCTCGGTTGTCCGACGGCATGTTTCACCTCGGCTCAATTTCATCCAGATTGCAGGTCTCCAACAAGTCCTGCGTTAATTTGCCTTTCCGATCATAGCCCTTCACGAACTTGTCTCCCCATTCGCCAACAGTGTTGTCGTATGTCGTCTGTGGCTTACTGACACACAGTGAGCACATATTCGCCTTGAGCTCTTTCATTAATCCAAGTCTTGGAAATTCCTAAACTGGTAAGTTAGTGTTTACTCAATTGGGATTCCTTGACTTGCCCTGACAACAGCATTGTATTCGTCCCAAGATAACAGCCCTCCTTGCACTCTGTCTGGGCCCTGAAAGTCCGCCCAGATGCCGTAGCTGCAGGCTTGTACCTCTGGCTCCTTTTCAAAAACAATACTCCCAATCGTGTGGAGAGCGATGGCATCCCAGACGAGCTGTAGTCTATGTTCATCCCAGTCTTCGCTTAACCCCTCTTTCCGTAAGAATGCCCTAGCAGCATGAGCACCATCAATTTCGAACCGCTTGTCTTCGCTGATGATTGTGCTCTCTGGTGGATGGCCAATGGGGAAACCTAGATCATGTAACAGGGCTGCGATAGCGTGCACTTCGCGATCACGGGATGGAAGAATCTTATCAGCGATGATGAAGCCAAGCAGGAGAGAGCGAAGCACATGGTTGTAAGTGCTTTCGCTGCCGTGCTTGCGTGCGAAATTAATGGCCTTGCTGATTAACGGCGTGTCCGGCACAGTCACGCCTGCGAGCATGCGTGTGGGGAGAGCTGTCATGGTGCAGAGGTAGAAGGTTTGTATCGTTTCGTCAAAACCGATGTCGAAATATCAGATAACGGGCCTGAGGGGTACCTACATCTTACCCCACCTTGTGAAGTCGCATCATAACAGCCGTAGGTCAGCCAGTATACTAAGTTTACGATCCCTTTTACAACAACAGATTAGTAGACAAACATGATTATAGGTAAAGAAATCCCGTCACAATTTTGGACTACGAGATTTCTGGGCCATAGCATTTTGTCCTGTATTTGGAGCTCTCAGCGGGATAAGTCTACGACCAAGGTAGTTCCCCTCCGCCGTCCCTACGCGAAGCCGTCAGGTGTACTAACGGGACTACCGCTGAAAGACTAACTGTATACGATAGGACAACTGTCTCACCAGACATATTTCACCACTCATTCCCTACTTTCCAGATTCTGATGTTTCTATATTGTTTCCTGATTCTTGAGCAACATTTCACTGTTGTTCTGTGTCATAGCCAGGTCTTACCTCTCCCAATGAAGCTAATGTCTCAAATTCACTATGTTGCTCAAGATTATCCAATCCGTGACTAATGAAGGATCAACAGAGTTCTTCTTCGGATATGCAAATGTCTGTCTGCTAGCCTTGTACAGTGCGTCACTGATCCTTCATCTTTTCGTCTTAGCGGTGTGCCCCTTGCGCAATACGCGTATTCGCCTAGCTCTGACCATCATGCTGCTGAGCCTCCGCTGGCCGATATTGCAAATCTTAGCGAATGATTTCGCACTTCATAGCGATGCAATTACACTGCTTCTCTCGCTTGTCTCAATACGCGTATCTGCAGTCATCCCAGCTACAGCATCCTGCCCAGTGCTTACTCTTCGAGAAGATCGAGCATTGTCAGGAGATTGAAGTTGATAGCACGATGGCAGTCCGTAAAGCCCCAAAAGGGAGAGGAACTTGCGAAGGAGGAAGGTATAAGAAATAATCTTTGACAGCCACTTTCGTTTAGAACATCAGGTCTGAGAACCATCTCTCGGAAAACTCCTCTTCAGACGAACGCGCCCCAAGTCGACTACCATGATTAAACCCACCATGGCATTGGGCCATCTGATTTCCCTTCTCTCCATGTCCATGGTATCATCCGCACAGAATTATACGCAGGATCTCGAGAATCCCACAGGGTTTCCTCCTGTAAGCATCCGCTTGAAGCCACTACGGCAACGACTGACAATCTTATCAGTGCGATGCCCTTGTATCCGCCGGCCTCAGTAATCGTATCTTGACCGCCTCATCAGAGGAGTATGAGCCACGCATCCAATCATGGTGGTCCACCAACACGCGACAACACCCTTGGTGTCTCTTTCAGCCTCGAACAACTCAAGAGGTCTCCACCGCAATCAGCACCTTAGAGAAAGCCGGAGGCGGAGCCGGGGATTGGCACATCGCTATCCGAAGCGGTGGTCATGGCTGGCCTGGATCCAACAATGTTCTCAAAGGCGTCACTATCGATCTTGGAAACATGAACAATTCTTGGTATGATACCGAGCACAAACTTGCCAGCATCGAGCCCGGGGCATACTGGAGAGATATCTACTTCAATCTGCTTGACAAGTACAATGTCACGGTGACTGGCGGCCGAGATGGCGATGTTGGTGTAGGCGGCTTCTTGCTCGGGGGGCGGGATCTCCTACTACTCTGGTACGAACGGATTTGGGTGCGACACCGTTCTCAACTATGAACTCGTTCTGGCCAATGGTACGATCGTCCAAGCAAACGCCCAAGAGTACCCAGACCTCTTCAAAGCGCTCAAGGGCGGCGGTCCCAACTTCGGCATCGTCACACGCTTCGATGTAGAAGCGATGCCGGCTGTTGACTTGGCGTACGGACATAATGTGGTCTCGTTAGACCATTCTGATGAGATTGTGGATAACGTACTGGACTTCACAGAAAATGTCGCAGAGCGACCGCACGATCACATGTTCGTGCTATACGAGCACTCTCCCGAGATGAACGGTACCATCATCCTAAGCGTCACCACGAATACGCAGGGAGACATGAACACCACGTCCTTCGATGGCGTGCGAGAAATTCCCGCGCTCTCGTCGTCCTGGGATAAGATGTCTCTCGCCGTTGCGGCAAATGCCTCACAGGTATCTTCTGGTTACAGGTAAGCCTATACCCCATTCCCCCCACCCCTTGGCCCTTCCAGTCAAGCATCGTTAACGAAATGAAATAGTTCCGCCGGCTCAACCCTCACCTTCCTCTCATCCCCATCGATCCTCCGCCACGCTGCGGACCTCCACACCAACCTAGTAAACCGCCTCACCACCCTTCTCGGCGCCGACAACTTCCTCTCCAGCATAATTCTGCAACCCATGCCGACTCTATACTCCGACATCTCCGCCTCCAAGGGCGGCTCCATGCTACCCCCGTTCCCCTCCAACGCTGTCATGTGGACGGGCGGCGTCGGCGTGAGCGGCTCTGACGCGCAACTTGCGATCGCAGAAACGGAATTTTTGGCTATGACCGCGGAGCTGGAGAGAGCTGCAAAAGATGACGGCGTGCTTTTGGAGTTGCGGTATATGAATTATGCGCATCCGGGGCAGGATCCGTTAGGCAGCTATGGGGAGAGTAAGTTAGAGTTTATGAAGAAAGTGGCTGAAGAGGTTGATCCCGGGGGTTTCTGGCAGGGGAGGGTGCCGGGAGGTTTCAAGCTGAGTAGGACTGGGTAGACAGACGATGATAAGGTGACGAGAAGGTGGGTCTGAGGAGGATGGGTCGTAGGGGGCGGAGTTTATTCATTTCGTGCGGACTGGATTTATAGTAGCATAATGCTGTAATAGACCAACTCGTAAGGGACCCCTAGGTTCGTCGTAGACTACCTGTTGTGTTGAAGATTTACACACTGATGCTAAAAACCCCGAGTTTTGTTATGAAACTCGGCACAAAGCCATCCGTGAACTCGATGAACACCTGGATGTGAGCATAATGGTTTCGGCCCTTTTACACCGTATCTGGTGCATCTCATGGAGGGCAGCATCTCGGCGCGGGCTTAGCGAGTATCGAGTCGAAGGAATTTAACCATTTTGAAGTGGTCGTTCTCACACCGCTAGCGTGCTAGTCTTCACTTGAAGATCAATTGCAACTTTTTTATCACGACCGTTCTTCCGGGTTACTTTTCCGCATTAAAACTACAGCACGTTGAGGTAGGACACACGTCGCGCCGTTTCGTGATGTTGTAGCCTTGCGCTACATCACGTCATCGAGTGCAACGGTCATTGGCGGGGCATTAGTGGGGTTAATGATGATGAGGGATATCACGTTTGAATTTACAAGCAGCAGCTTACATATCATTGCCTTTCCCAACCATCGTATAAATCGCACGTCAAAGGCTCGTACAGCAAGACATCGTACATCACATTCACACTCATCTAGTCAATACACATTACATAGCAAAAGCAAGAAAGCACAAGCAAACATGTCGTCCTACCACTACACCTCGGAAACCCCCGCAGAAGTAAAAGATGCGAAGGGTTTGCATCTGATCACGCAAAACACGCCCAACGGCCAAGCCGTCCAGATCTTTCTCGAGGAGCTTAAAGACGTGTACGGCACAGAATGGACAACCAGCGTCATCGACATATCCACCAACGTCCAGAAATCAGACTGGTTCCTCCGCCTCGATCCGAACGGTACCCCTCCCCTCCCTTTCCAATCCCTTTCCCTTTTTTGCACCAGATTTCCTAACATAGCCGTGTGTGTAAGGCCGCATTCCCGTTTTGGTAGACAACACGCAATCGCCCCCCTTCGCCGTGCACGAGACCTCAGCCGAGCTCTTCTACCTCCTCAAATTCGCCGACAAACAGGACAAATTCGGCTTCGCGGATGATCTCGAGCGCAATCAGGCGCTGCAGTGGACCTTCTTCTGGCACGGCAGCGGCGCCCCGTATCAAGGGCAGGTCAATCATTTCTCTCGCGCGGCGCCAGAGAAGATTCCATATGCGATTAACAGGTTTAGAAATGAGTGCGTATCTCCTTGAACTTTCCCCTATCTTACGTTTTTGGAGTTTAGGTTAGGTGGGAAGGCAAGGTGCTGATGAGTGAATAGGACACTGCGCGTCTTTGGTGTGCTCGAGATTCATCTTTCTGGAAAGTACAGCGGCGAGCCGCGTGAGTACCTTGCTGGCAATGGAAAGGGCAAGTACAGTGTCGCGGACGTGAAGACGTGGCCGTGGGTCAAGAACTGGGAGAGAAGCGGGTTCACGAAGGAGGAGGTTAGCGCGTTCCCGCATCTGCTGAAGTGGGTCGATCGGATTGCGGAGAGACCCGCAGTTCAGAGGGGAATTGGAGAGGCGTACACGAAGAAGACGATTTAACGGGACAAGCTGAAGGAGTGGACCGAAGCCCAATTTCTAATAACATGAGACGATGAAATGAAGTTGGTAATGCCGTGTGTACGCATGTGCACGCAGACGTGATTGCCATTTCCACCCAATGCAAAACAACGCAAACAAATATCATCCATCAGCCCTATATGCAACATCCACACCATCATCAGACCTTCGTACGTCGTGAATCTTGGCCTGCGTTCATCATAAGCCCTTCTCGCCATCATCACTTCACACTTTCCGCCTCCATGCTCTTCTCCCCGTCCTTCTCTACATCATAATCAAACAACCGCTCTTTCCTCCCCTCAACCGGCACCTCCGCGGGCGCCGTCCGCGCACTGCTCAATGGCTTCGACCCCAGGTCTACAAACCCATCCTTTTCCCTCTTGAACTCTTCTGCACGTTTAAAGTCCCCCGGCGACGGTTCACTTGGCAGTCCCGGGCTCTGTATCGGCGTGCTAGAAGCGCTTCTACTCGCCTGCCAGCCCTTTTTCTTCTCACTCGCCCACGCACCCCACGAAGAAAGATACGCGCCTGCTCGTGTAGACGCGGCTTGAATATTTGCTTGCGCGTGGACTAACTTCGGATTTGATTCTGAGACGACGGGACTGCTAGGCTCGATTTCTTTCGCTAGGCGGTTCTCTTCTTGTCTTTTCCGCTGTGCTTCACGGACAGCTTCCATTTGCGCCCAGAGGCTGTCGAAGGCGGAGGACACTTTTTTCTGACCGACGGCGAGCTGTTTGCCAATTGCTTCACGGGAGTTTTGGAGCCGCTCGTCCAGTTGCAGGTGCTCTATTTGCCTATGCGGTACGCAAGGATTAGCACGCAGACAGTGACGCTAGCTATTTGGAAGGTGGAGTTGGAGAACAGCCTGACGGGGTGAATCGGCTTAGCGTCTCCTGGATGCTTACGAGAGAAAGAGGAACTTACTGCGCAAGACGCCGTTGGACGTCTTCGATGCTGAGACCGCCTGAGCAGGGATGTTTTGGTTCGACGATGTCGAAGAGGTGCGAGTCGGTAAATTTGTTCCATATACGGAAGTTTTCCGTCTGCATCCATGCGTGAATATAGTTGTTTGAGAATTCTCCTGCTGGGTCGCCCTCGTGTTCCGTGATGATTCTTTCTTTATCCTTATTTTTCTCTTGGTAGGATTTGAATTTTACCGCGCTCAGCATCGCGAGCAGGTACTCTTCGAATTGCATCCGAATAAATTCTTCGCTACCGGCATAACCATGGTCCTTAGGCCGGCTGGGGTTGGACTCGTCCCAGGTGTCATGGACCGTTTGTGTCAAAAAGTCTATCCAGCGGCGGTCTGGCGTTGACAGTGCGAGCGCGTGTTGCAGAGAGGTGGATGTGATATTGACGGATTGTTCATCCAGATTGATCAATATGTCGCTATATCGATCTCTTTGCTGGAGTAGTAGTGAATTTGTCGAGCCTACGATGTATGACTTTGTGTCTTGATCGGCCAATACGTCGAGCTGCTGTAGTGGTGTGTACGGACCGAAAAGCGAGCCTTTGCCAAACAGCTGAAGAGGGAGACCCATGTATGTGAGTACTAGCAGGAGTCAGCGAGCACTAGACTCGACAATGGGGTAACTGACGTGAGGAACGCTGTGATGTCCTGAGGGACGTAGGCATGACGAGCTTCGTCTCGCACGAATTGAACTTGGGATCAGCAGAATCTTGGAGGTGGCGAATAAGGCCGGGTATCAGAGAAATCAAAGCAAACTGCATCATGCATAATCGCTCACAATGCGAGCCGAAAAAAAGCATCTGCGGGGAGTCAGCTAATTGCTCCTGTTTGCATGCGAAACCGTACCTTTGGTTGAAGTAAAGCGCACTTGAAAAGGACGAGCGTCTGCCATTTGAAATCGTGGATCATCTCTCGCAGAGAAATGCCAAAGTAGTGGTCCGCCTCTCCCTCCTGGTTTTTAAGCAATGTGGGCAGGCTCTCCGAGAACCGTTGCAGGATGTCGACATCGGTGAAGTCCCTCTGCGCGAACCATGCTGCAGTGACGACCCCCAATTGTGCCTTGATAGCTCCAAAGTACTGCGGGCTATCGCTGATAACCACAACCGCCTTCTGCACCGTACTCCTTGTCACCTCAGCCGGTCGATCAATCAGCTTGCTGGCATCCAGCTGTCGCGTACACGATATGCCAAAGAGGCTTGAAGCGGGGTGTTCTGGGGTCTCGGCGCGTCGCAGTGTGAAGTAGGAGTAGTCTTCGGTGGAGCTGTAAGGTGTTAGTGATAATACTGCAGCCGCTCGAAAGAACCATGTTGGAGGGAGCATTTACGCATGCGCACCATCACTCAGCGCCATAAACGACAAATTCGACCAGTCGTTCTCGACAGCCGGGTCTGCGCCGCCTTCTTCGACGCCAAACCATCTCTCCACTTCTGGTCCCCTACATCATCATCAGCAAAGCGCGCCCTGACGTTGCCCCTCTTAGCGATACCCACCTCGCGTGATGGAAATCAACAATGCAAATTAGAGGCGCGAATGCCATCCTCTTCGATTGTCCCAGCTGCTCGCTAACGACGTGCGTATTTGGTGTCGAGTCGAAGGGCGGCCATAAGACATAAGACGGGATCTTGGACCTTGGTACGAGTGGATAGGGCGCTTATCGATAATGGGCGGATGCGTGACAGGGATCCGCTAGGCTTTCACGCACGGTCCATCGATGCGGCTACGTGTGACGATGAATGCATAGGTATAGGTGTAGAGGTTCCTTGATGTGAACGCACCATTATGATTTTTACTTCGCCTATGTCCCTTGTGGCTCCATGCCTCGCATTGAACTACGATGACCCCAGACCAGGTGACCAGGTTTTGGGCATTCACGGCTGCGCTACGGTTGATCGCGCACATGGTCTGCAAAATCACACCGCTTCGGGAACGCATCTCAGAACCGGCAAGGATACCCACGGCCGGAGATTTCTATTTCCAGCCGATGACGCCATTTTTGAACTCTGGTAATAGAGCGCTTGTGTACTTTTGTTTTATATCATGGTCTTTCTATAGGCGAAAACGGAGGAGTTCAAGGAAGCAACACAACTCGGACGCAAGCTACGATGACCTTGCTTCGAGCCATCTCACTGACCAAACCAACCTGACACTGGAACCCTATCCCAACATGCCATTCCTCCTGTACCCGCGCTCGTGCAAATCCAATCCCATGGAGACTGCTTGTTCACTCCCACACTCCGCCCCTCTATCCCACTGCCAGTGGTATGTTCAAGAATTAAGCCTAAGGAAATATGTCCAGCCTACGCCTGGGAGGAAGAAGAAAGATCATAGCCGGGTTCCCAAATGCAGAGCTACCGTATCCCGCGCACAAAATGTAGGTTACGGAGGTTAACTACCGTTCTCCTCGCCTTGCGCAGCGGCGTCAACGTTGTGGTAGTCGAGGATTTCCGAGTACCTGGACCACTGTTAGTAGCTAGCCTCAAGATTGATAAAGCGAATGCTTACATCATGATCTTCCATGTGTCAACAGGGAGGTCCGCATCGTTGAACGACCAGTCGAATTTCTCTTCGGCGACCGGCTCATCGGTGGGGTCGTGGTAAGGAGCAAGGTATGGGTGAGCGAGAGCCTGTTCGGCTCGGACGCGCTTCTTCGGGTCGAAGACCAGCATGTTCTCGAGTAGGTCGATGGCTACAAATTATTAGATATATCAGAATTCGATGGTCAGACTTGATGTAACACACCTGCTGGCTCAGCGTTCTTGAACTTGTTCGCCAGAGGCTGGCGTTCGCGCTTGGGCAGGGATTGGACGAAACGTAATGTCTAAACAGCGTTAATGACGGACATACTGACTGGTCACGGCAATCTTACGTTTTCGCTGCAAATCGTCTGGATAACATCATCTGGGGGGGTTCCCAAAAGCTCCGTGATGATAGAAAATTGGTTCACGTGGTCCTTGCCGGGGAAGAGGGGCTTGCCCTCCAGCATTTCCGCAAAGATGCAGCCCGCGCTCCAGATGTCAACCTCCACATCGTACTTTTGCCATGTGAGCATGATCTCCGGTGCTCGGTAGTAGCGGGTCGAGACATAACCCGTCATCTGGGGATCTTGTATACGGGCCAATCCAAAATCGCAAATTTTAAGATCGCAGTTCTCATTGACGAGGATATTGCTAGGCTTCAAGTCTCGGTGAACGACGCCGGCGGAGTGGACATATTTCAGTCCACGCTATCGAGGTCAGTGAAAATCTGTTCACATGAAGTCCGCCACCTACCAGAATCTGGTAAAGGAAGTATTGAATAAACTGCTTCTCGAGCGGTCTCGAGGTTAGCAGGCGGTGGAGATCAGTGCCGAGGAGTTCGGTGACAAAGTAGCTGAATGTGTCAGTCTGAGTTTGAGAAGGGGTGCAATACACCTACATGTCCTCGAGCGGGGAGATGAAAATATCACTCAGGCTGATGACCTGCTTTTGTTAGGGTATGCCGCATGCTACGGTGAAAATACACACGTTCTCGTGCCTGAGATGCTTGAGAAGCTTCAGTTCTCGGTATGTGCGTTTCGACAAAACCGGGGTGCTGAAGGGCTTCATGATCTTCTTGATGGCGACGGCCTGGCTGGTGAGCTGGTCCTTTGCCGAACTGGCAACCAATTAGCTTGTCTCCAGTCGCACGTATTGATGTACATACCAGACAAGACCGAACGCGCCCATGCCCACAGGCTGCAGGTCGGTGTACCTTCACACGTCAGTTTGTTCAGCGCGGGCGCAAAGCGGGGTTCTCGCGCGTACCTGCTTGTTATCTCAAACGTCGTGCCAAAGATCTGCGCGCGTACGAATTCGGCCATGGTGGGCGGTAGTGGATTGTCGAAGCGGTGGTGGCTTGAGTGTGCAGAGTGCGGTGTGAGGGTGTTGTTGTGGTGGGGTCGCCGATTTGCGATACACCGGGCTAGGTGAACTGAGCGGCGCGGGTAATTGGATCGGGGTTTTGTGCCGCGGACCTAGGGCAGTTCAAGGAGGCAACACCAGGCTATTCAGGAGAGCCAACAGAGAATGTGCAGTCGGGCTGGCCGAGCGTTCGTCTTGCTGAGGTTCCTGTGGCGGGGACGGAGCGCACGGAAGAAGGTAAAAGCGTGCGCCGAGTGAAGGGATGGAGGGGTGAGGCACGGGTTCGCTGTGGCGGGACGGGAGGGCGATCACTGCCGGGAGCGGGGACACACACGCAAAGGTAATGGAGATGCGGAGGGTGAAGGAAAGGTAAGAAGAATGGAATCGAGGGGCAACACAAGCATAGACGGCCAGTGCCCGTGCCAGGTTAGCAGGTTTCGCACAGAAGCTGGCTAGATTCGATTTACCGCGACGTCATCGACGATGTACTTAGAGTGGGCCTCGATGGTTTCCCATGCCTGCCGTTTGCTGTCCTGCGCCGTACTTTCCCCATGTAATCCTACACAACACTAACAAACCTCCATCCCACCTTCCGTAGCTTACATGGCTGATTCCCTCCTATCTTCGTCTCGCTGCTTTGCGCCGGCATTGTTACCATATACTGACCGCCCCGAAGGGCTCGATCGCGCTGCGAGCAACAACTGGAAATTTCCCGGACAACGACACAGATCGAAATGTCGAAAATTCCCATGTCGGGATCATGGCGGGATTCGCCGAGATTGTGTTTCTGGCCAGCATCAATGAATTCATGCAGTCGAAAATCGCATCTTGCCATGGCAGGTCAACGCCTGTTTCAAGGCTGCCTGGCTGCGCTGCTGCCATACGAGACTCCCCGATTTGCTGGCGGAGCGCCGTCCAGCTGCAGCTAATGTCGTTCTTCGCGAGGTCTAGATACCAGCACGGCGTGTAGGAGCTTCACATCTGATGAAAGGGGAATTCAGTCACTCGTGGTCATCCAATACGGGACATGCCCTCCTTACTCAGACAGCGTGCTGCAAACGTGCCGATGTCGCGGATTCTGCGGGGGCGGCAATGCCTTTGCTGGGCGACTGCTTCGGTCCAAGGTGTAACTCGGGAGGATGACCACGAGGCATCTCCTCGGCACGCCCGCAACGGGCTCGGCTACGGCGAACCCTGCGGCTGCGCTTCTTCAATTGGGTTCGGACAAGGTGACAGCTGACGGTTGCTTGGGCAGGCACCTGATAGATATGTATGGCAGTATCAGAAAGTATCGGGCTAAGGGATGGCTGGGCTGCATCAAGTTAGAGGAAGAGGGGAGAGGAATCCGCGCAACAGCCAGCGAGGCTCCGGTAGGTGGAGTTTCTGCGGATGCACTCGTCGCGGCGGCTGGTGGTGCTGGCGCCCATTGCCAGCTTGTCGTCATTGCGACGATGGCTGTCTCTCGGAGATGAGAGATGACGGGGCTTTTAATCTGTGCCTGGCCGCAGTGACGAGAGCTCGTGGGGATCGCAGATATCTAAATTATGTACAGCGGCTTGTGTGCCATGGTGCCTAATTTAGACGGCAAGAGGGTCGAGCTCTTGGCTTAGCCTGCACGTCAGTTACTGCTTCAGGGCTGCTGCGACCAGAGCGACGGTGAGCCTGCGGATGGGGGTTCACTTCTGTGGCGCATCTCGACCATGATGAATCATGGACGCGCTGCTCCCCTCGCGGTGAAGGGGCCGCAGTGTCAGTATCACAGGGGCCGGAAGGTGTCGCCGCGAAAGCAGACGCTTACCGTGTGCTTGGCCGCGGTGAAATGGCTCAAGTCAGAAGCACTGTGAATGAAGCCATTGGGGAACTGCTGCTGTCCAATAGCGCGCGGGCCCTGGGAGCGCCCAAATCTACCTACCACTGCTGCGAGCGTCTCCCCGCCGTGTCCCGACAGCACATCTCCTCGTTGCCCTGCCTACCCTGCTTTCTGGTACCGACGGGCTATCTGCTGCCATTGCTGCGTTTGCTGGCCTGGCAATCGATACGCCGTCTCGGAGCTGGCTTGCTGAACGAAGCACTACAAACTTGGGGGCTTAGCTTTAACACAAGGTCGCTCCTTCCCAGCGCGGCGGTTGTCCACAGCAGCCGTCGAGCCCACCCCCTTCGACCACCACTACCACTCCACAACAACCTGTGCAGCCGAACCACCAGCTGCTACCCGCCCTCCCGTGCCCTCCTGGAGCCTGCGGCGTCGACAGCCGTTTGCGCGCCCGTGCCCCGACGTGAGTGTGCCTTGCTGCTGCTCAGCTGCACTGCACTGCTAGAGGGGGCTACCTACCTGCGCACTGGCCCCGTCACCCCGACCTGGACTGCTACCGCGACCTCGACCATCGCACACCTCGACCCTCCACACTCCAACCGCCCCGGTAGCGCCCCGCGCGCAAGCGTCGACACGCACTCGCCCCGAATTCCAAGCTGCAGCACGTTGCTTTCGTGCGCCTTCCGTCCACGCTCTTCTCGGGTCGTTCCTCCCGCACTCGGATCGCGTCCCCATCCGGTGAAACAGCGCTTCGCCATTCACTCTGTCTCTGGACGTCTTCGTTCGCGAGCCTGGGTTCTGCCATTGTCTCTGTCGAGTGAGGCGGCCGCGCCTATCGACCCTCCTGCCCACGGTTTACGGCCGACCACCCGCCACGAGCAGCCGTCAAGATGGGCATTTGCATGTCGAGCGCAGACAACCAGGATGCCGAGCAGAAGAAGCGCAGCCAGGCCATCGACCGGAAGCTCGAGGAGGACTCGCGCCGATTACGGCGAGAATGCAAGATCCTCCTGCTGGGTAAGCAGCTGAACGACTCTCCCCTGTGCATGCTGGCTAACACGCGCCTCTAGGCTCTGGCGAGAGCGGCAAGTCTACCATCGTCAAGCAGATGAAGATTATACACCAGAACGGTTACACCCAAGAAGAGCTCGCAATGTACCGTTTGACCATATATAAGAACGTAATCGACTGTGCAAAAGCTCTCATCGGTGCCATGCATCAGTTCGAAATCTCACCAAGCGACTCCAGCAATGAGGAATACTGCCGATATCTGCTCGATTATACTGTCGACCCTGATCCAGAGAAGCCCCTCGATATACGGGTGGGACAGGCGATAACCTCAGTCTGGCGAGATCCATGCGTGTCAAAAGTCCTGGAACATTCAAGCGAGTTCTACCTGATGGACTCTGCGCCATAGTACGCCATGTTGCAGCCCACGTGCATGCGCTTTTGCTAACTCCTGCAGTTTCTTCGACGAAGTGAATCGCATAGCCGACCCCAATTACATCCCGATCGAGTCCGACGTCCTGCGCGCGCGTACCAAAACGACGGGTATCTACGAGACACGGTTCACCATGGGCCAGTTGTCAATACAGTACGTGGGCGCGCTCGGGTGAATCTCAGATTCTCAGGCTAATATGAAACTGCAGCATGTTTGACGTGGGTGGCCAACGGAGCGAGCGCAAGAAATGGATACACTGTTTCGAAAACGTCACATCTATCATCTTCTGCGTGGCATTGAGCGAGTATGACCAGGTTTTGCTGGAAGAAAGCTCTCAGGTACGGCACTACGGTCACAGTCCGCGGCTCGGCTGACAGCTTCTAGAATCGAATGATGGAAAGTCTGGTGCTGTTCGATTCAGTCGTCAACAGTCGGTGGTTCATGAGGACAAGCATCATCCTCTTCTTGAACAAAGTGGATCTATTTAAGGCCAAGCTCGCGCGCTCACCACTAGGGAACTATTTTCCCGACTACTCCGGAGGTAATGATGTGAACCGCGCGGCGAAGTATTTGCTCTGGAGATTCAACCAAGTGAACCGAGCGCACCTCAACTTGTACCCACAGTACGTACTCTTCCCGCATCGGCAAGTGCATGACTAACTTTGGCAGCCTCACACAGGCCACCGATACATCGAATATCCGGCTCGTCTTCGCTGCTGTGAAAGAGACCATATTGCAAAATGCCCTAAAAGACTCGGGCATTCTGTAAGGTTACTAAACTGCATCACCCATTCCTAGACGAGGCCACACGTCGACCGCTGTGCATAATCGTTCATCTCTTCCTCTACCGTCCACGACAGATCATATAATACACCACACCACGATCGCACTACAGTCGATCGGACCTCATCTCATGCACTTTTGAGTCACGATTACGGATTTGGGACATATCATCGCCTCTTGTCATCTTGCAGAGCGCAGCATTGGAGTTAAAAGGCGTTTTCCTCAAGGCTTGGCTGCATTCGAGCAGCCGTGATGGAATCTTTGTTTTTGAACCATATTACCCCTGGGCGTTGGTGTTTTTCATGAGTTGCCCCCATACCAATCTCCTTGCGCTGTCGCGTTACCCTGGTCCACTTTCCCACTGGTCTGAGAAAAGTTTCAAATGGTTTGGAGAGGGGCGAGCAATCTTACATGTACTGGAAATTCGTGTTTCTGTTGGAGAGCGGCCAGTGGCTACATGTTCTGATCCGAACCTAACCCTATTATGTTCTTGTAAGGTGCTTGCTGAAGCCCCCAATTGTATGTTATAGTCTCTCATTGCACGATTACCGGTCATGCTGTCGAACCTGGTGGAGATGAACGGCTGCTATACTATACTATATACGTACGACGAGATCTCCTAAAACCAAATACAACTACAACTACAACGACGACCGTCTGTCCAAACTTTGCCGTTCACGGCAGAATTCCACTTAGACTAGCTATCACGAGCACCTTCTACTTCAAATCTTGTCTAGTCATCAAGCACCCTGTTCTAATTAATCATACGGTAGCTCAGTCATCACCACACCACCCTAATCATCAAACCCCTTCCGTCCGCCTTGCACCGTTTGCGCATTTGAGCGAACCTCGTTCCACATTCCAAATTGGCAAATCTCACGCCGCCCGCCCCCTCCAAACGCCACATGGTTCCCCAGCACAGGACAGGCTGCACAGCACAGATACCCTCTTGGTTCAGGCGCCCACGTTCCTGATCGCCCAGGCCGCCGCAACGGCAAGGTTAGGCGAATCCTTTCGCCGTTGACTGGCGGGCGTCGCCGAGGTATACAGCTTTGCTACGGGAGATGTTAAATCATACTCGACTTACTGTTAAATCATACTCGACCTGTAAGCACTAACCAAATACTTCTAGCAGCCGGTGTAGTGGCCTTGGCTGCGTAATTTGCGTGTAATATACATTCTGTTAGCTGTATACAATACAATATCGTCGCCCTGCACCTCTCGGGGGGTTCGGAGGTTAGTTCTGTGTGCGGAGGTCGCTGTATTTCTAGGACCATGAGGCGATTTACGTGCGCAGGTGCGTGTATTTCCAGGACCTCAAGCCTCACTGCCGCCCAACTCGACGCGCGCAGATCCAATTGATTCAAGGTCCTTGGAGGTACATATTGTTGATATGGCCAATCGTCTTACAGAATATTAGTAAGACTATCGCCGCGTGCATGACTTGGTGTTGCTGTGTTCCTATGCCACGCGAGCCATGTAAGTAGGCGCAAGGCTGTGTTTACAGCTCGACGACGACGTTATATTTTTAAACTTAGAGAACTGGATCCTCACGCGTATACTGTACGTAGTCATTTTATTAATAGCTTAATAGATAATAACGTTGTTGTCACGTTGTTTTATCGGCGCGTTGAGTTGACCAATCATATGTGTTTTGCTTGGCATGCATTGTTTTGATTCTGACGCGTGGCACTGTTTATCCTTCTCCATCCTACACCTCAACGCCGACGTACAGTAACAATATCAATTCATCTCCAATCAAGTTGCCATCATCACCAATGGATTCACCGAAGCCAGAAACCCTATTGTCGTCACCGGTACCATCGCCGACGCCTCCCCGCAGACGTTTTACCGAATATGTACATATATACAGATCAGACGGTACGTGCAGATTATACGAGGTCCTGGAAATACACGCACCTGCGCACGTATACCTATAAATGGGCCCGGATATACACTCATCTGCGCACGTAACCCTGCCAATGGTCCTGGAAATACACTCATCTGCGCATAAAATGCTAACTTCTAAAGAATCAGAGCCGTCATCACAGAGCTCATACTCATCACACGATAATGACAGCAACCCTGTCATCCCCGGCAACCCGAATCCTACGTACTCGAGCGCGCCGCCGCCGCCTGCACAGTCATACGAATCGAGACATGCTGCTACTCAGGCCTGGGTCGCCTGGGGACTGGCCCATCACTGCTCATATATAACAACAAAGACATGGAAAAACGCTGGCGCAGAAACGTACAAGCTTCTTGTACAGTGTGAGCAGTTCGGCGTATGGAAAAAGCGAGGGATAAAGCGAGAGACGAAGTCAAAGAAGATAGGCTGCGAGCATAGCTTCTACGCCTGCGCCTGCGACCCGCGTAACCCTAATGGCAGATGGGAGATTCGTCACAGGCAGATGGATAAATTCAACAAGCACAATCACGTCCTAAAAGAGGACGCTGCTCTGTTCACGGCAGCGCGTAGGGCACAGTGGAAGGAGCCAGGTTTCCATGAGCACTTCATGTCAAACTGGAATGACAGCATGCTCCCCTGACGCTTCCGCAAGGTCGCTGCGTAATCAGTTTCCACACTCTCTTATATCCTCACAGGATATACGCAATCGACGGAACCGATTGTTACGATTGGAAATTGGGCCTGAGGGTAAGGCGAACGCGCTTGTACGTTCACTAGCAGCTGGTAGGTATTATACAAAGGTTGAGCTGTCTACACGCAATGAGATTGAGCGTATTATGTGGATTAACCCAGCGGCGCTGACTGTCTTTAAGAAGGCACCTCAGGTTTTAGTACTTGACTGTACGTTTAAAACAAATCGCTACAACCGACCTCTTCTGCAAATCGTGGCCCCAACCGGCAATAATACGACGCTTATACTAGGGCAGGTCCTCCTTGATACGCAGGACCAGGAGGCCTTTGAGTGGTGCTTCGCTGCTATCAAGAAAGTCCTTAAGGAGGAGCTAGTGTTGAGGGAACTCGAGGTATGGTCCCCGAAATACACGCATCTGCGGACGTAAACGCCCCCCATGGTCCTGGAAATACACCTATCTGCGCATACCGGGTGGGTGTGCGTAGATAGGTGTATTTCCAGGACCAAACCTATCATCATATGCGCAGATGGGTGTATTTCCAGTACTTTCTAACATTATTAGGTAATTGTTGTCGATCGAGAGCAAGCATGCCTAAACGCCATATCAAGGTTATTCCGACCTGATCGCCCTGGCGACCTCCCACTCGACCCGGACGATGTATCATTCCAGGATGATATTAACGACGCCGCCGTATTCGACGCCCTCGGGTCAGAGTTCAGAGGTGTGAATGTTCTCATCTGTAGATGGCACCTGAACAAGGATGTAATGGCCTACGCCCGCACAAAGTGCCCAGAACTTGGCAGACAATTGAATAAGGATAAAGAGGTGGAGGACACTGAGGATACAAAGCTCTTCTGGCACCGCTGGCAACGGCTATTGACGTCGGAGACGGAGGAAGACTTTGAGCGTGCATGTGACCAGATCCGTTCTATGTCACCCAAAATGGCAAGCTATCTCGAGCGCGTATGGTGGCCATACAAAGAGAAGATTGTCTCCTGCTGGACGTCGCAATTTACCTCCTTTGGCGTACTTGCTACGTCTATCGTTGAAGGCGCCCATGTAACAATCAAGCGCTGGCTGGGTCACAGCAAGTCAGATATCCATACTCTATTTACTCGCATGGATCAATTCTGGAAGCACCACGTCAATAAAGTTGAGCTGCGCGACGCAGAGAGCTTACACAGGGTTGCCAGTTACGCCTACGACAATCCATTATACCAACAGGTTACTGGCGTCGTCCATTTATACGCCCTACAAGAGTTTAGTCGGAACGTTTCTAAGGCACAGAAACTACTTGCTGAGCGAGACCCACGAAAAACAATTCCACCCTGTAAGAAGCGATATACACAAGAGTACGGCTGGCCATGCTATCACCGGTGTATTGAACTGCTTGAGGGGGGCGATAGCGCCTTTGTGCTGGCCTCAGAGTTTCACCGACATTGGATGTGTGATCATACAAAGGCTGGACGCCAGATGATGAGGCGCTATATTGAGCCTACAACGAAGCTTCAAAAGTATGATAGGCGGAAGGCAAAGGACTCTATTACTGGCACTCAACGACAGGCCTCGACACATGAGCGCCTGGAGGCCCAGTCAGTGGCATCTGACGCAAGGACAATAGCTTCTCAATTGCCTATCAGAACGCCAGCGTCAACAGCACCGCCAGTGATTGGAGTAAAACGAGCATTATCAAATACACAGACCTCTCGCAGGAAGAACTCTCGAATGACCTATGAGCAAGTCATGGAGCCTCCGCTGCAACCTCTGGCCGTCCCGCCACCATTAAGCTATACACACAGCGCCTATCCTATAGTGCCAGGGCAGCCTGGCACTGCTAGCAATATCCATTTTGCCGGTGCGCCACATGTCCAGGTTTTCAACAACGTATACAATATGGCTCCTTATACACCTATGAACCAATTTCACCCGTCGGTAGGATACGCCACTCCGCCGACGTCGTTTCAGCCCCCAAGAGTTCAACAGGAGTATGTCCGTGGTGAACAACCCGAGGACTTCCATCCTCATCGACTCCCAAGGTCCTGGGGTCACGCTGCCTACTCACATCATAATGAATAAGTGGAATTGGTCCTGGAAATACCTCTATCTGCGCACGCATGGTCCTGGAAATAGAGTGATCTGCGCACAGTAAGGGAACTGTGCGCAGATCACTCTATTTCCAGGACCACTCCTACTTTCTTATTAAGGTCCTAGAAATACACCTATCTGCGCACGTCATCACAAAGTATAACATGCGCAGATAGGTGTATTTCTAGGACCTTATTTGTTTTGACTTGGCGCTCCTGCCTTATGTGAGGTTACTATAGTAACCTGCTCATAGTTGTCGCGCGCGCGCAGTAAAACACACTCTGTAGTCGACAACCCACAGCCATGTCGCAAGTCTCGCGCACCATGTCGTCGTCGTCAGTTGCTTCCTGGGCAAGCGCCCACTCATTCGACGACGAGCTCCTCGCCCTCGCAGCGCCCTCGCGCTCTCCCACGCCTACGCCCACGCCCACGCCAGAGCCTGCGCCTGCGCCAGAGCCAGAGCCAGAACCAGAACCAGAGCCAGAGCCTGAGCCTGAGCCTGAGCCAGAGAGTGAGCTCTCTGAGCTCGATGACGAGGAGCTCTCCGCCCTCACCAATTGTAAGTTCCCTGTCCTGCTCTGGTCCTAGAAATAGGTCAGTCTGCGTATGCGACTCTAGACTCTAGGCCTAGCAATATTGCGATCTGCGCATGTTATTCTGTATTTGGTCCTAGAAATACAGCTATCTGCGCATGTTATTCTGTATTTGGTCCTAGAAATACAGCTATCTGCGCATGTTATTCTAGATTTGGTCCTGGAAATACAGTCATCTGCGCATGTTATCCTAGATTTGGTCCTGGAAATACAGTCATCTGCGCTTGTTACTCCAGACCAAGTCCTGGAAATACAGCTATCTGCGTACATTATATGGATATCTGCTAATATATTTACAGCTCTGGCGGTGGCGGTCACGCCGCGCCGGCGCCCGCGCCCTCGCCCGCGCTCGCCCCCGCCCGCCCTCCGTCCCGCCCGCCCGCCGCCCAAGAAGAAGGGCAAGAAGAAGAAGGCGCCTGCGCGCCCCTGGAGGAGGAGTGGGAGGATGACTTCGAGAGCTTGTCTCTCCGTACGAACCCCCCGGATATGGGTGAGGTCCGGTACACAGTAGACTGGAGTCAGCTCTCTAAGAGCACTCGTCTGCGCCGTACCCACGCCGAGCTCATTGCTGGGGACAAGTATGGCATGGAGGCTGAGGATCCGTGTGATGCTTGCCGCAAGAGTAGCACCTCTGCCGCTGCCACCACCGGGCGCTCGCGACAGGTTATTACGACCTGTCGCGTATACCGACGGGAAGCAATTCCCCGAGGTCGCAAGGTGGGTTTTCAGTGCGCGGCGTGTCGGCTGAGTGGCAAGCAGTGCACGCGTTCCAGTGATGCCCGTGCGGAGTCGAGGAAGGAGAAGGAGAAGAAGAAGGGCACACGCTGCGGCCGCAAGGCCAACACCGAGGAGCAGGCTGCTGCCGCTCTTAAGCGGCGTAATGCCCTGCGGCGTGAGCGCCGGGCGAAGAAGAAGGAGGCCCGCAAGTAGTTGTATCAATCAAACATGTATTATATGTAACCTATGGCCTCAACACTTGATTCTACAGTGACCTGAACAACAACAACAACAATGTATAATACTGATTTATCTCCTCTAGAATAATTGGCCATATTAAGAATATACACCTCCAAGGACCTTGAATCAATTGGATTTGCGCGCGTCGAGTTGGGCGGCAGTGAGGCTTGAGGTCCTGGAAATACACACACCTGCGCGCACAAGAAGTGGTCCTGGAAATACAGCAAACTCCGCGCACCAAGCCTCCGAACCTCCGACAACAACAGGGCGACGATACTGTATTGTATACAGCCATCAGAATGTATTTTACACGCAAATTACGGAGCCAAGGTCACTATGTGGGCCGCCAGTATGACTAGGCCTAGTGCTTACAGGTCGAGTATGATTTAACAGTAAGTCGAGTATGATTTAACACCTCCCCTTTGCTACCTCCTACGAACGGGAGGTCGAGTTCCCGGCTGCATCTTCAGGAGTTGGTGTACGCGGTGTAGATCTCTATGTGCGGTTTTCGCAGCTAGCCAGCCTTCACGTTGCTTGCCCTGCAGCATACTGCATGCCCCCCGTTCCAAGGATTCGCAAACGTTTCCTGACGGTGCATCCCCGATGTAAGCGGCACGTGATCCGTGCGCCCACGAAGGATGTGAAGGTAAAATCGTGCTATTGATTTGAACTGCAAACACTCTATAATGGCGGGTCGGTGTCCGAAGGATATGGTTCACGGCAGATTCCGTGGTGCGCGAAGGCGCGTGGGGTCGATCTAGAAGGCGTGGGTAAAAATGTGTGTGCGAATAGGGGAGTGCATGTACGCACGAGAAGGGCGTGTGCAAGATGGCGGGAGACGGCACGCACGGCTACCTGCGTGGGATGTATCGATAGATACGTGAGCCTTGTAGCAAGATTAATAACATCGAAAAAGTAAAGAAGAAACCGACTCGGACCGTCTACGGTTCCACGCTCGACAACAAGCACGACATCATCAACGCTCGACTGCGTCGGTCCCGAATACGGCGTATTGCCAACGAGCAGATCGGGCTGGGCAATGAACGTCGACCAGTCACATGCGCACTCTCGCATAACGAACCTTCTGCGACCTCCCGCGTTTCAAATGCAGCACGTGGGCGACCACGCCTCCATTAACTTCCGAAGCCTGGGGCATGTGCAGATCATTGAGTTTGAACAGGCATAACCGAGCGATAAGGGGCCAGGACAGGAAGGTGTATCTACATCACCATCACAAACACGGGAAACAGGGCAATTGTGGCGGATGGTGGTCTATCGGATTGTATTATTATAGATAGGGGAGCTATGGAGAAAGTTTGAAGGTAGGTGTTTTTTTCGTTTTGCGGAAAAGTCAACCGTGCCAGCGCCGCCATCCATACCATTTGCCCGCTCGATTCGATACCGCAGCCGCGCAAACGGCTACTACACTGAACCGAGAGGGCAGGATGAGCTCACCCAATTTGTAGCCTGCCTGGCGCCCCAGAATATGGTTTTGTAGTTATATATCGTCCCGAAGCGAAGTAGGAAAGGTGTCATCAGTCGTTAACGCTGGTCAAATGCCGCACAAGTATGGATAGGTATCCGGTATCGAAGCTTTTAGTCAAGTCAAGTCAAATCAAAACGCCCTTCGTGTCCAGCTTCGTGGCCGGACATTGCGAAGTCAAGTTCCAAGCACGCACACAGCGAGATGCCTAGTGCTTGTTGGAAAGGAAGCCGTGGGGCTCGACGTCGTTCAGGGCCGCAACAGTCTTCGGGGGAGCCGCATACTTTGCGTTAAGCGACAGAAAAGCTGGAAGCGTCGGCTTAAGGACTGGTGAAGCGGAAGGCTCGCTGGCGGGAGCAGGTGCCGGACTGGTAATGCTATCCACGCTGCTGACGGACGAGACTGAGGCGTGGCGGTGACCGGCAGGTCGGTTGGTGAGGTTGGAAAGAAATGGGTGACCAGACTGCTGGGGCTCGGGGGCCGCGGTAGGCTCTGAGGGACCACCGACGGTGGACTGCTTGATGGGAGTGTTGAGAGAGAGGAAGGTGCGCGGGAAGGGGATGTGGAGGCGGCCGCCGGAAGACATTGTGCCAGCGTGGTGGTTGATGTTGATGTGGGTGGAGAAAAAGGTCCCGAGGGCGACGGTGTTCGTATAAGAAGTGTTGTTTACTTGTGTTTACAAAACAAGATTATATCCGTGAGGCGAGTAGTTGCGAAGGCGTCACAGCCGAATGCTCCAGTGGTCCCGTGGTATGTTTGAGTTGAAAGAGGGAAAGTGTGGGGTGTCAGATGACCGGTTTGGCTATTGGAAGCTGAAGGCGTGCTGAAGAGAGGAATTTCGGATATTTGCTCTCAGCTTATATTCCCTTGCTAAGACAGGTGTGTAATGGCTGGACGCAGCCAAGAACACTTGTGAACGCGAGTGCCCAGATGGTGAAGACGAGGTGGAGCCTTATGCGGAAGCGCGGGATGTCGCAGTAGACTGTCCAACACAGTGTTGTGCGGCGTATGGGGGATCGACGCGGAAGCCCTCACCGGACGTGTTCGATTGTTTATGAATCGGCTAGTGTGAGATATACGGACCAAGAAGCTTGGTTGTGCGATGTGCTGTAGAGCGGCTTCAACTGTTGGCTGGATCTCACTTGGCAGCGGGACGCGCCGAGGAATGTGCAAGCTTGGTGTTTGACAGGCGTAACGTCCTGTATATGTTTATGAGTACCAGATGGGTTTCCAGATGCTGGGGCCAGTAGATAAGGGTGCAGTTCTGGACGTTTTTGGGAATGCTTGGGTGGTGATCGCTCGCTTGGCGGGGTTGAAGACTGGGGCGTTTGACGCGGCGTAGTGGAGAAGAGTTGAGACGGAAGACGGAGAGTCAGGCAATGAAGGGGGGTTTTGATCTTTTCACAAGGAAATGTGGTCGGCTTGCGTGATAATGCAACAGGCGGTTAGGGCAAAGGGAAGGTAAATCCGAGGCTCTAGATTGTTAGGGCCGAGCAAAGGACGAAAGATGCGGAGCTTGTTATGCAAGAGACTGCAGAAGAGTGGACAAAAAGGGCCGGACTTAGCACTAGACTGGCTTATGCGAGATTTGCCTCTGCCTCAGCGTGCGCTTGCGGAGGTCAACATTGGGGTGAACAGCCCACGTTGGGGCGGACTTTGTGTTGTTTGGCCATGGCAACGTCAGGGAGACACAAGGTCTGACATTGCGTCGGCGGCAGGATCAGGGCAGGCTGGCGCCCAGTCCAGTCCTCTGTACAGCCCGTGGGCGCAAGGGAGCTTTGCTTTTGTCCATACGCGCATGGAGAATTCTGGGGATCTAGTTGGCGGTGAAGCCGTTGCGGGGGTTGGATTGCGCCGGCGGCTACCTCGCGAGCGTGTAAGCCGAAGATAGCCTGCCCTGCCCTGCATGCAAAAAGTGTGGAGGTGACGACCTCTCAGGAATTTCTGGGTGATGCCATGGTGTGATGTTTGATATCCGATGAAGGATGTGGGATCTGACGCTGGTGACGCTGCATGTGATTTCTCGCGGTCTAAAGGAAACGCTGCATACTCCAGGGCTCAACGGTACGCACGTGACGCGCCTTGGCCGATTTGAGAAGGCAGGTACGATGGATTCGCTATCGAACGCGCAACAACATGCGAGGCTATCACAACACAAAAAGCGGACTAGGCAGCCATCTTCACCATGTAGACGTTTGATTGGTCGTCTCGAGCGTTATCGAACTTGTCAGCATCGCAAAGGGAAGCCTACAATGACGAATCTTGTTCTTGCGACGCCTCTCCTACGCTCTCGCACACCAAGATAAGCCTCCTCACCACAGTGTGAGTCAAGCACTACGTGGTGAACGATGTGCAACGTCTTCTCGACCATCGAGAGGACTGTTTAACTGAACGTCGAATCGCTGCGTCGCCGGGTCCACCGCCATTCAGGTACTGCATCGTCAATCTCACCCCACAAAATTAGTCGTCATGTCGGCAGCCTGTCCGACTGATGGGTCCTTTGGCCCGGGAGTCGGCTCGTGCCGTGGGGGCTTCGACCTCACGCTCGGCTTTGAGGATAGTATTCTTGGACTGCTGCCTCAGGCTGCACTCCTACTTCTGGCACCTGTCCGATTGGCTACCTTGCGACGACGGCGCAATAGGGTGGCGAGACACTCCCACTTGGGTTTCTTGAAAACGGTAGACATGCTTCCTTCTTATCAACCTGAGTACGACTGACGACGGTCACAGGTCACTGGAATTTGCTACGTTGTGTCATCAATTGTGTTGGTAGCAATATGGAGCGAGATCGACTCTTTCAAGACGAAACTGTCTGTCGCGTCGGCTGCTCTGGAGTTTCTGAGCTCGCTATTCATCGTGACACTATCTCGCCTGGAGCATAGCAGAGCCGTACGACCCAGTCATTTGCTACAATTCTTTCTGCTAGTCCTGCTACTATGCGATGCCGTCCGCCTGCGCACTCTGTTCTTGATGGACTACCCAACGTCGCTTGTGACACCAGCATCAATCCATACGTTCTTGACCGGACTGCTGTTGTTGTTGGAGTCTCTTGACAAGCGGGAGCTATTCCGTTCCGATGGAGACCGTAAACTACCTCCGGAGGAGACTGTCGGCCTCTTCGGTAAACGGCTACTTTGGCATCTTAATGGCTTATTCAAGGAGGGTTATCGCAAGATCCTCAAACCAACAGACTTGTACAGCATGGATGCAGACCTTGCTTCTAAGGAACGAGTCGTGACCTTCCAGCAAACTTGGGCAGCCCAGGATAAGTCGAAAGGCAGACCTTTGCTGCGGACCATCATCAAGGTTCTCTGGCCGGAGTTGCTTCTTCCTGTCCTCCCACGGTACGTTGATAATTAGGGTAGCCAAGGACAAGATACTAATCGGTAGACTTCAGTATCATCCAACTGGCGACCACGCTGAGTCAACCATATCTGATCACAGCCATGATCGCTTTCGTTGGAGATCGCAAAGACCCTGCATCTCTCAACAAAGGCTACGGACTTATAGCGGCTTTTGCTCTGAACTATGCTCTTCTAGCCATCGCATTGGGCTGGTCTGCCCAGGGTATGGCACGGTTCCTTACCAAGCTTCGAGCCTGCCTTATCTCCACACTCTACGAGCAGACGCTACATACCTGCTCTAAAGACGTGGATTTAGGCACAGCAACGGTACTGATGAATGTCGACGTGGACAAGTTACTCCAGGGTTGCAAGTACATGAACGAAGTCTGGGCTGCATCTGTTGTGACTGGTGTAGCTCTGTACATCATGTACACTCATCTGGGTGCCGCGTTCGTCGCTCCTTTCGTCGCGGTCCTGGTTTGCTCTGCCGTTACCACTTGGCTTTGCGCCGCAATGAAAGCCCGCCACAGGGTGTACGCAGCTGCAACGGAGCGGCGCATCACAGCTATCGCGTACGTCGTAGGCAACATGAAAGGCGTGCGCATGCTCGGACTGTCCGAGACTGTCTTTCAGATGCTGACTAAACTGCGTCATGTCGAAGTCGATGCAAACGTCTTCGTCCGAAAACTCATCATTTGGGTCACACTACTCTCCAATGTTTTGTTTCAACTTACCACCGTTTCGACATACGTTACATTCGCGGTCATCACGCTAACGAAAGGTGATGGAGCGAATCTAGATCTGAACAAACTATACGGATCCCTATCTGCCCTGAAATTGTTCACGACGCCGTTCACGATGGTACTTCAGTTGCTTCCAAGTATGCAAATCGCATACGCCTCTCTTCAGCGCATCGAGAAATTCCTCTTGGGCAAAGCTGTTTCAATAGAACAATCGTGTGAGTCTGTTCGAAGCCCAAGTAGTGAAGGTATTGAACTACTTCCAATCGAAGCCAGCCGTAACAGACACCGCGTGATTTCGTTGGAAAACGCAACTTTCGCAATCGACAGCCAGTCCCTGCTATTTGAAATAAGCACCAACTTTGCCGCAAACACGTTCACCATGATCATCGGCAAAGTTGGTTCAGGGAAATCGATTTTGTTACGCTCGCTTGTGGGTGAGACAGATCTGACAAGCGGCCACTTCAAGCACTCGTCGTCAGGCAGTGCATTCTGCGACCAGCAAGTCTGGCTCCGCAATGCCACTGTACGAGACAACATAGTTGGGGAAGATATGTTCGATGAATCATGGTACCAGAAAGTTCTCTGGAGCTGCGGCCTTCTCCAAGACCTACAAGGAATGAAGCGAGGGGACAGTACCGCGATTGGTTCGAAAGGCATATCTCTATCCGGTGGTCAGAAGAACCGGTTGTCCTTAGCACGCGCTCTTTATGCGAGGAAGCCGGTACTTGTCCTCGATGACATGCTTGCAGGACTAGACAACACAACTGAGAAGCTCGTGTTCAACCGTGTCTTCAGTCGTAGCGGTATCTTGCGCAAGTCAGGAGCTACGGTGATTTTGGCTACCCATGCTACGCACTATGCTCGGCACGCAGATCAGATCATTGTTATCGCTGATGGACGAATCAGTGAACAAGGAACATACCTAGAATTGGTCAAGAGGAACATCGACTTCCGCAAATTCAACGATGGCGAGATCCCTAATGTAACCGACAGTGACGAAGAGTCTGACTCCGTCTCTGCAGACAAAACTCTTTTGGTGCCAAGCAAAGCCATCACCGAAGAGGAGGAGGAAGATGCTGCGCGACAATCCGGAGACAGACGCAGTTTCATTTTTTTTCTGAAATCTATTGGTCCGCTACATTTGACCATTAGCTGCGTTACGCTTGTCGGGGGTATCGTGATGACGCAGATTCAGTACTTCTGGCTGAAGTGGTGGGCAGAAGCGGATGATCAGACTAGATCCGGAACCATCCGCCAACTCTACCTCTTCATCATTATTACCGCTATCAACATCTTGGCGTACTTGGCTTATTTCGCCCATTATGCGCTATGGCTTCAACCTCGGTTGAGCTTGAATATGCATGCCAGCCAGCTTGTCGCTCTGATGCGCGCGAAATTTTCGTATTTGGTGTCGACGGTAAGTCTAAACAAGGCTCATAGTCCATATAGTGACCAAGTCTCCCTGTTCTTCTGAGGTTCCTGATATCTGTTGGGCTGACAACGCTTCTGGCATAGGATATTGGCTCAATCACGAATCGATTTTCGCAAGATATTATGCTCGTCGATCTCCAACTACCGATGGCATGGCTCAACGTCACATTCGAAGTCCTTATCACCATCTGCTCAATCATAATCATGGTTCTAGCCACACCTCCCGTCGCAGCTACTGTCCCCATCCTCGGCGTTGTAGGCTACTGTATAAAGAGCATTTACCTTCGCACAAGTAGGCAGGTGCGTCTAATGGATCTAGAGGCCAAAGCTCCGTTGTGCACTCACTTTCTCGAAACCATGGCTGGCATAGTCACTGTCCGTGCATTTGGATGGGCGGAGGCATACCGCCAGAGAAACGGGAGACTTCTCGACCAATCCCAGGTTCCGTACTATCTGCTTGCTGCGATTCAGAACTGGCTGGTTCTGGTGCTGGAGCTGGTGGTTGCGGGTATGATTACTGTTATCGTGGGCCTGGCGGTAGGGCTGAGGAATAAGATCGATCCCGGATATCTTGGTCTAGCGCTGATCTCTGCTGTAAGTCTAAACAATCCCGACCGCTTATTCAAAAGATACTGACGACCCCCAGATGGACCTAGGCTTCAACTTCCGCATTATTATCGTCTACTGGACCGAGCTGGAAACCTCACTCTCGGCCGTTGTCCGCATCCTCCAATTCTCTGCCACCCCTTCTGAACAACAAGATCTTACTACTGTAACCCCACCAAACTCATGGCCCAAGCACGGCGCTATATCCTTCTCCAAATTCGCAGCAAGCTACAGCGAAGACGGGAAAACAGTCCTCAACAACATCACCCTCGACGTCCAACCCGGCGAGAAGATCGGCCTCTGCGGCCGCACGGGAAGCGGCAAATCTAGCCTCGTCGCCACGCTCTTTGGTCTACTTCATCAGCGCGAAGGCCAAGTAATGATCGACGATGTGAACACCACAGAAGTATCTCTCTCGGCTCTCGGCTCCAAAATCATCGCACTCCCACAAGAACCCTTCTTCCTCAAAGGCACCGTACGGTACAATCTCATGCCCTGGATCCCCGAAGACAAACGCCCTGCCGTCTCTGATGCGCAGATGAAGCTTGCGCTGCAGGAAGTACAGCTGTGGGATAAACTCAGCGGCGCGGCTGAGACGGGGCAGTCCGCACTAGAATTGAGCCTGGACAATGTGGATAGTTTGCTGAGTCAGGGGGAGAGGCAGCTTTTTTGTCTTGCAAGGGCGGTTCTGATGGATGGGAAGATTGTCGTTCTAGACGAAGCTACGAGCAGGTAAGGCTCACTCTGCACTCCCCTCTACCCTTGTTCTTGTCTCTTTCTAGAAGAAGCTAATTGATCCATAGTGTCGATGCGCATACCGACGCGCTCATGCAGCGTATACTACGCACTGCGTTTGCGGATCGGACAATCATTGCGATCGCGCATCGGCTGGATACCATTTTGGATTTTGACCGCGTGGTGGTTATGGATGCGGGGAGCATTGTGGAGGTTGGCGTGCCGGGAGCGCTATTGGAGACCGAGGGGAGTTTGTTTAAAGCACTGGTGGAGAGTCAAGAGGCCAATTGACGAATTAAGGGGCAAAGGCGGCAATTCAAGCGTTTCGATTGCTGAAGACGGTGGATGAGAGGAAAGTATAGATAAACATATGGGAAGCATCCTCTCCTACCGAAACCATTCCTGTGTTTGGGATGTGAATATCTACATTCGATATCCGAGATGACTGACGCATGATTTAGCAATTCGCATTCAATCGTTGCAGCAAGTCCTGACATTTCATACTTTCTACTCCTATACGCGGACCACCTCGTGATCTCATCGGTGTTCCTCGCTCCAAATCCGCCGACGGTGCGATTTCTGACTTCTTCTGACGTCCGAATCCTACGCGCGAACTATTCCCAGATTAGGCATCGGCTTAACTACGACGACATCACCAACCAATACAAACACGTCTGTCGCGGACCCATCAATCCTTCTTCAGCCTCAGCCAGTAAAATCGATGACCCCCAAAAAACAGCATTTGTAACATTACTAACGTACGAGAGACAGGTAGTAGTTCACGAATTCGTCCGTGGTGGATCCAAGAGCTTATTAGGAGAATGGTAGGATGAATGGATGGCATATAAAGGGGCGTGGAAGGGTAGGAGAGATAACAACAGCACGCTCGTTTCGCCTTCCAAAGGACACAGATCTTGAAAATGCGGTTCCACTCCAGCGTGCTCCTGTCCGCCTGTCTCGCTAGCCTCAGCAATGCCTACACAGCGCACGAGACGAAACCAACTGCTACGATCCACGGAGGTGTCGTAATCGGCACCACCACCTCCCTCCCCTCCGCATCCGCAGTTGTGAATAAGTTTCTGGGTGTACCCTTCGCGGCGCCTCCGACGCGTTTCTCTCCGCCAGAAGACTATGAGAAGTGGACGCACCCGCGAAACACATCGTCCAGGAAACCAGCGTGTATCCAGGAATTCGCTTGTAAGCTCTACCGTCCTCTTCAAAAGCTTTCAAGATAGGGAACTGATATAATATGGCATGTTCCAGTCACCCAACCTGTCTTAAACCTCACCCTATCTTTGTTCAACACGCCAGCTCCCGAAGAGAGCGAGGATTGCTTGTACCTGAATGTCTTCGCGCCGTCCACTCCTGCTCCCAAGGGCGGAAGAGCGGTCATGTTCTGGATCTACGGTGGCGGCTTGTATTTCGGGGATAGTTCGATTGCGCCGTACGATGGAAGCCACTTCGCTGCGTACGAAGATGTTATAGTGGTGGCAGCGAATTATCGGACGAACGGTATGTCCTTATTCGCTTCCAATCTACAGGCCGACTAGAAGGAAAGAGGTGAGATGAATGCTGACAAAGGACAGTCTTCGGCTTTCCCTCTGCGCCTTCGCTCCCCTTGAACGAGAACAATCTAGGTTTTCTGGATCAAAGAAAAGCGCTTGAATGGGTGCAGCGCAATATCCACGCCTTTGGGGGTGATACGAGCAAGGTTACCATCTTCGGCGAGAGCGCGGGGTCTTTCTCTGTCGACGCGCTTCTGACCAGCTTCTCTGCTAACTCCACACCGCCGTTCCGCGCGGCTATCATGGAGAGCGGACAGCTGAGTTATCGCGGGAGCCCAAACGTGGGAAAGCCGTATCCAGACTCGACACCATCGTGGAACGCGCTCGTCACGGCGTTAAACTGCACAGCCGAGCAAAGTTCGAATGAAAGCGAATTAGACTGCGTGCGTGCCGCGCCCGCTTCTTCCATCAAAGCTATCCTCGAGAGCGACTTTCTCTATTTCTTCCCGAAGCAGGATAACAAGACGCTCTTCTCCAACATCGCCGAGCGCCGTAAGTCCGGCTCTATCGCGAGGATCCCGATTTTGAGCGGTACAAACGCGGACGAGGGACGCTTTATTGTGTACAGCCAGAACAATCTTACTGCATACTTGCAGCAGGCTCTCGGAGAGGGTCTGACAGAAGAGATCGTAGAGGCTGTGGAGAAGCAGTATCCGGTTGGAAGCGAGGAGTATCCCACCCAGTACGATGCGCTGGCGGCCATCGATACGGATATATCGTTTCAGTGTGGGGCGGCACTTGTGGCGAATGATACAGCGGAGATTGGGACGCCGAGTTGGAGGTATCTGGTATGTTGTTCACAATTTCTTGGTATTCCCTACGTATGTTTAGTTGCTGATGTGATGGCAGTACAACGCTTCGTTCCCCAACACCGAAGGCTTCCCCGACTCGCGCGCCTATCACTCGTCGGAGATTTATTCTGTCTTCAGCACGTATCCGGCTGCCAATTCGACGGCTGCACAGCGCGAGCTTTCCAGCTTCATGCGTGGTACATGGGCGAGTTTTGCAAAGGAACCTGAGGCGGGACCGGGGTGGAGGGCGATTGATGCGAAGAAGAAAGGAGCTGCTAATGTGGCTGTGTTTACGGCGGAGCAACCACAGAAGGTGAAGATGATGACGCAGAGCGAGGTGGACGCGAGGTGTGCGTTTTGGCAGGACATCTTGGCTGGGGACTACTAGCTTGACGTGAAGCTTGACGTAGTAGCATGGGCGCTTCCAATTAGATATTGAAAGACGAGGCTGTCCCTTGTGTATCCGCAAGCTCTGCTTCGAGCACGGAAGAGCATCTCAACAATCGCAAGACTTCTCTTCCTGTTCCCACCACTGCCACATCTCCAGCACCGCCCCACTATTAGACACCCAAACCTCATTGAAATACCGGTCCACGTTGCTCGACCACGTTGCAATCGCCTCCTTCTCCCGCATCACCATCTCGTTCTCCGGAAACGTCTGGAACGCATGCTCCACGGCCGCCACCGCAGAATCGCGGTTCTCCGCATCCAGAAGCAAACGGTACTTCCTCGCGGACATGCACATCGCAATAGCAACCTGTTCCACAGACGGGCTCCAAGTGTCCTGGTGGTTGTGAGAAGGCACGGACAGAAGACATTTGCCTATATCAGCATCGACATGTGTGGCGAATTCTTCCACCAGGTTCCTGCGGCATTGCGAGCGCTCCATGGCATCGAGCGCGCGCTGCGCGCGGTTGACACGTAAGTCGAATGCCAGCTCGGCGACAGTATTAGCGAAGTCTACACCGCCAGCAAGCATTAATTTCGGCCAGGCGGGCGATGAACGCATGTAGTCGATGGTCTTGAGGCCGCATTCGGTGGCGGTGTTAGTGGAGAGGTAGTATGCTTCCTTGCCAAGGCGGTCGTTGTTGTGTTTGAACCAGAGGATGTCGGAGAGCGCAGCTGTGGGTGTCGTCCAGCGGGGTTCTGCGGTCTCGCGGATAATGCGGGCGGCGAGGTTTCTGGAAACCGAAGAGCCTTGGATGCTCAGACCTGGGAAGGCATGGAGGAACGTGGGGATGGTGCGGAGGAGGGCTGTCTGGAAGGGGCGGAGAGAGGTGGTGGTAACTTCTGCCCTGTCGGTGGAGATTGGGTCCATGGTGATGGTCATTGTGATGGCTGGCCACTGGGTCATGATGTGGTAGTCTGTGGCTTTGAGGATGTCAGGGAATTGCCGACCTAGCACAATGTACTGTTTTCTTGATCTCTTCTGTAGCGGATCGCTGTTCGTGGTCCACTTGATGCGAGCTACATAACCGTTGAATTGGCTAACTTCCTCGGGGTCCTCTGTTACTGGCAAGATTTGACGCCCAAGGGGATCAGAGCGAATACTGATGCCATCGCAGTCCACACGGATGAACTGGTTATGTTTCACAAGGTAGTCATATGCTTCGTAATAAACTTGTCGATTGACTCGTAGGATTGCGGTGGGGTTATTGAAGCGAGTGCTAAGAAATGCGCGTTCTCGGTTATGCTTGAGCTCCCAAGTGCACAGCAAGTCTTGGTAAATGATCTCCCTGATTTCTATTGGGAGGTCAAGGAAACGTAAATGGTCCTCCATTGCTGTCTCGTAAATAGAAGGAGTGAGTTATCAAGAGATGGATGTTGAATTAATTGGTCGGCTACAATAGAGATGTTCTGCTTATGTTATTTCGACAAAGGTGAACGCACAATGACAGTATAGATACAGAAGGAGTTGCATTGTGTGACGTGAAGCGGTGAGGTGTGCCTCACTGCTGTTGCTTACGCAGATAGACTCCATCGCCACTTCGTGATGCAGAACGCGAAGTCCGGACGATTGGTCATGTGCAGAAAATTGAGATGTATTCGTGAGCGCCCAGAGAGAGGCGTCTGGGGAAATGACGCTCGGAAGTTTCGAGGTGCAGGTGCCACTACGGTGTTCAGTCCGCGCTAACCTGGTAGGGACTGCCCATCTCGAAACATTTTCTGATTCGAGTTACTCTATTCTTCTTGATTTGCTTTGCATGCATGGTGCACGTAGCATCTTCAGTTGGCGCCGCCGGTGTCGTCGGCCAAAACAAAGGCCGAGGCGCGAATGTCGCGAGCCAGACAAGGAAGCAAGAGGATGATGATGATCAAACTTGCCATCATGTTTTGTATTTAGTTAGTGGACAGTCAGTCACAGGTGGACTAAAAGAAGGCTAAACCATGGTGAATCGTGAGTTCGTTGCGTACTAGCTAGCGACACAATCTTGAAGCGTGATTTTTCTATTTGCCTGTTCGTATTTTTTAGTTAGTATCTTACACGGTGTGTTCATTTTACACCTCCTTGGCCGGGACACCACCTGGTAGCGTCTGAGCCTTCTCCTTGAACAGCTTCTCCGCACCCTGCCACACGGGCGCCGTTGCCCTGTCCTTGAGCGCCAACAAGCTGGGCAACAGTGCATCGCTGAAAGCCTCGGATGACTCTCGTGGCAGCGCAGACGGAAGGTGATCGATCGAGATGACCGATAACCTAGGTCCGTTGCCCTCCACTGGCACCTCCACGGTGGGCTTATCAAACGTAGTGTTGATGCTGTAGATGGGGATTGGGTTGTGCGGATTCGTGGTGTCGCAGCTGACGTCGCACACGACGCTCAGCTTGCGGTTGGGCGACTTGAGCGATTCGAGGTTGACGAAGGGCGGGATGGGCTTGGACAGGTAGATGCAGTTGACGAAGAGGTCGCTCTCAATAATTTCGGGGTATGGGCCGTCGCGGTCCTTGGTCTCAGGGAGATCCCACTTCTTAATCTCAGGGCAGCCGACCTTTTCGAGGAGGTCGACAGCGCCGCTACCGCAGCGGCCAAGGGCGCCGAGGACGAGCGAGCTGGGCTTGCGACCGGCGACCTTCTCGCCTGCTGCGACGTCTTCTTTGAGCTGGGTGATGAGCTCAGTCTCGTTGTTGTAGTAGCCGCGGCCATCGGTGAAGGTCTCGATGCCGGGAAGGGGCTCGCCGTTGGGGTGAGTGAGCTGCCATGACCAGGTCTGTGGGAGTTAGCCTCGACTCTTTAGAGCGATACATGAGAGGGTACCTTGATAGCTAGAGCAGCACCAACGAAGCCGGCATGGTAACCAAACGCAGCGACTCTTCGGCCGGTGGAGTCCTGGAGAAATTCGAGGTCGTAGAGCGTGCCCCCACCGCGGGGGAAGCGGGCGAGGACCTGTTCCCAGCCGCCCTGCTGCTTGTAGCAGTGCGCAAAGTGTACGAAAGTGTGCTTGAGCGGCGACTCCTCCTCGGGCAGCTCCTTGAGGCCAATAATGATGCGGTCTTCAGGCGCCGTCTCCCAGGAGTTGGTATCGACCAGGGTAGCTCCAGCCTGTTCGAATTCCTCATCCTTGAAGATGCGCGAGTAGTTGGGGTCCTTGGGGCTGCGCTCGACTAGCACAGGGTAGCCGGCGTCGAGAAGCTTTTTTGCGGTGGTGGGCGTAAGGCAGGAGCGATGCTCGAACGGCTTGCCCTCTGCGCGGGCGTGCAGTGTGGGGAAGGACATTGCGGTGGTGACGGCCGGCGGTTTGCGTGGTCGAAAGAAGTCAATTGGAAGGAGCGAGGGTATGCGAACAAGGTCTGGTATTAATGAGCCTTCTGCGATGCGCGCTCGGAATGGACGGAGCAGTGTAGTGTTTATTGCGCTGTGGGTAAAGTGAGCGATGACTCCATGCGCCGCTTTTCTGCCGACGGCCACCGCCATTGAACCCTCCGAGGTCGCGCTCACATATGAAGTCACTCCGAATGGTCGAGTCCGAGCAGCGGTGGGGCACGTGCCATGCGGAATGGCATCAAGCGTGCAGCGCCCGTGGTTAGCCTAGGTATTTCTTCGTCCAGGGATCCACGCGAAGAAATTCAAGAAGAACTGAAACGCTCTTTTTCACAAGCACCGTAGCTGCGCTATGACTGCTGCGACGCCGGTCCTTGCATCATTTCGTCTCAAGCTTGACCACCTGCCGTTGGCGGAATACGGCGATTGACGAGCCTGCATGCCTTGATTGCAAGTGAAGAGTAGAAGATCGAAAAATGCCTACACCGACTTCCCCGTCGTCGCACTCGCGTACATCGTCCAACGCAAGCGCGAGGTACAACGCTCATGCGCCCGCCACCCCCAGCCAACTGCGGAACTCCCATGTCCCCTCGGAGCGCTCCTCCTCGCCAGAAGACACGATGCACGCCGCGCCGTACCACGACGATGAGCCCGTGCAAGCTTCGAGCAGCTCTGCGCCGCATGACCTCGAGTTCAGTACCGACGGCATCCACATGAGCACCGACCGCGCATCTGTACACTCTACAGACGAAAACGTCCAAGAACCCGGGGGCGGAATAATAGAGGTCGATCTCGAGCCGACCGTGCGAACACGGCTGTTGAATCACACAGCGTCTAGCGGTGGGGAAGAGAACGGCAGCCCTGGCGCCATGTCGCCGCGACCAGCATCGGGTCGGAGCTATGGGAGCTTCAACACCGACAACGGCTTCGGCGGACGCTTTCCAGGCTCAATAGACCCTCATACAGGAGAAGAGGCGGATGCGACACATGCGCTCTTGGGCGATGCATTCGCCGATGGCGTATTGGGCCGTGGCCGTGGGCAGAAGAGCACAACACAGTATCTGGCCGAAAGGCACGGTGTCAAGAATAGGAAGCTGATGTGAGTCGAGGGGTTACGTTTGCCTTGAGATTCAAGCTAATAGGAGAAGGTACCTTGCATACTATATACCCATCATCAACTGGGTACAGCAATATGAGTTGCGCTATCTCAAAGGTGACTTTATAGCAGCTCTTACCATGGCCTCTTTCTACATACCCATGGCCCTTTCATACGCCTCCAACCTTGCCCATGTCCCTCCGGTGCATGGTTTGTACAGCTTCGCCATCAACCCACTGATCTACGGCATACTGGGCACATGCCCTCAGATGGTGGTCGGCCCAGAGGCGCCAGGCTCGCTCTTGACGGGTGAGGTTGTGCGGGAAAATATCAAGAAGAAGTTCACAGGGGACGACGATGGAAGACGAAATGCTGAGATTGCGGGTATCGTCACATCATTAGCGGGCGCGTTTATTTTGACAGCGGGTGTATTCCGACTTGGCTTTCTCGATAACATCCTCAGCAGACCGTTTCTGAGAGGATTCATCAGCGCCATCGGCATAGTCATTTTCATAGACCAGCTGATACCCGAGATGGGACTGGCTAGGCTTGCAGCCGATGAGGTGTCGCATGGAAGTACAGTAGACAAACTCGTCTTTTTGATCAGGAACGTCGGGAACGCTCATGGACCCACCGCGGCACTGTCCTTTACTGCGTTTGGTGTCATCATGTTCTTCAGGTACGCTGGTAATATACGCACGATGAGCATCGACTGACAAGTTCTCAGAGAGTTAAAGAAACGACTACAATCGCGTTACGCATCTGTGGCTTATATCCCGGACCGCTTCGTCGTGGTTGTTCTATCAGCCATCATAGTCTGGAAGTTTCGCCTGGACCTCAAGGGCGTCAGTATCCTCGGAGACGTCAAATCAAGCGGAAGCGTCTTCTCCGTGCATTTCCCATTCGAGACCTCCCATCTGAAGTATGCTTCGGATGCCATCAACACCTCGCTTATTATCGCTCTCCTCGGCTTCTTCGAATCTTCCGTGGCGGCCAAATCACTGGGTAGCGGCGAACGCAACAAAGACGGTGTCTCCATGCCCCTCTCCGCAAACCGCGAGCTCATCGCCCTCGGCACAGCGAACATCACTGGTGGCCTCTTCATGGCTCTTCCAGCCTTTGGTGGTTATGGACGGTCGAAAGTCAATGCCTCGACTGGTGGACTGACACCAATGAGCTCCATTTTTCTATCATTGATTACCATCCTCGCCACCTTCTTCCTCCTCCCAACCTTCTACTACCTCCCCAAAGGCGTCCTCTGCGCCATGGTTTCCGTAGTCGCCTACTCCCTTGTCGAGGAAGCGCCGCACGACATCAAATTCTTCGTCCGCGTACGTGGATACTCGGAGCTCATCCTTATGGGTCTCATCTTCGTCGTCACCATTTTCTGGGACCTCAAGCGCGGCATCGGCGTAGGGATCGGCCTCTCCATCCTACGCCTCGTCCGCCACTCAACGCGTCCGCGCATCCAGATTCTCGGCCGCGTGCCAGGAACCACGGACAGGTTCGCCAATGCGGAGATCGACCCCGAAAGCTTGGAGTTCATCGAAGGCTGCCTCATCGTTAAGATCCCTGAGCCGCTCACGTTCTTCAACACGGGTAACCTTAAAAACCGCCTCAAACGTCTCGAAGATCACGGCACGGCATCTGCTCACCCTGCGCTACCCCGAGTGCGCCGCGAAGAACACAACAAGAACGTCATCTTCGACGTTCACGGCGTTACTTCTCTCGACGCAGCAGCAGCCCAAATCTTAGTGGAGATTGTGGAGTCGTACCGAAAGCGAGAGGTGAAGGTGTTCTTCTGCAGGGTTCCGCACGAGAGGTCTGCGGTGTGGGAGCTGTTTGAGTCGACGGGCATCGTGGAGCTATGCGGTGGAAAAAGACACTTCGTTAGTAGTGTAGCGCAGGCGTTGAGGATGACGGAGTTGGAACGGTTGACTGAGGAGTATGGGAGTGAGGCGAGCAGCTCGAGGGCAGGCACAGATACCGGGAGAAGGGCGACAATTTGGTAGGATGGAGTTTGTATCCGGATTAGCATCAGATTGGCGTTGGAGCGTGGCATAGCATGTAGCGTGTAGCGATGAGACGTTATAGATTTTGGTTGATTGCTCTTGCCCCTTTCTGCGTGCGTCGGCCTCTGTGCTTTCCTTTTCTTCCAGACCACCTCATGAAATCGTCTTCCCCAATCCGCCCTCCTTGTCTTCGGCCATGCATGTCCACGGCCGAGATTTGATGCTCCCTTCCGAATTGCAGCGTTGACGGGAGCACCCTGTGGGCGCGCATCGGAGCGTTCGCCGCACCTTCCTCGGCTGCTGTCCCCTCGGAGAAACGCGCCGTCCGCAGCCATGGAGACGGACCAGATCCCCTCCCACGGAACCACGAGCTATCAACGCCTGGCCACAACCTCACATTTCGCGGTCCGCAATCCTTAGTCGTCTTCATGCTCGCATCCTGCGATTACGACATGCATACACAACTATGCCAATTCGGATTCTGGCCGAGCTATCATCGGGTTGCAACGCTACGATAGCGCGGGTCCAACACACCACACCGGTGCTGCATCTGCGAGTGAGCGTATCAGGCTGCCCGCGCTGAGACGATGCCGGAACTAAGACGCAATCATCGTGATGCCTGCCGATCCATCGGATAAGGGCAAAAGGTCCTCGCATCGAGACGAATCGCAAAACAGCAGAATCACTTTCAATTCTTTGTTGTCCCTCAGAACGAAACTTGTCCACGACAAAATCAACGTCGCCTCATCAGAGCGCCCGTTGCGTGACGTCGACGGCCCTCGCGACAAGCCTTTGTGCTCATGTGCCACGGCGCCTTAACCCCGTCTGGGCAGCACGTTTGACCGGCTTGTTTGCTCGGCCAAGCATGCTTAGCAGCTCGGCTTGCGAATCGGCGCGTGCCATCCCTGCAACAACGCCCCAATCCCCGGGGTGATTGGCGGGGAGAGCCCGCGGGGTTGAGCACGAGTGGGGAATCGAGCTGGGCCGCTGTCACGGGAGAGGTGAATGGAGGCAGAAATGATGCCGATGAGGAAGGACATGCTGCCGATCGCGGTTGGTTTGGGTCATAGTGGCTGGGGTAAGCTAGAGCTGTGGGGAGTGGTTTAAAGATGGAGTGCGCTGTGGAGATGGACGCTTCTCTCGCATCTCGTACGCTTTTCTTTTGGGTCTTGTCTCCAGTAGGACGAGGCTTAAGGTGCTGACGAGGCGACAACGACGCGGTACGAAGTACATTGGTTCCATTGCCAACACTTCGTCTACGCACGCTGTGCTACCTTTCGGTCACAATCTTGCGCTGACTTCGCCTTCTCGTCCATCATAACTCCAAACAGAAAGCCATGGACCCCGAGAAAGACAACTACGCCCGCCCTGAGCTGGGCTCCGGCCAGCCAGCGGGCCACATGTCCGCCGGTCGCTACATCGCGACGCGCATCTCCACTCTCAAACCTCCCATGGCCAAAGTCTCCAATCCAATCCGCCTCCTACGCCTCCTGAACTTCCAGCAATGGATGTTCTTCCTCGTCGCCTTCTGCGCCTGGACTTGGGACGCCTTCGATTTCTTCACTGTTTCGCTGACTGTCGAGGACCTCGCTGAGTCGTTCGGCAAGACCAAGACTGATATTACATGGGGGTCAGTGCTTGTTGGATGTACCCTGATTGCTGTCTCTAACAACCAACAGAATTACCCTGGTGCTGATGTTGCGTTCTGTGGGTAGTATTATTTTTGGACTTGCGGCGGATCGTTATGGGAGGAAGTGGCCGTTTATCATCAACAACGTGCTCTTCATTGTTCTGGAGCTCGGGACTGGATTCTGCTCTACCTACAATAGCTTCTTGGGTGTGAGAGCGTTGTTCGGAATTGCGATGGGAGGCTTGTACGGAAACGCAGCTGCTACTGGTGAGATTGGCTCTTTTCAGCACTATTTGCATGGAGAAAGAATCAGAACTGACTTTTTCCTACAGCGCTCGAAGACTGCCCCGAAGAAGCACGAGGTCTCATCTCTGGCATGCTCCAGCAGGGCTACGCCTTCGGCTACCTTCTCGCAACTGTCTTCGCCCGCGCATTCGTCAACACCGTTGGCCACGGCTGGCGCCCCGTACGTCCTCTTTCACTCTCATTCCTATCTTCAAACTAACACCCTTCCCAGCTCTTCTGGTTCGGCGCCGGACCCCCAGTCCTCATCATCCTCTTCCGCCTGTGTCTCCCGGAGACCCAAGCCTACCTCGAGCGCAAGCGTATCCGCGAGGAAACCCCCAACGCCGCTAAGGTGTTCCTTAACGAGGGCAAGGTGGCTTTGAAGAAACACTGGCTTCTCCTCATCTACATGGTGCTCCTGATGGCCGGGTTCAACTTCATGTCGCACGGCTCTCAAGATCTGTATCCCACCATGTTGACCAACCAATACAACTTCTCCGCCGACGCAGTCACAGTTACGCAGGTTGTCGCAAACCTGGGCGCTATTTGCGGCGGTACCATCATCGGATACTGCTCCTCGATCTTCGGAAGGAGGTTCAGCATCATCTTCATCAGCATCATCGGCGGCGCCTTGCTCTACCCATACACCTACACGAGCAGCACGAAAGTTATGGCTGCGGCCTTCTTCGAGCAGTTCTGCGTGCAGGGCGCCTGGGGCGTCATCCCGATCCATCTCATGGAGTTGTCGCCCGGGTCGTTCAGGACCTTCGTCGTCGGCACCAGTTACCAATTAGGTAACCTGGTATCCTCGGCTTCGTCCACGATCGAGTCGACGATCGGAGAGCGCTTCCCGCTTCCGGCGAAGGGGTCGGTCAAGAGGTATCAGTATGGCAAGGTCATATGCATCTTCATGGGATGCGTGTACGTGTACGTCATTATTTTGACGTTGATTGGACCTGAGTTTAGGGGGAGAAGCATGGATGTGCATGCGGATGAAGATATGGCGGAGGCGGCGGCACATGGGTACCAAGAGGAGAAGCGTGTGGATATGGGGAGAGGCGAGGAAATTGAGAGGGTATGAGGATGATAAAGTCCACAGCAGGAAATTGTCTTTGGGAAGATGTGGTGGATACAGAAGGGCAATGAACATAGTCCGGATGTGAGGCAATAAGCGCTGTCCACTGCTAGTTTATATAATGTGAAAGGACTAAGCATGTGTCTCGCACTTCACAGAGCCCCTTCGCTGATCTTTCAATGCGCACTTGTTCGCCCTCTCGCTTGAGCATCATCGCCTTTTGTGATATAGCTTAGTCCTATGTGTCTGAAGTGTCGATTACAATGACTGTTATACGTCGACAAAATTCGACAGTTGCTGTCTGGCGTTACATCGAGTTGTAAAGGCTTCAGAGAAACGCTCGGCGGCATCTTGCAACTTGTGAGATGTAAACGTTGTATGTCTGAGATCTTTGCTGGTAATATAGTCACTGCTGAAGGAGCTATAGTCGACAAACTCCCGTGGGAACTTGTCTGCATCTAGGTAGCTCGTGGGCATTATAACTAGACATGCATCGCTTCATACAATATTCGCTATGCTTGCAATGTGGGAAGGAAGACTCCCTTGTAAAAGTGTGTAGTAACTAGGATCTAGAGGAAAGACTGATCAGATTCAGAGTCCATTTTTTCGAGACAGAACCCGATGAAGGAATGGTTGTGGCGGAGCCATAGTTTCCGTACTAAGACTGACAGACGCTGCTACAATGGTCGGATGAAGAACCACTTCATGGGAGCCATATCAGCTTTCGATACATGTCATTGTGACATATGAACAAGGAACGTACTACGAGGATGGTGAAGAGTAATAGTTCCTGAATGTTGAGTCAGACTATTGTGGTTCTTACTGTAGTGAATGAGCTCCTGAATACCTAATGAGGAAAAGAATGAGGAATGTGGGGAAACTATCTTCAAGAGCGTACAAAGAAATCTCCTAGTCTTCCACAATGTTAACACTTGGCTTCAATGTATACTTTTCCACGGCTTACTGCAGTTTTTCCGAAGCTCTTCATCGTTTGCTGCGGATTCTAGAAAATGTTTGTGCATATCGGCCTAAACTTTGCGCCTTGGTAGTGATGGCGCCTTGTCTCGAATGCTAGTGCATGCCAGCATATACAGGATGTAGGCCAATTTGAGGCGAGTGTCTACGTTAAAGTAGCCAGTTAGCCACTTCGAAGGTATGATGGCCAATCAATTTGCAAAACAACCCCTTCTCATCATTTCGACGCTCACGGCGATACCTTGAATCAATCACGGGCACCTGCAGCTACCGGCTGCATGCACACTCGCCGACATCCCCTCCCGCTGAGTGGAATCTTGGTGGCGCTGTCTGGAGTGGCCCAGATCGAGCCATGGGAAGGTAATATACGGTGGCGGCGAAAAGCGATTTGAACCGCTAAGAAAAGCATTTCGCGGTCGTATTCGTATGATTATCCGTGGATAAGAATAGATGCAGCTGCTTGCCCCACACCTTGTGACTAGGTCGCCCTATACCTAGAGCGATGCAAGATCGACTCGGTAGTGAATTGCAGCGTGGAGAGAACGACGCATGTCTTAGGTTCAAGTACGGGGTTAGAACCAAGTTGGTGTGTTTTGTTTGACTTATGCGAGTAAATTTCTGAATACTCCTAGTCTAATTATTGACGCTATGATGAGCTAGGCCAGCCAGCGTTGTTGGAGAAGGCGTATACGCCAGGCGTTACCGCACCGTTACTAGTAAAGGTGTCGAGATGTTCTTTACATGTTACAGATGCGTGTTAGCATGACGAGATTTGTTTAATGTGGCTTCAGTGCCAGATCCTCATGAGGGGTGCGAGTATCGGTCGTTACGCATCCAATGGAATGATCTACGCGTGTCCATCTCTGACTAATACTAGCCTTTCTGGAGGAACTAACATCGGAGCAATGCTAATCTTATAGCATCAGCTCAGTCACTTTCTTAGTAGGCGCAAAGCGCTTCAAGGGCATAAAGCGCTTGAAAGGCAAAGGTGCTTGAAAGGCATAAAACGCTTAAAAGGCATAAAGCGCTGGGGATGTGTAGACTTAGGGCTTCTGGCCTAGAGACTTACAAGTTTGCCCGCACACCTCGGTTTCATTTGGTTAGTAACTATTCCGTCCGGCTGATTGCAAGATCTAGATCTTAGGAACAATGGACATCACATCAGTGGACTGCGGCGCACGACATCTTTCAGTGGTCTTTGCTCGAACTTAGTGGGCAATGTCTTGATGCCATGCGGCAGCTCCAACTTCATACTTCGGTTCGACATAACAAGTGAAGAGCAATCGGACCTCGAAAGCGAGCCGCATCCGCTTGTGGACTGAAGACACCGCCAGAAAGAAGGGTGGGACAATCGCAGGCAGACGATGAAATGTAACGTAAAAAAATCCCAGTGATGAGCGATCTGGTTCTATTGTCAGAGACGACGTTCGAGAGCATGACGTGGTCTTGAAGGAGGGAAGACCTCCTCGTGTCCGAAAAGCGTGTCGCGCTAGCCTTTAGGGGCGGTAGCGTGAACGCGTCCACTCGTGTTTCTGCAAGATGTCATCGCCTTCCACTGTGGCTTCAACGCCATCCTTCTTTCTCGATGCCGACGTCGTGCAGCGTTGTACACTGCTCAACGTAAATGTACTGTGCGGTCCCGTAACTCTTAGCGACGGGCGTTCCGCGCCGACGTTCCTGCAACCCCACCCGCCTCCACAAAGATCTCCCTATACAAGTGTCCGCCTCAAGATTAAGCGCGCAGTAATATAATGCACAGGGCTCGATGCTGAAGCACGGGTGTTCACGTTTATACAGGGTGGCCCTTGTCACCTGTTTAGGAAGGTGGAATGTGTGAGCGTACTAAAGAACGTGTCTATAACGAGCGTTGTAACAATCACGACCATTCACGACGAGACTTCATCATCGATGGCAGCAAGACAGCACTGCCGGACGGGATCTCCCACTAGTCCAGGACCACCCGCCATCTTGGCTTCTGCCACACCACCACAACCCGGTTACCACCTGCTCGCCAAGCTGCTGGTAATTAGCCGCAATATAAACGCACTTGAGCCCAGCATTGTAGATTGGCTCCGCACCTCACATGATTCTTCCATCCCTTCGAGAAGCCTTCTTTCCGCACCCGACTGAGCCTAGTCGAAACCCACGCTATGTATGCGGGACGCAGGGCTCTATCTCCGAGGTCAACCGGTCCTGCCGATCAATTGCTGACCTTACGTGATTGGACAATGGCAATTCGACAACGCGGAAGGACATCACGAACACACGATCTCAAATCTCGGGGACTGGGGTCGGAGCCGGGTGCTGAGGCTATACAGGGTTGGCACAGAGGCAAGTAAAGTACCTTTCAATAACTACCTTTGAACCGGTCCGACTAGTGGACAAACGCATGCCTATAAGTTCACTCATGCTTCCTCTCCCACTACAGCCATCACGCAATACGACCGTCTTCGTTCGTCACTCTTTCCTAAAGATATAATGGCGCCTTACGTCCTTGCCGCTACGACCCTGCTTGGTCTCGCTGCCGCTCAGTCTCTGGGTACTACAGGCGAGGTTCACCCCAAGCTCACGACCTGGAAGTGCACCAAGGCGGGCGGCTGCAAGTCGCAGCAAACAGCCATTGTGCTTGATTCAGCATCCCACTGGATCCACCAGAAGAACGACACGACGAAAGGATGCGGAGACTGGGGCAGCGGGCCCGACGCGGCTGCGTGTCCGGATGAGGCGACATGCGCGAAAAACTGCGTTATGGAGGCTGTCACCAACTATACTGACTACGGCTTGTCCACCAGGGGCGGTGCGGTAACCATGAATATGTACGGCAAGAATGGTGTGGCCAGCCCTAGAATTTATCTTCTCAATGCCGACGAAAAGAACTATGAGATGATCAAATTGACCGGCCAAGAGTTTTCCTTCGACGTTGACGTGTCAAAGCTGCCTTGCGGTATGAACGGTGCTCTCTACATGTCTGAGATGGAAGCCTCGGGTGGCCGATCCAGCTTGAACCCAGGAGGCGCTACCTACGGAACGGGCTACTGCGATGCGCAATGCTACGTTACTCCTTGGTTGAACGGTGTTGTAAGTCCTATTTGATGATCGTTTGAAGACAAAGCTGTTCTGACATGTCTCAGGGTAACGTTGCCGCCAAGGGCGTATGCTGTAACGAGCTCGACATCTGGGAGGCAAACAAGGTCGCCACTCAAGTAGCGCCTCATGTCTGCAACAAGGATGGTGTCTATGGATGCACGGGCGACGAGTGCACCAAAGCCGGCGTTTGCGACAAGAACGGCTGCGGAAAGAACCCCTACACGACCGACAAGACCTACTACAAGCCAGGTGGAAAGGTCGATACCTCCAAGCCTTTCACCGTTGTCACGCAGTTCCCTGCCTCCAATGGTACCCTCCAGTCCGTCGTTCGCAAGTACGTCCAGAACGGCACGGTCGTTGAGGACGTCGCTTCCACTGTGCCCATGGACGATGCGTACTGCACCAAGAACGGCGCAAGCGACTTTATGCGCTTGGGTGGAATGAAGGGTATGGGTGGTGCGATGAGCAGAGGTATGGTGCTTGCCATGAGCATCTGGTGGGATGAGGGCGGTTTCATGAATTGGCTTGACAGCGGCAACGCGGGACCTTGCAATGCGACCGAAGGCGACCCAAAGATCATCCAGACGATTGAGAAGGCACCAAGTGTTATTTTCAGCCAGATCAAGTGGGGTGACATCGGATCTACCTTCTCCGCAAAGCAGCACAACAGGTGGGACAGGGAATAGAACGAAGCCTAAAATATGTATATAGACGGTTTCTAAAGAGACAACGTAAATAAATCCTTGCTACTTTAGGTACCGTTTTCCATCTACTAAGCTAGGTTGCCTGGTACTGAACTGTACGGTTGATCCTCATGAACGCGTGTACGCCAAGGGATGTTAAAGGTCACGTGATTGCGCGTTTCGGAGCCCCGGACTGTCGTCCTAATGCTCTGAAGGAAATGCCCGCACCCATCTCAATCTCATCATTCTTCTTTGATTTGGTGTTATCGTCCAACAGCATACTATGCAACGAAAGTAGCATTGTCGCGGGTTAAATTTGTGGGGCACACCGCCTTGGCTTTCGCGTGTAACCCCACTCGTCACAGGTTTGGTGTTGTTCCAAGCTCCCGCGCCTTCTTCAACGTCGCGAGGGATGTGATAGCGCAAGAGATCACGTAAAACAGCAAACATCCAGACAGAGCTATCACCACCAGATACTCAAGATGCTGAACAGCACCACCTGCGATGAGGGGACCGGATCTCCGCGCTTCCGCTTCATGGACTTGCCACTCGAACTACGCGATAAGATATACGAAGAGCTCCTCTGCAAATTCAAGGCAGCACCGTCTTATGGCGTCAATGATGTTGTCCAGCACAAGCCTTGTGACTACTACGTCCGCAACATTCACACAAACATCCTGCAAGTCAACAGGCAGATTTATCACGAGGCTTACCCTATCATGGTCAAAATCAACCGCTTCATCCACGTCAAGTTCTTTGGTGGACTGCCCCTCGATCACATGCTCGAGACCTCTACTCGGCGCGTCATCTGTCATCACAAAGGCGCGGTGGAAGCTTTCAAGGGTTTCACCATGGCTGTGTCAGTTACGCCTGAGGGCGTAGCCTGGTTCGATCCCGAAGATCACTTTCTTGTTGCCAAGGCCAATAAGGTCGCTACGCACTGCATGATCCTGGGGGAAGACTGCGCGGGCTTGGTTAGAACGCTGGGTAATGTGCACATGCCGAACCTGGGAAAGACACTGGATATCAGTCTGGCTGTGGCGCCTTATCTCAATGACAGATCTATCATCGAGAAGGAGTCGCTCCAGCCGTTCTTCAATGAAGAGGGAACTCAAGAAAGTCTTCTAGCCCCGTTTCGAGAGAAGCTACGCGGTGTGGAGAACGTCAAGATCACAGGGGTGGAACCAAGCCTTGCAAGCGCAGTGAAGGAAGATATAGCCAAAGATGAGTGGACTGATCCGCAGGCCGTCCTTATGGATCTTCAAATCGCCAAACAACGCGGAAACGACTTCTTCAAGGCCAAGGAGCTGCGTAAAGCCTCACAAACATGGGAAGAAGCAGTGAACGACATCGAACGCATCCACCAGAGCAGTTCCTGGAAGCGTCTCTGTGTCTTGGGAGACACGGCGTTCATCGACGCTGTGGTTGAGCTCTACTTTCTGATTTGCCTGAACATCATCCACGTCCAGCTCACCGGGATTGAAAAACCGATTCGCGGATACCCCCGCACGCACGACGCCTACGTCTATCTTTCTCTTGCAGAACAGCAGATTGATCGGGTCATGAACGCGCGCCAGTCTGATTGGTGGAGGAGAGATTACGTTTGGGAGCCCTCGGAAGTGCAGCTCGCCAAATTTATGTTCAGATGGGCGATGTGTATGAAAGCGGGTTCTTTGCTCAGAGACCAGCCGCGAGCTATGTTGGATGCGTTGAGGACATTAGAAATGGCCAAGCATCTCGTCCCAGATGATGCCGCCATTGAGAGAGAGGCGCAAAAGGTAGAACTTGAGTACGACAGGATGATAGCGTCTATGACGCAGGAAGAGTTAGAGGTGAGCGGGGTCATTTCTGACATTGATTTTGACGACGAGGATGAAGATGAGGACGAAGATGAGGATGAAGATGAGGATGACGATTGGGAAGACGATGATGAGTTCGATGATATGCCGGCTTTAATGAGACAGGATGAAACGGACGACGATTATTCGGATATGCCAGACTTGGTGTAAGCTTATAGGTCTACTCCAGCAAATAATTGCAGTATGATAAGTCGTATGTCCAAATACCCGGTTTACACATCATCACCAACTTCATACTGTTCTGTAAGCTAGTTCAGGAGGCGGTTGAAGGCTGCCGCTACAAGCTTTACTATCGAGGGCCAACAAGTTGCTGAGGACAATGTTAAACATCACGCACATTCGGTGTGATGGTCACGGTGCTTGAAACGTGTACCCCTGTAGGCTTTAGGGGTGCATCCGGAGCGGATCTACCCGAATTCCCGCTTGGCGCCTTCAAAGACCGCTAAATCGGATGCAGCCACACCCGCATCCGACCCAACTTGTCCAGCGTACTTACCTAACGGTCCACTACACTCTTGGATAGCCCGATAACTGTCCTACTGAAACGGTGGAACTATGCGAGCGAGGCAAGCCAAGATACCGTATGAAGTATCGCCGAGTCCCACAAATTATGACGGTATCCAAAGATTCCGCCTTCCACCTGCTTTCCGATGAAAGCTCTGAGATCCGAAAAAAGTCAACAGATTTTGAGTTGATCTACAAAGAAAATTGCGGATCTGCCTCAAAACAACCGTGTCGCTGACAAACATTCTTGTTAACGTGCTCACGTTAACCCAGTTGACCTTGCCTTTGCAAAGGGTAAATTGTTTAGGATCAGTGGGTCAGCGATGGGTTACCTATGTGATAGTGAAGGTGCTCGGTACGGGAAAAGATACATAACAGACGTTCCGCCAGCCTTCTTGTGACATCAACACCAACCTTACTCTCAACGATCTCTGGATATCCTGCTGAGTACTTATCATGGAGCGAGCTCAAGCTACTAACATCTCTATCCTCGTTGTTGGAGCTGGGATTGCTGGACTCACGTTCGCCATCGAGGCATATCGCAAAGGACACGATGTCCGTTTGTTCGAGAGGCGACCTACCGCAGAAACCGAAGGTGAGCATGAAGCAGGCAAAAATTCTAGCAATTCCTCGATAGCTATGTTTCTTGTTTTATTTTGGTCATTTCATGTGTGCAAGCCAGATTGCTGATTAGACCACGTAGGCGAAATGATACTGATCCTTCCTCACGCACTGCGTACTCCTAGCCAATGGCCAGGCTTCATGGAGCGGGCCAACAGGGAAGCGCTCCCTACCCGGTCCGTCTACCGGAAACACGATGGAACCGTTGTTTTGGACACCCACTTTGAGGCGAACCAGGGACATATTCTGGGCATCTATCGCGGCGCTCTGCACAATTTGCTCTATATGTACAGCCAGGAACTAGGTATTCCGATCGAGTTCTCCGCCTCAGTTTCTAAGTTTGACGAGACGAATGGCAAGGGCAGCATCACTCTCGTTGATGGTCGCAATTTTACTGCAGATGTCGTTGTCGCTGCTGATGGGGTTGGGACGAAGTCTTGGGAAGTAGTCGTGGGCAACAAAGAGACTCCCGTAAGCTCAGGGTTTGTTCTTTACAGAAGATCTTATCCTGAAGAGGTGGGCATGCAAGATCCAGACATCGCGAGGGAGTTTGGTGATACCAATATTGGCGGATGGATGACTTTCGGTCCGGATGCACATTGTGTCGTTGCACACGCTCAGGGTAAATTCAGCTATTTGCTGACTTGTTCCGTAAGTCTTTCAAGTGCTCGATCACCATGAGCTAGCTAATATCCCCATAGGACAAAGATTCCGGCAATACTGAAGATTGGCAAAAGTACGTACCGGTTGAGCGTGCCCTTAACATTGTTAAGGGATGGTCGCCTGGCCTCGTGAAGCTTATCGAGAAATCGCCCGATCGACAGATGTTGGAGTGGAAGCTAATGTGGCGGGATCCCCAACCGCAATCGGTCTCACCACGCGGTCGCATAGTGCAGATCGGAGATGCTGCACATCCATTCTTGCCAACTTCAGCCAATGGAGCATCCATGGCAATGGAGGACGGCTACACTTTGGCGGCCTGTCTACAGCTCGGAGGAAGCGGTAATATCCCGCAAGCGACTAAGGTGTTCAATCACCTCAGGTAAGCAATGATTTGTTCACCATCTTCCAAGAGTGTGACATAAGCATCGCTAACGAATCCCGTCCCAGGTTCGAGCGCGTATCATGCGCGCAGAAACAGGGATTTAAATTCCGTGAAGTCGTTCACAAGCTGGACCCTGATTATGTCAAGGATCATCCGGAGCTTCTAGAGAGCATGTCCAAAAACTGGACGACGACGCACAATGCAGAGAAATATGCATACGACAATTATGCTAGTTGTGTGGAACACTTACAGCATGGGACACCATTCAAGAATACGAACATTCCACCTGGCTACACATACAAGCCATGGACGGTAAAAGAGCTTTTGCGCGCCTCAGAGCTAGGCTTACCGGACGAAGATGAAGGTCAGTGGCTATAGGACCAAACAAGCACAGTTATCCATGACGATGAAGAATGCGAACGGAGTGTATGGCTTTAGAATGTGAGCGACGAACTCGAAGATTGAAATTTTGGAACTTGCGTACGCAATGTGGAAGGCAGCTTATCTATAGAAATTTTGCGAGTAGCGTAACGACTTCGAGCAAATTTTGGCATGAGTTCACCACCTACTAACGCCCTACTCGATTGCTGACGCTAAATGCTACAAGTAACGATCGACTCGATCCGACAAACCATCCGAAACAGGTTGGAGCTCTGTGATATGACCATACTCGAAAGTGTTCGTATGATACATCATCCACCCTGTCAAAGGCTTGATGGAATCCAGACATATGTCCTCTCCTTTAGTGACTGCGTCTGCACGATCAGAGGTTCCTGTCCTGCTCTTGTCATCTTCCGTGAGGTTTACGTTTAGGCTGCCTGCCACCCTCCGCTGACTGAACGCTTCGATGCCGAACGACCCTGCGACCATCTGGGTAAGATACTCTCTGCCATTGTCATTGATGGTGAGTGGCACAGTGGCATAGCCGTTAGGGATGTCTTCAAAGTCGATCTCATGGTAGATATCGTCATCCTCGCCGAGTCTGGCTTCGACGTCAAGTATCGGAAGACTGATATGCTTGTGAGACGAACTTCGATGGATGAGCTTCCCATCTGCATCCCAGAAGCAGAATGCTGTGATCCAACCCGAAAGATAGTCCGGCCCACTTCCTCCGGAAATCCTGTTGGCAATCCTGCCCCAAAAGTCTTGAACAGGCGATGTAGGTCCTGCGTCGAAAGTGGCGATCAGATGCTTAAGGATAGGTCGCAGAAGATCTGCAAACCTACTGGGCTCTTTTCCAAACTCGGGGAGCACATCCAGTCTCTGTAGAATATCCTCCCAATCCCCTCGCTCGCCAAGAAGAGTGACTGATGGAATGCCGCAAGTAATACAACAACCGTAGGAGAAGTACTTCTGCATAGCGCCCATGAACAATACGGAAGCGACAGCGCGGTCAGATTCAGTGGTGGTGCTGAAGGACGGTACAATCCATTTCTGCAGGTCAGGTCTTGTGACATTCTCCTGGATCATATTTGCCAGACATTTCGCAATCTTCGCGAAGTCAACGGTATGTACTGAGCCGGTTGTGTGTACCACAAGCTCTTTGCGTCCCTTGTGAGAGACGAACATGGAGCGCAGCTCTTCTGCATTCGCGTTGATGTAAAAGCTTAGCTGAGAGATGATAGCGAACCAGATATCCTCTGGTCGTAGCGTTAGGTGGTGGTGGTGGCTGTACGCGTGATGCGCTGCCCAAACTAGCCCATTCCTTGAGGGCGTGATGTGACTCTGAAGGTAATCTTCCGGTAGAACCGAGCATTGTATGACGCCTTTGCTTTTTAGCGATTCGGTGTGAGGCAGAAGATCTTCATTCGTATTCGCCTTTTGGCTTTGCCATGGGTTCGCGTCGTGCTTGGCTATCTTGACGGTAACAGGCATCTTGTGGAGTAGAATGTCGATAACAAGGCGGAATGTGGCCCTACTGGTGTTATCCGCACAGATGGAGGTCGGTTGCAAAGTAGGTTTGAAGGCCGCAGCTGCCGTACGAGTAATATAGGCAAACGCTAACATGACGTTGTGCTGCTGGAATGTAGCTCCATACGAGGTATTGGAGGATGATCGGACCAATGGGAAGCAATCTGCAAAGCTAGGCAGCAGTGGGGCAATTCAGGCGACCATAATAACCTTGGAAAGGTAAACAGCTCATGCATCTTTTTCGGAGGACTGAGTTAACTCCTTTCATATTCCATTAGTCACTATCAAGGTTCAGCCTGTTCATGTGGCTCCTTTGACCCAAATCGTCGACTACGCGGGTTTGCGATCGTCCAACCTCGCGCGAATTTGACGTCGTGCGACTATGACCTGTTTTCCATGGCAATCTGTGTTGACATTTATTAGCAAAGTCTATTCATGAGGCATCAGCTAGTCGGACGGTAGACGAAATCTAGACTCTAGCAGAGCGCACTAGGGTTGATCCACGGCACGATCACTGTCGCATCCTTCAGTCCTATGATTGGTTTGCCGCACATCGTGTAACTCACAACATACAAAGATGCAAAGCTAAACGTTTTGTGAGCTGGCATGGCGGGCGAACGCGATGAGGCAGTACGCGGAAGGAGTGGAGTTTGACTGACCTTTGACTGTAATGACTGCGATTGGTCATTTGACAGCAGAAGATTGGTCCTTTGACAGCAGAAGATAACCCCCTCGAGCAACACTACGGGATCCTGCAAATCACCAACAGATATGCCTCTGCATATATTTCTATGCCTCTCTATCATCGCTATCTCCTAATTCGTGTATTGGCACTTTACTGCCTTCAAGCTCCCATGGGATAAGCTGTGAGCCTGCAACCTCGTGCTTAGGCTCCATGGTATCGAGCTCTCCTCTTAAAGCGCTCATAGCCTCCAGCCGGGGCTTCCCTTGTCCAGCTAGTTCTGACTTGTCGAATTTCTCTTGTCCTTGTAGTGGACAAACTTTCTCTGTTCGTCTGTGCCATAGCAAAGCTGCAATTCCGAGAATTATCAATGAGGCTGCAGAACCAATTCCGATGCCCGCATATGCTCTAACTGTTAGGCGAGGTCTCTTCGATTCGGTAGGAGGAAGATTTCCGTTGCTTGATGTCGCGTCTGTAGGTGTACTTGCGGGGCCAGTTGCCGCAACAGAAATTGTTGCGACAGGAGCCTTCGCGATGACTGAGATGTCGGTATCACCTTGAAAAGCAGCTTGATAGATGTCGAATCCTCGAGCCTCGTAATTTACTACAATGTAGGTTTCCTGGAGGAATGCGCGACCTAGAGCGTACCCATAATTGCCGTGCAAAGGTCGCCTCAGTGGGAAATATCGTACTCCTATATTGGTTTTGTTGATGAGTGGATAGCTTAGCTGCTGTACTAAAGCTTGGTATGGGAAGGTAAAATTTGTGGTAGTCTGATTATCGTCTGACAGGAGTGAAATGATCACGGACGCGTCTTGCTGTAAGTTGTTGTCGTGAGAAACATCGCTTATGGTGTAGTATGCCAGCGTTTCGTTCCACTCAATGTTGAAAGCCTTTTCGAAAGCGTCGCAGATCTCTAAGGGAAGACTAAAGTAGCGGTGAACACAGCGTTGACTCGTACTGAGCTTGATTTCGAAAGGTCACATACCATATATAAGGGATCGCCGAGTCGATGATAGCTATACTCGGTTCCTTGGCTTCTACTGCCGCAACGACCAGTGAACCAGAAGTGAAGCTCACAGATGATACGCGCACGCTAGGCGTGTTTTCCAGACGAACTTCGCTGTTCATCGAATAATGTATGCTTGTGCTTCTGTTTTCTATGCGTGCTTGATCATACCCTCCCAGTATCAAGCTTGCCGACTGGTTGCCTACGGTGAAATAGAGTCAGACCCAGAAGCGCATGATGGAGATTCTTTCAGCTTACGATGACGACTTCCTGCATTATAACCATATGATTGAGTTTGTATCGCTCCCATATCGAATAGTGTGTCCAATGGCGTGGTGAAAGGCTTCGTGGAATTATTGCCAGGTTGAGATTTGGAGCTGCCCAAACCAAACAGAGCCATGGGAAAGTCCTCAGATGCAGTGAAAACGATGCCTTGCTTGAAGAACTGAATGTCGCGGTCTGTCCTTCCCCAAGTTATCGTGTCGATGCCGGTGGCCCCAGTCACATCTTCACCATTGCGAGTATACGGAGCAAGGGGGAAAGGCACACCCCAGTCACAGAGACCTGCTGAGACCCAACTTTTCGAACTCGTGGGCTGGAACAACCCTCTTCTTTCACAGATTGATGGTTTTGTCTTCATAAAAGCGCACCAGCTAACATTTGTTGGGAGAAAGTGAACCGGCTGTGAGATCGTGGGGAAGCCTCGAAACGTTTGTATCCCAAGGCCTGCACCTAGATCGAATGAGGACCATGGCCCGTCAGGACCATCCCTACTGCCACGTTAGTCAATTGCTTTGACAAATCCTCGAATTAGAAGTTCCTCCCATGCACTGACCATTCTCCACTAGGTGGGACAACAAGAGGCCGTCCAGAAGTAGATACGTTCACACCTCTACAGATCGGGAAGCGCATAGATAATAACACAACGGCGGCCAACGATGAGACCATTGCGTGACGAATATAGCGGGTGGCCATATTTCGATGCTGGAGGCGTGCAAAGGTCGAAGAGCTGTGCAAAGGGAATACAGAAGGCTGAAAGGTGTAGGCTGATTCTGATTCACAAAGTTTTCGTTCCGACCCCACGACTTGGCAGGACCTCAGTATGATATTGCCAAGCGATATACACAGTGGCTGGATTGCTTGTACTACTACATCATCAGATTCTGTACAAAAATACGAGTTGGATGGCGTTATCCTCGTCACTAATCATTGTTCGTCAAACGTGCACCCAAGATACGAACATCTGGAAACCTATGGGAGATTCCAATCTGGGTGTAAGCCGGAGCCGCATGTGCCAATAGCCTCGTTGCCTCGCGAACAATGCCTGCTTAGTGAACCAATCATAGATTAGATCTAATACCACCCTCACGGGTCATACTCTGTCTGTATAACAACCAAAGTAAACTGCCCAAGCTCACGTCTTATTAGAGTATTTCGCCTACAATGTTCTCCTCTTCGCCAGCCATGAGAGACCACTGTCCAGAGTTGTGGGGATCCGCAGTGTAGAGAGCTAAAGGGGCAATTGACCACAATAGTACTTTGCCTGTTTCAGTTCAATGTCGAGCTGCACGGGCTCGTCCTGCGAGCTGACCGCCGGCACACAGTTCTTCTAATTTTCGGCGCCACGCGTTCATTCGCTATACCTCAGCTTCACCGGACGGCTTTCGCGCATGCGCCACTACTATCGAGAGTAATACGAAGCCACCATCGGCTTATACCCGACCTGGATCCTACGCTGTGCAGCCGTTGGTGGCCCCCTGATCGAGGACATTCGTGAAGTCAGGCCTGTGAGTATTTCAATCCTTGATTATCCACTCAGAACAACGACTGCGCATGATCATTCTTGAGAAATCGACAGAATGCATTGCAGGATTGTGAGCAGATTTAGGACTATCTTGATACCCTACAATTGCTGACCGTCCCAACGAGCTGAACGCCTTACCCTTCGGCACTTATTGATATTGGATGCCAGCATTATCGAGTAACTTCCAGTACTATTAGAACTCAACTTCTACCACTGTCAATTGTTAAGTCCAACAAGCATATAAGGTTCCATGCGTGCGATCGGGTGCAGACCAAGGCCAACCTACCCCGAACGATGCGGTCAAATTGGAGTCTAACTTCGGTTATCTAACAGCTTTAGCGGCTTAACAGCGTTAAATTAGCAGTCTTACAACCAAGAAAAAGGCGAAGATAGTTCGGGGACACTTTTTTGGGCATTAATGGACGTCCAAAAACCGGTGGTGGGCGCGCTTGTCAGCTGGTAGATACGTCAGATGTTACCTTGTCTCTTAGACAGTCGTGTCGATTAGAAGGACCTGTTCATTCAGGCTTGCCATGAAAGGAGCTGTCATACAGTCCCACACCGCAATCGACATGGCTCCAGCCTGACCACGCAAGTTGCTCCATCTATCTATCTTGTCTCCACCTACTGACATAGCTCATAGATCCATCCAAAAAAAAAAAAAACTTTCAGTGCATCCACCACACGATCGGGTCGACCAGCACAGCCTCTGGACTATCTTCAACACCTTAGCGCCAGTAATGGGCATTGGAACCCTGTGCCTCGAACCCTTTCAGCTGCCAAGAACGAAGCGAGCCATAATCTCGAGCTGGCGAGATGACGCGTCAGCGATTGCCTGCTCAGTCTGACGGATTCTGAGAAATACGTGAGCCGCTTTTTACGATCGACGAACGAGGCGAGGAGAGGTAGCTATGTCAGTTGAGAAGCGAAGATATATACAAGCGTGCTGAATCTTGCAAGCGTGATGCTCAGGCACCTTCCTAGTGCCAAAAGAGTAGAAGTGCTAACACAGTAGCTATAATGGGAATGTTCCATCTACAGCATAGCCTTGTATCGAACAGCGTTATCCCCTTTTTGCTGACGGCTGATCGTTACCTATGGTAGCGAAATGGGATTAGCGTCGATGTCCTTTCAGTGCATACTTTCTACTTCAACTCCATATTCAAGTCGCAAAAGAAAGAACCTTCAGGTATCGTAGCAGGTCGATTTTAATCAAACGGTATCTCGCATGTGTGCTACCTCCGAGCCGTGCTTTGCTCAAGCTAAGTCGACAAGGTTCCAAGGTTGGTCTCGAAGCACACCGTTTGTGCATCTTTTTGCGACGAACTTTAAACTCATATAGAACTACCCTCACCACGTCATCGACCCAGTGCACGCAAATAAGGCAGTGAGAGAAAGACTCTTGTGATGCGGATGGTACCATAGGGCAAACACGATTGATACTCTGCATAGTGTGCCTGTCTCAGTTGATGACAATCGGCAAAACGTATGTAGAACCGTGCTGATAGAATCAGCAAATCCTTTACGTGCATGCCGAGCACAGTGTAGGTCATTACAGAGTCTTCCCAGTGAAGAAACCATTGACGTACAAGATAGTTTACCATATAATTTCAAGGTAGATCTACAGGTTTATGCAAGAGCAGACGATTCCAAGAGAAGAGTTCGCAGGGCTTTGTGATGGATTGTATTGTTGTAATCTTCGTCGCCACAACGACGATTGAAGACCCTGCAACACGCGCGCTATAGGCTCTATCATCACACTGGGATCATATTTCAGCATTAGCGAAAAGGACTGTTGCGAAAATCCTGGTCTAGTATTACTGACTCGATTCATCTTCAGAGTCGAAGCAAGCATTAACAGCCAGAGCCCAGAGCCCAGAGCCCAGAGCCCGGAGCCCGGAGCCAGGAGCGAACGGTGGATTTGGCCCCCACGAGACCTTGTAGAACAAGACAAGTGTAGCTGCCGACCGCCGATGATCCCTCCAATAGTGAGTGATCCCGGTCTCAATGCGTCATAGGCTGTGGAGGTGAAAAAAGTCTTGGTCCGCGCAATTTCAGCAACAGTAAACAGGGCAAATCCATGCGGGAGCGATACAAAGACAACCTTTGTAAGACCTCGAATGAAGTAAATTTGTGTTAAGTCGTCTGTTGAATTTTCCTCCACGCAACAGAGCCACAAGCCTACGACCATACAATATAATTGACATGGCCCGGGGCTCGCACGCCTCGTTGCGCGAGCCACACCGTCCGTGTATTCAATGCGACCACTATGATCGGCGCAGGTGGGGTGAGACCGCCCCGCATCCACACCATGTGCGGACGGGCGCCGTTGTCCTGTACACTGACAAGCGAACCTAGCTATTCCTGGCGTGGCTTGCAGCAATATTCGGCACCCCTGTCCAAGGGCCTTCCCATCCAAATCAGCCTCAGTAAGATATCGAAAGATTTTGCCAAGAACTATCTGGAAGCGGGGAGCACGACTGTGACCAAAAAGCTCACATCCGTATCCTAGATATACAAGATTTCTATCTTCCACTTCCAAACATCATTGCATCGATGCATAGTGGCCAAACACCAGCAAATATATCTACTCTTATTCCACGGCTCTATTCACCTAATCTAGTATGGCACCATCTTTGTCCTCATCAAGTAAGTCATCTCACTCTACTTGCTTGCTCCTTCCTGACCAAGACACAGGACTCTTTGCCGGATCTCTTTTCGATCTTCGTATCTCGGATCGACAGACTTCTCCATCGAGCGAAGCAACCCCAAACTATATCTTCGGTGTCCTTGCCACGGTGATCGGGCTGGCAGCCCTCGGCCTCACATTCCTTCAATTGAGGCGAACAAGACGAGTAGCAGTATATGAGATGGCTGGGTGACAGTTTAAGAGTTGGACGGTGTGTTTTCCATTTAGAATGGAGCGTAAGATGTACTCTTGCGTGAAGTTATCTAAAAGAACTGTCTAGCAGTGAAGGAGCGTAGGCTGGACAACAAGAAATTTCATCTCCTATTTCGAAGTCAAGGCGGAAATCTTGACGTCGATTATCCTAACGTGATACGTTACGAGATTCTTTCGTGACGAAATGCAAATCCAAGAGCTTTTCACTTGATACACATGATTGTGGGATCGACAGGACCTCACGGTGGGTGAATACTAATTACATGCTAGTCCCAAACAAGGACACTAAATTTTGACCGGTAAAATTTAGTGCCCTCGGTCGGTGTTAGCTCAAGCCTCAGCAGTGCCCTCGGCGGTCAACTGCCAGGCGCAGCTCTCTCCGTGCCGACCGAAACCAACACCGAGATCATTGGCTATAAGCAGGTTGTGCGGGACCCCGGTCCCTTTGCGTCATACGCTGTGGAAAATGAAAGAAGTCATAGCCCTGACTGCAAGGCTGAATCATACTATCATTGGCCATAGAGCAGTACAAAGCAGAACAGGTAATGTGTGTATGCAGGTCCTCGCTTAAACAGCAAATTGCGAACAATATCTTCTCTTACAGGTCGGCCGATGCGCACGAGGATTCGTCGCAGAAGAGCCGCGATAAGCAGAAGAGGCAAAGCTTACAGGCGCCGTTCTCGCTTGACAGGCGAATCGAAAGTGTTACCCGCTCGAAATAGTTTATATGGTTACACAGGTCGGAGATACGTGATAGGTTGCGCTCATCACATTCCTCCAGAGGTACCTTCAAGAGATTCCTTCTTTTTATGTACGTGAAAATGGTTTATCACTTCTCTGCTTCTTCATTGTCCGTGCCCTTCCGAAAACTCTCAAAGCTGAACATCTTCGCTTCCAATCTCTGCAGCCAGCTACCAGATACAATCTAATTAAATCCAAAAAATGGCACCAGTGTTGCGTAGGTCCACTCATTCACCATACCATCCTTCTCCCTGATATAAGCATAGATCACGTATCCACATCACCTCTGCCATCTGGAGAGCTTCGCTTCCTAGGTCAACGGTCTTCTAAAGCTGAAGGTATCCCGACATACATTTTCGGCGTTCTAGCTACCTTTATTGGCATTGGTGCCATGTATCTCGCCTACCTGCAGTTGCGCAATACACGCCGGGTCAGAACGATTGAAAGCACGGAGGGCTATGAGATGACGCGTGGGTTGTAACATGTATAATAGCCCTTTCTTGGCGAGTGAACGGAAGACTCAACGGCAGAGGGAGGACAGTTGAACGCTGAGACGAAAAGTGGCAGAGTTGGGCTGAACAGTGATAGATTTAACTTCGTAGCTATGCCTTCATGTGCGTGTCTGTGCCCGATTGTTCTCTCATAAAGTGGTTGCGAGGTTGGAACTAGCTCGATCGCGTCAAATATAGCGTGGTCTACGATCTTACACTTACGCAGGTAGATATATGGGATTCTTCAGCCGCACCGGCATGCCTAGCAAGTATATATTCTTATGAACAAGTTTCGTTACTGTGAAGAAGAACAGTCAGAAGGTGATTATTTGTATTTGCTGGAAAATTCACGGAGAGCTTCGTCGTACAGGTGAGCACGCTCCACGTGGGATGATCGTGTTGGAATCGAATTCAAAAATCTTGTTCAAAATATTTACCCTGTGCGAACGAGACTACTCTGTAATCATATTAGTAACAACATCTGATGTAACGTACATGTACCCTGTTGAACACCACTCTTTCCAACTCCACGCTGAACATTGCAAACATTCGAAGTAAAAGTCGTGCACACTGGATGATGATCCAAAGGAAGGAGGCCTTTTACCCCCAATTAATATCCGCCAACGCTGTCCTCAGCACGTCCGTCCTGGTCTTCTGCACCTCAGGTGCACTAACCATGTCTAGGATAGCCAAACACTGCTTCGCGTCTTCTCGTGCCGCGGTGAGCAGTGGATCGCTCGCAGGACTCATACCGGTATCTTCTGCTGAGAGGGGTTTTTCTTGGGTGCCAAGGATCCGTGCCATCAGAAGCTGTTATAATTAGCCTTGCAAAAAGGGGGTGCAATAAGGAAAAGTGAGAGGGTATGCTTACAGCTTCTTCGAAAGCGCGATGCTGAAAAACCCACCAGACGCCGGCGTCGATCCTGAGGTATTCCCAGAAATGGAAGAAGGCGAGGAGTGCATTCCGTGCAGCTTCGAGAGCGCCACGGATATCGCACGACACGCCGCCGTCTTCGTACTCATCTGCTTGAATGATCATGACGCAGTGCCAGTAGTTACTTCTTAGGAACAGGTTCTGCCGTAGTAGGCGCAGGTTGCTGGCGAGACCCTGAATTGCGCTTTCTTTAGAGGTGGTCAGTAGTGGAGGAAAGGAGTTGAGTAGATCGTGGTACTCGTTGACAAGGTCGAACTTTTCGATAGGGGATTTGATGATGGGGCTTCCGAGGGAGCGCGGCGTGCAAACGGTGCGTTGGACGAGGTTTGCCATGTGCCACATGGAACGGATGTACTGGCGGTCTTGCAGCTCGTAGGTGGGGAAGATGTCGGTTACTTGGGCGATGTTGCTGATGCTCATGGGGTTTACGGACGTGCCGTTGGTGGAAGAGCCGTTGATCGTGGGTAAGAAGTCGCCTAGCTCATCTGTGAGAGACTCAACACGAACATCGGAGAAGGTGGCTGTGGGCGGTAGCTTGAGCAGAACGGTTAAGAAGGTGTCTTGAAACTTGACGGCTTGCCACAGTTTTCTTCGTTGCTGTTTATCGCTCAGTGAACATCGCGGGGCGATGATATCCGGGTCGCGGTGCAAACCCATTGCGTAGGATTGCCGCATGAGAACGCCGCCAAAGGCCCACGCATCTGAAGCGTGGTTATCATTCATCAGGAAGTAGCATATCAGCACCATTGCTTGCAGTGTGCGCATCGAAGTCCTACTCAGGTAGGAGGACAGCCGCAGTGCTTGTTGAGAGGCAGAGACGTAGAACTCTGCGATCTCTGAGCGCTTGTGGTCTGTCTGTGGGCCTATGAACTGGGTAGCCATGGCATATACGACGAAGTGTAGAGCGACAAGCACAGGATCAGCGGTCTGCTTCTCGGCGTGAGGCAGCGACCAGAAGCGGTCATAGTCGGCATAGAAGTTCCGACGGTGGACCATGGGATAGACAGGGTCGACGGCATCGAAGTACTTTGCGACCAGGATGTCGGCCTGGTCTTTGGCTGGCAAGACGCCTATGACTTCACCGAGCCCGCCCCGGCTGGTCCAGTAGTTGGCAAAGGGATGGTCAGAGCCGAGGCCGAAAAAGGGCGAGGCGGTGTGGTTGGAGAAGGGGATGTTGGAGAGCAGAAAGGGTGACGAGCCGGTGGAAGACAGCGATCCACTGCGATACTGACCTCTTGGCGTGGGCGTGGGAGGGACGGTGTGGGGTCCGGGGGTATGGGTATGCGCAGGAACCTGTGGGCCGGGTCAGGCATGTCAAAGAAGGATCCGGCGCGGCGCGGCGCTCGTGGTGTGATGCAGTGAGATGGCAAGGGCGGAAATAAGAGAGGATTACCACGACCTACCTGGATGGGCAGCGCTTGCGTGTCGATGCCGAGGGCAGGCGGCTTGTTGCTCGTTGCCCTCTTCGCGCGCACGGCATTGCGCGTGGGGCCGCTATGGATCAGTTAGCATCGCGACCCGCCTGACCACCGGCTCTCGGCTCACTCTGTAGATGCGATGAGATTCGCGACCTCGGAGTACTTGCAGGGCGACTGGCGCTTCATGCACGCGAGACAGACAGGCCTCCCGCGGTCGCACTGGGGACGCATCGTTAGCGGTCTGCCATCATCCACCGTCGCGGCTCCCGTCTCATCAATTGATAAAGAGCGCGCGTCGCATCGTCGCATGCTGGCGACTCACCTTGGTCTTGCGCTCGACGCATTCCTCGCAGCTCAGCGTGGGCTTGTTGCGCTTCTGCTTCTTCCTGGGCGGCGCCGGCGACGCATCGTCGCGCGGCTCCAGCTTGAACCGCGCCTCCGGATCCATGTACTGTATGCGCCGTCGTGCGGCGTTTGAATTGCTTGTCAGGGCTTGTGCATCATGGCATTGGCGAAACGAGCGGCGGGTGTTGCACGGTCGGGAATAAGGAGGGATGGGCAGCGGACGAGGTTGTTCCCACCGCGTAGATTTGAACACCCCGGATGGCGGGGCTAGCTCAGCTGGCGGGGGTGCGCCCTAGTATAGCTCGACGCGAGACGTCACGTCTCGACGACATAGCCAGGTCAGGTCAGTACACGACGACGGCCATGGCTGCTGTAAAGCCTGCTGCCATGGCAGGTGCTTAAGCGCCGTGGTACGAGCAACTGGTGGTGCAGGAGCGGGGCGACAGCTCACCAGCAGGATGCGAGAAGGCTATGGGCCACCTTCATCACCAACGCCATCACGGTAAGCAAGGACTTCACGGCATAGAAGCACAGCATATAGCGGATGAATAATCCCATTGAAGTGTACACCTCAATTCATCCATCCCCCAAACAGTGCGTCTTTGCAAGTCATTCTTCACCCATCTCCTGTCATGAGCAATGTCATGTAATCAGACCCATTCCCCAAACAGCGTGTCTTTGCAAATCGGCCTTCCTTCATATCCTGTCAAAAGCAATTTCATGTAACCAGATCCATCTCCCAAACAGTGCGTCTTTGCAAGTCAGCCTCCATACATCTCCTCTCATGAGCAATGTCAGGTAACCAAATCCTCACCGAGTCCCATAACCCAACCACCAGGCCAACTAATCCCACCACCACAAACAGGCTTCAAGAGGACCCCAAACCCCGGTGTTCTCAGTGCAGTGCAGGTGGGGCAGGCACGCAGCCCTCAGGTTCCACACGGCCCGCACTTCAACTGATTACGCCTTCGTCCAGCTAACATTGAACCTCCATCGCAACGCAGGTGCTAGAAACACACTACCGAGGACGTCGCAGTCGCGCAGCCGTTCTGTGCCCCCGTACTAAGCACACGGCCGTTCGGGCAGACATTACTGAGCTGGCAGTCGGACCAACTCGGCGGCAACCCTCCTTAACCCAAGGCTACCCTGGCTCCGATGCCGGGCCTGAAGGAAGAAGAGCGACCTGTCGTGGTGAGGCAGCAGGTACTGCATGCGTTCCTCCTCTTTGACCAAGGGGCTGTTCTGTCGTTGACCAGACTCTAAGAGCGCCGGACAGAGTGCAGCTTCCACCACCATGTTCGCCCGGTGCAGGTTCATTCGATCGCGGCCTCCCACCAAGCTGCACGCTGGTAGCCGTGTTCCAATTGACTTTGTCGACGCGGGCCTGAAGCACCAGCTCTGGCTGGTGCCCAGAAGACACCCCGTGGGGCGCTTCTGTCCGATGCCAAAAGGGAATGCTCGAAGCTCAGGACCAGGAGCGGTATTCACGGTGGAGAGATGCTGTCATGATGTACAATGACTTGTACCTGTGTGATGGCCAAGTTGAAAGTGACAATGCCATGTCGAGGTGATGGCATGTCGAAGGGGTATTGGCATGATATGAGGTGGCATAATGAAGTGGTGATGCCAAGTCAAGGTGATGAAGACATGTTGATTAATCGACATGATGCCGGGTCTTCGTGGCCATACCAAGTGAGATGGTCGACGACATATTGTTGGCATGTTGTAACCCAAGCTCAAGATGATCTTGAGGTATGATGAGGTCAGCAAGGTGATGTGATGACATGGAGTCAGAGTTCTGTTCGAATCAACCAAGGATGCAAGTGAGTGGCATGCATGACGTACCAATGGGAGCTTCGAGCAAGCCGAGCGTGAGTCCGCGTTGTCCAACGCTCAAGGTAACGCGAGGGGTTACTGACATTGAGCGAGGGAAGCAGCCATGATGGGACAAGACCAGCTGCAGTCAGATGACTTTACAGAAGGTGCGACTGCCAAGAGAGAGGTTGGTGTCGAGTGGAGAGAAGGGACTGGCGGAGGGCGGGGGCGCGCCTGCTTATATAGGCAGCGGGAAGCTAGCACGGACCAACGCGCTCGTTGGCCGGCCCAAGTTGTTGATCTGGGAGCCGTCTTCACCTGCAAACGCGCTTCTGGAAATTTCGCCGCCAGGGGAAGGCCTAGAAAAGCGTGGTCTGGCGCCTGGAGCTCGAGTGAAACTTTGGCATCGTGGTAGCGTTCAAGTGCCCTAAGACTCATAGCATCAGAGGACTATGGTATAAGCTCTCGGCCGATGAACTTATCGCGCATTATAGTGGACGCGTCTGCGAGTGCGATCACCTTCACCACCATGTCGATTTCGGATGCTTCACTATCCGTCTAGGTTTGCCATCCACTGGAGATTCCATCAGTATTTCGAACCTCAAGATGAGCGGCAATGGTCCGTTCTCGAAGCTCGAAGCTAGTATCAACATGTACCATCATACGCTTGAAGTGATGATAGAAAGCTCGCGATGAGACTTGCAGCATTGCCCTGGCTAACGATCCTTGTGTAGAGATATCGGGCGTTGTGACAAGGTCGAGTGGAAGTTTTTCGGTTGTGTGCTTTATTCCAGGAAAATGGATACAGTAGTGATCATTTCAGAAATTCGGGTCGTTTTCGGAACTGGGGCCTTTCGAGATGTGCGTCCGGCCATATTGGTCCTGCGTCTGGTCTTCTTTCGATAAGACGATCGAGGATAGCTCGGTCAATGATATCACACAGTTCTTGGTCGCCTGATGCTTGAGCAATATTTTGAGCGCTCATCAAGTCCTCACGGCATATCACCGGAAGAAAGCGCGGTGTAAGAAGCAATCTTATGCACTCCTTCATACCGATCTCTGTTGCCAGTATCAATGGAGATTTGTTATCGTTGCCCTTCGCATTCGGATCCACGGCCCATTTCGACGTGTCCGTTTTGCTGTTGTTGACCAGAAGAAGATCGTCTTCGCAAAGACTAAGTAAAAACTTAACATGCCTCGTGTTTCCACGTACAACTGCTTTACTTAAGGATGTGTGCCCTATGTCGTCTTTCTTGTTGTGGTCGAACTTCATAATGCTGGAAAGCGCCGCCATAATATCATGATGCATTCGCGATTCGGCGTGCCAGTAAGCACTCTTCAACACTTCGATGTCAAAGGCTGAGCCACGACCGAGCATTCGTCTCATGTAACGGAGCAGTACCTTCATAGTCTTCGAATGGCCCTTGCTTGCCATATCGACGAGTATCGAATTGAACTGCTTTGGACTCTTGAGAATTAAGCCTCTCCCAAGGAAAAAGTCCACTGTTTCGTGTTTGTCTGTATTTGCTGCACACATGACTGGTGTGCGGCCCATACCGTCCAAGAGGTTCTCGACGCCTTGTCTCAGCTGAGCGTCATTCTCACAAATGCGCTTGCAGATCGAAGTGAAGCCCAACGTTGCGGCAACGTGTAAGGGGTACATTCCGGTAGCGAGCTGTATGCAGGTGTCCACTCCAGCATCATTGAGTCTCTCTACAAACTCTATATTGCCCCGTCGACACGCGTAGAACATAGCTGTTCGTCCTAGAATATCAACATGATGGAGGTCTTCGTCTCTCCATATGGGCTTAGAACCATCAATCGAGTGGTCGTGTAGGACATGCGAGATACTGCGGCCCAGACAATCAGTACCACGGGCGACTTTGTTGTAGCTGTTGCGTAGGAACAAATGCGGCAGTAGTGGAGATCGGATAAAAGACCAAAACGACTCTGGCGCACCAGTGCTCAGAATCTGCCGCGAAATGTTGCTGTTTAAAAGATCCATAAAGTCTTTTGCGATCCTATCAAGGTGCTCGCGATCCTGAGGGGTGAATTGCTGCGGAAAGTGCCGCATGTGGTGGTACTTCAAAAAGTAAGCGCTACCGTGCCGACCGTCATGTTGAAGTAGGTAAATCTGCTGTCGGATTTTGTACAGTTTTGAATCGTTCAGTGTCCCAGAGACCGGCTGTCCGTATACGGTGTTGGCGTTGGGTTCGGAAAGAACGAAGCCGCCTTGGGCCCAAGCCTGGAGTTGCCCTTCAATGGAAGTATAGAAGTCACAAAATCGATCAGAGATGCTGTCAAGGCTTTCCGAGTAGCCGGATTCTAAAGGAGCGGCGTATATAGCGATTTTTGCAAGGTCTCGCGCCAACGGGGGAAGTTGGTCAAGTGTCGTCAAAGTGAGTCGTTTCATAGAGACAAGCAAATCACTACTACCGTTAGCTTATTTCTTGACGAGAGAGATAATGTTCTATATATATTACATCTCCTGTACTTGCTCACGACCGAGAGCTTGCGGTATGTTGAGGGAACAGCCATTTGAAGTGGCGCCGATCAGAACGGGAATCCCAACATCGGCTCCGAGGTCCTTATACGGACGCGCAGCAAGAACTCTATATTGCGAATCGATACGTCCGGACGATTGATTACCTGTGTGGGAGATTTTCTGTGTCTTTCGCGGTAGCTCAGGCTTTGAACAGGGGCGTCTGTCTGTTTCACAACGTTGGCATTTCTGGAGAGGCCACTCGTAACTTGCTGGTAAACACTAGGAATCATCAGTTGATTCAAGCAGTTTACGAGAAAATGTACCTTCTGCTTGTCCTGGCGACAAGCTTGGCATTTCAAAGTACCTGCCATGGAATTAGGCTGGTAGATCAAAGGGTTGAAACTGTGGTGGAGATCGGGGTAGGGGAGGGGACCAGTAGAATATGAACGCATGCACAGACCAGACACCAATCCTGAATATACGGAGAACCGTTCCAGAACATCATGAAATACTACCTCGCTGTGTTGTACAGCGTGCCGACCAATCGCGCAAAGCTGCGTGTGTGGCGTCCAATAGGGGCAGAAGCCGCAGATGCAGCATGCATGTCCCTTGGGAGTCGGCGAGATCGTGTACTCGCGGAAATCTCAAGATGAGAGCTCGTTGCGTCGCATTTTCGACCAATCGCGCAAGTCGTTCGCCGTACCTGTAGAGATGCGCGATCCTCCCAGATAGAGATCTTGCAGCACAGCCTTCGGAGATCTAAATATGCAACACAGTGAGAGTCCCCCACTCGCGATGAATGCCCAATCATCGTTTGATCGCAAACGCGGCATGTGTACCTGCGTCCCCGGAGCGTGCCACCACATGGGGAGCCTAAAATCCGAACTCAGGTGTCGAATAGCGCACCGAACGCGCCATGCCCGGGCCCCTATGTGCGAGCATGAAATCATGATAAGGTTCAGAGCATTTGAGGTCTTGACCGGAAAGCGGCGACCCTGCAAAGATTCTCTCGGGAAAAAAAGAACATAAGATGAGCACTGGCGCAACATCTCCGTTTCGTTTTCGCTGAGAATTGGCGTGAGATTTCAAGCAACTCAGGGATCGAAACCGAGCCCAAGGGGTTCTAGTACCATTCTTGCGTAAAACTTCCCAATACCAACATGACAACTTGTATGCTAACCAGCTAGAAAGATAAAAACTCGAGCCCGCACCATGTCTTCAGGTCAGCATTCTGGGCTTGAGGTCGTCAACACAGTGGCTTCAGTAATATCAGCCTATTTTACGATGGTCGGCGTTGGCATCGCGGTATTGCACTGGAGGAATCTCCGAGAGCGACTGAAAGGCACGAGGGAGGTGTACGAGCGTGAAGCTTAGGAGCCATAGGTGGGTCGAAAGCTTTTCCTTCACAAGTCCAAATTTCTTCTTACGGCAGGTCAGATGGAGACTGCCTTCGGAATCCTGCATGTCCAACGCAGCCTACTAATGCAGGTTACCTCCAGGCTGGATGCACCAGATAACGTGGGGTTTACTCTAGAGAAACAGACTTGACGAGACATGTTATTGAGTGCGGTAGCTGATGCAGGCTGCAAGCTCAGAGGCTAAGTAGGTGTACTGGCGGAGACTTGTGGTCGCGTATTGCACATAGTGTTCAGAATTCAGTCCGATATTCGTTTGCTATGTGTTGATCGATGGAAGTTGAAATGCAAATGCTGGTAACGGAGGAGCGACACCAGCTTGTGAGGGCTGACCCAGGCGCTCGGACCGCGCTACAAGGATGACATCACTAGCCAGGTCGCGGCTGTTGACGCCACGCGAAGCAGGAACACATTCAGTCTGCCCATATCTACGTCCCAACGCCATGTCGCCCAGCCGCCGGTAACAACTTAGCTTGCCTAACCTTTCAGTCACAGTGAGATAAATGGTCAGTATGCGCGTGCTCAACAACGCCCCACCATACGGCTGACTCTCTTCCCTAGGCGTCGCTTCTCCGCCAAATCGTAGCTGGTCCTCGAGCGAGGCACCCAGAGGCCGGCCTTGACCTTTGTTACGTCACAGCGAACAGTGAGTATATTACTACAGTCATGCAAGAGAGCAACCTCCAATATGAAAACCAGTCATCGCAACATCTGGCCCCAGTGGCACATATCCCCAACGCGCCTACCGCAACCCGCTCGACTCGCTCGTCAAATTCCTCGACTCCAAACATGGGGACGACTGGGCAATATGGGAGTTTCGCGCCGAAGGAACGGGATATCCCGACTCGGAGGTCTACGACCGCGTCTACCACTACCCGTTTCCTGACCACCATCCCCCGCCGTTCGCGCTCATACCCAATATCATGGCATCTATGCGCAATTGGCTCCACGAAAAGGAGGGTAGAGTTGTTGTGGTACACTGCAAAGCTGGGAAAGGAAGGAGCGGCACAGCCAGTTGCAGCTATTTGATCAGTGAGGAAGGTTGGACAGTAGAGAAGGCGCTGCAGAGGTTCACAGAGCGCAGAATGAGGCCTAACATGGGCAAGGGCGTCAGCATCCCGAGCCAACTAAGATGGATCGGCTACGTGGATCGATGGGCGAAACACGGAAAGATCTACGTCGAGCGGCAGATCGAGATTCTCGAAGTCCATTGTTGGGGCCTAAGAGATGGAGTCAAAATACAGATTGAAGGCTTTGTCGAGGATGGAAAGCTCATCAAAAGGTTTCATACATTCACGCGGGAGGAGCGGGAGATCGTCAGAGGCGAGGTCAAGACGACGACAATGGCCCAGGCCGTGCAGGAAGTCATGTACAAGAACGGCCTGGGACTTCCTGCAAGCAAGGCATCAAGCGCGAAAGACAAGACCGAAGCGAAGACAGAAAGTCATCGGGATGCTTTCGATCGCGCCAACCAGGCCTCTCTCGACGGTGCGACGGCAAGCAAAGAGGAAGAAGTCACCGACGGTGACGTTGTGTTCCGCCCTAAGAAGCGTGTAGTGCTCCCCACCAACGACATCAACCTCGACATTGAGCGTCGCAACAAAGCCGCCTTTGATGTGACCATGGTGACTGCCGTCGCCCACGTGTGGTTCAATACCTTCTTCGAAGGCAACGGTCCTGAGCAGAATGGCATCCCTGACGATTCGGGCGTGTTTGAGATTGGGTGGGAGGCTATGGATGGTATCAAGGGATCTTCTAGGAAAGGTACCCAAGCATTCGAGAAAGTTGCCGTCGTGTGGAAAGCTCTCCCATCGGAGGAAGGAAAACCGGGAATCGTTATTACCGAGCCGAAAGAGGGCGAAGAAGTGAAACAGTCTTCACCTGCAAACTGGAAAGGTCAGCTCCATGTGACCCCGAGCGAAGGCAAGGATATCGGCATGCGCATCTCCAGCCCAACCGATTCGAACACCGACGTTAGCAGGGCAAGCAGCGTCAAGAGCCAAACTACAGACTATATTCCTCACGTGCTCACAAAGCCTGGCCGGACAAGTGACGACAGCGACACCAAGGACGTGAGGTCGCATGGCCCAAACGGGGAGGATGTTGTTAGCGAAGAAAGTAGCGGGAGCGGAAGCGGCCCGGAATCTGTTGCCCCCGCAGCGCCAAGCCACCTAGATGGTACGTTGCACAAGTCGAATGAAGCTGTCGACAAGCGGATACAGTCTCCCGAGTCGCACACGAGTGGAGCAGAAGGTATCGTTAGTGGGGTGCAGCACATCTCCACGGATGACCTCCCTGATGGCCGACCAGAAGAGGAAATGAAGAATGCCAAAGAGCACAATCTGTTCCATTTGGGCAAGAAGAAAGCTACCAGCTCGTGACCTGGCGAAGTCCGTCAGAGATAGAGACGAGCGTTTAGACAGCCAGTTATATGCAGCTTTCGAATCCATATACGCTATTGCGACGCGGTTGGGGAGCGCTGGTGCGGCGTATCAGGGGTTCATCGGTATGTTTCTCTCACACCACTTGCATGAGCGTGGCGTGGACGCATGAGCGAGGCAAAGGCGTTGGAAGGACGGGTTGGCAGAACAGAAGAGCGGTTGCTTTGTACAACACGACTACGGGACATTTCTTTGAATTATACCACCTATCCCAGCGGGGTTTCCGGCTATCCGCATTTCATTTCCATCGCGCCTATCCCAATATTGCTAAGATATCGTGGTTCCAATGCTGCTCCTTCATTCTACGCATTGTCAGCGTCGAAAGTGAGGCGAACAATCGTTTGAACGTCAAGGCGGTGAGGGAGCACGGCCGAGATTAGCTAGCCCATGCACACGACTATCGAATCACTGAACACACGCTCGTTTGTGCTCCCACGAACCGGGCGAGTCCAATGGCATCGACTTGTGGTGCGTCTAGGCGCTTGTTCCCGTGATCGGCTTTCCGAGCTCGACCGCTTATGCTCGCGGTCCCAGCGAATGGGACCAGCCTTTGGAGAGACCTACAACCTTCCCATTCATGCACAAGGTGACAAGTCTGCGCATTGGTATCGTTTAACCTTCCAAGTCGCGGAATGATCCATGGCGTCCACGCACAGCTGCAGGCAGGGCCGCCGCGCCTTCATCCGTCCATATAAATGGACCATGCCCTCAGCCAGCGCGACGCGTACCGAAGCCTGGGGCTAGTCAGGCAGGACGAGAAGCTTTAGAAGAGATATTATCCAGCGATTGCAATCTGTATTGCTGTCGGCTTGAGCGAGTGGCGCACTTTTCCTTGCGGAAAGGGTGGAGAGGCTGTGCTCAGCCATTGGCGAGGACTTCACCGGTTGCTGCACACCCAGACTTCAGCCTCGTTGTCGCAATTGAGAGTGCATCAGGCAGACGTACTCTAGTGACCATTGCCTTCATTTTGAGCCGCTCGCCACCTTACATCCGCCCGGTCTCTATATCTTAGGGTTATCAGGCTGAGCAACGTGGTTTACTTGGATTAGCCCCCTCACTCTCTTACCCTACCGACGTTACTAGCTCGGGCATCATTGCTTAGCAGAATATCCTCACCGGCCTCGTGTGCAGCGTTTACGTTACTGTCTATATAACCCGCCGTTCAGCACGCTCCACGAGCTTATCGAGGTCAGCGATTGCCCAAGGCAACAGCCCAACGTGGAACCACCAACATAGATACATCACCACCACATGAACAATACAAACACGTCTAGCAGTTCCGGAACGAAAGTTTTAATCACAAACAAGCTTTCTTCTACAGGATCATCATCACCAGTCCTGATACCCACGCCCACAAGCATCGAAGAACCAGACCCTGACGACTCCGCAGTCATGGAAGTTGAGTCCAGCAAGGCTGCGGCGGAGGCCGCCAACTCCGGAGCACAGGAAGCACAAGCACCCATCCCACCACCCGAATTGGCTGAGGACAAGGATGCCAAGCTCAGCCTTGCGGACACAAAGTCGAAGTCCAAAGCTAAAGTAACAAAGAAGAGTGAGAACAAGTCGGACAAGAAGGGCAAGCGAACAGAGAAGATGAAGAAGCCAAAAGAGAAGAGCTCATCAGGATCGGACATCAGTGAAGATAATGAGAGCGACGATGAGAGCAGCGAGAATGAGCGCGTAAAGAGAAAGAAGAAGGCCAGAGTCACTGCGCGAAAAGCGGCCGAGAAGAAGAAAGCGCAGTTGAAGGCAAAGGAGAAGTCAAAGAAGAGGAAGAGCCGGAAGCATGTGGACAGTGATTCTTCTGAGTCCTCTGAGAGTGAGAGCAGCAGCGATAGCGAATCTGAGTCGGAGGACGAGAAGGCGAAGCGCAAGAGGAAGGCCAAAGCTAAGGCCAGGAAGAAGAGTAAGTATGCCGTCTTCCTGCATGTCTCTCATCGAAATTTTCGCATGCACCTGAATCGCTGACTTACTTTCTCATAGGCAAGAAGTACGAGAGCTCAAGTGAAGAGAGCTCGTCTTCGTCTTCATCCTCTTCAGAGAGCGACTCGGGAATCGAGAAGAAGAAGCGCAAGAAGGCCAAGGCCAAGGCCAAGCTCGCGAAGTTGAAGAGCAAAAAGTCGAAAATTTCCGTCAGCGACTCCTCAGCCTCGTGTACAGACAACGAGGCGAACAGCACCGCCGCCACTGAAGCAACCAGTACGACATCGACAGACGACGTTGCTATGAAGCTAGCCGCTCAGAAAGCCGCAATAACCGCAGCCATGCAGGCACAAGCTGCACAGAGCAAAACACAACTTGACCTGGCGAGCTTGAGTAAGGCACTAGCGCTCACTGACGCAACGAGTACGGCGACTGCGGCAACGCAGCCGAAGAAGAACGTTCTCGAGTTCAAGCGGGTGGATCAGGTGTGGGATTCTAAGATCCGCGACTACAAGTACACGGAGAGCGTAGAAGACGTGAAGGATGAGTTCGATTGTGTGTTCACTGTTCGCCGGAGATTCGGCTGGGACAATAAATACCTGGAGACCATGATCGATATCAAGTCTAAGGTACTTCGTAGTGTCTTACAGGTCATCTTCAAGGACTGCAAGAGTGTTAGTCTAGTGGAGGACAAGCCGAGCATGCACCCACACTTGCTCTTTCATTACTACGATGAGATCAAGACGTATGTCAAAAAGACACTCAAAAAGCAGCTGAATAAGGCGAAGAAGCGCAAGGTGCAGAAGGCGATTCAGCAGCAGATTAGACAGGGTCGGCTTCTGTTAAAGTATGTTGATGAGGACTATGAGGAGACGAGGAAGGCCCTGAAACCGATGCTTAAAGCAGGTGAGTACCACTACGTTCTCGGTAGTACGCATTACTTGGGGCATTAGTGCTCAGTATTAATAATGTTTCCAGGCACCATCACATACGACCTTGTCTGGGCTCTCTTTAAGCCCAACACCGTCGCTTACACCACGACGTACGGCAACAAAGACGACCCGCGCTGCTTCAAAGTCGACTACTGCTACGAGCAAGAAAACTGGATGACCCTCGAAAAGAACTGGATGATCGAAGGCCGCTATCTCGAGTACGACGGCAAGGTTTTCGGTTTTGGAGACCACTTTGTGCCAATTCGCCAATTCCGCGGTTCTAAGAAGATCTCTAACCTAGGCACCTACCCGCTAGAGTTCCACAAGGACCCAGACACGCTCAGGGAGCAGCTTATCGAGCGCGGCAAGAAGTTCGTCACGCTTCAGGGCATGAACTATATGTTCCATTGCGGATTGGGGTATCTGAAGCATAAGAATACAGTGCTGAAGCACAACATCAACGGCAGGGTGATGATCGACCCGGCCATATTCAGGAGACTACATCCGAACTATCTGCTGTCCTACATCAAGGCGGTAAGTAGATGCCTTTGTTCTGTTATATTGCTCATGAGAACGTGTGCTGACGATGATTGCTGTAGGACGAGCTTGGCCCAGACGAAGACGAGGACGAAGGAGAATCTGACTGCTGTGGCTCAGAATGCGGTTCCGACTCAGAGACAGAGAAGCTACCCAAGATGCGCACCGTCATGTGGCGCGACAAGTCTGGCAAGCGCCGCCTCATTCGAATCGAAAAGACCGACGACACCGAGGACATCACTTCACAGAAGCTCGATGTCGTCGCAAACGAAGAAGACGAGATCAAGCACATCTTCTCCGAAGAAGAACTACTCATCTCCTCGCCCGTCGTTCTGGGGTTCTCCTTCTCCGAGAAACTCTGGCTTGAGTTCTCCCTCTCCGGCATCAGCGACATCAAGTGGCAAACCGAAGCCTTCGAATCGCTCGTGCTCCCCTCGCAGATAAAGCAGAACCTGAAAGGTCTCGTCTCCTCGCACCGCTTCAATGCCGCGAAGACTATCGACGACGTCATCGTCGGCAAAGGCAAGGGCCTCAACGTCGTGCTGCATGGTCCGCCAGGCGTAGGCAAGACGCTCACGGGTGAATCCATCGCAGAGTTTTTACGCTGCCCGCTGTACATGGTGTCATCCGGCGAACTCGGCACTAACGCCGCCCAACTCGAGCGCGACCTCAACCGCATCATGGAGATTACACACGCGTGGGGCGCGATATTGCTCCTCGACGAAGCAGATGTCTTCCTTGAGGCCCGCCAGCCACACGATATCCACCGTAATGCGCTCGTCTCCGTTTTCCTGCGCCTGACGGAGTATTACCAGGGCATCTTGTTCCTGACAACGAACCGCGTGGCGACGTTCGATGAGGCGTTCCAAAGCAGAATCCACATGGGAATAAGGTACGAACAGTTGACAGTCCAGGCGCGGAAGAAGATTTGGATGCATTATGTTGGCAAAGTTCTTGCTATGGAGGAAGGAGAGGCCAAGTCGAGATCCTTTGCAGACACGGACTTCGATGAGTTGGCGAGGAAGATCATGAATGGTCGACAGGTACGTACATTCAGGACAGTGTTACTTGAGTTGGAAAAGCCAAGGCTAATGGGGAATAGATTAAAAATGCGGTGAAGACGAGCCAATCGATCGCAATTTCCGAGAAGGGAGTGTTTGGTATGGACTACGTCAAGCGCGTCATGGAAAGCCATGAGACTTTCGAGGAGGACATGAAGGGCGGGAGGGGTTACAGGGATGCGATGAGGCATTATACCTAAGACTGAAAAGATACGAGTACAGGGTACAATCGCATTAGAGAGAGATGTACAAATTGTTTACAGGGAAATACGTTTTGCTGGGTTGGATTCGGGAAGGCAGGTGTAGAGGCATTGGGGCAATCGGATATGTTACGGCCGTATGTATAACTATTAGATGAATACGTCACTCAATGTCTGGCAACAACAGTCACAATGAAACGTATATCCAAAAATTTGTGCTCTCCGTGCGACTGAGACAGCTCTCAACAATAATGATCAAAATCGTGATACCTTAGGTGAACAAAGCAGTCTTGGAATGAACGAGTGTTGATCAATTGGCAGTTTCGCGTCTGGGCGGTAATTCGGCGCGGACAGCGAGGTCGTGAGAAATATGATGACCGTAGGTCTCCGGTCCGCTGCGTGTCTGGTTTAGCTTTCTAAATCAAGATCGGCGTTCGATACGAAGAAGACGAATGAGGAACTAGAATCTCGGGGTTTAGTGAAACTCTTTTCGAAATTAAGTTTACACATTGCTTCGCCGATGCTACGTTCACAGGTAGTCTTCCCTTTTCAGTGCGGAATGCTGTTGGCCTTTACCAAGATTGGGAAGTCTCGTATCTAATCAGGTGTATGGACACATCGAAGAACGAGTGTGCTCTTGTACTAAGCGCTGGCCTATGACATACAAGTCCGTCGACAGGGCCTTCCCTGTTTCGGTGCAGCGTTGTCCCAGCATCGGTACGTTTTGCCCCGGAGAACATGCTTTATGCTAATATACATCGAACTGCTGCACTATAACTAACGGGTGCGATTTGGATAATTGCATAGATCGCTTAGGCGCACGCGCCGATAGCTGGAACAATAATCGCCGCTAATATGTCTTTATTCGGTACGAGAGCCGCAATGAGAAAAGGGCTCTTACTACTTCTAAAAAGTCGGATCCAAAATCATTTAAAGAAAGGTATCACGGTGTGAAGAGTCCCTGCAGAACTTGAAGATGCATTTCATCGATCGCGTAGTGACAGCTCTTGCGCTCTGTGGAGGTGCGAATGCAGCCTTTGGGTTAACGTCGACGAGCTCGAAGTATACTGTGGATACAGATGGTGGGTTGGTGTTCGAAGTCAGCAGGCATGTCGATTTGTACCCGTTTGTATGCTTCTTGCCATATGTGCTAATTATTGAGAAGGTCCAATGGTGATATAACCAGCCTGAAATACAATGGCGTGGAGTACCAAGGTACTAGTAAAGCCTCAGCGATCAATTCCGGCCTCGGCACCTCCACTGTCACTGGCGAGACAGTGAATGGCTATGTCAAGATCACGGTCAAGGCCTCTGGGCTTCCAGTAACACAATACTATGTCGCGAAACCGAAGGAGCCAACGATCTACATGGCTACGTACATTACTGGGGAGGTCGACCCTGGAGAGCTACGATGGTTGGCACGATTGAAGACCTCAGAGCTTCCCACTGGTGTACATGGCAATGTGGGTGACACCCGAGGTTGCACTGCATTCGAAGGCAAAGACACTTTCAATTGCCCTGATGGCACGACGCGATGCAAGATGTACACTTCGGACAGATTCATTGATGACAAGGTACACTGTGTGTCAGGATCAGTAAGATGTTTCACCCTTCTCTTTTCGAGCGAGACATTTCCGTTGACGCATAACAGAAAACTCAGGTATGCATGGTCATGCCAGGCACTGCGTACGAGACTTCTGCAAGCGGTCCATTCATGCGTGACATCAACAGCCAAACCACGTCCAGCGATCAAGAGCTTTATTGGTACATGAACTCGGGACATGTCCGCACAGAAAAATGGCGCTTTGGCCTTCAAGGCCCGTATGCGATGACCTTTACCTCGCCCAACACGAAGCCTTCCGAGAACCTTGATACGAGCTTCTTCGGCACTCTCAGTATCCAAGGATATGTTGCGGCCAGTGGGCGTGGAACGGTAACCGGAGCTGCCACAGGAGTACCAAGTGGATTCGAGACGGTCGTGCACTGGTTCAATACCAACGCGCAGTACTGGACCAAAGCGAGTGGTGGGAAATTCACATCACCGCTGATGAAACCTGGATCTTATAGTATGAGGCTGTACAAGGGAGAGTTTGCAGTCGCAAATGAGACTGTCACTGTCACGGTTGGCCAGACCGCCACCAAGGACATCGCGTCCAAAGAGACCAGCGTACCTGTTATATGGCGGATTGGCGAATTCGATGGCAAGCCATCCGAGTTAAAGAACGGCGATAAGATCGAGAGGATGCATCCTTCTGATACTCGCATGAGCAGCTGGAGCGGTTCGTTCACCGTCGGCCAATCTAAAGCGTCCGACTTCCCAATGGCATTGTGGGCAAAGCAAGGAAGTCCTGCAACAGTCACGTTCACCTTGACTCAAGACCAAGTAAAAGGACATGTACTTCGCATCGGTACTACGCTTTCGTTCAAAAGCGGTAGGCCATCTGTCAAAATCAATAGCTGGACAGGAGCGGACCCTGGCGCGCCGGTCAGTCTTTAAAATAAGTACAGTTCGCATTATACTGACAAGTTGCAGGTACTTATCGACAGCCGTGGTGTAACTCGAGGCGCGTACCGCGGATGGGGCGATATGTATGCTTGGAGCGTGCCTTCAAGCGCGTTTAAAGTTGGTTCGAATACGCTCACGGTGGGTGTTTATGGAAGTGGAGATGCGACGTGGCTGAGCGCAAACTATGTTATTGATGCACTGGAGCTGCAGGATTGAGGTATTGACGTAGGAATCTTTCTAGCCATACCGGCCCCCACTCTTTTAAATCAGCAATCTACCTTCCATCACTGGAACAGCGCCTCCGCCCAGTGTGATCGTCTCGATGCCCTTGTCTCCTCCCATGATCACTTGCACATAAATCTCGCTCTTTCTACCCATTTCAACGCCCTGTGTTATAACGTAGTCTAGTGTCTGGCCAGGCTTCCCTTGCAGAAGAGAAAGATATGCTGCCAGGTCACTTGCTGCACTCCCTGTAGCTGGGTCTTCAAGTGACCCTTCTATCATCCTCGTTCTCACGTGTTGCACCCCGGCAACAGCGGAAGTCTTGACATAGAAGTATGTTCCCACGAATGTATCGTCCCAGCCTTGGTCCAATGCATCAACTGTTATTGATGTTGTTGTCTTCACTTTCTGGAGGGCTTCCAGGCTCTCGAGCTCAATGAGTACGAACGTCATGCCTTTGACAATAGACACAATCGGTATTTTCTGGTCATTTCCAACGAACTCTGCCAATGCAGGTTGCACGGCGAGCAACTCGTCTCGAGACCATACCCTATCATGGACGTGACTTTGCATATCGTAAGCTTATGCCGGAAGAACTTTTCTCGATATACATACACTTCATGAGGGATAGCAGCCTTAGCCGTCCTCTTCGCGGTGTCGTATTGAAGTTGTACTGGACCAGCTTTGATATTGAATCTCCCCCCGGACGATGCCTTGAGCGTTGGATTTTTGCGCAGCTTCCGATAGTGCAAGGCAAGCGGTGCCTTTCGATAAGAAGTTAATCATTGTCTAAGGGTGTCCAAAATCCAGAAATAGCATACCGATGGTAGGATGGCCTGCAAATGGCAATTCCTCGTGAGTGGTGAAGATATCCACTGTCCAAACACCGGGTTCATCCCCCACCGACTCGTGCAGGAATGTTGTTTCGGATAAATTGAATTCTCTAGCAATGTTTTGTTTCTGTTCCTGCGTCAACTTGCTTGATGCGGGGAGGCGAACAATTGCCAGAGGATTGCCCTCGTATCGCTTGTCGGTGAAGACATCGACGACAGTAAAATCGAGCTTGTTGGAATCAGAAGCCATGTTTACATGCAAGGTGATGAGATAGATGAGCAGACCACAAGACTGGTGGTGTTACTGAATGTCATCTGACATGACTCATGCCAAGACGCTACTTCTACGGTAGGGCGTGCATGGCGGACACGAGTGAGTAGAGCAAATCTCTTCTACCAAACGGGACATTCTATCGTATTCACGTCGGCGGCGTATTCCACCTAACTAAGCAGATGGTGGGCGGAGGCACGAGTCTGCTGTTCAGCGTGTCAGCTTGCTTGGACGACCTTTAAGTGACGGTGGTAGCAGACCTGCCTATACGGGTCAAGCGTAATACTACGCGTATTGAACGTGATGTTCGAATGAGCCGAGGCGCAAGCTACTCATCAGTGGGTTCTAAGGATAAAGAGGGGACTGCGCAGAAAAGGAGTCCAAGCCACTGAAACGCGCGTCTACGAGGTACGGATGGAGCTCTGCGACTAGCAGCATTTGGGCTTCGCGGCTCCGCAAGCGCCTTTTCAGTGGGTGCTTTTGCCCACCCCCGACACGCGAGCTCCTCCGTCTGCCACACGGTGCCCTCTTGCGCCAGTCACTGTTTCGAGAATCTTACCCAAGTCAGCGTAATTATTATTGTGCTTTTGCAGTATCCATCAAAGTGGCGGCCGTGTCACTTTCTCTACTTCAGATTCAATCGTATCAATGAGATTTCGCGCTTCATCGCGCGAAACATTCATGCAATCCAGCGGGCAACATTTTCACGATTCTTCCTCGGACAAGTGAATTTCGCGTGGAATGTTCACTCAAACCTTCGGTTTCTGTGCAAGCTCTTGATCGCAAACGTGGGGGAAATGAAGCGAGTACTGGGCCCTTTAGACAAGCGAAAGAGACTGACTCGGTGTCAAGCTTGTTCTGCAAGGCGAATCAAGGTTCAAGCCCTTTCAACTATCACTTATAGTCGAGCTAATTCAGAGGCTTTAGTGCGAGGGGGGGCCTCCATGCAAATACTGCTCCCGAGCTCAACAAGTATGTTTACCAGCAATTCCGGCACATGACGAGTACAAGTTCATCGCCGTGACAGAAGCCGCCTATGCCCGCACAGTAACCAAGCACAATTCCAATTTCAGGACAAAACCCAGCGCGGTTTACATGGACCTGTTTGCAGCCTTCATCCAACGATGCCAGTTCACAAGTGGGTTCGTCTCCGTTGACAAAGACTTGTCTCATCTTGTTCACTCGTCTCACCTGTTATATGACCTTGCTCTTTCGATTGGAGCGTTAGAAGCCAGCAGGAGAGCCTCTTGCAGGCAGTTACACACACCTAAAAAAGCCCGGGTTGTGGCATTCACGCGTTACGGCAATGCATTAAATGCGCTTCGACAACAATTACCCAAGGTAGGGGCGGTTTACTGTGAGGATATACTGTGGAGTACTTTCCTTTTCGGCTTGTTCGAAGTAAGTGCCTTCGTACTACAGTAGAAGTTTCCGATGGCTAATGCCCCGATGTAGCTAGCATCCGAAACATCTGGAGAGCGTTGGGCTAAGCACATGTTCCACGGTACATCGAAGATATTAGCACTTGCTGGCCCCACCGGGTTATCGACCTCCCTGCATCAGAGATTGTTTGATGCCTTTCGAGTACTCGAGGCAAACAGAGCTATCCTCTTTGGCGACTATACATTCCTCTCACAGCCTGCTTGGGTCTTGCATCAATCCAACAGGCACAGTCTATTGTCCCAGGAGCACATTCTTCGGAACCCAATGGACACCATCTTCACCCTGAAACTGCAAGTTGCCACTTTCAGTAAACGGTAAGCATTTGGTGTACACAAAGTACGATCGCCAGCGACTGAAATATAGTAGGTTTTTTGATCAGATCGAGAGTATCCCTCATGCAATGAGACCATTCCATCCCACTATACAAGCCCTTGCGTATGAAGGGATAGACATACTCCAAAAACTCTACCAGTGGCACCAACACTACTTGCAGAGCTTGTTATCTGAGACTGCATATACCCAGCTGGCCCTTGTTGATTTCCATGCCTTAGTTCTATTTCATTGCCAAAGCTACAGCTACTACGAATGCTGGGACGGTCTGACGGTCCCTTCGTTGACAAAGGATTGCATCGAGTTCCATGTCAAAGCCATCATAGACTTGGCTGGAAATATCCAAGCGGCTCCTCATGTCCCTGGAGTGTTATTGTTATTCGCCTTACGTATGGCGGGTGCGCACGCAACAGATACCACGGCGATGCGAATGGTTATTCAACGACTGGAGTCTATCTACTGGGAAGGTTTCGTGGTCTCGGAGAGGATCAAGTTAGATCTTCAAGAATTATGGGAATATCAGCGAAGACTAAATTGTCTTCAATAAGTCTACTGATAATATGTGGGAAGGCAAAGCTCTGAGTATAAGGGGGCTGCGTGCCCTTCAATATGTGTAAATATGTACACTGAAATGTGGGCTGCGACAGCTTACATCGGCACAAGACTTGAGGAAGCAAACGAATTATGGACAAAGTCTATTCCAAAGGCGCGATGACGTCTTCCAAATGTAAGGACAGTAACACAAGTGACTATGTAACTATGAATGTATGATACTTCACTTGATCTGAATGTTGAAGTACTCAGTGATCACCCTGGTGCGACGCCCAGGAGAAAAGTAGTCGTAGCCCACGATAACATTGCAGTTGTCAACGTATATCGTTACAGGAATCACTCCTTGATACATGATGTCCCACTAGTACACGCTATCAGTGGATTTGATATCCAGGACAAATAAATTGTGTGGGTGTTCCGATAGGGGGGTTGGGGGAAGGGGCTCTTACAGCTGCTACAAGACCCTCGACGATCCGACGCTTGACTAGCCCGGCGTACACGGCACCAGAATCCACAAGAAACGTTTCTTCGAAGATGGGGAAGTTGGAGTTGACGTAGTCCCTCCAGATAGTTGTAGTATTGCCGGAATCGTCAGAGTACGTGGTGACGATGTTCTCCACGAGGCCCTCGTCGGTGACGTTTGCGTAATTGAAGTTGGAGGACTGCAATCCGGTCTTGGAGGTCACATAGGCGTGAACCATTCTTTTGGAGGGCGAATTCAAGATGTATCCGGCTGCGATATTCGTTACATTCGAGTCCCTGGGGTTCCATGTTAATTTGTAGACTAAAGAAGGAAGAGCGTCATAGGGTACCATTTGTGTTGGATAAAGCTGGCTTCAAACTCAGGCTTTACCAGTGGTGGATCAGGTTGAATGAAACCAGATGAGAATGGCGTAGTAGAAGACGAAAAGCTGTGACACTTCGACGCCTCGGCGGACGTCGTGACAGCAGCTACAGCAAGACAAAGTTGGAGAGGGTGCATGTTTGAGGGACTAGAGCAAAGTTCGCGGTGATGAACTCTATCTGCTACTCAAGAAGAGGTACATTGGTGGGCCTTTATAGTCACGAATGGCACCAGAGGATGTACCCCAATGTGGATAGTGCAAAGTGCGTTTGAATGTTTCCCGATTTGTATTGGCTTAGCGAGAAACCACTTTCCCTATTTGGTGACCCCTAAGCTCTCTCGTTCCTCCACAGCGGCAGGCGTAGCAGGAAGACACAAGGCGCTAACCAACTGTTACGGAGTCCTAATGTAAAATGGTGCAAAGAGCGTTCGGTTACATCCCAATGTGGATAGTGCAAAGCGCGTTCAGTTGCTTCCCGATTCGCATTAACTTAGCGAGAAACTAACCCTAAACGCCTAGGCTACTTGGGATTGGCCCCAGAACGATTGATAGGTCTAGCCACCAGCTGCGCATGCTCAAACATTAGTTCACGTAAGTTTGACGCCATCTAGTTATCAGCATTTAGACGTATGTATTAGTGGAGTGTGAAGATAATTGCCGAACTCCAATATATAAAGAGAATCCAACTTAGCCAGACCGAAACAAAAACAAAAACACGAGCAAGCTGGGTTGTGACGTCCCTGGCTCGGGCATCAAACATGACACCATGATAAGCACGACTAAGTCCATTAGACTTTTAGATGATGAGGACAGGAGCATTGCAGGTGATGTAGGAAGATGCTTGTTGCTTGTTACCTTATCTGTTTACCATCTTGTGCCAGTTCGCTCGTCCTGCGTTGACAGAAGGATCCTACAAACAATCAAACTTCGTCTATCGCATTACCAATCGCCTCTAGGCTACAACACGTTTTCTTGATGCCATTGTGCTTGGCACGACCGAAGAACAATAAGCTATCTTCTCAATCAATCGCACTGCTCATGCTGAAGTTGAGGGTGAGATACATCACACGACGATCCGGAGCGGTAGAAGTGGACTGCAGCAACGCTTTTCGTGTCACTGATCGTTGTCCCCGAACGTTTTTTGCGAAGTTGCCTACTTCGAATACCGAAGCTCTGTACAACGAGTCCGCCGTTTACGGTAGGAGCCTTCGTATGCATCCTACCATGTGGCTTCCCAAGCTAGCCGAATTCTGGACGTACTGACACCTCGACTTTGAGACGCTTGAGATCACGGGTGGGCGAAGTCGCTCCCTCATGGCCTTCTATTCCCAAGGAATAGGTCATTGTGGTTCAAACTCAATGCACGAATCGAATCGCAAGGCTATTTTTAGTGTACTCGCTGCCGAAGAGTTCAGAAGCGAGTATGTCTTTATGATCGATCCCTTGGTAACGGTGATCTACCATAACGTGGTAGCATGTACTGCGCTCATCTATCCACATCTACCATATAGTGTGAGAACGGCGCCGATCGATTCTATATAAGGACATGAAGAGGCTGTCAAGGGAAGGGATTCGATTCGGTAGGTAGCTGGTCTGAAGGTGGAGAGACAAGCTTGGAAGTCGAGAACAAGAACAATTTGACCTGTTATACGTTCTCAACGTGCTGGTTCCTACCGGGTTAGCTACACTCCCCAGTCATATAAGAATCTCAATCATGCTTGTCCAGGTATAATCTGGGACTCCAATCAAAGCGTCTAGATGGCTTCCCCAGATTATTTTCCGATTCATCTTTTTCTTCCGGCCGAGACTTCTTGCAGCTGTTGCAGAGTTGTTCAGTATTCTACGCGCACCTCATGAACACCGAAACAGTTCACGTCCCAGGTCTATAAATTGAAGAATTCTCGAAGAGCGGAAGCATCACGCGCTGAACTTCGTTCTCTTTTGTATCATTTCGAGTAACGAAGGAGCTGTTGAGAAAAATGAACTTGGTAAGTGAGCGAATAGATCAGAATTGCTACATAAGAGATCGTGCCGGATTGGCAGAATATATAATCGCTCATAACCTGAAACAGGCCCATGCTCATACCAAGCATTCTCACGTGATCGATTTGACTGATCACACACGCACTTCGTCAACCAGCATTCGTCCCGCGATCACTCAAGCTAAGTTTAGTCATCTCAGAGACCTATGCTCATGCTTCAACAGGAGCGTTACTCACGAGGCTGGCCAAACAAAGCCACGTTCGCGTAATTGTATTACCATAGATCTACATATGCGCCGATCTATCCCCACTCCTACTGATCGAGCAAATTCATTGGCCAAGGGCATATTAATATTCGACTTGATTGACGATGTACGGACCCGGGATGCTGGATGTCCGATGTCGTACAACCCTACATGAGTCGTGGGCACGAGGATAGATTAGCTCGGTCTGAGCCCTGCTGTAGGCGGGGCAGAGAATTATTCACTTTTCTTGCAAAAGAACCGTCGTAGTTCTAACACATCTTTAAAAGACTGGAAGCGTCCTGTTGCCAGCCGCAGATAGTCATGGCGCCAAGATTCCGTGCCGACCAGGTGGGATCTCTCATCCGGCCGCAAGCCTTGCTAGCTTTGCACAAGACCGCCTCCGAAGGCATACCTCTTGCAACTACTTCCAGCGAAGAAACTAAGATGAACCTTCAATCAGCGACAGCGAAGGCCATAGCAGATGTTGTGCAGAAGCAGTTGGACTTATGCATCCGTCCCATCACCAGCGGAGAGTATGAGCGATCGGTGTTCTACGAGGGGTTCTTCGAGAAGCTTCGTGGAAACGAGCTTCGTAATGTTCGTGTACCGGAAGACTTTCGTCCTAATTTACCGATCTCCGAGAGCTTAGTGAAGGCTGGAATACAGGAAACGCCGGCAAGTATTACTACGGGAAAGATTGAGCACGTGGAGCCCGCGTATTTGCATGTTTGGGAGATGTTGAAGAAGGGTGTGCCGCAAGAACACTGGAAAGACTGCAAGATCGCGTTGCCATCACCTACATGGCAGCATGTTTGGCTCTCGAAGGGCCGGACATATTCTTCAGACGTTTATTCCTCAGATCAAGAATACTTCGCCGACCTAACTGCTGCTTATCGAGCCGAGATCAGGATACTCTACGATGCAGGTCTGCGAAACTTGCAGGTTGATGATCCGCAATTGCTGTACTTCATCTTGGAGAGCTTTACGGACGGCCTTCGAAGCGAGGCAGTTGATCCGTCTGAGCTGCTCGATACCTACATATGGGCTCTTAATGAGGTCGTGAGGGACCGTCCCGAGGATCTGTATGTTGGCGTTCACATTTGCAGGGGCAATATCCCTGGCTCGAATACTGGTGTCTTGGAAGGTTCATACGAAAGTATCGCGGAGAAGCTATTTCGAGAGCTCGATTATGATACTTTCTACCTCGAGTTCGATGATGCTAGATCTGGCTCTTTCGAACCGTTGAGATTTTTGCCTCAGGGGAAAACTGTCACTCTCGGTTTGATCTCCACTAAGACACCAGAACTAGAAGACTTGGATGAGTTGAGGAGGCGTGTTCAAGATGCGGCTACTGTTATCGCCTCTGGGCAAAAGAGAACGACGGGAGAAGTTCTTGAAGACTCATTGGCGGTCAGTCCTCAATGCGGTTTTGCGAGTGCTCACCATGGGAAGAATGTTGGGTCCGAGGAGCGGATGTGGGACAAGCTGGTGCTCGTTCGTGACTTGGCAAGAAGCATATGGTCAGGCTCTTCCTAAAGCTCACGTCGATGTTGTCCAGATTGCAAGGGTCTTTCGTGTTAATCGCCAACAAGAAGATGAACAGATGCTCCGTAAAAGGGCTCGAGGATCATCTTGTGCCCTTTAAAGAGCTCAATGCAGAGCTCTTCTGTGCTTTATATAGCCATCTTTGAGTTTGGTTGAAGACGATAGGTCATGACATTGCAAAGAAGAACAAAACAAGAAGTGACATAACCATATTGGTCAGATAACTTGCTTCGCTTCCCACTCTAACAGGACTTGTACACATTCCTGGTGTCCATTCTCTTTAGCAAGGTCCTTAGCAGTTTTTCCATCACTATCTCTTAACCACGCACTCACTTGCTTTGCTGAGTAGAGATTGGATCGAATCAGGCGATCCAATCCTTCCAAGAACCTTATCCGAGCTGCCTCCATCAACGGAGTTCGTCCTTGCTTATCAGCATCATGTGCAGTGGCATGATAGGTGAGAAAATGCATTGCTTCGAGGCGCTTGTAATGAACGGCATACCACATCGGTGTGCGGCCTTGTTCGTCCATGAAGTTGTCCCCGAGCGGGCTGATCAAAGTTCGCAAGACATTACTGTGGTCGTATTGCAGAGCCAGTTTGATCGCTGTCATGATGCTGTCCTCAGAAAGCCACGCCGTACCCACGATGCCCATACGCTCGATGTTAGCCTCTAGACTAAGATGGATAATGAGGTGATGTCCGCAACTCGCCGCCCATTCGAAGAATGTCCGTCCGGTTTGATCAATTTTTGACAATATGACACTGAAGTCATCCAGTTTTGTATAGTAGGCATGTAATTGGCGAAATATCCTTGGATGACCTTGAATGGCGGCGATGTGGAGTGGCGAAAGCCCCGAGTCCGTTTTCGTGGCACAGATCAATCTCTTCGCTACCAAAACGTCGACCAGGTCTTCATCGCACCGCAAGCATGCTGCATGTAGGAGAGTGCGACCAACATGATCATACGGATCCTTGGTTATAGTTGTTGCCACTCCATCAAGTCCTGCATCGTATTCTTGGAGTGCGATGGATCGACCTAGACAGTCTCTCACACCAAGCAAACGAACGTCCTGTCTGATCAAAGGGTCGTGCAACAACTTTCCAGGAATGAAAAGTTGAGATTCACCAAAAAGTTCTTTCATCTCTTCTGGCACGAAGTCGTCTAGGATAGGCTCCGCTGAAAATAGATAAGCAACGTTGTTGATGAAGAATCGACGACATTGGGCGAATACTGCTACCCGAGCTGCCACTACACCAAACCTGAGAAACTGTTGCATCAGAAGTATGGTGACCATGCCGAAATGACCTTCTTTGTGATAATCGTCGATTATTTGATCCGTGTATGGGTGATACCTCTTTCGAGCTTCATCGCCGGAAGAGAGAAGATGGCTTGGAGCGTGAGAGAAATGGTCGAGGTCTAGAATCGCACTCATCGCGAGCTTGCTGTGCGGCTCCAATTCGCTGACGTGCTTTTGCAAGCGCCAGGCAAAATCCTCATATACTGAACAAATCTTGTACAGAGAAGATGCATGCATTTCCCGAGCTGGATCGCCCGATCGGAGCTTATTGTCCACCAAGGGATCCAGAATCATTTCGCAGATGGCGGTAAGTTCTCTCAAGGCCATTAATACGACGCAACGCAGGGACAATAGCTGTAGGCTTCAATAAATTAGTAGATGCATGTTGATGCAATTTCAACATACGTAAGACGATCTCTTAGCTCTTCCACTGAGCTGAGATGTGAAGCGGTGGTTTCGGTAGTAGTGCTTGAAATGTTGTGAGATCCATTGGTCATCCGGCTATTTGCAACGTGTGAAGTGTGGACGGCAAATGGCTTGCCTTGTATCTTCTCGTGATGCTCTTCAGCCTTGTGTAGAGGCTGAGAACAAGAAAGGTCCTTTTCAGAACATCTTTTACATTTGACCGGCCAATTTCCTTTGTTCCAGATACACTAATCATGCCGAACCAGTCAATTACTGCGTAAAGGTATCTTGGCTTGCACAAGACATACCTTGCTTTTGACCTTTGGGTCTCGGCAGAAGCGGCATTTATTGTAGCTCAACACTCGTGGTCGCCTTTCCCGTCTTCGAGGTGGTAGTTCCGGTCTCGTTACAGCTGGGTTGCTCAAACTCATGACTGTAAGTATGGATAATTTGGAGAAGAAAGCTCCGGTAGCGTTCTATTGTCAGCTTGAAGACGGGGCTTCGGCGTCTATACTTGTGTTGCGCATGATATGCTGCTCGGCAACCAATCAGATGTTTAACGCACAGTGCGGTCGCGTGGGCTGGGCCAGGCAACCTGCAGACAGCCGACAAGTTTCCCAAAACCAATCAGGATCATATCGCACTGCACTGCGGCGCGCGCCGGCCTTGAAACCGCGCAGCCCGACCATCAGGTTGATTAGCAGGGGTCTTGCGCAGCGATCACCTTGGATATGAAATCACTGGGCAACGCTCACCAGCTCTCGTAAGTGTCACCAATGGGAGTTCATACGCACCGTGTTCGCACTGCATTTCCAACCGGCAACACTACCATCTCTTCGCTAACTTCGCAAATATCTGACCGGTCAACCAAGAACACGGAGTAATGCACTTACCCACTCAATATCTGGACCAATGGTAACCTGCACGCACTGGACGCGCTTGCCAAACACCCGCACTCAGGAACGCACTGAACGCACTGGAGCCGCAGGACAATGCTGCTACACACCGCAGCCGTGACCAGCCTTATGCTTACCCTGCCGCAACCTCATATTCCGCCATGTCGCAGAGCATAAATAACTCCATCCCTTCGATATGCTGGTCTAAAAGCCAAAGTCGGCCACCTTGTTCTTGCATTTGATACCACATAACCAAAGAAAACCATGCCAGTCTCACGCCTCCGCCTCCGCGCTAGCACTGAGCCGCCAATTTTGACTTCTGTACCTGAACTCCTGCAAACTATCTTCGAAGGCCTCGCCGCGATAATCGCCGGTCTTGCTTTTGCCTTTGCGCTGTGGAAGTTCCAAGGCAAATTCCGTGCACACTATTACCGCCGACGGCGGGACCAGAGATCCTTTGAACTGGAGGCACAGCTTCCTGAGGTATGTTGGACGATGCATGACGCGTTACGGAAGGGCCTAATTGAAGGTTCGCGCACAGGTTTGGACTGCACGCTCGGATTGACAATGGGTTGCAAGCATTCTGAAACTGTGTAATCCGGGGATATAGAGCCTTAGACCCATCTCCTGTCGACGAGGATACTTCATGTGTGGGGAGGAGTAGCAAGGCGAGCTTGAGTCCAACATGAGACCAATGAGGAATATCGGTTTCATTCCCTAATGTCTTCGAGGTGTTAGCTAAGGTCTAGTAAGAGTGAGGAATGGAATGACATCACACCATCTCAAGCCTTAGAAACTTCTCGACATCCTCTATATACCTTCTTTCTGTTGTGCTCCTCACCTGTCCACCCTACCTATACAACAACCCCTCCACTTTCTCCGCAATAGCCAAACAACTCGTCAGCCCAGGACTCTCAATCCCCAACAAATTCACAAACCCTTCCAATCCTTCCTCTTTCTCGATGTGGAAATCCACAAACCCCTTTCCTCCACTGGTCGCGCTCGCTCTCCCCAATTTCGGCCTAATCCCCACATAGTCCAGGTCTACAGCCTCCCTCTCAACGCCCGGAAGATAACTTTGAATATCGTCGAGCGCAGCGCCGAGATTCGCTCGGTTGGGTGTGTAGTCCGAGGGATCATCCGTCCACTCGACGTCGGGGCCAAAGCGGATGCGGCCGCCCATATCGAGGGTGAGATGTGTGCCTAAGCCGCCATGGCCGGGGACGGGAGCGGGGTAGACGAGGGTGGAGGGTTTAGGTTTACTCAGTGAGTAACTATAATACGTGCCTTTTGCGTAGAAGGGCTTTCTATGGCGCTCCTTCGGCAATATCATATTCGAAATATCAATCGCCGCCAGTCCAGCAGAATTGATCAGCGTCTCAGTCGAGATGGTAGCTTCCTCGCCGTCTTCGGTTTTGGTGGTGACCTCCCAGCCGCCGCGGCCGGAGTCGATGGGCGAGACGCGCACGACGGGCGATTTGAAGGCGCAGATGCCGCCGCGGTCTTCGAAGTCGCCTTCGAGGAATTGCATGAGGGAGTGGCTGTCTATTATGCCTGTGCTGGAGCTCTCGAGGACGCCTGCTTCGGCGCGCACGTCGGGCTCCCGCCGCGTCGCCTCCTCTTTGCTCAGGAACCGCGTTGGCACACCAATTTGCTTCGCAAAGTCATGAATACCCTCGAGCGCTTTAAGCTGCGTATCATCCTGCGCGACGATCCATTTCCCTGTATTCCTGTGCGGGACCGAGTGTTTTTTTGCAGAGCTCGTACAGCATTGATTTTCCCTTGATGCAGAGCCATGTTTTTTGGGAATTGGGACCATAGTATAAGCCCGCATGTATGACCTCTGAATTCCGCGAGGATGTTTCCGTGCCCACGCTACCATGCCTCTCGATGAGAACTGTTGATGCGCCTTTCCGACTTTGTAGTTGGCGCGCTATAGCTAGGCCTACTACGCCGCCACCGATGACCGCGTGCGTGAAGTCTGCATCTCTCCGCGCGCTCGTGCTGAATCCCCTCTGTATCAATCGACGAACACAAGTCCTGTGTATAGCTCTTTGCAACATCATTGCGCAACTCTGGCGGTTGGCCACCTCTGCGATCGTGTCGTTGATTGCCCTCAGAGAATATTGACACGCTGATGAAAGTTTGTGGCAGCAATTGGGACCAAGAGAAACGAAAAACGCGGAATGCAGAGGGCAGTCAGCTTCATTGGGACAACAGCATCTTAGATACGCGCCGTTCGTGCTGATGAGACACAGATGAAGGTTCCTATCGGTCGGCGAGTTGCTTTTCGCGCCGCGGGATGATGTTCACTCTTACCGAGGCACGTGACGTCATGGTAAGAGTGGGATAGCGCGTGGCGTTACTGCACACCAACTCATGAGAACTTGTATGACTCCAAATGGGACCGCTACCTTCTCAATACCCCATGTACACAGTACGTCCGAAAAAAGACCATTTCGAACAGTCGGGTATCCTGGAGGACCCTGCCGCCGCTCTATCATAGATCAACGCCCCCTATCCGACGGAGCACACTCCGCCCCGCCACGTTTTCACGCACATCAATAACGACGTTGCTGCAGGTACAGAATAGCGTACCGCTCATCGTCGTTACCCCTGAAAACATTACTTGGACCGTAGCAACACTTCACTAGAACGACGGTTGGCACAGCAATTGGCGTCATAGATTAACATTAATCCTGTGTATACTTGCTTGCTTCTGCGCACTATATACAATCCTCATGTGAAGCATCCTCTCTATCGCCGCCGATGTAAAGAAAGCAGATGATGATCCAGTCATGGCCGCGTTCTGATCTCGTCGCTGTATCCCAGCCATATGTATTTACAATAAGGGAACGAATGTGCTTGGCAGCACACTATGCAGGAAAGAAGTTTCGGAGAATGCTCCGATAGAAATATGCTCATACGCCAGTAAAAGTCCGACTTTTGCATGCAATTACAAGGAAATAGATGCTTGCGCGGGCTGGAAGCCCCACACAATGCCACTCGAATGGCTATGAGAAGTGGTTTGTTCGTTCATAGGCCAGCTCATTTTGGAGGCTTCTTGCTCAATCTCTTCCGTTTCCTCTCCGAGTCGTTAGATCCGCTGCGTTGGTGACTGGATTCTAACTCAGCAGGCGGCGAAGCAAGCGGTGTAGGCGAAACATCGCGCATCAAACCACGTTGCTGCTGTTGCTGCAGCTCAATGCCGAGCTGCTGGGGAGGGGCCGTATAAGCCGAACGGGTGAGTGGGCTACGACCCTGCCGCTGGTCGCGCTGCTGGTTGCTGTAAGTCGGCTGAGGAGCCTCCAGTCCAGAAGCCTCCCGGGCGAGGGGAGAATTTGTAGCAGGCGCGTAAGGGCTGAGATCACTGGCTCCTCTAGTGTGGGGTGGTCTTTGCGATCCCTTGGATTGGGACATGTAAATCGATTCATCGGAGAGTGACTCAACGGACTCGTGGTAATTGTTCTTGCCGGACCCGGTACCAACCTCATACGGAGAGTTGTAGCGATTGTCGGCTTCGAAGTAGGCACCTCCGGCGGGTTTCTGCGTTGCTTGAGCCTTATGGTAGATGGATGCGTCGGCGGGATCCATAAACGATTCGACACGGCGAGGTAGATAGACGGAGTTTCCAGCTGAGGTCCCAGAAACAATCGAGTCCATGGACGAACGGGGATGGAGTGGAACGTTGGGAACATTGGGATTCCTGGGAAGCATGTTGGGCAGAGTGAGGCCAGAGTCGTTGGAGCCTTGCTGGTACCATCCGTTGGGCAGGCGTTCGGCTGGGGCAAAGCGACCTTCCAGGTGATCGGAGGGCTGGAGTGGGACGGGGGCCGGGCGGCCCTTTTGTACCTCTGCGGCCGCCTTGAAAGTTTCGGGCACAACGTTGAGATCATCACCAGTGGCTTCGGCTTGTTCGATGGCTTGAGCAGGTGTCGTGGTTGAGTCGGCCGTTCCAGCATCCGCACGAGGACCACCCCAGGTACGCTGACCAGCCGTGAAGATACCGTAGACCATGTACACCCAGTTGAAGAAGGGGTTGATGATGAACATGATGGGGTAAAGCATAATCTTGTAACGGCCAAGCTTGGCACCGAAGTAGAGCATAAGAAGCCAGTTAAGTCCGAGCGAGATGGCGATGAAACCGACTGGCAGGTTCTTGACCTTTTGTGATGTGGTGATAAGAGAGATAACCATGATGAAGAAAAGAAGGGCTGTGGTTCGGATGGTGTTCTGCATGAAGCGGACAACACAGAGAATTGGGTACCGCCTCCAGAGGCGGATATCTGTCAACATGCATACTTCGTTGGTGATAAAACCCAGGAACCAACGGCGGCGCTGCTTCAGAAGAGATCGGTAGGTTTGTACAGCTTCGGTTTTGCAGAAAGCACCAGTATTCATCTGGATCTGGTAACGTTCCTGAGCGCCAATCATGAACAAGTGAGTGAGCCAACGATCTTCGCCGAGATGGCACTTGCCGTAGTCGAACAGATCGTCGCACTGCTCGGCCTTGTCGGCGAAGTAGTACTTTGACATTTTGCGGAAAGCGGAGAAACGAAGGATAGTGAGGGCACCGGGCAAACAGGTGACAGCACCACAACCGGATTCGACAGATCGCTCAAAAAGCTGACCGTGTATGTATTCCATGTCCTGAAGAAGGGTGATGAGGGAGTTCTTTTCCGTAGTCGAGGTAATGACACCAGTCATGGCCAACATGTTCTTCTTGCTTCCAGGCTTGAGTTCCATCTCGTACATGAAGTTCTGGATGCAGACCTTGTCGAGAATGCAGTCAGAATCGATGAACAGCATGAACAGATTGTCGTTGCGCTTGAGGTACTCGGTGTAGATCTTGTCGATGAGCTTGAAGGTCCTCTTCTGGCAATGACGCTTTCCACCGTGTGGGAAACGAGAGACAGTAATACGGCACTGACGGTATGTCACATCGATGGATTTGGGGTACGAGTCGAGGGTCAACGGCACACCGAGCTTCTCGATGGTGTTGAGGTACAATTCGTCCTCCTGGTCCCCGTCGAATGAAAGGAAGATGTGCAAGCACGAGGGAGGGTAGTCGCAGTCCACGAGGGAGTCTACGGTTCGCAGGAGAATCTCGGGAATTTCCTTGTAGCAAGGCATGACAATGACGACCTTGGGCGCTGATGCCTCATCCAACACGGACTTGATTCTCTTTGTCCGGCCGACGGAATGAGTAACAAGCTGGTAAACGCAGAACAGCCACGGAATAGTGAGGAGACCGGCGAACGACCAGAAAGCGAACCACTGTAGGATCTGAACCATTTCGTTTGGGAAGTACTTGGTTACCTGGCTAGGTAGAGGTAGAGTGACGACCATGATTGGCAAGAAGATAGCACTGTGATAGTCAGCAATTAGTTTTGTGGGGGCACAAGTGTGACGTACCGAAGAGCAGTGAAGAGAACCATCATTATCACGGAAAGAATTCGGATGCTAATGGTTTCGGCTTTCTGGAAACACTTGACCAAGCAGTAGAGGAATGCGGCGACCCAGAGAAACCACTCGAGAAGAGCCGCAAGCATACAGCCGCCAACAATGGCCACATAGACAATCTACACATGGTCAGATTCGCATTCTGCGGTGTTTGTTGCTCGAACCACTTACATCCTTGGCCGGCCAGGGGTCTGAGATGGAGGGGGTGCCATTTGCGTCGGCAGCACGGGCAAAGATGCCCACGTGTTCCCACATAGCAAAGAAAAGTCGCCGCTGTCAGGTGTAGCTATCCAAGAATTGTTGACCAAGGCGGGGCACCGTAGACGAACAGGCGGTTCGACAAGCGGGGCGCACGATAGCGAGACAGCTGGCACTTATATCATAGACGTAGCAGCGGCCAGGGTTTGCTGAATTGAAGCTAAACTGGCGGGGTAGCTGCGATGATAAAGGCAGCGCGCTGGGTGACGTCGGGAAAGGTGAGGAAGCGGAAGAGTGTCCCAGGGCGGTGGAGCGTTGGCCAAGTGATACAAGCACGCTTGCCAGCAGAAAGAGTCGCACGACGCTAGATAATCGAGGGCGCACCGAGCTTGGGAGGCGAAGTGCGATGTGGAAATAGAGACAGCTGGATCTTGAACCGGGGTTGGCGCAGGGTCGTGGTGTTGCGGCGGCTATACACGAGAAGCGGTGGTGGTTCCAGATCAGGAAGGCAAACGAGTGTAGGAATGGAAACAGCAAACGAACAGCAGAGGCACCGCACGCTCTCGTGGACGGTGGACGCGAGTGAGGGGTCGGTATGCGAGGGAGGAAACAAAATACCTGCAGAAGAACGATGCTGGGGAGAGGCCGGGGATGTTTGTAGGCACGAGTGGTGCGGAACGCTGGGACGAATGCTTCGCCCAAAGGGTGCTGGTGCGGTGCGATCGTCACAGGGCCATCAACAGCGCTGCAGCTTGTGGACGGCTGCGCGGCCACACCAAGCCAGTCCCGCGCCGCTCGCAAGGAACAGCCTTGCGTAGCCGTCGCGCCGTTTGACGCGGCGTGAAACCTCGCCTGCTGCGCTGGTTATTTCTGGACGCTGGGCCGCGGTGGGTTGTCTCGAATGCTCGCTTGTGCTGCTCGATGAGGGCACCACTGCCCAGAGTAGACGACCACCCCGGTTTCAATATTGTACCTTCTTCGCACTCTATGCAGAAGACATCACACCCCCTTAACCTCAGTCTACACGGTACCTGTCGAGCATGTACGTGCGAAAGCTGGCCGTTGACCCCTAGCCGCCGGCGAGCCGTGGTTGAGGACCCGCGTTTCCACAGCATCATGCTGCAGTGGTAGCGGAAACACGGCGCCAAAGAATTTCGCGCTGCTTCAAGCGTCTCCGCAACCTCGCGCTGGGGTTTCTATTGCCAAGCGGATCGCTTCGCGACAGCGCACCAAGTCTTGACCAGAGCATCTTGGACCGCCGTACGCTGCTTGACTCGCTGCGAGCTTTCAGTCAATCTTCGGTTCGTGGGCGGGGCCGTCTCTGGGCGCCCGAATTCGAGAGCGTATCGATGTCAACCCCTCCCCTATTCGCATTTGCTTGTAGGCTGGCAGTCAATCGTGATTACCCCCCTCGCATTTCGCATGGCATTGTGTGGCAGACATTGACAATGGCATTCTCGGAACGCGCTGACGACTTGGCTGCGCCGTCAGTGAACACAGCATCGGCTTCCAGCGACAACGTGCAGCAGCGCGGGTGCTACAGCATGCTACAATGTTCCATTGCAGCAGCTTTCCTTCCAGAACGTCACCCAGATGTTGCTGTTGCTATACATAAGCTCGAGGCTGAGCGGGGCTGGCTACCTCCGCCGGATTCCCATGTGGTCGGGAGTACCTTCCACCGTCTATCGTCTATCGTCTATCGTCTATCGTCTATCGTCTATCGTCTATCGTCTATCGTCTGTCGTCTATCGGATCCTGATCTCGTCTATTCCTTGATGCGGTGGCGATACGCGACGATCAACGGGCAGCCCGACCCGAGCTGACGAATCATGTCGTGCAGCTCTCTGGTCAGCGAGAGAAGTGCGCAACCGCGTACGCTGAGGTGCCTCTACGTGTGCTCGTTCAACCAAGTTGTTGAGGCTTATCGTATTCATTTCGCTTGAGATGGGATGTTAACATGTGGCTTGCTTCTGTACCCATTATCACTTGGCGTCGAAAATGGGTTAGGTTTCAGTCACCCCTGGACCAGTAGCTAGTGAATATGCTAACACGAATCAATCCTTCATGAGCGCCTACAAACTCATGACCATATTTTCGCTTCAAGATACCGCTTGGAGGCAGAACCAGCGGTCAGTCCGCGGAGGCAGCGTTGATTCTTCTGGCATAGTCTTCACTGTTTGCGCCTTCCTCCGCGGGTTACTGACTATAGCTCAGAGAAGGGGCAGAATGCTAGGACAACTTATTGCGAATGTCTGCAACCATAACTTGAGACGAACGATACAGCGCTATTAATTCGCTATTCTTACCACACAGCCTGTCGCGATCTGGCACCCTTGACGCTAAAGCATAGAGTTAAGGGCTCTTACATCGCAACTGGTAGGGTGACGCTTATTACCGGAGTACTTCAAAGTGTTGGCAGACTTTTGTAATTCAAGCAATGCAATGCAAAAGAACACTACCATATTGAAGTCAGGCGAGAGCGACCAAATGATAAAATGACACCGGCAATTCCCTATTGTTCTCCACCAAATGCTTCAATTGGATCTTAGGATACATGATTAGCAGCAACACGTACACTGGATCATTCCATGAAGCACATACTCTTAAAGCAACTCTTCAATGGGCCTACCTCCCGAGGCTGTACAGTAGTTGCCAATGTTACACTCTTCTCCATGCCTACTAATGAACGTTTGAACGCTTAGTATAGTGCTACTTGTACCAAATGATACCCAAAATCAACGTCGAGACATAAGAGAATATTCGAAGGCAATTCCGAAGCCTCCAAGTTAGCCCTGCGCATTATCAATAATACGCATCGTCGTCACTATCGGCGTGATTTCTTTGAACGGTGTACGAGTAAAGGCACCCAGGATTTAACCCCCGCGACGCACGGGCCATTCCTGATAACGCAGGTACGAGAGAACTTCGCGACCGGACCACCGCTCAACAGCACGTCACTACCGAAACAAACCGCGCGCTTGCCTCACAAACAGAACGATTTGCTCATTTCGAGCTTGGGCACGAGCAACAGTCAAATGTACGCAAACGACGCACCGGATATAGCCTCGAAACCCTATGTGCGCCTGTTCTAGCGATCCCGCCCTGCCATCAATTCCCGCCCCTCCACCACTGCGGGACCGCCACCCCAACCATGGAGCGGCAAAGGAAACGTGCGTTACAGCTGCGCATGCCTACGCAAGGTACTGACAGAACACAGGAGAGCTGCGCGAGCTCAACATTAGGGCTTGGAATGGAGAACAGGGTATGACACCCTCCTCCTCAATTTCGGTTGTGCTCACACCGCGCAGATGTGTTCCCTGTACAAGCCTCACTCGATTCGTCGATGAAGAAGAATACGGCCTATATCAAGCGTCTACGAACCGGTATCCAAGCATCCGCCCAGTCACAGTTCCTTCAAGACGTACAAACGCTGTCCCTCCACAAGTACCTTTCCGAGATTATCTCTGCGTGCTACGAAGGTCTCTGCAAGCTCAAGACCCCTGCGGAAATCGCAACCGGCGTCGAAGTTGTTAGTGCGCTACACCAGCGCTTCGGGCCGACCGAATTCACTGCATATCTTGGGTGGTATATTGGGCGCGGACTCAGCACTCCGGATAAGTCGCAGCTGAAAACGCTGGCACCAGAAGTCCGCGAGAAGGAAGAGAAGGAGCGCCTCGCTCGCCAAAGGGTCCTGCTACGCGTCGCCACCGAGCTATGGCTTGTCGGTGTATTGCGCAGCTTGGAGGACGTCTCGAGGCCAGAAGAAGCGGGCAAGACCAAGGAGACTGTAAAATTAGTGGAGACCAGCAAAGCTAGGGCAGCTGCAGCCTCGAATGCTGACGCCGAACCGTTTCCACTCGAGGTCCTGAAGGACATGCTAGGGCACGACCGCGAACATGTCAACCTACCTCTGCTCGTAATCTTCGCCAAGGCCTTCTCGTGGGACATACTTGGAGCCAAAACGTCCGCCGCGGAAGGCCGCAAGCATGTCAACGAGGACGGCAGCACCACGACCGACAAGAAAGACGATACTTCGGCGACAGAAGATGATGATGCTGAGACCAAGGACCCTCCAATCATCGGATCCGAACTGCAGCAGCGATTTAAGAACATTCTTGCGCGCTATTTCGAGGACGTAAAGGCGCATCTGTTGCGTGATCAAAAACAATTGACCAATCAAGGACGTAGAAATGCTGAAGCATACGTCAAATCGGGAGAGGTCTTCGAAGATCGCCAGGCGAACTATGAGAAGCAGATGAAGGCCCAGGAAAAGCTCATTGCAAATGCCCAAGTGTTGGCCGATGCCTTGGGGCTCGAGATGCCCGATTTGAAAGAGAAGGACACGTCTGCGGTTACTGGTGATGGCTTGATCGGTCTTGTAAAGACGGGAGAGTATTTGCGTGGTCAAGGCGATGGCGCCGGTATCTGGGAAGACGAAGACGAGCGCCGATTCTACGAGAACCTCATCGACCTGAAGGATCGCGTGCCTGGCATCCTCTTGGAAGAGCCGAAGAAGAAGAAGGCGGACGATGAACAAGTCGGCAAAAAGACCGAGAACAAGACAGAGGCTGATGACAAGGAAAAGCCGGAGGCCAACCCGGAAGCAAAACCTACAGAAGCAGATGATGCATCGACGGCAATTGCGAACAAGTCTGTGGGAGCTCAAGTGGATGCTGTTTTGGCCAAACTGCCTGAACTCAATACTAAAGATGCTGTTGATGGGACAGCAATCGATTTCTGCTTCTTGAACTCCAAAGCTTCCCGCAACCGATTGATTAAAGCTGTGCAAGAGATTCCCAAAGGACGAAGCGATCTACTACCTTTATACTCTAGGCTCATTGCAACCTTGGGCAAATACATGCCGGACGTATCACAAGGTCTTGTCACCTACCTAGACGACGAATTTCGTAGCCTTCAGCGGCGCAAGTCGAAAGATTTTCTCGGTCAGGTCCGAACACAGAACGTTCGCTACCTGGCAGAGTTGACCAAATTCGGGGTCGTCCCTGAGCATGTCATTTTCCACTGTCTTAAAGTCAGCCTAGACGATTTCTCTCGCATGAATATCGAGATCATCTGCAATTTGTTGGAAAACTGCGGTCGTTACCTTCTTCGCAATCCCGATACCTCGCCCCGTATGGCATCGTTCTTGGAGACTCTGCAACGCAAAAAGGGTGCACAGGTTCTTGGTCAACAGGAGCGGATGCTGATTGAAAACGCAATGTACTACGTCAACCCTCCGGAGCGCGCAGCTATCGAGCAAAAGGACAGGACTCCGATTGAGCTCTTCCTTCGAAAGATCATGTACCAGGATCTGACCCGCCGATCGGTGGATAAGACTGTTAGGACGATTCGCAAAATGCATTGGGAAGAGGACGAGGTCGTCAACATTCTGCACAAGATCTTCGTGAAACCAGGCAAGATCAAGTACAGCAATGTCCACCTTCTGGCTATAATACTTGGGACCATCCATCGTTATCACCAAGATTTCACCATTTCCGTTATTGATGATCTCTTAGAATCTATTACGTTTGGCCTCGAATTGAATGATTTCAAGTTCAATCAGCGCAGAATAGCGGAAGTCAAGTATTTAGGAGAGATGTATATCTACCGTTTGGTGGATTCTCCCCTTATCTTCGATGTGCTGTATAAGCTCGTAAATTACGGATGGGAGGGTGGATATGCCCGTCCTGGCATCTACAACCCCTTGGATCTTCCAGACGATTACTTTCGCATCCGCTTGGTATGCAACCTACTGGAGACCTGCGGCATGTACTACGACAAAGGCGCGGCCAAGAAGAAACTCGATTTCTTCTTGTCCTACTTCCAGTACTACGTCAACATTAAGGAGACTCTGCCAATGGACGTTGAATTCATTGTGCAGGATGCATACAGTCTAACACGACCCCAATGGAAGGTTATCATGAACCTGGACGATGCGGCGAAAGCGTTCGGCGAGGCCGTCCAGCAAAATTACCAGGCTTCTTCGGGCGGAAAGGTCGCCGAGCCTGAAGAGGATGAAGGCTCTGCTTCCGATGATGAAGATGGCCCGGATGATGATGACCTTGTCGTGCCAGAAGGAGATGACGAGAAGTCTTCTGGGGAGGAGGGAGAGGTCAGTGCAGAAGGGAACTTTGTAACCATAAACCATGCTAACAGGCTTCAGGAAACCGATGACGACGAACCTGTGAAGCATAGCTCCTCTGATGAGGAGGAGGAGCAGATCATCGTGACGCGACCGGAAGACGAACGGGACCCTGAAGCCGATGCCGAGTTTGATCGCGAGCTCGCGAAGCTCATGTCCGAGAGCGTGGAGTCTCGCAAATTCGAGCGCAAGCCCGTTTTCGACGTTCCACTGCCTATGCGTCGCGCACGTGAGACCGCTGTTGCCGCAGAAGACAGTGGCGTGGAGGCACCTGCCCAACCTATCCCCGGCAACACAGTGAAGTTCTCTCTCCTCAGCAAGCGTGGCAACAAGAATCAGACCCGCTCTATTGATCTCCCATCAGATTCGACGTTCGCTGTTGCTATGCGCAACAAGCAACAAGCTGAACGAGAGGAGCAGCAACGCATCAAGAGTCTCGTCCTCAACTACGATTTGCGTGACGACGATGCAGAGGGTGAATCGCCTTTTCTTTATGACCCCCTTCGACCCAATACCAACAAGACTCGTACTGAAACTCAACAAGGTCTAGACAAGACGCACAACCCCTACGCACAGCCCCGCCTTGACAAGGCCGGCACGAACCGCAGTAATCAGCGATCGCGGAAGCTTCAGCTGAGCGACGTCAATTGGTATGCACCACCTTCTCGTCCACCTCCACATCATCTCAAGACACCCTAAGAAGCTCACGATGCATCGCTGGCCAAACCTACCACGACGTCTGTGCGCTGGGTGGCCTCAGAATGCCGATGTCTTCATAGACATGCTTAGTCGTACATCATCTTCACCAATACGAAGCTGACCACAAGGCCCATACGGGCGCGTTGTCATCTAGGACATGATCTGTATTACAATTCGCAACATCATCCACCTGACTGGTTTTTCACCACTAGAATGCGACGACCCGCCCACTCAGCCTTGAAGGTACCTGTCACCTCTGGGACAGCAGCCATCAATCAGCCAAGCTTACGACTGCCCTTTTCACAGCTCCGGCCTTGAGCTCGCTTACAAAGCCAAGTTGCTCGATACGCACGGAGACGCAGGCCAAGCGAGCTGCTTGCGAGGACGTGTGAAGGGGAGTCATGTGCAGGGAGCTGACTACTAGCCTCACCGTCAAGCGATACCGCACGTGCAGCTCAGCTGCGGAGGTGAGCGACGGTACAGAACTACTTTATCGAGTTTTAGCAAATTGATCACTGTCATTATCGTTGTAACTCATCACAGGTACAATTCTCTTGTGCACCTGCAATCCTGTGTGGCTCTGTAGCTACTATCTAGGAAAGAAATGACAACTCGATCGCTGCGCGACTTGGAAGTTGGAAAGAGTCTTTAACCTCTAGTCGCTCACCGCACTGCCCTCCACATACGTATCCTTGGCAAACCCGCCCTCCACCTTCCTTTCTCTCGCCCATTCCCTAATAGCATCATAATCCCTACACGTATGCGTTGTCCGCGCATCAGCAATCGTCCTTCCCTGGCTCTTACTCCACAACCAAGGGATCGTTGCCGTATCGGCACTACACATCAAAGCCTGCCTCAACTGGTCCAAACAATGCTCGATATGGACATGGGTGTCGTTGACGTAGTACTCCGGATTTAGTCTCTTGCGGATGAGATTCAGGCAGTGGAGTTGGTGGAAGACGTCGAGTCCGGTGACGAAGTGGGAGGGGTTTTCGACGAGTCGAGATGTGGCGTTGGGGAGCTGGGATGCTTCAGAGGGGGTAATCCAGGATATGCCGAAGTCTGAGGGGGCTGTTAGTATACGGGCTCATAAGTAATAGTTATCGAGTCTCGCGGACAACGCGGGAAAATTCAATCGAGGTGTGGGGGCGATAAGATGTAGTAGGCTTACCATATAAGTCCTCCCATGCTTTGTCCACCCGAGGCGAAGGATCTTCCATGTAAATCGTCTTCTTCCCGAGCGATGCATCGAACACGACTGTTTTGTAGCGAACGTGATCTTGAACAGGTGCTGCACATCGGTCAGTATCCGCTACCATTACACTAATTGTCTACAAAGCTTACAATATATCTCTGAGTGGCCGCCACGTGATCTGCTTTGCAACAAAAGCGCAGATGCGAAGACCAAAAGCGAGCCCGCGAACCAAAATACCGATGCAAATAAGAATGACTTATTCTCGTAGAACTTGGTAGGTGCATTAGACCCTCGCATGGTGCCTTCCTCGATATCTGAGGAGCCGTCCCTAGCCGATTCGAGAAGTGGCTCGGAGTGCTCTTCCATGGTGCCACCCATGGTATGAAAGTGCGGAATCAAGTGAACCAGGAATGGTAACGCGCTTGGGTTTGCAATCGGAAATTGGATAGTCGTCGTGTGTCGGGTTCAGAATGTGTCTGGAATGATGCCAGAGCTTGCGGCTCTGTACCTAAGGTAGGTAACAACAGACGTTGGATTCAAGCTCAATGGTCCCCGCACCCTAGGCACTACAGAATGAATAAGCTTTCACGTCATTTTGGAGTCCATAGACCTATCAAACTTTACGACTGATCGCTTATCATCCAACTTGTTGTAGTCAGATCCTTCACATCTAGCCCCATCGGGAAGGTGTAAGACCGGAATTCAGTGTCTCGGGCAGCAACCTCATTCGCCCACGATACGTTTCACAGACTAGGTCCGATCGGGTGGTAATATATTACTGCGTAGATGCTAGGTAGACTTGGAGTGGGACCAATTCGCATATTACTTCCCTCGCTGTACGGACAAACATTGACTAAACCTCAGACAAGGCATCTTCATATCCACTCTTATGTCAGACGTCTTTCTATTCACCTTGGCAAGCCCATGATTTAAAGCCTGTCTGCTACAAGAGTAGCGTGCCGAAGATTCAAGTCCTCTCTTGACTTCGCACATTCATCATTCCGTCTACCTGCCAATTCTACCCGTCTTCCAAGACAAGTCCCCTTCAAGAATCATGCGCGTCACACTATCTCTCATGGCGCTCTCAGCCGTCGTCGCCGCTCTTCCGGCACCCCAGCCCGACTCTGTGAGCGTGGGCGCTACGTACACAGCAAACAACGTGAAGAGGAAAGCATGGGATTACGGGGATGTGGATGCTACGTCCACAGCAAAGAACGTGAAGAGGAAAGCATGGGATTATGGGGATGTGGATGCTACGTACACGTCCAACAACTGGAAGAAGGTTTCCCGCAATAGTGCGGACGTTGATGCCACCTACACGTCTAATAACTGGAAAAAAGTGTCGCGAGACGACGCCGATGTGGACGCTACTTATACGGCGAACAACTGGAAGATAGTCGAAGCTGCACATGTCTAAGCTGGGGAAAATTGTGATTTCGACACGAATGATCTAGGACAGAAAAGGAGGCTCGGTCAGATATTGCAATCGCTGCAGATGAAGTCTTATGACGAAGGTCGCACTTGAAAGATTGATAAAGACAGATTTGACGAGGGTACTTGCACATTCTATTATGTAGTTTGGAAACATTATTCCACGCTATTTTACAGCCACTTGATATGATTGAGCATTCATCGAAGCTGCCAATATTTGTACGAGTAATTGCGCCCTAGCATCCATCGCAATTGGAGATTGTGCCCCAGGCCAGGTGCTTTTTACAATCATGAGTGCATGTTCTGAAGATATCAAATCAGGATTAGGCCATATGTGTTTGCGTGCAGGTGTATTGTGTCTCAATATCCGACTCTAGTACAATCATCTCCTTCCCATCAACCAATCAACCACTCCATTTCAATCACTCTATCATCCACCCTACCACTCCTGCACCTTGCCCTCTCCAGAACCCCGAATACTATCATTAGCCCAATACCTCCCACTCACTCCCCCTACATCCCCAATCGCAAGTCTAACTGGGATCCTAGCCCCTTCCTCCGGTGTCTTCGGAGGCTTTCCAACCTGGTTCCCCATGTCAGTGTTGACCCATCCGGGACAACAGCAATTCACAATAACACGTCCCTCGTTCTCGCGCGCCAAGATCGCGGTGAAAGCGTTCACCGCCGCCTTGGAAACGCTATACGAGCACTGGGACGGAAAGCCGAGCTCAGTGTCTGTGCTGTTAGCCACCGCATTTTCGTACTCGCTCATGAACGTTTCCAGATCCTCAAGCGTGGAGATAGTTCTGTAGCGTTGTGCGAGGGCTGGACTGAAGGGGTCTAGACTCGAGCCGACTGAGGAGAGATTCACTATGCGGCCGGTCTTCGGTGCGAGCAGCGGGAGAACGGCTTTGCAAACATTAAGAGTGCCGCGGTAGTTTGTGTCGAGTGTTTTCTTAGCGTTGGAGGGCGAGAAATGGTCGTCTAGGTTTATGCCGGCGTTGTTGATCAAGATGTCGACTTTCTGGTTGAGGGATTTCAACGAGGAGATGAGGTCTGCGATGCTGGATGAGGAATTTATGTCGAGGGAGGGATATTGTATCTTCTGCATGGAAGAGGTGGCCGGAAGATTAAGGTTTTCGCCTTGACGCGAGGTTGCGTAGAGGATTAAGGGGTGGGACGTCAAGGATGGGTGCGAGAGAAGGGTTGTGCAGATCGCGCGACCGATGCCTCGGTTCGCGCCCTGTTACGATGATGAGCTTTGGGTACGACATATTTAGGAGATGAAAGCGTGAGTTCGTGCTTTGTTGCTGGCGAAGATGTTGTTAGGTGCACAACTAGGTATAGTACCACATGCATGACGTAAAGACCCTTAGAACTAAAATGCTACATCATTTACATAATACGCCACAACGATATGAATTCGAATCCAGAATGTCAAATGACACCATTTTAATGCCAAGCTATTGAAGAATCCTGGTCGTCTTCAGTTATTTTACGTTCGGCATTGACACATTGTCATGATAATCCTCAGTTGGAAATTACGGACATCGAAGAAGATCTATCTATATCACTGTTGGCTATGGCTTGCGATGAATGGGCAATCCTCGTATTGATTGTGGAATTTACGAAGGCAACATGGAACAGCTCGAGAATGGAATGCTCGAGCAAGACCAGCAAGCCGATGATCTGGGACTATATATTCTTAGGGACAGCATTGCTGATTCTATCTGTAAGAGTCTAGACGTCTTACACCCTGCTGAACTTGAGCTATCAGAGATTCTGGGATTATGCCGAATACACGTAGGGTGGAGTGGGCAAAAGTCGTAACGGCGTGGGAGAAGTTCCCGTAGAGGTCGGTCGGTCGTCTTTTGATGGGCGGCTTTCACTGTCTCTCAACAGGCAACGTCAGCAATTCGTATATAGTACCGCATCTCAATAACACAACAGTACACCCTGTGCAGGATTTCACATGGTCACGAATCTTTTCTGTGCAAAGATCCTACAGATAATCTCTCAGTGCGGATGAAATTCCATATGTCTTTCACGTTAAGTCTTATTAATTGAGCTGGGTGCGCTCTACACGGCCTTGCCAAATGGACGTCAGCTTGCGACGCTGTGGTAAAGCTCCTCATCGGGCTAAAGATGGCAGTGAAGAAGATACAAGGGTTCTTGCAGCTTGCATGCAAGGCTGTAAGATGGAACCCTGTCGGATCGTACATATGCATGCACGGTGTGCGAGAGCACTTGCACGGTATTCCTTTAGCTCTATCAAAGAGACGTATGTGCTCAGCCTTGCAGTCAGTCCTACAAATAATTGATTCGCACATACGCGCTCCATATCGCTTATTTCCGCGTTTCACGTATCTGTACTCGGTACGGGCCAAGTTGTGCTTATTTCACAGAACTCTTTGCCAAGTTAGACTAGTTGAGCACTTTGGAAACTCTGCATCAGGTTTCCTTCGTTAGCAAGGATAGGGGACGTGGAGAACAGGAGAAGAATATCATAGACTCGAAGCGAGGGCGGCTGGTTGTTGGTGAGCTCACATGGAAAACATCTCGGTTCGGACTTCATACTTGACCCACTGCTGTTGAAGGGTAATTGGATAAGGTAATACGATGGAAGACATATGATAGATGGAGCGAGGTTCCTGCATGTCACTTCTTGAAGGCCTTTGCAAATGAAGTGTATCATGGTCCAGTACAACCATGTTCGGTCGCTAGCTATTTTCATGAAAGGTCGGCCTGGCCTGTGTTGACAGTAAGCTCAGTGAAGCTCATGCCACGAGCTTCTCGGCGATCTATCTACTCGAGACAAGGAGACCTCACTAACCATCCTGACTAGTCTCCAGGACAGCAAATGACCTTCTGCCTCGCCCGTAGAGCTCACTGAAACAACCCAAGTATGGCGATTTCGGAAGTGCTCCTTCCCATCATCCTTGTTGGGATCGCAATGGCCGCCCTCGTCGGGAATTGTCTAATAGTGGAGGCCGCCGGTCTGGGAGTCGCCGGCGGGTACGGCAGGTCCGATGGAGGATGCGGCTTCATCGTCGGTACTCGGATAGACAGCTGGTTTGGGAGGGATTTCGGATCGACCTATGAGCTCCACCGCTATCTCCTCGTGTGCAGAGGCTTGAGCCGCGACAGCGTAGCATCGGATTGCCTCCCAGGCATTTGGATTGAGCTCGGCGTAGCTTTTCACACCAGGATAGTCAATTCGCCTGACGAAGGTGTGGTCGTTGCAGATCCTCCCCTTGAATACGTCGCAATGTCCTCCACGGTCTGGGCCGATGGAACGAGGGTGGTATCCGACTCCACTGTCAGGCCTTCCGATGAGAAGAAGTGCACATGCGCGCATTCGTTCGGGAGGGTTATAGAAGCAGTCGCCCGTGAAATTATCGCCTTCGCAGGCGTAGACACCACCGGCGAGGTCGGCGGTGCTGGCGTCTGTGTCGGTGGGAGAGGTGAAGGGCTCATTTGTAACCGTAGAGGCGGAAACGAAGAGGAGGAGATGTAGCAGGAAAGTGAAGAAGGTAAGTGGTCGCATGCTGGGCGGTAGCTGGAGACCTTTTTGGTATGCAATTCTTTGATAAGCTTCTCTGGGCACGGATCGTGATGGTAGAAAGGTCGGCGTTGAGGGGTAGTGGGGGTTGGTAGCGACAGTGATCTATCAGGGCCAAGTGCAAATATTACATTGGCTAAGCAGACGAGGGGGTGGTCCGTCCGGTATGGAGTTACACAATTCTCGAGTGAATGTCGGCTGGTAAGGGCCCGGCACTCCGCCTTAGACGCTTTCGTGAGCCATGGAAGCTGATTTCGCTGAACTACGTGCCTGAACGGACAGGGCAGGCGCCTTGCCGCTCAGAGAGCAGAAGTCGGCGCTGTCATTTAAGGAATCCTTACAGACGGGAACAACGTTCGCTGTGAAAACAGCAGATGGCCAAGATTTGGACACCTGCGCGATGTAAAAGTGGAGCAAATTTAGCTCTACATCTTGTGGCTGCCCGAAGCTTTGATGTGGTGTTGTGTGCGTGCCATCAGAGCAATGATGAAGTCGGTCTCAGGTTCGAAGCTGTAGTTACTATCGATTGCATACACGGACTTTCAATATTCCTATTCGAGTAGGTGCTGAAACTCGTCGATCGCAGAAAATTTCCATAGTTACACAGCGTCTCGCTAGTTTTAGCCTGTGCTCTTGGAGTTAGCGGGAAACGGGATGACGATCCATGCGCGTCGTACCGGTCGACCAAGACAACATTTATTCTAGAATACGGCGTCGTCGTATTAGCCGTGTAGAACACGAGTAGAGCACTTCGATCCTACATTGCTCAATATCAATTCATGGGGATCGTAACCATTGCATCGCGCGGGTCTTTTGATTCTTACACGCGTCTTGGCAAACGCGATCTGGCCGATCGGGTTCCCAGCAAAACCGGATAGCATGATGGGAAAGTTACGAACACCCGAATTTACGCGCTCCGTCATGCTGAGCACACCCTGAGGGCCCTCGGCTCGCGCGGATTTCTCTTCTTGACGTACATACACACTTTCGATTCACTCCAGTCACTCTTTAACCTCGATTACGCTACCATGGTCCGTCCAAGCAAGCAACAAAAGCTTGGACAGCTTTGGTGGGGAGCTCGCCGAGGGTAAGCTTCATGCCACCTCAAGTCTTGTTCAAACAATTGACACTCAGCAGCTTGCACACGCGGCGCATGCTGCCATCTAGAGCCACTGCTCTGCATCTTGGCTCGCGATATGGCCCTCCGCTTTTCGTCGCCGCCTTGACCGCCGGTTTTGCGTCCTCTTCCTCGTCGCCATGCGCATTCCTTCGTCCAACCCTGCTCGACGCGCCGCAAGCTTCTTGGTCCTTCCTCGGGCGCCGTGAAGCCTCAACTAACGCGAAGGAAACACCCAACGACAACGATGGCGCGGAATCTAGCGAGCGTGGCAGTGGTGAACAGGATCCTCCACCGCAGACCCGCGTTGTCAGACCAGGGGAAGGGGAAGGCAATAACGTTGGCGAAGACAAGCTATCGGCATGGCAGGCTATTACGAGGAAGATGTCTGAGGCGCCAAAGTCGATGAGCTCGCTGGGTGACGCGATTGTGGACTACGTGGTGCCCGACTGGGCCAAAGTGCTGCCAGGCTTTGTGAAGAAGCTGCAAAATGAGCTGTCTATGGCACCTGGCTCTCTCGCAGAAGAGATTTGGTACCAGGCAAACGACCCCGAAATCCACCCCGAGATCATCTGGGATGCGTCCGTTCGCGTTTCGACCGAGCTATGCGCAGAAGAGAAGAGGTTCTTGGAAAAACGAGGGCAATTCACAAAGAAGGCTCTAGCGCGCTACCTAAACATTCCGGAAGACAAGATACATCCTGATGATGTTCCCATCATCGCTGTGTGCGGCTCCGGTGGCGGCCTTCGTGCACTCGTGGCAGGAACAGCTTCCTACCTCTCGGCGCACGAGGAAGGGCTCTTCGACTGCGTCACGTACACTGCCGGAGTGAGTGGGAGCTGCTGGCTGCAGACACTTTACTACTCGAACATCTCCCAAAGAAGCCACGCACGATTGATCCGCCATCTCAAGAACCGACTCGGGGTACACATTGCTTATCCTCCAGACGCGCTCGATCTTGTTGCGAGTGCGCCCACGAACAAGTATCTACTCGGTGGGCTTGTCGAGAAAGCAAAAGGCACACCGACTGCCGAGTTTGGCATCGTCGATATCTATGGCGTGCTGTTAGCTGCAAGATTGCTTGTGCCAAAGGGTGAATTGTCGGTGGACGAATACGACTTCAAGCTCTCCTACCAGCGCAGATACACAGATGATGGTTCTCAACCACTCCCGATCTATACAGCCGTTCGACACGAAATACCCCTAGCCGAACAGCAAGATACCAAGGACCCAATAGCTGCTGAAGCAAAGGCGCGAAGGGAAGCTTGGTTCCAGTGGTTTGAGTACGTTGGTTATGCGTCCTGCGTGTACTATTGACTGACAAACACAGATTCACACCCTACGAGTTTTGGTGCGAAGAACTTGAAGCTGGCATTCCCACTTGGGCGGTCGGTCGCAAATTCGAAAATGGACGAACAGTGTGGCGAGACAACGGTCTTGCTCTGCCTGAAGTTCGCATACCAATGCTAATGGGCGTATGGGGCAGTGCTTTCTGCGCAACGCTGTCACACTATTACAAGGAAATCCGGCCAGCGTTGATGGGAATTGCCGGGTTTACCGGTCTAGACGCAATGATCGCAGAAAGAGACAGAGACCTCGTTAAAGTCCACCCTATTGATCCGGCAGCAATTCCCAACTTTGCCCTAGGGATGCGAGATTATCTGCCTCCGTCTTGCCCCGAAAGCATACATCATATTGACAACTTCCAGCTCATGGATGCTGGTATGAGCAACAACCTGCCGATATATCCCTTACTACGGCCTGGTAGAGACGTGGACGTTTTGATAGCGTTCGATGCGAGCTCAGATGTTCGTACGGACAATTGGTTGAAAGTGACTGAAGGCTACGCAAAACAACGCGGCATCAAGGGCTGGCCTGTTGGGGCAGGTTGGCCTCCAGGAGACGAGACGGCGGAAGAAATGCAGAAGGATCTCGACAGTGCACAAGCTCGTACGGAAGAGCAGGCGCAAGAGAAGATACAAGAAGCGAAAGAACATGACAAACCCAAGCGAACAGGAGGGAGAAGCAAAGACTTGAGCTTTTGCAATGTCTGGGTTGGCACGACGGAAGAGCGCACCACAGATAGGGAAGCACCCAGCGTCAAGCAAGCCGAAGAATACTGGGAGGTCACAAGACCTGACGCTGGCATCACGGTCGTCTACTTCCCGTTTTTGAAGAACCCCGAAGTTCCTGGGATTGACCCAAAAACATCCGACTTCATGAGCACGTGGAATTTCATATACACGCCTGAGCAGGTCGATTCTGTAGTGGACCTAGCCAGAGCAAACTTCCAAGCGGGAGCGGAGCGAACGAAGAGGACAGTGCGTGCAGTATATGAGCGCAAGAAAAAGATGCGGGAAGAGAGGGAGGCGGAGGAGCGCGAGAGGCGGAGGAGGTGGAAGTTGAGAGAGGGCCGGGCTGGTGGTAGAAGACATGGTGAAAGCGACCACGGAGATCAGTTTAGTTGAGCTCGTGGTTGAGGCGCTCGCAAGAGCATCGAGCCGCTGGTTTAAGTGTTGTATACTTGTGCAGGACCTAGCCTGGGTCGTCGCAAGGTATGGAACACTTGACGCGGCGTTTTCAGGCTGAAAGTTGAGCATTATACCCAATTCAAACTTTGCATTCACGATCGCCTCCTTCAAGACTTCATATCTGCTTCAAGACGTCGACTCAACTTCTATGAGACCGCTTGACCCTGCGGTTTTAGGCAGGAGCGACACGTGACGTCAGTCGCGCACCTGCCCGGTCAGGCGAACCAACTCACCTCAACTTCGCGTACACTAGATACCTCCGCTAGCGCTGCCTTTGCTCACTATGAAGCTTTCACCTCTGAACTCAAGTTTCCCGCTTACTACTATTGCACATTCGGCGGCCATGTCGCCGTGAGCGACCTCATCAATTTCCACAATACCGCTCACGCCTCGCAGCCGACCCACGCTCTGCTTTGCGACATAGCATTTCGACCAGCAACCCGCGCATTGCAGGCCCAAGCCTCAGACTGCCCGAAACTATTGAACCATCTCGATCCTCGCTATAACCTCTCCCCGTGACACAAACTGGTCAACATCCCAGCCCGCTCGCGACCAACTACGGCGGCTCTTGCCCGCGATGGCTTCCAACCACGAGGATATGGCCATGTCCGATATCGCAAATACGCATATACCGCACCACGAGTATACGTACAGGCTTCCGACCCCTCCACGAATCGTGGTGCCTCCGCCAACCCTCACCACCGAGGTGCCTGAGCTACACGTTAGTGGGGTCGACCCCGCAGAAGGGAACGATACCAACTTTCTAAAGGAGATGAACTTGGAGAGCATAATAGCGAAGAATACGCTGCTGGATTGGTCATACGAACGGCGGCGACATGCGCAGATGATCCTACCGTGGCTGTACCTAGGCCCACTCACAGCCGCAAAGGATCGCGAATGGCTAAGGAGCGCGGGCATTACCATGGTGCTGGCTATACGATCGCGGAACAATAGTATGATGGGCGCCATGCAGATTGCGAAGGAGGTTTGCGGCCAAGTCGAGTCCGTGGAGGCCGCCAATTATTCTACCTTGATCGGCCAACTGTCGCGTACTACGAGGATGATAAACCAGCACGTCGCTAAGGTCAGGCGGATGACAGAAGCGACGGGAAGCCCGCAACTTGGAAAAGTCCTCGTCTTTTGTGAGAGTGGTAACGAGAAGTCTGCGGCGGTCGTGGCGGCATATCTGATGGAGATCCTCGACGACTTCGACTTCATCAAAAGTATGCAGGTCTGCCAGGCCCAGCGCTTCTGCGTCAACTTTGACGACAACATCAAGAACATTCTTCAGAATCATTGGGACATTCTTGTTGCTCGCCGCTCCGTTGCGAGCTCGAGGACAGAGCTGCTAAACTCTACCGCCCTCGCCAATGGTTTGCAGCAGATTACACATCAGCAACAACAGCAGCAGCAACTACAGGCTCCTCCGAATTCTTCGCTCAAAGTGAAGCGTTCTGTCGAGGAGATGGACGATGATATGGACATGAGCGATGGTGCGGATTCTTCAGACGTGCTTCGGTTCACCGGTAGGGACGTTACACCCTTCATGGATTCGTGAACTTTTAGATCTTTTTCATCCGGGTTGGCGTTCAGCTCCATTACATGATACCCTTGCTTATTTCAATCTGGCGTTGTTCGGCGTCACTGCCCATTGTGCCATGAATCATCATCTTCACCCTTGCCACATATCGACGCCTGCAGAAGGTTGTTCAAGGCAGCGCAATCTTTACAGAGGGTATAACTCTACGGGATAACAAAATTATCACCATAGGATTCATTTCGTTTGGTAAGAGTGGGCTCCGGATGCGTCTGCTGTCGAGTGGGAGCCCGCTCGCACATGATAGGAAACAAGCACGTTCCAGTTTGTTATTCTCTTGCCATAGGTCTGATTGCAAGTCAATTCAATACGTGTATATAGATCACAGATACATTATTCGTGAACCATTGGTTCTGTCAGTCTGACGTATCGTAGCTGCACAGCTCTCCTTCCCCTTGTGATTCGTTCTTTCATGGCACGAATTGAATCTGCGTGGATGTTCTGGACCGTGGAAAGTTGATTAATATGTAAGTTTTTCTTCTAGTCACTGACTTGTAGGCACACTCACTATTGGATGTTGTACGGTTCTGCAGGGTGTGAACGAGAGACAGTGAATGCTCTTGATTGGCTAGCTTTTGCATGTCTCAGCCCTACGTCTCAAACGCAACGTCAACCCTCATCGGACCCCCGAACGCGCGCGCTGTCACGCTCACAGCTCGTAACGTCGCGAAAATGGAGTCGATAGAAACGCAGCTCCTCAACAAATACAACATACCCACGCTCTTCCCCGCGCAATGGCCTGAAGAGAAAGACAACAGCTCCGATTCGGAGGACGATGCGCCCGCACCGCAGCGCCCGCCGACGCTACAGCCCATCCGCCGCAGCAAGAGCCGGTTCAGCGTGCTAGAGACAAGCGGGAGCTTCACGCGGAAGAGAGATGGCGTGGAGAAGACGAAGGAGGGCGTGGAGAATCTGGTGCAGAAGGACGAGCAGGATCCGCTAGGAACGTATCCGAGTGTTGTGCAGGTGCTGCGGCAGCGGGGTCTGGCGGTGGAGGATGATGTTAAGCTGAGTATGCTTGCGCTAGAGGCACCTACAACCTGGAAGGACACTAATCTGGCTGTATAGGAAATCGGTTCCTCCTCAGCTCGACGACGTTCTCGCCCTCGCTGTTCCTCTCCAATGTTCATAGCTCTGCATCCACCGATTCCCTGTTATCCGGTCTCGACTTCCTTTCCCGTAGCATCGAGAAGAAATCTGCATCCCTTAAAGTCCTCGTAGAAGCGAACTTTGAGCGGTTCGTAGGTGCGAAGGCGACGATCGACAGGGTATACAGCGAGATGCGCGCGGACGGACAGGAGGCGCCAGAACCCCCTCCAAGTCCTAGCGGACGACCGGGCCATTCACGTGGGCCCAGTCGCAGCAGCTTCTCAGCACGGCCGAGGGGAGCCAGCGCAACTCTGACACCGCAAGCTGTTGCTCAAGCAAATGGAGAAAAGAAGAAGAACGCCCTGGTTAAGGAGAGCGAATACGGCGTGCACGGGATCAAAGTACCGCTCACTGAGGTGGCAGTCAAAGCGGAGGAAGTATGGGGTCCCGCTCTGGGAGGCAAAGACAAGGAAGACACGTTGAAAGAGATCCTATCCTCCGTGGAGAAGAATCGCGGACTGTTCGAGGTGGGGTCTGCGATCCAAGACGCGATCCGCCGGAAAGACCACGAGACGATAGTGGACGAGTACACGCGAGCGCGAAAGTTCGCCGAAGATACACGCTATATCGTGGAACAAGCCACATATTCGAAGACCCCGCTTACGGATTCGCAAATCCATCAGATTATTGTCACAGCGCGGATGTGGGCCGATGTCGAGCACCAGGTTGAGTCGTTCAAGCGGGATGCGTGGAAGCGGCTCACGTCCACGCACTTCTCGAGGCATGTGACTGGCATTGAACAGTCGAAGGAGCAGTATATGGAGCTTATTTCTATAATGCTGGAGTTGGGCGTAGAGGACAGTCCAATCTGGGTATGGCTCCTCTCGCGATACGAGCATCTACGAAAGCGACTCCTTGAAAGCTGTGATCGTGCACGGATGGAGATCGAGTTCTTGAGGCGCCTGTTAGGAAACCAGCCGAAACCGGGTTTGAAGACACTGCTGAAGCATTTGAGGGCAGTCCCAACCAACAGCAAGATCACTGCCGAACCTGCGAAACTGGACACATTAAAGACGATCGAGTTCTGGGAGCATGTGCATGCCTCGATGACGGGACTGCTCGCCGCAAATGGCGGCATACTGGGCGAGATCGTGGAGTACTGGGATATTGCGCAGTCGTTCATTGATGGCAAAGCGCAGAAATCGCTACCCATGGGCTTCAACAACCAGTCATCGGTCCACCACAACCTCTCTTCTAGCAACGTAACCGAACTTGAGAAGGGCATTACAGAGCTGGTGAATATCATTCGGGAACATCTTTTTTCCTTCTTTGCGGAACCGCCTATCGAGGATATCACTTCGCTATACTCGCCGTTGCCTACGAGCCCTACCCCTACTACACCACGGACGCCCATGAGTGCAGCGCTGAGTCCAACAATGGGCTCGAAGTTCCGCTTCGACCCCAATAGCGCCCCACCGCCTTCACCAAAGAGGGGTGATGCCTGGGAGAAATATGCATTCTGGCCGCCGCACTCGAACGCACTCTCCGGTTCTCACTACCTAGCGAAGTCGCTGGTCCTCATTGGCACGGCTGCAAACGAGCTCGCTTCGTTGCGTCTCAACGAGACCGGTGCGACTGTCCGCCTCGACGAAGCTCTCCGTGTCCTCGTTGGAGGTGTGCGTGAGCGCTGTGTGCAGGCCGTGTGTGCAGCATGGAACACGGATGCCGAAAGCCTGAAAGTGCTTGAGGACTGGACGCGAGATGCTGATCGCAAAGACATTACTACAATGCCTACACGCTTTCTAGCCGTGCAGAGCTTCTTGCTCAACAACCTTCAGAAGATCATGTACGTTGAGGCGTCGAGCAAGACGACAGTGGATGTTCTGGTTTCGCCGAGCAGTAAGCTGCTACAGATGGTTAGGAGCCAGTTCGTGACGAGCTTGTATAGAACACTGAGTGGCATGGTCGAATGTGCAGAGAAGGGACGAGCGGCTTTAGGTAAAGAATTCGAAGTCAAGAGTGACGAACTGACCATAGACGATGAGGAAAGTCGTTACGGAGGATGGGGAAAAGTCGACGCAAGCAAGAGGGTGAGCTTTCCCATTCCACATCTCTACCTCGACTACACTGCTCTGACACATGCTAACACATCTGCAGTCCATCCGCCTCCTCCTCACCCTCTCCAACATGACTTCCTTCCAAACTGAGATCACTCCGCAACTCATCACCCTCTTCGAGACCCTCTTCTCCGTCTCGCTGACTGACGAATCCAAGAAAGTCGACGGTGTCCTCTCCCAGCTCGACGCCCAGCTCTTCAAATCCTACAACCAGCCCCATGCCGCCCGCATCGCCGGCACCATCGAGGCTGGCATCTTCTCTCCACAATGGGCCCCGCCGTCCGAACCCGGAAAATCGGTTGCAGACCGTCAGCCCTCCCCCTACGTCTTCACCATCCTCCTCGGCCTCGTCCTCGTCCATACCGAAGTCAGCACCACTTCTCCCCCTGACCCCCGCATCCTCCGCGCCCTCTTCGAAGCCACCACCACCTCCCTCATCAAGACCTTCAATGACCCGCGCCTCTCCAACATCAACCTCCAAGCGCTCATGCAAGCGACCCTGGACGTGGAATTCATGGCGCAGACGCTGGCGAGCTACACCACCGAGGCGGCGAGCGCGACCCAGACGGAGATTTACCAGGTGTTGGATGGGAAGACGGACAATGAGGCGAGGGTTAGGCTCCAAGGGGAATTGGGGAATTTGAGGGGCACGCTGAAGGGATTGAGGGAGGGAACAAGGGTTGAGTTTAGTTGTTTTAGAAGGGAGAAGAGGGCGCGGTAGAGGTGTGGTATAGGAGATAGTTTGGTAGAGAGGGTGCTGCGTAGAGCGATTCTTACTATGAAGTATCTGGACCATATGTGCTACATGTGAATGCACATTTCGATGCGTCGCTAGGCGATCGCTTATCAGGATGTCAAGAACTAAGCCAAGGGTGGGTTTCCAACTCCAGCCTTACATGCAAACCGCTTGACGCTGTCCAACCACACGTTTCCATCGTTCGCACAGCTGGAAGACTTGGTCGACAGGGCACGGTTGGCTGACAGTTCAACACTGCAATCTCTAGCATCGACGAGAAGGTCATCGCGGCCATTAGGGAGACCTGCCTTCGATGTACGTCACCCAACGTAGCTTGGTTCCCTTGAAGAATTGAGCATCTCGACATGATATGCCATCTACATATTGTGTTTCCCATTGCTATACGTGTGCTTGTGAAGTGCAACCCCCGCTGACGGCAAATCCCTTTTCGGGGATATCACTGCCTACTTCAGAAGCACTTCAAGGGATCAATTATTGTAGGTAGACGTATGCGTGTATATCAAAAATTATCGTACCCTAATATAAATCTTGAGCAAGGCTTGAGAAGGGTGTCAATCAGATGACATGAGTGGTGCTGTGTCCATGAGTCCGCCTACCATAGGGAGCCTCCACTGGAACACCGTGGAGTAGGATTTCGCTCGTAAGTTTAAAGATCCAAGATCACGTCTTTAAGCCAACAGAAACGTCAACTCTGGCCTGGTTCAGATGCGACATTGATTTCCTTTAGCGTAAAAGAGCGAACTATGTCTCCGCGCTGTAGTTCGGAACGGTTGAATGATCTTCCGAGCCGCAGGTTGAAATGAAGCAGACGTGAAGCAGAGAACGCTGACAAATCCAATGCTTGAGAGGAAACTCGAGATTATTTGATATGGCTGATGCCAAACGAAGAGACACTTTGAGGCTTTGACGGATCTCTAGCGCACCCCGTTCCGTCATAGCCCCATCTCCACAATCAGATCCGCAGCGGCGCGCATAGCAACCCTCCGCAAGCTCCCCCACGCATTGTTAGCTGTCGACTACCAGGGACACCCAGCCATGCGCAACACTCCGAAATGCCTCTGATTCCAATACGCACTTACTTGCACTATTAATACGATTCTTCATTCCTACTTCCGTCCTCCCGCGCGTTGTCAGGAGCTCCCCGAGAGCTTCCTACAGCAGGCACCATGGTCGGCCCGCGTAAAGGCGCCTTCGCCGAGGAGGCCGCCGAAGTCGAAGTGCTCGAAGCAAACATTGAGAAGATGAAGACCTTGACAAAGAAAATCCAAGCCTCGCGGAATCGGTTGGAGACGAGCGGGAAGGCGATGAACGAAGCCATGGCACCGATCTACGGTAACACGGCGAAGCTACAAACTACGAACCGCAGTATGTGGGTCGAAAGCAGACGACCCCCCAAGGCTGACATGGCTTGTAGATATCGACAGGATACTGGATGCAATCGACAAGCTGCGAGCACCTCTAGACCAGTCAAATCGGGAGGATCGCATTATAAACCAGGGGTACGTTGTGCTTAGACATGTTTTTTCACAAGATGCTAACATAGGCAGCCTCCGAAATGTCGACCTGCAAGACTATATAGCCTCACTTGGCCGCACCAGTCAGTCTCTCGCAGAGCTCAGGCGAACGAACATGCGCGCAAACCAACAAGCCGTTGCCGAAATGAGCGCTCTTCTAAAGCGCGGATTAAGAGAATTGGAGGACGCATTCAGAGACATCCTGCGAGAAAGCTGCAGACAGACTGTCGTACCTCTGGAGTACGTCATGAAGAGTACGCATTTTCCCTTCTTGGTAGACTCTTGTGCTGATGTCTGCAGATAATCCATTTCCTACTATACCTCAAGAACAGCTCTCAACATTACGCCTTATCAATACCCATATCTCCAACACCTTCGCGCAGATATCACAATCGGACGTGCGCGAAACACCCACCCAGAAGATATACGCAGAGGTCAGAGGCGAATATGTGACTAGGTCATTACAGGACTTATCCGCAGCGTCAATCAACACGGCAAAGAAGGTGACGGCAGATGCCATTTACAGGAAAGGTACCAATGGTATCGGAATCTACGCCCAGGGGATGGAGGGCTTGTTCGTCGCCGAATACGACAACATCACCAACATCTTTCCTCGCGATGAGTGGACAACAGTCTGCGGAGCAACTTGTGCTGCGCCACTTGCAGATTTCACCAAGACGTTGCGCGAGCTCAATGGTCACATCCAGAGGAACTTGATGACGGATTGCTTCTTGGGATATGAAATCGTCGACATCGCATCCAGATTATCGATGCGGTTAGAGCAGAGAATGTCTGCACTCAGGCGGCCAATCCAAGACAGCATCAAGCCTATACGTGAGACTTCGAAGGCGTCAATGAACAAACTACTAGAGGATACAAGGGCACGGATCCAAACACTTGTTGCTCTTCCAATGGACGGTGCAGCCGTGCCTGTAACGACATCGACCATGACTCGGCTGCAGGAGATGACCAACTATCTCAGCCCCATTAGCTCTATACTTGCATCGCTGGGCGACGGAGGGTGGAAATCGAGTGCGAACACAGGATCGTCATCGTCGCTTCCATTGGACGTGGGACCAGACGGTCAGCGTCTTTTTGAGCATTACGCATCCGATACGATCGAAACTCTGTTACAGAACCTAGACGGCAAGTCCCGAGTTTTGATGAAGAACAAGAGCTTGCAAGGAGTGTTCCTGAGCAACAACGCAGCGATCGTGGAGCGCATGATACGGTCGTCAGAACTGGCACCCTTGATGGAAGATTACATGCAGAAGAAGCTGGAGCCTTGGAAGAAGAAGGCGTCGTCATGGTACCTGGAAGCTTGGCGAGAACCCTCGGGTTATCTGCTCGATGTCCAATACACTAACCGGAAAGAACGACCTCAGTCGAGCACCGCAGGGTCTGCCGACTCGGTGGCCATCGTCAAGGCTCTTGGTTCGAAAGACAAGGACGCGATCAAAGAAAAGTTCAAGAGCTTCAACACAAGCTTCGAGGAGCTATCTCAACGACACAAGTCGTACAAGATGGAGCGCGAGGTGCGGATGCATCTGGGCAAGGAGGTGCAGAACATCATGGAGCCTTTATACAGCCGCTTCTGGGACAGATACCACGAGATCGACAAGGGCAAGGGCAAGTATGTCAAGTACAGCAAGGTCGAGCTGGGACAGGCTCTGTCTGGACTGTCGTGAAGTGGTGCTTGAGGCGTTGGGCGTGCTTTTCGCAGAATACCCGTGGTTTCAGTCTTCAGGCTGGTGGTTGGATAATGCGCAGGGTAATTGGAACATGGAAGGCAGGTGCGGCAGCAACGACTACTGTTTTACTTGGCGTTGAGCCAGCAGTGGTGCCACGATGGTCGTTGAGTGGTTGAGGTCTGCGGCTTCAGTGAGCGTGGCGAATGGAGGCCTGCAGAATAGCAACACCGGCCTCGCGGTCGTACATCACACATAGACTAATAGTCAGCCGGCGCAACGCCAGGCTCGGGCACTATTCACCCAAATTTCGCAAGCCCTCGCTTCCGCACGTGATATCTCCTGTTCGGGCAGGGGCGCTACGCGACAGCTTCGTGCTGCAGCTGCATAACGGCGCACAGAACCAGGCGCACACAACAGAAAGCTGTCAATTGCTGCCTGCACACGTCTCTCCGTTCTGCCACCTGTTCTGCAAGATTTATACCCACTCTTTACACTGAGACCGGTGCTGCGAGGCTTGCGGGGAATTTAAGCTAGCGCCCAGTGCTAGGTGCTCCAACGCTGCTCCCAATCCCTGCGCGGACCCCTTTCCTCAAGCTCCAGGAGCGCACCACGCCTTCTCCAGCACAACAGCAGACTCTACCGCACCACGCCATCGCCGTCCGCGCCCCGACGTCGACTGCTCCACTCGATTGCTTTGCGTGCATCCATCGCTCAGCAAGCATCCCTACCTCTCACTGGTACGTCGCCGCTCCGACCTCCGTCCCGACATTTTTCTCCAGGTTTCGGCCTGGTGCTCGTGTCGCACCTTCGTCTTGTTTAGTTCTATCAACAAGTCGCCCCATCGTTCATTGAAGCTTGTGCTGACCTTGAGTTTCGCCCTGCAGGAGTCCCTCTTTGACGACACTATCTCTGCGTTCGCCATCTACCGTCCACCATGGGTAAGGAGTCCCTCCCGATCGAGCATCTGTGCCAGCCATTGTCCTACGCAGCACCATACCCAAACGTTTCTTCGCATGGCGGCGCAACTATTACAACCTGCAGTCGCCTCGAAACGGATGTGGCTGCGCTGATGCCGCTGTCCTCGCAAACATGCCTCGCCTTTAGATGTCGACACCCGCTAACATGCACACAGCATCCAACGGCGCGTCCCCGACGGCCCCTACGCGTGCGTCTCCGTCGCCGCCTACCTCGGCTGGATCGAACCTCGTCGAGCAAATGAATGCGGTACACAGCCAGCAGGCCTCGGCCCCAGCTCCTACAACAATCTCGTCAAAGGATCCCAAGGCGGCTGCTGCGGCCGCAAGCGATATGAACATCGTCCGTAGAAAACTTACCGGATATGTTGGTTTTGCGAACTTGCCCAACCAGTGGCATCGCAAGAGTGTGCGCAAGGGGTTCAACTTCAATGTCATGGTAGTTGGTGCGTACATGCAAGCTCCAACGGGTGGAAGTTATGTCTCTAACATCTTCCCATAGGTGAATCTGGCCTTGGAAAGTCCACGCTGGTGAACACTCTTTTCAACACGTCCCTCTACCCGCCCAAGGAGCGTAAGCCCCCAAGTCTCGATATCTCCAAGACTGTAGCCATCCAGTCGATCAGCGCCGACATCGAGGAGAACGGCGTCCGCCTGAGGTTGACTGTCGTTGACACGCCCGGTTTTGGTGACTATATCAACAACGACGAGTCTTGGGATCCCATTGTTAAGAACATTGAGCAACGTTTTGATGCCTACCTTGACCAGGAGAACAAGGTGAACCGCATGAACATCGTGGACAATCGTATCCACGCTGTCGTATTCTTCATTCAGCCCACTGGCCACTCATTGAAGCCTCTCGATGTTGAGGTCATGAAGAAGCTGCACACTAAGGTCAACTTGATTCCCGTCATTGCCAAGGCAGATACTCTGACCGACGAGGAGATCGCAGCGTTCAAGGCTAGGGTATGTAACTACAACACGCTGTGAAAGCCGCGCTAACAGGGTGTAGATTCTCGCGGACATTGAACACAACAAGATTCAGATCTTTGAGGGCCCTCGCTACGAGCTCGACGACGAAGAGACGATCGCAGAGAACGCCGAGATCATGTCCAAGGTCCCTTTCGCTGTCGTTGGTGCCAACGCTGAAGTCAGCACCGCCGATGGCCGCAAGGTTCGTGGGCGTCGGTACCCATGGGGTGTTATCGAGGTCGATAACGAGGAACATTGCGACTTCGTCAAGCTGCGCCAGATGCTAATCAGAACACACATGGAGGAGCTCAAGGAGCACACCAACAACCAGCTGTACGAGAACTATCGTTCCGACAAGCTCACTGCAATGGGTGTCCAGCAAGACTCCAGCGTGTTCAAGGAGATCAACCCGGCGGTCAAGCAGGAGGAGGAGCGCTCGCTGCACGAGGCCAAGCTCGCCAAGATGGAGATGGAAATGAAGATGGTCTTCCAGCAGAAGGTCGCAGAGAAGGAGAGCAAGCTACGACAGAGCGAAGAAGAGCTGTACGCCCGACACAGGGAGATGAAGGAGCAGCTGGAACGGCAACGACAGGAGCTGGAGGAGAAGAAGACACGCATCGAGCAAGGACGGCCCCTCGAGGAGAAGGGCAAGAGGAAGGGTTTCTCGCTCCGTTAAGGGTTGGGTTCTCATGACGATGGGGGCTTGCGCTCCCCAGCCTCGACTCTTGCGGCAGAAAACTCGGAAAAGCCTCTTCTCCCTTCTCATATCCTATTTATCAAACCTTGTAATTTGCTCTCGGTTGCCGACACCACAGGTGCTGCCGGCGACAGATAATACCTGGCGGAGCGGGCCTTGGAGGAGGACCGAAGGGCCGAGCGGTGTCATCTCATTGGTTTAGTTGCTTCGGTTGTTGATTGATACCAGCAGCATTGCACTCCTTCCGCTTCCCCTTTCTCCTTTGCGGTACTTGTTTTATTTTTTAGAAGACGGGCAGATGTAGTTTTGGGTGGCGTGGACAGGAGCTTCTTTTCGTGTATTTTACACATCATCCTAGTAGTGAATTGGTTTCTTTTGTACACACATGTGATGCCAATGACGACGAGTGACGAGTGACAAGTGAGCATGGTTCCAAGGTTCGCGTGAGCAACTAGATGATGTGCCGGAAGAGCACGCAACCAGCACATGGGACGCTGGCGCGGCTGAGGGTGATCGCCAGGGTGCGTGGCCCGTGCTTTAGCGAGAGCGAGCGGGCGTGAAGCATTTCGTCACCAGCAGAGGGCGGAATTTCTGGTTTCCTGCCTTGCCTTGCCGGCGCTACGTACAGCCACATATAGCCCTACCCCTCCTCCTCTGCACGAGCACTCTATCGCATCGCATCCCACTCTGCTACTTACATCAGTTGAGTTTGCTGCAGCTTCCTTTAAGCTCCAACAAACGTGCCCCGCCGGTAAGTGCCCACCGCAGTCACGCACCGACCGCGTCATAACGGATCGGGTGCCGTGTGTCAAACGACCAGCCCAGCCACCAAGCAAACAGCTTCGGGCTCTGGACACATTGCACTTTGCACCTTCTCACCTCTCCTTCTCGGGCACCAGTGATTGCTACGCAGCTCCTGCGAGCTTCAAGTCCACTGTTGACCCCGCGCATTGGCCTCGGGAACTGCCACCTCTACCAGATAAAGAGAGCTCCGCTGACGCACAAACTGTTCGCTCCAGACCCCACACACACGACACCGAAATCGCTTGATACAAGCAACACCAAACCATGGCTCCCCCCACCGCCTGCTACGTTGCCTATAGGCCAGCGTCTTGCCGCTCTTGCGCAGACACTGCAGTTTGCATGGTTCGCCGGCCATGTTACGCTGCTGCTGTCGACATTCCGCTACAGCTTGTCGTACATCACCTTCAACTCGGCTTCGCGCTGGGCGTCGTTCTCCTACCGCACCGCCTTCCTTTCCGCGTGCGTCACTTACGGTATCGTTGTCTACAAGGCATATCGCGCTCGCGTGAGGCAAGGAAAGCAAGGCGGGCTACTTTCCCTGGCAACCGATGAGAATGTGCAGTACTTGAGTGAGTCTTCCAACATATCTTCGCAGTGGTGGCAGGAGACAACAAAAATACCCTTCGCAAACGCATTCCCAGTTTGCTTGCTGTCGGGTTTTGCACTGCACAGCCTGATATAGCACAGCGAATGTGTGCAGGGGCGTCTTGTGTACTCCGTCACCCACTGTGGTCAATATCATGAACCGGCAGACTAACAATGCCCAGTCATGGCTCTCATCTGGCTCTTCTCCCGCCAGATCCCGATGGCCGTTCTGCCTTTCGCAGTCTACTCAGTGTTCCACGTCGCTACTTACGTGCGCTCAAACTTGCTGCCCACCATCCAGCCCCCACCTGCCGGAGCTCAGCCCGGCACCAAGTCCTCATCTGGCCTGTCCGATGCCATTGGCAAGTTCGTGAAGGAGTACTATGACGGCAGCATGACCCTTGTTGCTATCCTCGAAATTGCCCTCTGGTTCCGCGTCTTCGGCTCTGCTCTCCTCTTCCAGAAAGGCTCATGGATTCTGATCGTTGTGTACACCGTCTTCTTCCGCGCCCGCTACGCACAGAGCACCTTCGTCCAGGGCGCCATCACCCAACTCACTGCCCGCATTGATGCTCAGCTCGCCAATCAGAGCACTCCCCCCGGTTGCTCGCCAGGGCTGGGGCACCTTCAAGAACATCATCAGGCAGGCGGGTGACGCGACTGACATCCGCAAGTATGTTGGTGGACAGCAGGCAGCCGGCCCCAAGAAGACGCACTAGATACGCGTTGCTAAGCAGAGCGACGGTCTATCTCTGCACCCTGAAAAGTCAATGTGCGGTGCAGGGCGAATCTCGGGCCGGGACAGGCGACGCCGAAGTGGGTGGTTCGACTCGGAAAGATGACGGCGAGCGCGGACCTTTAGGAGTGGTGGCGCAGAGTTGATGCCCCACCATGCATGGATGGATGATTGTTAAAACGTCGGTATGGATATGTGTCATGAGCGCTTTACCTGGATAGAGGCAGGCGACGATAGGAAGGGATGGTCTTGTTTGAAAAACAAGGGGCAGGCGTGCATAGCCACGGTAGTCCAACTAGTCTCCTGTATGGCCATGCTTATTATGCTACTCCGCATGGGTAGTATGGCGTTGTTTGCATTTATGAATCGATGAGAGCTTTTCTTATATCCCCTGTTCAGTGCTGTGAAGCACAGATTATGATGGCTTCTGTACAGACTATACAAGCTCTCATTATTGCTCCTATGCAGGCAAGCTGTAAGGTTTTGTCTAGCTGAAGCGTGGAATTGTTTTTATGACCTACGCCCTCGCTACCTGAGGCACATGTTGTTCAGCTCCCCAGCGCCAACACAGCTTGCACAATGCCTCACCAAACCCGTCTGAGAAACAGCTACAGCTCCCCTCGACTCTCGACCGTCATGACGGTGTAACAGTTGTGCCGGTACGTGCGGCTGTCACCTGCATACCGTGCAACGTTCTCGCTACGTTCCCGAACCGGCACAGCAGCAGATATCGCGGGCTTGACCGCCTCCACTGGGTTCGAATCTATGCAGGGCTCTGTTCTCGAAGAAGTGGGATTCAGCTCTGGCGTCGCATCCATTCTTTGCACTACCGTGTCAAAATGTATTGTTTGGGGTGGGTGCGCCATGTGAAGAGCCTTCTACCTAGGTATGCGCGCTACACAAAGGCTATTCTCAAGGTGGAGGGTACCGTGTACGAGTGGAACGAGCACGTGTAGTGAGGTGCTCGAGCTCCGGTTGACTCGGGGTCTATAGTGTACAGCGCATCGAGTGGAGGCGTTCTTCCCTCCTGCGAGGATTCGCTTCCGCGCGCGCCCGCACAATGGGTGCAGTCAATATTGCAGGCCCTCGAACGAGGATAACGCGGCTTGTCGGCGTCGCGGCGACTCCACTCTCGCGAGGGCTAGATATCCGTTTCCTCGCCAATCTGCACGCTAGATTTGGGCTTGGGGAGCATAACATGACAATGGCGGTGAAGTGTCAGGCCACCAGCGGAACCGGATGTGCTTTGTGGGAGTGAAACCTGCGTGCGAGGAGACATGTGCGGAAGGATTGGAGAGGGGATTGGGGTGGATTGCGGGACTCGCCTGGCGTTCGGAACGCCGAAGTTGCAGGACGGGGCGGAGCGCGAGCGCGTTCGGAGGAAAAGAGGGTGAGATACTGTATGTACTGCACTGTACTGTACATGCAGGTGCACCGTATTAGCGGTATAGGCAGCGTGGTGGCTGGCCAGATGCAGCGTCAATGTAGGGCCATATGAGGTGTCATAAACAGCAACTCGCACGCATATAGTAGTCCGCGTGGAGAGTATGGGGTGCTTGCGCGGTCCCTTCTGCCCGGCGCATCGCAGATCTGAGATGGGGATTCAAGATCAGGAACCGTCAGAGCCGGGAATTTGATGTGGACTTGTCTGTTGGAGACTGAGACACCAGTGCCGTGGCGCGGAGCCGGACATTATTGTGGTGCACCGATTGTGCGTTTGTTGCGCTCAGGCGTGCATGGGACAGGTACGTGGGCCAAGGGCGGTGCTACTTCCTGTTAGCGCAGGCGCGCATGCGAAGCACGTCAGCCGCTTCACCGTTCCACCCCCCGTTTTGGCGAGCGGCTGGGCCACGGCCACGCGAGAGCCTGCGCGCTGCCAGTCCAGCTGCTATATAGACTGCGGCGTCGTCCCTCTGCTTTGCTCTTCTCTCCGCTTGGCGTATCCTTCCAGCACCCATAAACTTGTGTTTCTTGCTTTCACGACTCCGGCATAGATTCTGTTTCAGATTGTTGACCTGGAATGAGCCTTCGACAAAACCGCACTGAAGGGACCTGGAGCCGTGTACGTTGCCAGCCATGAACACTTGCGGGAACATGAACATGAACATGGCCTCGCCTGCCCTGTCCATCCGCAGCAACTTCTCCGACATGGACGATGAAGAGTTGGAACAGTATCTGGCTTCGTGTGTGCCGCTCTCCAACCTGCCGACGCCGCCGCCCGCAAAGGAACAACCACTTCCCACACCATCAACAACTATGTCCTCAGAATTCGACGTGGAGCGCCACAGGCGATCTCCTGAGCTAGAAGGTTAGTTCCCTTTCACGTGCCCTGTTCTATTCCAAGGTTCACTTCCCTTCGTTGATCCCTGCATTTTGCGGAGACGGTCCTGGCCGACGTCATATGCACCGGCCTCTGAGGAAATTTCCCCTGACCATCGCTGAGCGGGTCCGGCAACACCAGCCTCTTTTGTAGATGCTGCGTTGCCACTCAATACATCGCTTGCATTGCTGCGGAGCCGCGCTAACGACGTCGATAGTTTATGCGTTACATCTTGTGAGCCTTGTTCCAAGGAACGTCGCTGGGCAAAAGTCATCCGTGGCGGCTGTCGAGGGGTTCCTTGAGCGGGCTTGCTTGCCGGTGGACATGGTTGCGTTTGCGGCCTGTGTGCTGGATGCGTTGTCGGATGGGTTTGCGAGCAGGTGGTGCAATGCGCTCCTCCCCATGGACACGTCTAAGCTGGATTTCTACCTGGGCACCGACTGCTGGCAGCAGCCCAGCATCAGCCCCGACTTGATTGTGCTTGCCGCGCTGGCTCTGGCTCACGGCTTCATCGACGACCGAGGCCGCTCCAATGGGCATTGGGCCAAGATTGAGGGAGCAGGGCGATTCGTTCCGAAAGAGGTGGGCAAGACGAAGATGTGCATCCTAGAGGATATCGACTATGGCCTTTTCCGGATCAGCGAAGACATGGTCCAGCGCATGTCGAGGGAGATGCAGCAGGCCACCTACTTTACTACGCCGAGACACTCGATTTCTTGGGACGAAGGCGACAAAGAAGGACGCCGGCCACGGTTGTCGCTGAGCACGGGGTCTGGGTCCGCCATTTGGGCGTACGGTGCACAAACGCCCGAGCCGAGCCCATGAAGCACTCCGACCGGCATACAATCACGTTCGGAACAAGCGAAGTGGTGTACACGACACCACTCTCTGTTGTCTCCGATTTCGAATTTCTCCTTGATGATGATACCCCGTCTCTCATCTCGTTACGATTCACTCTATCTTCACGCATTTTCTGGGAGTACATATGGCGCCTTTACAGGAGTTTCACGGGCTATGAACACAACATGTACCATTTGATGGCTTTTCGGCGTGGGTGCCCGTGAGCCTCATACATTTGTATCGTGGGAGATATTTCCGTTATGCTGGGTTTGAGCATTTTTGCGCATTCGGGCTTGGTGGCCTGATACTATTGCGTGCGTCTGCTTGATTGCATGATACCCTTGTATAGCTCTGGCGTTCTATATTTCAGCACCGCATTGGCACAGCAGCTGTGCAATAAGCACTTGCTCGTAATGAATTCCTGTATTATTCTCTACCTATTGATGTTTTCTACTTGTGCAAATGGTTCAATGTTGTATGCGTCGGTCAGTCAGCATGTTAATATATGCAGGCGAGTCATTAGCGATGCCGGCACGTCTTGGACGTGTCTCAGCATGGGCATCGGACGATTGTGTACAGGAACGTCTTGCGATGGTGGGGCTGCAGGTTGGTGGCGCGATCTTCCAGTGCCTTTGACACCACCGACGTACTGGCATCCAAATCCGTCTACGCATGGCAGCTGTTCATCAGATGCTCACCGCAACTTCCGCTGCGTGCGAGAGTATCTGCTAGCTCTGCTACCACGTCTCAAGTGCACCGGGGAGGCATTGAGGAGGAACCAGACAGGTCTGGATGTCGTTCGCGGGTGACAGGCGCGCTTACCCCACTTCGTCGGCGTTGTATGCACACAAGCTCAACAGATGTTGGCGCGACGCGCTGCCATTGAGCATGGGGAATCCACTTCTCACGCGCCTGCCCGTTCCCCACGCTCTCTCATCCGTCCGCTCGTCATACTCGTCTGATCGGAGCAGCAAGCGCTAGCCTTTGTCCTGCCTGAGCACCCGCTGTACCCCACTGTTTACAAGCTCCGTAAACACCCCGTCCCATCCACTGCTCTCCCTTCTGCCTCTCACCTACATCCTCTCCCTGTGCTTCTCCTGTCAGAGAGGGAAGAGCAATTGCACCGTCTTCCCCTCTCCTTGGTGCCGATCCTACAATTCGTCCCTCAACCCCGCCCTCACCCCTTGCCCACCGCCTCTCCCTCAGCAACTCGCGCTTCGCTGCAATCGACATCCTCCGGATGGCTACCACTACGAACTCAGCGCAGCCGCGCGAGCGCCGCCCCTCGACCAGCGCACCGCTGTCGGATTTCAAAGGCCCTGTTGGCCCCGAGGGCTTCACGCGCCCCAAGCACAAGAGAACCGTCACTGGGTTTGGGCCCGGTGAGATCAAGAGCGTTGAGGCGAGCATTCCGGAGCCGCAGAGAGCTGCGTGGAGGAAATTCGTATGTGCACCCATCCCAATTGTGATTTTGTTGTTCGCTGTCTCCGATGCTGGGGCCGGATGGGTCCGGAGGGCGGGGTGGTGGGGTTGGTGTGGGATGTGCGGGACGGAAATTATGGAGATCAGCGCGTGTTGATTGACCAATGCAATGCAATTGCTGACCCTGTGGTATAGACGCCCAAGGGGTTTACGACGTCCGAGGACTTCGAAAAGGAGGCTGTGAGACACATCGAGACAACGCTTGCGCGGTCGCTATACAACTGCGATGAAGTCGCCGCGTATGGGGGCACCGCGCTGGCGTTCAGAGACCGATTGATCCTCGACTGGAACAAGACGCAGCAGACTCAGACATTTACCGACCAGAAGCGCGTCTACTATCTCTCGCTTGAATTTTTGATGGGCCGCGCGCTGGACAATGCTATGCTTAATGTTGGTCAGAAGGACTCCGCTACTAGTAAGTTTGAGATGTGAATATCAATGATCATATATTGATGATTTGCAGAGGGTCTCGACGACCTTGGTTTCCGCATGGAGGACATTATCTCCCAAGAGCACGATGCTGCGCTCGGAAACGGTGGCCTTGGGCGTCTCGCTGCATGCTTCCTTGACTCGATGGCCTCGCTCAACTATCCAGCCTGGGGCTACGGTCTCCGCTACAGATATGGTATTTTCAAGCAGGAGATTATTGATGGATACCAGGTAGAGGTACCTGACTACTGGCTCGACTTCAATCCATGGGAGTTTGCGCGTCACGATATCACCGTGGATGTGCAGTTCTATGGACACGTGAACCGTTGGCAGGATGATGAGGGCAAGCAGCACACCTCGTGGGAGGGCGGCGAGACTGTTCTAGCTGTCGCTTTTGATGTGCCAGGTAAGATAGACGCTTTATCAAGCATTGAATGAAGCTGACTGTATAGTGCCGGGCTACGAGACCCCGACATGCAACAACCTCCGTCTTTGGGGCAGCAAGGCCGCTAGTGGAGAGTTTGACTTCCAAAAGTTCAACTCCGGCGAGTACGAGGCTTCAGTTGCGGATCAGCAGCGCGCAGAAACCATCTCAGCTGTCCTGTACCCGAACGATAAGTATGTTTTCAGGCTTTTCAATTCCCGCCTTGACTGACATCCCGCAGCTTAGAGCGTGGTAAGGAGCTCCGTCTTAAGCAGCAGTACTTCTGGTGCGCTGCATCCTTGTACGACATTGTCCGTCGATTCAAGAAGACGAAGCGCTCGTGGAAAGAGTTCCCGAACCAGGTCGCCATCCAGCTGAACGACACCCACCCAACGCTCGCTATCCCCGAACTGCAGCGTATACTTGTGGACCTAGAGGGTCTTGAGTGGGATGATGCTTGGAACATCGTTAGCAAGACATTCGGCTACACTAACCACACTGTGCTACCGGAGGCTTTGGAGAAGTGGTCGGTACCGCTCATGCAGCATCTTCTTCCTAGACACCTTCAGATCATCTACGACAGTAAGTTTCCCTGTGTCACGAGATGATGTAGGCTAATGTTCCCAAGTCAATTTGAATTTCCTGCAGTACGTGGAGCGCAACTTTCCCAAGGACCGCGAAATGCTGGGACGGGTGTCGATTATCGAAGAGTCCAATCCTAAGATGGTTCGCATGGCCTACCTTGCGCTGATCGGTTCGCACAAGGTCAACGGTGTAGCTGAACTTCACTCCGACCTGATCAAGACAACAATTTTCAAGGACTTCGTGAAGATTTACGGACCTGACAAGTTTACCAATGTAACAAACGGTATCACGCCGCGAAGGTGGCTGCACCAGGCCAACCCCCCGGCTTTCTGCGCTGATAGCCTCGAAGCTTGGTGGACACGACTTCTTGAAGGACCTCACTTTGCTGAGCAAGCTCGAGGCTTTCGTTGATGACAAGGAGTTTCGAAAAGAGTTCCGTGAGATAAAATATGCGAACAAGGTTAGGCTCGCGAAGCACATCAAAGAGCACAACGGCGTCACTGTAAACCCGGCTGCACTCTTCGACGTTCAAGTCAAGCGTATTCACGAGTACAAGCGCCAGCAGCTCAACATCTTCGGTGTCATCCACAGGTACCTGCAGATCAAGAGCTTGTCTGCGGAAGATAGGAAGAAGCTCGCTCCTCGTGTGTCCATCTTTGGTGGCAAGGCCGCGCCCGGATACTGGATGGCCAAGACCGTCATTCATCTCATCAACAAGGTTGGCGATGTCGTCAACAACGACCCTGATGTTGGCGACCTGCTGAAGGTCATCTTCTTGGAGGACTATAACGTCAGCAAGGCTGAGATCATCACTCCCGCCAGCGACATCTCCGAGCACATCTCTACGGCCGGTACCGAAGCCTCGGGCACGAGCAACATGAAGTTCTGCTTGAACGGCGGCTTGATCATCGGTACCTGCGATGGTGCTAACGTAAGTACCTGATACCACCAAGTACTTGATCTCACCATTCTAACGTCTCTAGATCGAGATCACACGCGAGATCGGCGAGGAGAATATCTTCCTCTTCGGCAACCTAGCTGAGGATGTCGAGGATCTGCGCCACGGGCATCTCTACAACCACTACGAGCTCGAACCCAAGCTCGCCAAGGTCTTCGACGAGATCCACAAAGGACGCTTCGGCGATGCCGGTGCCTTCAGCGCGTTGCTCAATGGCATTGTCGAGCATGGCGACTACTACCTCGTTTCTGACGATTTTGCATCATACGCGCAGACCCAAGAATTGATCGACGAGGCATACAAAGACACAGAGGCGTGGACGACTAAGGCCATTCTGACGGTGGCGCGTATGGGCTTCTTCTCTAGTGACAGGTGTATTGATGAGTATGCGGAAAGCATTTGGAACATTGAGCCGTTGGTGCAGAAGAAGGATGATGAGGCGTAGATCGGATAGATCTATGGAACTAGATGGGATGGTTCAGGAACTCTCTTTGCAGTATTCGCGTTAACAATCAATATAGAATGATGACAGGCGCGTTGAGATATTTTCTTTATACTGTATAGGTTTGAAGTCTTGCTTGGGCCTCTCTTTGAGAATGGACGCAGTGACTAAGCATGCTAGCGTGTTCTGCTGCTCCGTATCAACGCGACCTCCGACCGCCGACGCAATCTGGCCGCAGAGCTCAAGCTCCAGCAAGCTCATTACATTGCGAACCTACGCTCTACCTCAACATGGCCAACAGAGGTTATGACGTTGTTGTCGATGTCGACCAAGAGGCACATACAGTCCATAATCAGCCTCACGATCGTCTTTACTGACTGTCAATAGGGCGACCTAGGCCACACCGACCTGCAAGAGGATCTCGAGTTCCACAGCTCCAGTAAGCTCTCCTCCCCTCTTCCCAGCTCTCCCTAACTCACGCGTCCCCAGACTTCGAAAACACACCCTCGGCTCGCAACAAAATCCAGCCCGACGCCACCACTGGCGGCTTCCTCCCCGCACCCGCTTCGTCCTCCTCCTCCCGCAAACACTACCTCTGGACTCTCTCCTTCTACGCGCAAGCCTTCGACGTCGACACCGCTGAAGTCCTGCGCCGCTGCACCGCCACGTTATACCCGCGCGCAAATTTCCTCGATGTGTTGGAAGGCAACCCTGACCTTTATGGCCCGGTCTGGGTAGCCACTACCGTCGTTGTCATACTTTTCTTGACAGGCACGATCAATCAGTATCTCGCGAGCGAGGGGAAACAGCACTTTGCATATGATTTCAAATTGCTGAGTGGGGCAGCGGGATTGGTGTATGGGTATACGGGGGTTGTCCCGAGTGGGCTTTGGGCGGTGCTCAAGTGGTATGGGAGTGAGAGTGCGAATCTGATGGAGTGTATCTGCTTGTATGGGTATGCAAATTTGGTGTGGATTCCTGTGGCTGTTGCCAGCATATCCACCATCAACAGTAAGTCATTTACCCTTGGAGTGGTTTTGAGAAGGGTGGTGGGGATGGGGGGATGGTGCTAATGTGTGCTGGCAGTTCTCAATTTCGTATTCGTTGCGCTCGGGTTCGCGGCGAGCGTGTTCTTTCTGCTGAGGAACCTGTATCCTGTGCTGAGCTCGACGGAGGCTAAGACGAGCAAAATACTGCTTATTGTCGTGCTCGTCCTGCACGCGGGGTTCGCAATCGCGATTAAAGTGCTTTTCTTTGCGGCGACGAGTCCGGTGGGACCAAAGGATGGGAAGGAAGCCGGCGATGCGAGTGGCGAGGGCGAGCAGAAAGGGGATTTGCTGAGAATGCTGCTAAGGATCTGAAGAAGAGACGGTGGAGGAGAGATATCTGCGTTGACGTTTGGAGCGTGAAATACTATATGAGTATGATTTGGGATAGGTATGTGTACAAAGAGCATGATTACCTAGGCACAGCATTGAGCGAATACCAACTATGTTTCGAAACCTCGACCAGCCCGGTCTTCACCTACTATCCTTCATCGCCTTCAGTACGTCGCGTTACCCAAAGCAGATACATTCTACCAACAACAGCCTGGCCATATCACCATTTTGGCCTCTTCCTCGTCAGCGGCCTAATTGCCAACGACTTTCCCATACATTGGATTTCCCAGCTACGACGTTGACCGACGTATGCTCGATTAGGGCCGCTTATTGCATGCTTCACGCCATGGAAGCCGGAGACGCTAGCGAGCTTAGCATGAGCGAGAGGACGCAACGAGGCTGAACGACAACCGCTTCGATTGGTGCGTTTTTCGGATAATGCAGACGTGGGGCTGAAAGGCGACTGCACTGCTTTCTCTAGCTCGGCAGAGGAGGTTGGCAAGGCTGAGAGGACTGAGCGTCTGCCGCAGCCCTCAAATGCACTGCTTAATAGCGCCGTAGAGCAGCTACATGACGGGTGTCTTGATTGGCGCGCTTCTTGTGTTGGTCTCGCCTTGCTCGTAAGAAAGCTTGAGCCCACGGGCATGGCTTTTCATTGCTTTCTTAGCGTGGACGAGGAGGCTGGCGAATACTTTAGCAGGATCTATATAGGATTTTAAATCTCTACGATGCTCAACAATGAATCTTTGCAAAGGATTGTCTTGTCTTGCTTACCTTTAACGTCAAACCACTTTTCGATTTGGCATAGGACCTATTAGCTTTCCAATAGTGACTTCTTGTATTCGAGAGATCTGATCAATCGTCAAGCTTCCCAGATATTAGCAAGTTGATGCATTCGGTCCTTTCATTTGGCCCAGCTTGGGTAGACTTTGCTTTGACACGACCCTGCTTGCCTATGAAGTCATTCAAGGAAGCTTTCTTCGTTCGTGAGATTGTGCGGTTTATTTGGTAATCATACACAAGAGCGTATTTCCTCCATCTACCTATGGTATCCAAAGTTGTTTGCGAGGAGGAGTGAGATATGTTCATCCCCCGGGAACCCTAATTCAGTAGGGAATCTTGATCAAACTCCCCACTCGCGATCGTTAGTTCTACCACGTTCGTGCTAGTCGGTAGAGGAGCATCCGCTACCATTAGCGCACTCCCGGGAAATCGAGACAAGCGCTAACCCAAGCGAGCGTTACCTTTGGAGGTGCGTAACTCCGAGTGTTGACGTCCAACACGAGGATCTATACCTCCAAAGGCTTGTGCATACGTGTAGCTGCCAGACAATTTTAAGCCGCTTTGATGCGCTGGCCAGCCCCGCCGGGGTCGACTGATATTGCCACAACCCAAACCTCCAAAGGTAACCCGAGCAATCGAATTTGTATCGGCGAACCGGCGGTTGTGTCACTGAGCGAAGATATAATACGGCAAGCACCCTTTCTCCCTCTTCCTTGCAACAACATATTCGACCAGCCAAATTCTTCTAAATGGCTGCTACACACCCTTTTGACCCTCTCTCCCCTTCGGAAATTTCCAAGGCAAGCCTGACATTGTCACTTGGAACTTCGCATGCTAACGAAATTCCAAAGGCGGCCGCAATCGTACGTGCACGGTTTGCGAAACAAGATGTGAACTTCAGGGTGATCACCTTGAAAGAGCCTCCTAAAAACGAGATGATTGCCTTCCTTGACCAAGAGCATCGCCAGGTGCCTACGCAGTGGGTCCCAATCCGTTGCGCGCGTGTCGAGGTGACGCTCAAGACCGCTGCCGGAGAGAATGAGCTGCAAGAAATGCATGTGGATCTTGATAAGAGCTCTATTCTGAAGCAAGAGATCTTGAGGGGGAAGCACTCCTACATCGATTCTGGATACATGAAAGAAGTGGAAAACGCATGCATGGCTGACCAAAGGGTGCAAGATGAGATACAGAAGTTGGATTTACCTCCTGGGGCATCAGTCGTTGTTGAACCGTGGGCGTATGCGACCGATGGTGAGAATGACATGTCGAAGCGTGTTACTATGGTAAGAAATCGCAACTCTTGCTCATTGCAGCTAACGTCTATACCAGTGTTGGTTCTACCTCCGCCTCTTGGAGCACCAAGATGCCAACTACTATGCATACCCACTCGACATTTGTGCGGAGATCTCAGAGGAGCTAGAGATCACCAAAGTCTATCGTCTTCCGTCGTCTCCAGACGAGAAAGTTCACAACGAAGATCGTCCTTTCGATCGTCGAAAGATTCATTCAACTACCGCAAGCGAATACCACCCCGATCTACGCCCGAGCCCGCGCACTTCTACCACACCGTATCAAGTGGTTCAGCCGGATGGTCCGTCCTTCAAGGTTCGCGGCAATCAGTTAAGTTGGGAAAAGTGGTCATTTCGGGTGGGCTTCAACTACCGAGAGGGATTGACGCTTCATGATATTTATTATGATGGTCGCAGCCTCTTCTATCGTCTGTCACTTGCTGAGATGTTCGTGCCTTACGGCGACCCACGCGCGCCATACCCGAGGAAGGCAGCTTTTGATCTGGGCAACGATGGTGCTGGCATCAACGCGAACAACTTAAAGCTTGGGTGCGATTGTCTTGGTACGCCCGTTCCTCCTTACTTTGAGCACTGGACTTGATACTAACGAAAGATTTCATGTAGGCACAATCAAATACTTCGATGCATGGCACAACACACGATCGGGAGAGCCCATGAAGCTCCCTAATGTCGTCTGCTGTCACGAGCAAGACGACGGTATCCTATGGAAGCACACTAATTTCCGCACCGGACACGCAGTGGTAGCACGATCTCGAATTCTGGTACTGCAGACCATCATCACGGTCAGCAACTATGAGTACATCTTTGCCTTCCATTTCTACCAGGACGCATCCATCTCCTACGAAGTTCGTGCTACTGGAATACTGTCTACCGTTCCTACCAAATACGGCGAGGACACCAAGATTCCATATGGTACTATCGTTGCGCCTGGAGTACTTGCGCCCTACCATCAACACCTGTTCTGTCTCCGCATCGACCCCGCTATCGATGGCCAGAAGAATTCAGTATCGATCGAGGAGTCGCAATCCATGCCGCTCGACGAGAGCAATCCTTTCGGCGTTGGGTACGTCACCAAGAGTCATTACGTCGAGAAGGAGGATGGCTTCGACCTGGACTTCACGAAAGCCCGAGCTTTCAAATTCGTCAACGAAGCAAAGACCAATCCGATTACAAATACGCCGGTTGGATTCAAGCTCATGCCTTTCTACAGCCAGATGCTTCTAGCGGACAAGGGTTCCTTCCATGCGAAGCGCTCAGAGTATGGGCAGCACGCTGTCTGGGTGACCAGATATAGGGACGACGAGCTCTTCCCTTCAGGGCGGTACACGATGCAGTCGATGGGCGGAGAAGGCATCGCATCTGCCATTCAGAAACGAGCTGCTTCTGGTGATCAGGATTGTGTCAGGAACAGCGATGTGGTTGTGTGGCACACGTTCGGGTCTACGCACAACCCCCGCATCGAAGACTGGCCTGTGATGCCCAACGAGAAGATGGTGGTTGGATTGAAGCCTGTCAATTTCTTCCTTGGGAATCCAGGGTTGGATGTTGCTCCCTCAACGCAGGAGAAGAATAAGAGTGTACTGTATACGGAGGACGACACTAGTCCTACTTGTTGCGCTTCTAGGTTGTAGACATTTTATCTAGGATGAGGCTTTGGGTTTGCTAAAGGGTGAAATATCATTCAAGAAAACGTAGAGACTGGATGTCCTGAGTCCCGTGATATTGGTACATTAGAAACTGTCGCTGTAATTCGTCCAAATCTCTCTCAACACTGGGATTTGATTCTGCCTACACCTTACTTACCGCAAGACTAGCCCTAATTTACACCCAGTTGTTGCAAAGCCGGCTCCAATCTCTACGAGCAACGACCCAGATTATGAGCTAGCATGGTGGCCTGATGAGCATGATGAGCACCTAGCCCAATCCAAATACGAGACATGCAAACATAGACTAAAGATAGAGAGGTTGGTTGCGGATTAGGTATTGCTAACAGCTTCTCTCTATGTACAGACATCTAATAGAAAAGGTATATAAAAGCTAACCTAGAGGTGCTTCCCAAGTAAAAGCTCCGTCAAATTCACGCGTTCTCCATCTTCCACATATTCCAAGTTACCACAAAATCCACTGTGCCTGGGACGACCCGCATGACGCCCCCCTTTGCAGCCTTAATTGATACCTATCGAATCGTACGCCGCTTCGCTCCCTCAGTGAAAAGGCTCCCCCTTTTCGCCTTTGATCTCGAACATTTGCCAATGAAAAAAACGTACGTGCGCAGGAAAACTCTGTAGCGCTTAGCTACGGACGAAACACGCATACATCAGACGCATTCATACATTTCGAACGATACATTTCTCACGTATATAATACACATCGAGAAGAGCGCCACAACCGGTGAGCCAGGTTCAACAATGCAATACCTCTCTTGAACGCTGCACATGCCGCCGAAAAGAAAGAAAAAACGTTGCCAAATGGCCCAAAAACCTCAATCATGTCGCCCGATAGCGTAACAAAACTCCAGCTTCCGAAAACTTGGCCATGTACATGTGTTTGTCAATGCGAAACTCCTACCTTCCGCGCCCTAGAAATACGGGTATACTGCCGCCAGACAAAGGAAAATACAATGTCAAGGTTGCGTACGAATCCACTTAGCAAAAGCTCTCCAAAATATGCTCCGAAGAGATTGCGAAAAGTCGTACAATTGAGATGAATCTTAACGTTACCGGCGCCATTCACCATGTTGCCTCGGCACCGCATTCGCCCAATCCATTCCACCAGGGCCTTGTTGGGGTCCCGGAGTACCTCTCTGATCCGGTGCGGGCGGGCCCTGCGGCGGACCCCTTCCCATCATCCTCTCCCGTTGCATCTGCGCATCGCGCTCTCTCAGCTCGTGGAATTCTCGTTCTCGACGCTCTCGGTCCCGATGTCCGGCAAAGAATTCTTCTCGTTGGGTTTGCTCCTCGCGCAGGCGGTTGTTCTCACGAGCGAATGGGTCCCTGAAGCGCTCATCTGGTCGAGGAGGACCGCCGAAGAGAGGATGGCTGTCGCCCAAGGACGAGCGAGGAGGATGCTGCAAAGGTGGTGGGCCGTGATCTGATCGCGAGACTGGAGTGTGGGAGCGCTGCTGCCCGCCATATACTCTGTCTTGTGGTGGAGGTTGGTAGCGGGGATCCTGGTGAGCAGGAGGTGGACCTGCGGAGCGCGACATTATAGGTTCGCGTTCGCGGAGCAGCAATGCATCGGCACGATGCTGTATTTCCCGACTCATGTCCCGATCGCCGGTGCGGGGGTCGAAGTCATGATGCATGTCGCGTGGGTCTCGTCGGAACTGGTCCGCCATGCTGGGACCGCGCGCATGCTGACCACCAGGATGCTGTTCGCCGGGCGTCTGAGGATTAGGGTACGCTAGACCTCCGTTGTGTACCTGTGAATGTTCATTGCGACCGTGCACGTCCCTTTGCCCACCGAGGTGGTTGGTATGGAGATGCGGACTAGGCCGCATGCCAACGGGTGCAGAAGGCTGCGAGTTGCCGCCAGGCGGATCAACCTGTGCATATGGATTGGGTTGAAGAATCTGCGAAGTAACACCAGATGCTTGGGCATGTTGTGAAGCAGTTGTCACAGTCATACCGTGACGAGGCTGTTGTCCAGGTGGTCCGCTTATGCTAGGAGTACGCGAATGCAGGTGTGGGGAATTATGGAACGCAGATAGCGGTGGCGGAGAGGGATTATGGCGTGGTTGGTTGTGTTGCGCCAACAAAGACCGATGATTGCCCAGGAAGGCTGCTCTCTCGTTATAAGCAGGTTGTTGATGAGGCGAGCTGATGGTCGGACCCTGCGAGACTTGGTTGTGGCCAGGAAACTGTCGAGGCCACTCTTCACGTAGAGGTCGCCCTGCAGATGCTTGTTCCCTTGTCAGATCGACAACCTGCCGGCCTGACATTTGAGCCACTCCGGGTTGTTGTGCGTATGGTAGGCGGCCATAAGAGGGTTGTGTGGTTGCTTCAACGTATGGGTCCCGTCTCGGAGGCATTGATTGTGACACTGGAGGAGGCGGTGCAATTGGGGTCTGTTGTTGCGGAGTTGGTGTGTGCGATGGAACGTTTTGCTCAGGCTTCTTTCTCTTCGGCTCCTCAGGCTGATCGTCATTGAGGAGCGACATCAGGTTTGACTTCCTAGGTTCCGCGGCAGGCTTTGGGACACTCGAAGCAGGCGGCGGCACTTGAGTGGGAGGTAGCGATGAGGGTCCGTATCCCTGCGGCTGCGTAGGCACATGCATGGGCTGCTGGGACTGTGCCCGTTGGTGGGGTATTGGGTAAACCCTAGGCTCCTCTTTGACGGGCGGAGTCGCAAGAGCAGTGCGCGCAGGTGGCAACGAATTTGGCGGTGGCACCGCAGCTTCCATCAGTGATTGCTGATGACGATGCTGGTAGGAGAGAGGGTGGTTCTCAGGGGATCCGACACCTAGGCCAGGACGGCCTTGGACTGAAACAGACCCGAAAGGTCTCCCTTGGTGCACTTCCCCCGAGATATGACGAGCATGCTGGGGCTGGAATCGATCCTGCTGTGGCTCAGCTCTTGATGGTTCGCGTTCTTGGAACGACGGGCGGAATAACGATGGCTGCGCTTGCATTTGTGGTTGGGCATGAGATTGCAAACCTCGCGAACTTGGCGGCATGTTAGACGGTTGTGACGGTGGACGATGCTCCATGCCCCTGGGAAGCTCATCAGAGAAGAAACCTGCAATAGGACCAGGACGACGGGAGTCCAATTGGGACAGGTGGGGGATCGGTTGGCGCACTGCATGTGTTGGTGGAGACTGCTGCTGGGGAATTGACACAAGTGAAGAATCGGGCATCGAATAGGCTGTCCCAGGTACCAGTGACTTTGACTGGGGGGCTTGTGCGATATTGGAAAACCTAGCGGCGGAAGACATGCTAGGAGGTGAAGCCTTTGAGACTACCATACCGAAGCCTGCTGTTGCTTCCGGGGTCGGGGCAAGAGTTCTTGGGACAGTGACCTGGGTGCTTTCGTAACGTCTTTTCGGTGCGGGAGTAGGTATCGGGGGTAGTCCTATGTCGACGCCTCTGTTGCGTCTCTCATCAGCTTCCTCTGCCGCTCTTTCGAGATCTTTCGCCCCGCCCTCTACGAGCCGGAGATATTGATTCTTCACCATGGTCTGCGTCTTAGTGCCCATATGTGTAGCTATCGCCGCCCAATCAGTGCCGAAATGCGCAACGTTCTTCTGGAAATCCGTCTGTTCAGTAACGGACCAGTAACTCGACGGTCCAGGTCTGGCGCTTGGTGGTTGTAATCGAGATCTTTCCGTCATACCGGGCATTGAATAATACTGTGGTTCTGCCTGGAGAAGCATCTGCTCATCCTGCAGGCCAGGCTGCATAGGCAAACCCATGTCACTTAATTTGCCGAAGTCATCTTCCATCTTGACACCCAGCAACTTGCGGTCAATTTTGATAGGCGACCCGGCTGGCGCAGCAGCAAGAGGTTGCGTCTGTGCCTGTGCCTGTGCCTGTGCCTGTGCCTGTGCCTGAGCCTGAGCCTGCGCCTGCGCCTGCGCCTGCGCCTGCGCCTGTGCTTTGGTTTTCCGCGCACCCTTTTCTCTAGCACTCTTGCCACGACGCCCGGCCTTTTCCTGTGTTCCATCCGCATCTGTTTGCCTTCGAAGACGTCCCGGAGTTGGGGTAGATGCCGTTGTGTCCATATCCGTCTCCGCTCCAAAGGTAGGTGCTGCTGAACGCCGTGGCCGTCCAGTCTCCGTTAAGGCCGGAGGAAGCCCATCTTCTCCTGACGGATCAGGCCGTTCCATGTTAGCAATAGCTCCACGACCACGACCAGCCCCACCTCTTCTCCTCGGTCCACCGCGTCCTCTTCTAACTTTACCTTTGTATTCTCTTTGCCATTTCGTGGCATAGTAATGGTTGATGCAATCTTTATATGTCCTGCTGGTGCCAGCCTCCTTGTACAGAATCTCTGCTAATTTCCCCCATTTCTTCGCGTATTGATCCCTGTATTGTTGCACCATGATTCGATGCTCTTCTTCAGTGAAGTCGTCCTCAGGTGGTTCATAGTGGAACGCGAATATACCTTGACCTGGCTCTCGCTGGAAGTTGGTGTCAATGAATCTCCGGCGCTGCACTTCGTATGTGGTCAGTTCGGGTGGAACGTCTGCTTCTTTCTCCGGATCAGCCATGGATCTCTTTGGCTCCTTCTCGTGTTGCTCCCGTTCGAGTTCAGCTGTCCTCAAAGATTCTTGCATTGCAAGCTCGAGGTCAAATTCAGTTGCCCATCGACTGGCGTGGCCTCGACGACCAGTGGTGGGTGCTGAATTATCTAGAAGTGGACCCACTGTAGAAGTCTCGGCTCCCGGTGTTGTAGCCTGTGCACTCGGCTCAGCGGATGCTGGTCGCTCGTGGCTGTCCGTGTCTTTTGATCGATCAAGACTGCGAACACGAATACGCCATTGTCGATACATTGTGGCATATCTTTCCGATTGCTCATCGGTATCGAGTTCTGGCTCGATGTTTTCTCTCAACTTGTTGCGGATGGCGAGCATGACGGACTCTGACATACGGGGGCCTTCTAGTTCAGAGATCGGCGTTGGGGGCCCAGAACCAAGGAATGGAAGAGAACTAAGATCAGGGACATCCTCATGTTCATCGCTTGTACCGTGACGTAAACGAAGGGCCCGTGTTGCTGGAGCCAGCTGCTTTTCTTCCTCCTCATGCTTATAATCCATATTCACATCTTCGGACTCTTCGGCTTTTGGCGTTGGAAGCTCGTTCACGTTGCTTCCTGGGGGGACGATCGGAGACGTCTTAGGCGAAGGTGCAAACGTCAACCCTTCGTCTACGAGCTTTGGCTGTTCTTGCGGCAGATGTTCCGCAGTCAGGCTTGCTAACAGGATAATTTCGTGTAACGGGGTTGTAGCCCGCAAGTGTGGTGCACTCAGATCTATCCGTTTTGATTCTAGCAAAGCCTTTTCGCGGTTGTATTTGGCTTCTGATTCGGCAAAGTCATCTTCGTCGAGGTCGAGATCATCGTCCGAATCCTGTAAAGCTTCAGGTGCGGAGGACGTCGCCGATATTGGTGGCTTTTCTGGGACCAAAGGCGCCTCTGTCATAGATATGTTGGAGAAGCGGCGGGCTTCGATTGGCGCGGGTTTTGGTGAGATACCTCTACGATAGTCCCCAGATGCCCTTCGGTCACGGCCCATGCCGTTCTCCATTGAAGGTCGAGTGATCGAAGGTGACACTGACTTGGCCTTCCCAGCACGCTGGGACTCTGGTGCAGAAACGTTTGCTTCTAGCTTGGGAGCTTTGGGAGCCGAGCCAAAGGCTCGATCACGATCTTCGGCAGGATATTCGCGTTTCATAGGGGTGATTGTTCGATTGTTCAAGTTCAACCCTGGCCTTACCCACTGCATACTCTTAGGTGGCCCATTCATAGGCATACGCGGAGCCGGGAAGCCAGGGCGATCAGGAGGTGGGTACATTGGCGGTCGTGCAGCCATTGGATTACCTCTGTCAGCTTTTGGTCCAGTTGGGATATTCGCAGGCAGAGTCTTTGGTGACGTGTTGTTCAGCATCATAGACGTACCAGTTCCGCTGCTGCTTCGAGCGCCCATGGTTGGCTGTATCGCGCTTGGGGAAGGGTCACGTGGGTTGTTCATGTAAGGCAGACGAGCTGGTCTGGGGAAAGAAGGCGACACGTTGGCTCTCAAAGCTGCCTGTGGCCCGGTAGGAGGTGCTCGTGCCGTTGATGCTGGGCCTGCAGGAGGCGAGATCGCCGAGCTCGAAGCATTACTGTTAGCAGGAGCAGATGGCTTCGATTCTGTAATAGAGGATGAGGGGCCATTGTTGTTGTTGTTGTTGGGTGCCGGTGGAATAAGAGAAGCTCGCGGTTCAATGCGAGTTTGCTCTGATGGGGCTGTCCTACTCTCTTGCGCCTGGCTCAATCCTTGAGTTTGGGAAGGAGCATCAGGAAGTTGTCGCTCAGGTGCACGGTCGGCTTTAGGTCCGGTTGGAGGTGCAGTCGATAACCCAGCAGGTACGCTTAGTTTCGGGGCTATGGTGGTAGCCGGAACCGTGGTTGTAGGGGCAGATGGCGCCGGCGCTGAAGGTGCAGCTGGTGTACTTTTCGGTGGCTGTGATGCGGTGGGAGGCTTCACGTCGAGAAGTGGATTCCTCCAAACATTGGAGCCGAACGCGGGTACTGCAGCGGGAGGAGATGATGCCCGTGGCGCGTAACGTTCTCTTGAAGCTTCTGCGCGACTCGCAAGAAGGAGATCGTCTCGTCCAGGTTCGCGCCTAGCGTCTTTATTGCCTAGAGCCTCTGTTGCGATTGAGGCACGTCTAGAGTAGGAATCCACGGAAGGTCCATGTCGATCCGCAGGTGAATGATGCGCCGAATGTGGAACCGCACTCGTTGGTGTACCAGGAAGATGTCTTGTATCAAGCGTAGCGCTACCACGGTGCGTATCAAGCGCCCGCGGTCCCGGTTTTGCACCGGCTGGTCCAATATAAGAGTCGTATTCCCTCGGTACAAATCTTCGGTCATCGCGTTCTCTCCGGTCGAAGTCCCTATCGCGGTCGTCACGTGGGTCGCGATCTCGTCGTACAGGGTCCCTCGACCGGCTTCGCGGTCGATAAGATCGGTCCGGCATGCGATCACGTGCATCGTGATGTCGATCCCTGTCATCTGGGTACATGGGCCTGCCTCGTCCTCGACCCTCGCCGTGAAAGTCTCGCCCGCCCCTTCCACGTGCAAATCCACTGCCCCTATAAGATGAGCCTGTAGTGAGAGGAGGATCTGAATACGTTGAGCCTGCTGAAGGTGGGCCATCTCGAGAATTTCGCCTGGCGCGACTTATATCGAGGTCGCGGGAGGGAAAGTCTCGTTGATCTCGGGTGTCTCGCACATCTCTCACTGGCGAGCGTCTAGGTGGAGATGGTCGCCTGTCTCGTCGGTCGCGGTCAAAGTCTCGGTCGCGGTCTCGATCTGCCGCCCGCCAGGAATTGTGTGGTGGGTGTGGATGAGGAACACTCGAAAGCGGCGGTGCATCGCGTAATGATGGCCTCTCTCCACGGCCTGCGAACCCTCCTCCTCTACCGTCGCGCGGTGCAGAGGGCGCCCCAGAAGGTCCTCCTGCTGGTGGCCCTCGGGGCGCATTTTCGAGTGACTTCGGACCGCGAGGCGTGTCCCTCGGCGGGAAGGCGCTAGAATCTGCATTGGATCGCGGGCCACCATCGTTGGCTCTAGGGGGGTATGTGCTTCCATATGTAGACTGTCTTCTGTCGCGGAACGGCGACCTGTCGCGAACGTATCGGCTGTCTGGGTATCTCGAGGACGACATGAGAACGAGCTGGGACGTTGATACCTGTTCCCGCGGAGCTAAACATGGACTCGGGTATTGGACAGAGGGTTTGTGCAGTTCTAGGCTTGGTCTCCCAGAGTGTAAGCTGTCAAATTATAGCCTTTCACTGCAACGGACGGCCTGGTCGGACGGCGATGACAATTCGACTGCGTGTTGCGAAGCTGCAATATTGGCGCCAGGTGGCGATGTGTACAGGTCGGCGGGGTTGTAGAGACCAGACGACCGTGGGACGTTCCTCTGGAAAAGAGATCTAGATGTCGGGGTGACAGCTAACGGCAAGCCAAGAGCGGCGCGCGCGGTGGCTGTTGGAGTTCGCGCTTGTCCCCAAGTCCCGAACAGGGTAAGTGCAATGTCCGTGCTCAGATCAGAGCCGAGAAGTGACGATACGGAGACTTCGCAGACGGGGGCAGGAAAGGCTCTCCTGTGTCGATACTGGCTGTGAGAAATAACCGACGGGTGCGCCCAATCGTCTCGAAGACCGGCTGGGCTGGAGACGCGGCGAGGAGCCACAGGGAGCGACGTGGCGCTGCTACTCTTCGGGAAGGGGTGTGGGCACGAGGTGCCGGACGAGACGAAAAAAACAGATGGAGTGCAAACAGACGTTAGCGGGGCGGCGCCGCTCCAGGGTGCGGCATTGCTGTTGTCGTTGTTGGGGCGCCCGCAAGGAGGGCTTTGATGGAAGATGGAGAAGGAGACCTGCAGCCAGGGCACGAGAACGCAATTGGGAGCCAGCACTGACACGACGCACTGTGGCTCCAATGGCTCCAGCCCAGAGCCCCGTCATGTTCACTTCGCGCCCCTCTCCTAACCAAGCAGGGATGGCTTCCGGGACAGAGGGTGCAGGCTTGCTTGCGCGCATTCTTAGTGGCTAGGGGATCGTAACTGCGATCTCCAGAGAGGATCCCTGCATATTTCCAACGCTGAAACCTCAGGTGCTGTGTCAGGTTCGGCAGAGGTGTGCATATAGACGGGCGGGCGACGGGACTTGATGGGAGGCCAGGGAAGTACTGTGCAGTCGTTCGGACGCACGCTGTGGGAGCCCTTGGCCTCGCTCGTCCTCCGCGTTCGTGCCTGCCTGCCTGCCTGGACTCAGTGGACTGTGGCGCTTTTTGCGGATCGACTGCCGCGCCTGCCCGGACTAGCCCGAACTGGGGAAGGCGCAATAAGCAACCTTAACTCACGCGCCGGTGTGGGGGGACGGAATTCTGACCCATCTCAGCCCAGTGTCAAATTCTGCGGGTTGCACGCGCACCAAAAAACAGACAGCGAAGGCGCTCTGTACACAACGGCACTCTCAACTGCACGACACGGCGAGATCAGTCGGTCCCAAGCACACATACACCACGATTCACCACCGGAGTCCCATCTCCAACGCACATTTCTCCGAACATGAGTGCGGCCAATCAGGCGCCGGCATCGCAGGCCCCTCCATCGAACGCGACGGATGCAGTCCTGAAGCCGTCGGAGCCTGTGCCCGCGGACGCCCGCGAGGTGCAGGGCATAGACTTCGACGACTATGCGCAGCGCAGCATCACGGTCGAGGAGCTGATGGGGGGGTATGCCCGCATGGGCTTCCAGGCAACTGCGATCGGCGAGGCGGTGCGGATTGTCAATGACATGGTGAGTGCTTTCCCGACGGCGCATGGAGATCCTGGCAGCTGTGGGTGCTCGGGCTGCGGGCGCTTCCCGGCTCTGCGCGCGCCCCTGCGAAACAATTTAGCCGGAAGTGGCATGGCTAGCCAGCCTTGGTGATGCGCCTAATGGTTGTCTCTAACAGTGACAGCGCACGTGGAGGCACGCTGAAACAGGCGAGGGCACCACCGTCTTTCTGGGCTACACGTCCAACCTGATATCCTCGGGCCTACGAGAGACGCTGCGTTACCTGGTGCAGCACAAGCACGTCTCTGCAATCGTGACAACAGCTGGCGGCGTCGAGGAGGACTTCATCAAATGTCTAGGACCAACCTACCTGGGCGCATTCTCGACACCTGGCGCCAGCCTGCGCGCGAAGGGTCTCAATCGGATAGGCAATCTGGTAGTGCCAAACAACAATTACTGCGCCTTTGAGGACTGGGTCTTGCCAATCCTGGACAAAATGTTAGTGGAGCAGGAGGAGAGCAAGAAGGCCGACGAACCGATGCACTGGACCCCAAGCAAGGTGATCCGTCGTCTTGGGCAGGAGATCAACGACGAGCGCTCGGTATATTACTGGGCGTGGAAGAACGACATCCCCGTCTTCTGTCCAGCACTGACCGATGGCAGCCTCGGAGACATGCTGTACTTCCACACTTTCAAGTCATCCCCCGAGCAGCTGCGCATAGACATTGTAGAGGATATCCGCAAGATAAACACCATCGCCGTACGCGCAAAGCGGACCGGCATGATCATCCTGGGCGGAGGCATTGTCAAACATCACATCGCCAATGCGAATCTAATGCGAAATGGTGCTGAGAGTGCCGTGTACGTTAACACAGCCCAGGAGTTCGACGGAAGCGATGCGGGAGCGCGACCAGACGAAGCAGTCAGTTGGGGAAAGATCAAGACGGATGGTGATAGCGTCAAGGTGTACGCCGAGGCGACTGTGGCGTTCCCGCTGATCGTTGCAGCTACCTTCGCGAAGGGAAGACCAGACAGTTCAGAACCATAGGAAGCAACTTCACAGCGGTCCGAGGATAAATATGATGATGCAGTTGATGGGTCCCGCCCAAGGACAACACTCCCAGTTGACCATGTGTCGCGTGCTCCGTCTGGACGTTGTGCTTTGCGCTGATGCGTCTGCCACGCCAACCAACAGCATCAGCATGAGTCGTGAGTGGAGGTGAGGTGCAGGTAGAGTCGGAGGTGCTACAGGGATGCGTGGCCGGTGTGTCTCCACAGTTGTAGTCGACGCTCGATGCAGAGTAGCGCAAGTTGCAGCCTAGCTTTGGGGTCGTGAGTGCTCGCAGGCGGAGCAGCGGAATGCGCAGCTGTGTGACTCAAAAGCTGACGCCTGTGCCATCTATGGACTCGCGGCGAGCTAGAAGGAGGAATAGGGGGCAGAAGGGCCCGCATGCGTGATGTCGAGGGCGTTCTACGAAACCGCGGGAGACGGCGTGGGGAACCTGGGAAGCGCTAAGCTCACTGGCTGCAGCCTCACTCACCGCCCGGCCCATATAAATGGTCCCCAGGCAGCGCATGCACAAGCTCCAGCCTTACACGTACAACAACGTATAAGCCTAGCCACGCCTCACAGCCGCAGAGCCATCGTCGGTTCCGTGACTTTGTTTTTGCAGCCTGACATAACCTTGTGTACTTTGCCGTGTTCCAATCCACCTGGGCAGAACCTTGTACTCGTGCTCGTAGAGCTCCGATTAGAGCTTCGCCGATAAGAGCTGCTAATCACCACCACCTTCCGTCCACGTCGCTGCGCAGCAACCGAGCTCGACAACAGTCTGAGTGCAGCTGTCCATCGTGTTGTCCATCCTGGGCTAATCCAGCGTACCTTGTCTTTGGAGTCGCCCGGCGCTGTGCCTCTCACGTAGACTTGGTGGTAGATCTAGGTACAGCTGCTCCGCTTGAGTGCCCGCCCGCCTTCCTTCACTTATACTTCGTGCCTAGTAACACACCTGCAACCATGAGCTCGACCGCCGTTCAACCACCTCCCCCACCCATCTCGTTCACGCAGCAACCGCCTTCGTCGCCGCCTTTCTCAAGTCCGCATTCGCCCGTCGAGTCGCAACCTCACACCCGACCCGCCATGCCTTCGCCGCCACCACCGCCGCCGCCGCCGCCGCCGCCGCAGCAGCAGCAGAGTTCCGGCGATATAGATATGAGCACCTCCACCACATTAACGCCCGCCGGCCAGCGCCACGATCGGGAAGACGGAGTCATGCAAGACAGCCTGACAAACGGTCTCCACCCGGACGCAAGCAACACGCAAAACCACAACCAGACAAACAGCGTCGCTATACAGGTCGCAGCTGTTGCAGCCGACGAGGATGCTATGGATACCACCTCCGACGACGCGCAAGACCTTGTGCTGCCGAACGGTTCAGCTGAGCCGCCCGCCATCACGCCATCCTCACCCACTCCGCCAGAAGTCGAGAACTCAGAACATGTTCCCCTCACTACTGTATGTATTGGAGCCAATAGCTTCCCCCCAAGTTACTTCAGGGTCTCTGTTACAAACTGAGGATATTGTCTTGCCTTGAATCATCCGTGGTACAAATGGTTGACGAGGATACCTTGCGGTATACACATTGAACGCATATGCAAGCTGACTGAAGACCTGCAGCTAAACGATACTCCTCATGACGAGCCTCCAGCCCCACCTGCAGATCCCGCTCTGCAACCACCACCTCCGCCCCCGCCCGTTGAGCCAGTCCAAACTGATGTCGACTCATCTGACGAAGATGGAGGTCAGCCATGGCACCCTATTGCCGAGGATACGTCAGCGCCCGACGAGGAGGAGCTGAAAGAGATTGAAGGAACCACCGAACACAGTGCATTGGATCATGAGTATTGGGAAAAGAAGGCTTTTTCTCCATTAGATGATCCTGAATACTCACCGGGCGAAAGCGGTCGCATAGAATGGCTCATCGAGAATTACAATGGCACACGTGAAAATCCAAATCGCGATCTGGTAATGAAGTCTACACCAGTCACCATTGGTGGACATCAATGGCAAATCAAGTTTTACCCCAAAGGCAACGACTCCGATTACCTCAGCGTTTACGTAGAGTGTCTCAGCGTTGAGGACGAGGAGAAGAAAGACAGAGGAGAAGGAGCCGATCGGAAACCGGAGGGCGATGCGGAGCCAAGCATTGAGAGCGCTGCTCGGGAACCGACGGAGACGCAACATGCCCCCCTTGCCCCTGCTGGACTCAAAAGCAGTACCCAAAAGGAAGGGTGTTGCTGCACAAGTCTCCGTTGTCCTCTACAATCCTACCGAGCCTCGGGTCAATTATTCACGAACCTGCCTGCACCGATTCTGTACGTCCTCACCTGATTGGGGCTGGACGCGATTTCATGGGCCACACTATGACATCCCCCATCGGATTCGAGGCCATAGGCAGGCTCTTCTTAGGGACGATAAGCTTGCACCGGTTATATACGCATTATCGATGACCAAACCGATTGCCTATGGGAGCATCCAAGCTCAGACAACGTCTGGGACAGCTTTGCGATGACAGGATTGCAATCAGTTGCTCTACGAGACAACGGCGGCTCTCCAGACGGGAATGTTGTCTCCGCTGTCATCTCGTGGCTGCTTTTCAAGCCTTTCAGACAGTTCTTGTACAGTTTCAAGGGCCCTGACAGTGAGATGGAGCCATTCGCTCAACCGAAACCGCTTATCGGAGCTTTTCAAAAGGTATTATACATGCTGAGAACTCAAGTCCAGCCTGGTGCAGGTTCAGTCGACCTGGGTGACATTGATGATGCGCTGGACTGGTATGGTCTGTCAGAGCCGCTGCACAAGTTCGATGTGGTGCAGGTGTGGGAGTGTCTCCGCACTAAACTCGAAGACGAACTACGGAACACGTCTTCTGCTAGTGTCCTCGAGGATCTTCTGGGCCCAAAGCGCGATTACACCAAGGGCGTCTCTAGGTATCGAGCACCCGTAGTTGGTGTGGGTAGCATGCAAGAAGCCGTTCATCAGATTCCCGAGCTTATAGACTCCGATAGCAGTCTTCCTCAACTCTTGGCTGTCGAACTGGAACGGCAAGTCTTCGATACCGCCTCGCGTTCTTACGTCAAACTGCTCAACAGAGTAACTTTGGACGATCACATCACTGTACGGGGCTCTTCATACACGCTTTACGGCTTCGTAGTGCACAAGCAGACCCTTCAGTCGTACGTTTACCAGACTATACTTCGACCTGAAGGGCCTGGTTCGAGGTGGTACAATTATTCTGACAGCCGGGAGGGTAATAAAGTCACTTGTCTAACTTATCGGCAAGCTGTTACCTTGCACGAAGGCAAGGATGCTACAGCTCGCGTAACAGGCAGCGACGCCATCGCATACATTGCGATGTATGTACACGACAACGTAGCACAGTCCGCTTTCAAGTCACAATCTGAGTCCGAGCAATGGGAGGTTCCCAGATGGATACCACAAGAGCTAGAGCGGCAAAAGGTTGCGGAGCAGCTTCCTCCGATCTCGATCCCGCCAGACGAGCCCGAAGCACCCCAGAGTACGCAAGGGGTCAAGATTGATGCGGGAACGGCAGAAATTGAGCAACGCGAATTCCAGATAGTAGATTCTCAGGCCTTCTTACAGCATGAAGGTCCAGGTTTCTTCGATGCCTTCGATAAGAAGTGGAAATCTGACAGCTCCGGCTTATTGACTTCGGTAATACTTAAGAATACCGACGGTTGCCAGGACATCCGTCAGAAGATCGCCACCGCTTTCAAAGACGTCAAGGGTATTCAAGATTCGAGGCAGGTGAAGTTTTGGTTCCTTGACACACATCAAGGTTCTTTTGCACATCCTCGTCTGGTGGGTACCGGCAGGATTGAATACTCAAGTGGCAGCTATAATCGCTTTGCTGAAGATGTGAAGGATTGGAAATTGGAGAATGCATCTGGAGACTGGGGTTGTCGTCGACTTTGGGTTCACGTTGTGCCTTTTGCTGATCTGCCTGAACCTCCAAAAGAACCCGCTCCCGCTCCAGAGCTGCCTGCGGAAGCACCTTCTGAGACAACCCAGCAATCTGAACAAGCTCCTGCGTTAAACGCACCTGCACTCACTGACACTCCTGGCCCGGTACCAGACGATGCGCAGCCAGTGCCACAGCCAGTATCAGAAGACACGCCAATGAGCGAGCCAGATGAGCCAGAATCGGAGCCGCCACTGGCCAACTCACCTCCCACGAATGTCGAGTCGCCGGCTTCTCCGACTAATGCAGCAGCTGGCGGTGACGACACCGCTATGGTAGAAATAGATGCATCCACACTGCCTGATCCTCCTGTGGTTGATGTTATCATCCCAAACAATACAGGTGACGATACGGAAATGGGAGGAACCCAAGAAGAGATCGCGCCGCCTCCGCCACCACCGATTGACTTGCCCATACCTCCGCCAGTTGATATCCAAGAGCGCTCACAAACCCCTCCTCCTGTCGAAGCAGCGCGGCCGCGGACTCCAGAGCCTCCAGCTGATGAAATTTACTTCTTCATCAAATATTTTGATGCGGAGAAACAGACCCTGGAACCCAAGGGTTCCTTCATTGCTCACAAATCCGCGCGTCTCGACAATACAGTGCAAAAACTGCTAGACCTGTCAGACGTGAAGTTCGAATGGTGGGAGGAGGAAGACCTCGTCCAGGCCCGATCCCTGCGACGGAACAAATCCTTCGCTTCGAATGACCTTCACAACGGCGCTACAATCATCTATACGGTTCCTCGCACAGACGAGCAGAAGAACACCCTCGCGGACCGCGCAACGTTTGCCGACCTCCCGCAATATCTTCGATTCCGCGCTAACGCGCGAAATTTCCCTTCTCGCATGAACGGTCACTTCACTTTCAACTATTTTTCTGCGCAATACTACAAGGGCGTCTACGTGAACGGGCACCGCCACGGCCACGGCAGCCGCATGTACCACTCCGGCGCCATCTACGAAGGCTCTTTCCGTCTCGGGCAACGCCACGGCCACGGCCTCTACACCTTCCAGAACGGTGATACATACGACGGCGACTGGGTCGCAAACCAGCAACACGGCACTGGCACTTTCGTGGAAGCGACGACAGGCAACACATACATCGGTGGCTGGAAGAACGACAAGAAGTTCGGCGAGGGCGTGACGCATTGGAAGAGCGCGCAGGAGACGGAGCGTCTTTGTCGAATTTGCTGGGAAGAGGAAGCTGAGGCAGCATTCTATGATTGTGGGCATGTAGTGGCTTGTGTGGGGTGTGCGAGGCAGGTGGAGAACTGTCCAGTCTGTAGGAGGAGGGTGTTGAGCGCCATGAAGCTTTATTATGTGGCATGAAGGAGCAGTAGGCAAAGGCAACGGTTGGACGCACTGCAGATGTTGCACGGAAAGCTGCGTGTGAGCAGAGTAAGACGGGTGGAGAAGGTTCGACATGAATCTCGGCATTTGAGCGTGGGGGTGATTGGCGTTTCGATCTTTTCGGATGGTCTGATTTGGCATCTTTCCTTCTTTTGAGTTTGTTATTAGTACAATGTCGTTCCTTAGCGAGGTGCAGGGTGTACACGGCGTTGCATCTCTCCATGTCCTGGTATGGGACCTGGAGACTGCTGGGGTATGACTATTAGTCCATAGCTTTGCGAGCTGCGGCTCATGGGGATTAACAGATTGCAGAGTTAGTTTTGGCACTGAAGACTATGTGCATTTTAATCGTTATGCCGTGCGGTGGTGGGAATTATGGTGATGATGTTCTTGCCTCCTTGGATTGCTCTAAGTGAGATATGGATAGTAACGGCTGATTACATTTGCCAGTATCAAATCCTAGATTTCGGTATACACAGATTAAGTGACTTTTTCACGAAACAAAGAAGAGTAAAACAGGGATTTGTGCGCTTCCCAGTATCGCATAAGCGTTGCACCACTTCTCCAAGTCCCGATGCAGTTTAAATGGCGGATTATTCAAAATTTAACCAACTTGCAGAACTTTGTGAAGATCATGTACTTTGAATTGGCTATACACTCTTCAGAGATTATGTTCAACAGAAAGGCACAAGCGCAGTCCAGTACGGAAGAGCGCAAAATCATCTCTCTCATGTCGTTTGAAATAATCTATATAGACTTATTTGTTCCCAGGCACTATGGAAAGGGAGATGGTAACATACGCAGGTCGAATGAATGATGATCTGAATGTCTAGAACACAGCAGTAGACTTGATGATAGCGCAAGTACAACCCTCTTCGCAGATCCTTTGGCGATAATGGTGGGTCGCTCGAGCCTGCTGTTGGTGATTCAGAGCCACCTGGTAGTGCGGAGTCCTCCATTTCCTTTCGACGAACTTTTGGGGATGGGAGTGACGTAAAAGGGCATCCTGCAAGCCTTGGGTATACAGCTACTGCAAGAAGATGTTGAAGGTCACCGAACGTAATTCAGGTATAAATATGATCTCGTCAGCGCTTTCACGGAGTCAGTTGCGAAAACCTGCGTGGTAATAGTGCGATTGATGGCTGAGATTTTTGTAGGCGTAGAATACGATAGGTGTCGCTCGTGTGTTATAGATCAATATCGCCGGGCCATCTCCGGGCCATCTCCCCACCGAGCTTCCCAAGCTCAGGCGTCACTACTCCTCCGCATCGTGAGCCTGACGCATTTACGCCTGCATCACTGGGTTGACAGCCTCGTCGAGACCGCCGAAGCTGCCACGCGCACACCACGTCATGAGCGCCCCGTAAGGATAGCGAACTTCCCACACAGCAGCCCGGCATGGCGTACGATACGTCGTCGGGGTACGCCGCGCCCGGCACGAGCAACTTTCAGGATGGCGATGCGGCGCTTCCCATGTTCAACATTGAGCGCGTGTCGCTGCAATTCTCCGTAGCTTCAGACTTTGTCGCCGCCGCAGTCGCAAACAATGTCCTAATCCTTGCGCTGTCCACGGGGCGCATTCTGCGGATAGACCTCGACAGTCCCGCCGATATCGATGGTTCGCTACAGCCTAGAAAACATGCTTCTAGACCTTCTCTGATGGTGCGCAGATATCGACCTGCCCAAGAAGACGTCTGAAATCGGCGTCATCAAACGATTATTCCTCGACCCGTCCGCCTCTCATCTCATCATCACCACTACCCTCGCCGAGAACTTCTACCTCCACACCCAGTCGCGGAACCCCAAGGCGTTATCCAGATTGAAAGGCGTCGCTATCGAGAGCATATCATGGAATCCTTCCCAGCCGACTGCCTCGACCAGAGAGATCTTGGTTGGCGCAGCCGACGGGAACGTCTACGAAGTCTACATCGAGCCGTCATCCGAGTTCTACCGCCGAGAAGAGCGATATCTGAAAGGCGTTTACAAGACCAACGATGGGCCCATCACAGGGCTGTGGACGGACATTGTGCCTGGGAGGAACGACCTGCGACGCGTCATCATCGCAACACCGTCGACATTTCTGCATTTCGCCGGCAAGGTCGGGCGAAATGGGCATGAAGGTGGTGGCTCCATTTTCTCGAAACTCTTCGAGAGCGAATCGGCCACGGTACACGAAATCGCAAACGTCGCGCCTACCGCTACTTCGCTCCTCGCCGTATCACCCGAAATCGAAGAAACGCCGTCCTCCGACCACACATATGCGGAAAGAATATTTGGTTGGCTTACCTCCCAAGGTGTTCTCCACGGGAAGTTGCTTTTGTCGTCGGACACATCTGAGCTGGGTGGCAGAGTCCTCAACGAGTCCAAGATGCTGCCTAGATCGCAGATACCACCCTCACAAACCGCCAGCGGACGCACCAGGCGAACGCAAGACTCTGTCACTTCCATGATACTCAGTCAATGGCACATTCTGCAACTTATCGACGGAAGAATAGTAGCTACTAATCGACTGGACGACACAATCGTGCTAGATCAAGTGGTGTTGGAGCCCGGCCAGACTGCGGTAGGCCTAGTAGCAGACATCAAGAAGAACACATATTGGCTCTTCACAAACCAGGAAATTTTCGAGGTCGTCATTACAGATGAGAACCGAGACGTGTGGAAGATCATGTTAAGGGCGCAGCAATTCGAAGCGGCATCTCAATATGCAAAGACCGCAGCACAAAAGGATGCTGTAGCAACAGCGTCTGGCGATTACTTGGTCGCCAAAGGACAATATTCAGAGGCCGCCGCTGTGTATGGCCGAAGTACCAAGCCTTTCGAGCAAGTAGCGCTTACGTTCATCGACAAGGGGGAGCAAGATGCTTTGCGCAAGTATCTACTTACAAAGCTTACAACTCTGAAGAAGGCCTCCATCATGCAGCGAATCATGGTCGCCACATGGCTCACTGAGATCTATATGGCCAAACTCAACACACTGGACGACACAATTACCACGAAAGCGGAGCTTTCTGAAAGCATGAACACCGCTGAGACTCGAGATCAGTTGTCAGTCATTAGGAAAGAATATCAAGAGTTCGTTACCAAGTACAAGTCTGATTTAGATCGAAAGACAGTCTACGAAATCATCAGCAGCCACGGAAGAGAAGAAGAGCTGCTCTACTTTGCTACGGTCATCAATGACTACAATTACGTCCTCGCCTATTGGGTGCAACGAGAGCGATGGCGGGAGACGCTCGATGTACTCAAGAAGCAAACTGATCCTGAGGTCTTCTACAAGTATAGCAGCGTACTCATGGCACAAGTGCCTGTGGATCTTGTGGAAATCATGATGCGGCAGACGAATCTGGAGGCTCAAAAGCTCATCCCTGCATTCCTCAATTACAACAACATCACTAAAGTCCCGTTGAACCAGAACCAGGCCGTGCGATACCTGCTGTTTGAAATCAACCAGCATCAATCAACCGATGCAGCCATTCACAATACGCTGATCTCCATATACGCTTCACATTTCACCAGCGATGAATCGGCGCTTCTTGCATACCTTGAAGGACAGTCGATGGCTCACGAGCAAAACTACGACGCCGATTTCGCCCTGCGCCTTTGCATCCAACACAACCGTGTGCAATCCTGCGTCCACATATACAGTTCCATGGGACAGTATGTGCAGGCCGTCGACCTAGCTCTCAAATACGACGAAATTGATCTTGCAAGCAACGTAGCAGATCGCTCCAATACCGAGTCTGCTTTGCGCAAGAAACTGTGGCTGGCCATTGCGAAGAAAGTGATTTCGCAATCGTCAGGAATCAAGACGGCCATTGAGTTCCTAAGGAGGGTAGATTTGCTACGGATCGAGGATTTAATTCCTTTCTTCCCGGATTTCGTCGTAATCGACGACTTCAAAGACGAAATCTGCTCTGCCCTGGAAGACTACTCGCGCAAGATCGACGAGTTGAAGCTTGAGATGGACGAGTCTGAAGAAACAGCCGTGCACATCAAGACGGACATCAAAGCCCTGGAGCAACGATACGCCATCGTAGAGCCGGGCGAACGGTGCTACGTCTGCGGTCTGCCCCTACTCGCTCGCCAATTCTTCGTGTTTCCGTGCCAGCACGCTTTCCATAGCGATTGCCTTGCTAAGAAGGTTGTTGAGCTCGCAGGCATGGCAAAGGGCAAACGTCTGGGCGAGTTGCAGATGGAGGTCAGCAAAGGTACGAGCACGGGTGCGAAGAGGGAGAAGGCGATCAGGGAGTTGGATGCCCTGGTTGGGTCATCTTGGTGAGTTCGCGCTTCCTTGCGTCTAACAACCATTCACTAACGTGCTGCAGTGTGCTGTGTAGTGAATTGGCTGTCAAGCTTATCGATGAGCCCTTCATATCGGCCATGGATGACAAAGAGGAATGGGCTTTGTAGAATTGGAGATATACCGAGAAGATACCAATCCTTCCATACAGCTATGAACAATATGATGCATAGGTTGCTGAAAGCTGCCGTATCCGAGGGACCGGAGTGCCGGCTAATTGAAGCTAGCAACGATGTTGATCTCTTTCCTGTTTGTTAATGCGTACTCGGGTCCCAGGCATCCCCGCGGACACGTGAACCAAACACACGAACACTGAAACCGCGCCTTCGAGTGTTGTCGAACACAGATGCTGCGTTTATTTCGCGAAGGATAATATGGAAGCTGGTAGTACCCGATTCAGTACTGCATGAGTGCATATGACGCCCACCGCCATTCCGGGGGTCGTAGGATCACACGATGTTTGTCGTCGCGCACCCAAACCACGCGTCGTCAAGTTCTATCATCCAATGCTGCGCTGTTCCTGAACGTCCACAGGTTCGCCAACTACTACCGCGGGGAGGCGCAGCAATGTCGATCGAATTCGGGGCTGGCACGTCCCGCTTGCTGATCCGTTCCACACGCGAAGGATCGATGAACAACACGCTAGAATCCCAAGCAGGGGTGATAATCGATTGTACAAAAATAAACGTTGAAACGCTACGTAGCAGGTACCTGTTTTTCCTTCTCTTGTCACTCGAAACTGAACATTCTGCAATGGAGAGGGAAGTGAAGAGCGATGGACGTATCATATGGAAACGAACCCTCACTTGCGTATGAAGAACCGCCGCCTTATTCACCCGTACGCGGGAGTGGCGATGGACTTCTGGGCGAGAAGAAGGAAGATGGGATCGTGGTGCGGATTGCAAGGACCTGGACGAGAACAGCAACAACACACGTAGCGCCCAAGAAGATTGCGCGCACTACCTCAGATTTCCTTCAACAACGTACATGGCCGGCCATTAGAGATACAACGACGACGCACGTAACGCCAGTTATTTCCTCTTCCTCACGAACCACCTGGAACTTTGTGCAGGACCGCATGTGGTCGCGCATCAGAGAATACCCGCTCAAAGCAACCCAAGGTTGGGCAGTGCTATTGCTCGGCTTAGGGATTATCCCGTTCGTAGTCTACGGGGCACTGAATCGCGGCTGGTACGGAACGTTTTACTATGGTGCTTTTGCCGCAAAAACTCTGGGATGTGGTGACGCGCTGGGTGTACCACAGAACGCCACCGTGGAGGGAGTCGAGGCATTGTTCGTCCTGGACTGGAAATTCGGTCAATTCACCTTCGCCCGCGTCAAGACAATTGATGTGGCATGGGACATTCTTGTTGGTCGTGGCGTTCAGATGATCTTCTGGGCCATATCGTACCGAGTTTTCTCAGACGCGTTGCTCCGCCTGATTGAGCGACATCCCGCATCCTTTGAGACATTCAAGAGTATCAGCCTTGAAGGTCCCGGTCTTGGCTCTTCTTGGATTCTACTCAAGCAGCTGTTTCGCAACCGGAGTAGACGCACTTGGTTCTTGTTCTTCTATCTCCTGCTAGCGTCATTGTACGTTTTGAGCATCCCTCCACTGCTCGGTGCCATGACGGGTTATGATGGTACGACTATTGCATGGGTCAGCATTGGCGATGCTGATAATATCATTCCTTCTTCTCAGGTACAGTCGAGTTACGCTGTATACGGCACGTGGAACCAATCGTTTGACCAACCCCTATGCGACATAACGACCGGTGGGCTACGCGATTGGGCCTATCACAAGATGGATATGGAGAAGTACTGCGACTGCAGACTACCCAACGGGACTATTCTACCTTTCAGCGAGTTTCAGTACAAATACAACTCCTTCTCTTATGACGGCACGCCGACTGAGGATCCCTACAAGCTCGACGATTGCAACTTCCGATACGACGGCCAAAGCGGCGTCTACCAGTCTACTTGGGGCCGGGATTCGTTCTATGGGCCCGCAAAAGACTGGGGTACATACAAATGCAACGACTCGTTTCCCGTTACCCTCCCCAATGGCAACACTTACTCCATGTATGATCTCAACTTCACTACTGCCGGCTACTGCTTCCAGAACAAAACCTACGAGTACTTGGATCTGGTAGACTCTACGCGCTGTCTGCCTGATACGGCGCATCCGAGCTACCAGTGGGGGTTCTCCTCCGCAATGATGGGCGTCCTTTTTATCATCAACCTTGTGTGGTGTCTGACGATGTGGGTTGTGTGGCAGGATGCGCTGAGGGCGAGGCTGGTAAAGAATGGGTACCGCATGTCGCCATTGAGAGCGGCTTTTGTTTTGACAGAGGCGGCGCGACGAAGGACAGGCGTTGGTGTTGGGGGCTTGGTGCTGCGGGAGAAAACAATGTTGAAGAGGGAATTGAGGCGGCGCAATGGGAGAAAAGAAGCGCTTGTTCACAAAGACATCTTTGAAGAGGGTAGCGGAGAGGGCGACACAGAGTCCGGGAAGGGGGATGTGTTTAGGATCAGGAGGCGGCCTGTCGCGGGTGAACACATAGACGATTTGGATGTGTAAAAAGACAGTGAGGCATTCTACTGTCAACGTTGCTACTTAATATATCCACAAATCAATGTGTCCTAGTAGATGAACGAGATATTGTCAACCAAAGACGTTGAGTTTGATAGTCACTGGAAGCGCGTCGCTCCCTCACTCGACAACGAGGAATCTGATCAAGCGAGGAATACTTACTATATAGCTGTTTGCTGCTAAACTAACATAAGCCCTCAGCGCTATCTGTAATGGTGCACTTTTCAGTCAAGCAACACGCATGCAAGGAAAAAGAAGAACAGAAATCCAAATGGAAACTGGCACATAATTCAGAGTGAGTGAGCGGGATTCTAAAGCCCGCACCAAAATATTGACGAGAAACCATCCGCTCAACACGTAAAAGGTATTCATGTTCACATTGACGTTCTAGCTGCAAAGCCTGTTGAGTATGTGGAAACCGAGTAACGGGGTCATCTCTGACGGCAGGAAGAACACAGCGCATCAATCCTGCAGCTCTCTCGAGGCTCAAAAAGGAATTGGACTTGTGAAACGACCTCTTCCGTGATACTGAAGTAGGCTTAGTCTTGGGGTTGGGCTGAGATAGCCCCTGCCGCCAAGGTGCAGGGGGGAGGCAAGAGCTTTGAAATGCACCTCTGTAACCGCTCGAGAACGCTCGAGAGATGCTTAAATCCGGCTCGGAGTGATGCCATTACGTTCGCAGAATCGAATTCATCCTCGACACAGCCATTGAATAGTCTCAAGATGTGGTCCAACGCGCAGCTATCCCTGCAACAAGGAGATACGATCACCCCGCCCTTGAGCGTCGACGCTCGCCGATAGCCTCTCCACCGACCGAAGGAAAAACCTACCCAAGCCACTATGTCCTCATGCTTCGGAGCCCATCAAGCCCGATGCACACCGACACCAGTCACATAATGTCTGGTAATAGCCCACCAGGAAGGGATCATGTGAGTTAGGAGAACATAGAATAGAGCGACTGGCCCTAACTATAGCGGGCATAGCAGTGAACGACTCGCTTGCTTGATATTGGAGCACTGCGAACAGTCACGCGACATGCTTCTTTGCTCGCAGTGAATGTTTAGGAATCACTGCACCCCTAGAATAATTCCTGCATCCGAGCGACGCAGCAGAGGTAAAAGGTGGTATAAGACACGAGTCCGTAAGAGGTTGCTTCTGTCATCTTTAAACCGGGCGTTAACCTAATCTGGACGTTACGGGGTGATCCTTGGTAGTAGATTACTAAAATCCGGGGCGCGAATAGAGGGAGTTGTTAAACGAGCTATGCTGGTTGGCGCCTTCCTTATCTGTTAATAGCTCCTATCTTCTAAATGGGTGGTATATATTACAAGCGACAGAGGTCCTGCCTATTAGCAGCGGATTAGATGTTAATTGAGAAGGTAGTTAAAAAGGTGTGTATGGGTTCTCTATCTATGATATGTCGGTGCAGGGTCATTGCCTAAGGCTGGCACATGATCCGACTACCCTCGTTATCTAATACTATGGCATCCCTATCGTATCTTTACCTCCTTCCTATTAGGCTAATGGAATCGTATCGCGTACGGGTATGTGCAGTCTGCCAAGGGGCCCGTCAAGAACTGCTGTCTCGATACTAGGTAACATCGTGGGGTGAATGTCTTGTGAAGTGCCCTTTGAGGATTACCCTCCCGATACTGTTGAAACATGCGGCAACACCTTGCGGCGGATTGGAGGAGAGAAACTTGGCAGCGGCTGGAGCACTGTAGGGCTCTATTCTAGACAGAGACAACCAGAGCATACAGCACCGGAACTAGAATAAGTATAAATATGCATGTGTGTTCTTGTCCAGTGTGGAAGTTTTCAGTAGCATCGCAGACTCATCTTGCTACGATCTCGCCTCGACAAAATCAACCCCCCTTCTCTCACGTGTTGTCTTTAGAACACTAGCCATGGAGCTCACCAAATTCCTCGCTGCCCTGGCAGTCTTCCTGCCCATCGTCTACGGTGCCCCTACCCAGGCCGCCAACAACCTCCATCCCGAGATCCTAGCTGCCATGAAGCGCGACTTGGGACTGGACGCCGAGCAGGCCAATGTTCTTGTCGCCCGTGAGATCAAGGCCACCGAAGTCATCGAGCAGCTGCGCACCTTGGCTGGCAACTCCTTCGGTGGCGCTTGGCTCGTCGACGGCGAGCTCAATGTCGCTGTCACCGACGAGGCCTTGACCTCCGATGTGACCGCTACTGGCGCCACGCCTTTGGTTGTTTCCAATAGCCTTTCCAAGCTTGAGGAAGCCAAGGCGGCACTTGACAAGATAGACATTGCCCAAACTCTTGACAAGCGCTCGGAGGAGACTGGCATCGCGGCGTACTACGTCGACGTCGCTGCCAACAAGCTCGTCTTGGAGGCACTTGCCGGCAGTACCGCTCAGGCCGAGGAGCTGGCCAAGCAGGTCGGCCTCGTCGAGTCCGAGTTCGAGGTCCACACCGTTGAGGAGATGCCGAGCACCTTCGCTACGGTCCGCGGAGGCGACGCCTACTACATCAACAACAGCGCCCGATGCTCTGTCGGCTTCTCAGTCACCACTGGCTTCGTCTCTGCTGGCCACTGCGGCAGCTCCGGTGCTGCTGCCACCACCACCAGCGGTGCTAGTCTAGGAACCTTCGCAGGTTCAGTCTTCCCAGGAAACGGCGACTACAGCTACATCCGCGGTAGCAGTGGCAACACCTTCTCTGGCACCATAAACAACTACAGCGGTGGTACAATTGCTGTGGCTGGCAGCACTGCTTCCGCCGTCGGAGCCAGCATCTGCCGCTCCGGCTCCACCACCGGTGTTCACTGCGGTACCGTCCGCGCCCTGGGCGCGACCGTCACCTACTCCCAGGGACGTGTCACTGGCCTTACGCAGACCAATGTCTGCGCCGAGCCCGGTGACTCTGGCGGTTCCTTCTACTCTGGCTCCCAGGCCCAGGGTGTCACCTCCGGAGGCTCCGGCGACTGCACCAGTGGTGGCACGACCTACTTCCAGCCCGTTAACGAGATCCTGTCCGCCTACGGCCTCACTCTGGTACGTGGCTAGATAGCTAGCTGTTACAGTCGGATGTACTGCTAGCAACTGGAAGGGAGGTTGCGAGTAGGGCACATGATTTATACATACTTAGTCAAATTTGGTTGCGCCCACTTTGGCCTACTGTAAACATCAATACATTAACTAAACTATTTTTCAGTGCTCAAATCATTTCAAGATCGTAAACTACATTACTGGACTGTTGAAAGATGATGATGTCACAGCCTTTATGTTAGTAGATTTGCCCCGACACAAACAAATAATGGTCTCGACGGAAATTCTGCAGTGGGAATTGAGTTCCATGTACCAAAACTGGAAGATCTCCGGGGGCCCTTCAGAGGTTCGGCAACTCTCCGAAACACTAAACGTTCGTTTAGCAGAAACACCAGATTATTCTTCGATGCCGCGCGCACCACGAACATACGCCATCCATACGGGGAGGAGTGTGCAAAATTGTGTTGTATACAATCTACCCATGGGTGACAGTGATCATCCCCTCCGTCGCCTTCCTGAACCCCTCGTCTTCTATGCCAGCCAGCCAACTTTCAATCTCCGTCCAGTCCTCTTCCGATATCCCGTTTGGTTCTCTGCACGACACGTTGATCGCAGCTGACGTTAGGAGCGTACCGTGTTGATAGCCAACTTGCCATGCGGGCCTTCCTGGCTGGCGATCGCTGTTGAGCCTATCGGGGCTAGACCACCCGATTACCTCCCACTTAGCTCCGACTAACCTTAGCAAGCCCGTCCCCTGCGAAATAAACGTTGCCGTTTCCTCCTCGATCGCTTTCGTGTTCCACTTCATCGTTTTGACTGCACCGCCCGACTTTACTTGGTAGAAGAAGCAGTCTGCACCGGTTGGAAGGCATTCGGTGCGGATGTTGAGTTTGTCTTTCCAGTATTGGTTGGACGTACGGAGGAGATACCATTGTCCATGGCAAACTTGGTTGTCAAACAATGTTGACGAGGATGCATCGGCCAGGTATGTGGGAAGGCGGAACTGGGCGCCAGAGGTGCGTGACATTGACGAGATGATTTTGAAGCTTGCAAAACGACTGTGCAGACCTTTGATAGTACAGTCTAAAGAAGTAGTAACAGTACGAAATTATTGAATGGCTGTTATCAAAGGAATGATGATGATCGATGTCGACTGCTGACGAGATCTGTAGTGTGTAGGGCAATATGGGGCTTTCGAACAGGCGACGGCTAGGTGCAAGCGGACAAGGTGTCGATTTGTTGAACTATATCGAGCGTGGAGAGACCTAGACGTTTCAGCACGTCGCGTAGCTACACAAGGTATAGGAATTGGGGGCGGATCAGCCTCATCTCGCGTGTGACTTGTGTAACTCTTCTTCGGACACCGAGAATATTGGAACTCTTCGATAGCATACACTACCCTACCGATCAGGATGAGAAGCGTCATGCACCCGACCAAGGGTGGAACGAAATCCCGCCTCTCAACCAGTATGCAGCCCCACGCCAGTCTAATAGCACTCCTGATCCCTGTCATCAGCTGGCATGCAGTCTGCTGCCGTGCAGCCATGCGAGGACCGATGCAAGGGCCTATACAACGCCGCGTAATACACATCTGGGGGCCGCTGCTTACTTCGAACCAGTGCGAACGTTGACGGAGCAACGGAATGGAAGGTCACGCCCAAGGGCCACGTGAATCAAGCTGTGAATCGATATCTTCCTACAATTGGATTCGGAGTCTATTTCTGGGATTACGAACGCGTGGCAAATTTCTTTCTCAAAGGATGAAATATTTTTGGTAACATCAGAACTACGTAGCAATTTCCCACCTGGAATGCTTGTTGCTCATGGTACGAGCGTGGGGTTTGTGAAAGCTCCCAAAATGCATTCACACAAGTCGGGCTCCTTCCACCAATTCACAGCTGGAAAGCTGCCTATCGTTGCTTGTCGCGATCAAACCATACTAGGCCAACAAACGTCAAAGCCCGATAGAAGGTTCCGATGACTAAGATCATTCTGCAGTGTGTTAGTATCACACCTTCAGTAAGTGATTTCCCTGCAACATACACCACATCTAGCGAAGTTCTTCCTAGAGAGAACCCGGTCCAGGCTGCTGCTGCATGGACATCGTAGAGATACTCCACTCTCTCCAGAATGAGATCGAAGTAGGCCTCAGTAAGCCATGTCTAGAACATGTGAGCAAAGGGATCTTCATAATTTCCATTGCGTTGTCAACTTACCCCTGGACACATTCTCCACAGCCATTCTAGATGCCACGATTGAACATTTGACAACATCGGTGCATAACCGCCAAATGCTCCAATGATTAGGCACAGAATCATAGCGAGAAGCGCACCATTCTCGCGCTTTACTGCAACCGATACCGCTGAAGCTAGCCCATACACACCTTTGTTCGTACGCGTAAGTAATGGTCATAGAATTAATACGCGTATGAGATGGATGTTACTTACAGTAAAAGTACAGCAGCACCAATACGTAAAGCTTCCAAAAGCTTATCGAAGGAGTCGCAAGTATCGCGTAGAAGCTGGTGAAATGCAAGGATGACAGCGTCATTCGAGGTATAGTTGCCAAGACTTTACCGGTGAAGTAAGCCGAACGACGCTGCCCGGCGGCCGTTTCTCTCCAGTACAGTGGTTCTGCAATAGTGCATCAGTCTGACTTGACTCGATCTTGTTGTGCGCGGGTCGGCATCTTGTACGTACTTTCATCGCCAAAGGTGCTTACGCCGGGCGCTGACGCTGCAAGAGCTATGTGACGCACTATAGTCAGTGAAATGACGAAACATGTCTCTATGTCTGGCGACCTACCTATGGCAAGTGTTATCATGTTTCCAATCTTCGGTACTGTTGTGTAATCCACCGCACTTGACAGCATCTCAAACGGGGTGAGATACACTCCTTGAAAATGCATGCCTTTGTTCGAATAGAGCCCTAAACCAATGAGTAATCCTGCGACTCCTCCAACAGCGGTCTCCAAGAGCAGGCTTATGGGTTGTCGCAACTGTTGCTTCATTGCCCGCACATAACAGTACTGGACTTGCCGCAGCCACGACGCACCCCGTAGCGCAGCAGCATATTCTAGATCGGCTACTGCGTCTGGTGATGCTTCAATATTTTCGAGCTTGACCCTGGTATGCTGCGTGGCTTCGCGCTGGACACGATGTTGTTGTTCCCACACCCGCGCAAGCTGTTGCACCGTGTCGACAGTTCCTATATGGGACGATGCGCTTCTTGCTTTTGAGGCAGCGATATCCAGCAGACAGTCTGCGGGGTTAGCATCCTTGGGTATGACAAAGCCATGGCTATAGAAGTATTCTGCAGCTTCTCCTGGTGAGCCTGCGTATAGCTGCATGCCTTCCGCCATGAGCATAACGTGGTCTAGCGTGTCAAAGATCTCATGCCGCGGCTGATGAAGTATGCACACGACAATCACACCCGTTTCCGAAATACTCTTTAGCAGCTCCATGAGCACCATGGCCGTTGTTGAATCAAGCCCAGAGGTAGGCTCGTCTAGAAAGAGCATCGTAGGAGCGGAGATGAGCTCCATAGCTATACTGACACGTCTTCTTTGGCCTGTAGAGATCAATGACACAGTGTTATCCCCGACCAGTTGATGTTGGATGTGAAGTATACCAAGATTTTTCATGATGCTTTGCGTCGCAGCGGAGCGTTGCTTATCAGACCAGTTGCCAGGTCCTCGTAGCCGACATGCATGCAGTATATTCTCACGCACCGTTAGATGCGACGAGAGAACATCATCAGAAGACACGTAGCCGGTGAGCTTCTTGAACCTTTTACCATGTCAGCTTCTGCCTTCGCTGCAGCAGTGAGCTTGACCTACCGAGAAAGTGTCGTTTGCAGGCCGTTGACCTTCACGATCCCTTTAGTGGGCTCAAGCTTTCCCATCAATAACCTCATAAGCGTTGCTGCTATTTGTTAGCAGACTCTCTATACCAAGTGGGGCTCATACTTTTCCCAGCGCCAGAGGGCCCGATAATTCCACATAGCGTTCCTGTGTGAATGCTTCCAGACACAGAAGATACCAAGGGCCGAGTGAGCTCATCGAGCTCAAAAGAAATGTCTTCATATGTGATAGAAATGTTTGGATGTTTAGTCTGATGGTCGTCCGTGATTGAGAAGAGTATGGGTGCCTGATGTGCCTCTAAGACCTCTTCACTGCTGTATCGACTGCCTTTGCGATGTTTCTTGAGGTTAAAGTTGTGCAGCCCGAGATACACAGGGGCGATTATGACGATCAATAGGATAATATCTAGAACAAAAGCAACAACGAAACCGTCTAAATAAAACTCGCGGGAGGATCCAGATGGGCATATTGACAGCGGCCCACATTTGACGGGCAATTCTGTCCCTGAGGGACAAAAGTGCTTGGCTGGACATAAGTACATCCGGTCTCCTAGTCGTGGACAGTAGTATCCCTTGTAGCAGACCATTGGTTCATAGGTTCCCTGTGGCCGATCGCACGTATTTTCCACTGTTTGAAGCCGAACAGCTTGACATTCCTTTGTCGGGGCACAATACTGTGGGGGTTCTATTCCTTTGCTGTTCGGGCCTGGTGAAACCACGTCAGCAATTAGTTTGAATTTTTACAGCAACTTGACGTACAGTAGAACCCAGCATTACATAAGAACGTTTCTGCGAGAAAAACTGGGGCGACTCCAGACAAACAAAGTGACGAGTTGTCGGGCATGGCTTTTGCGATGTAGAGCAAGAAAGTGAAGTTCCAAGAGGGAGTTGGAATTCTGCTTGGGACGCACTTTCTGCAAATCAATTTGAGGAAGGTGTACAGAACTCGCTGCGCCTCGGTCAACGTATCCACATGGAGGTAAGATACGAGGTGAAACACATGTGCATGTTGAGATGCTCTTGCAGCTGCAACAAGGGTAAAACGCCGAATTCTGCCTGCTTCTGAACCAGTGGCGCAGCTTCTGGCCCCATTTTGTTCGGGTACCACCTCCAGTTGCAATCTACTCTAGTGCTCATCTGGATTGCCATACCATCCCAGCTGCGACTAGGTGAAAGCAAGATTCTCTCAGGCCCATGTCAGACCTCGCGGTATCCCGGGTCCGTTCTCCCAAGGTTTTGCGAAGACTTGGGTCTGATAGGAGGGCTCTCAGAACATAGAGGTGTCTGGCAGATACATACCCATCACTATAAGAGTCAAGTTGTGCATTAACAGCTCAATGTTATTCACTCAAGCTAAATATCGACTTTCCAGTCATTCCGATATGCTTTTTCCTAATTCCACTTTCAAGACCCTTCCATTTTCCCCGGGCTTCGACATGGCCCTCATTCGTGTTCTACTTCAATCTCGAGATTATGCAATTGAGCATATAAACCATAGAGCTCTATCTGTGCTGGTCTTCTGCATCCTGGCATTTCGCGTAGCCCCGAAGCTCATGTCTACACGCCAAACCATTCAGGATGACCGGATACCTCTCAAACCTTCCACATCATCCATGAACGTCTATTACCTCCTCCGACCCATAATATCGCTTGTCAACACGATCTACTTCCTCCTGAATCCAAAAGCCATCCTAACTTCTTGCACGTCAGTGTACTTTGACTGTTGTGTCTATAGATTTTAGCTAATCGATATAGAGCTTCGCATGGCAAACCATATCCTTCGAGGATGGATTTGCTGACCGAAACAGTGCATCTGGTCCAAGGGAAAGAATACATCAACCGCCTATGGAGACACTCTTTCAGCTCTCGCGCCTTGGCAATGCATGTTTACTTGTTCAAACATTGGTTTGCAATGCCGCAGAAGATCATTGACAAATATCTGGCCGACGACTCCGGAAGTGGCCCCAAAACGCATTCTCTAAGCTGTGTGAAGGCACAGAACCGTACCGATAGGCTCAGTCACTCCGTTTTCAAGGATGTCCTTAGCGGCTCAGATACTGCGTCTCTCTGCCAACGCTACGCTCTACGCCTCTATAACACATTGGCCGAGTCCGATATCAGCGAGGAATGGACACCTCTGCCAGATCTCGTGGCCTTTGTACAAGGCGCTTTGACGCTGGCCAATACTGAAGCTTTATGGGGAACACACTTGACAGCAACGTCGAACTTTTGTAGCGATCTGACCGGATTCTTCAAGGATACGCGAATGTTTACCTATCAACTTCCCCAATGGCTGATACCGAAAGCCTTCGCTCGAAGAGGTCGCTTACTATCTGACTTGCATCGATGGCAATCGTTTGCCACTGGCGTTGATGGCGACGTTGCACCTTGGGAAGATAACGAATACGATGATGGAAAATGGGGTTCGAAAAGACTGAGGAAGTGGCAGGCTGATTTCCTGGAAATGGACGATGCTGACGCCGCAGGATTAGCTTCAGTCCATCTGACATTTGCATGGGCGTAAGTGGCACTGTTTCAAGAGAGTAAACCAATACTGTGCATCTCACTGACATGTTTACAGCGTCAACGTCAGCCTTGGGCCAGCAGCGTTCTGGGCCGTGTTGGAGATCTTCCGGGACTCCACGTTGCTGGGACAGATTCGGAATAGACTGCCACGCGCTCGATCTGTAGCCGATATCAAATCACTCATCAGTGAGGCGCAGACCAGGGATCGTATATGTGCGGACCCGCTTTTGCAATCAATCTACACTGAGATACTGAGACTTCGGGTCTGCGCGTTTATCGTCAGACGATTTCCTCATGATTCTGTGGATCTGCACGGGTGGAGGGTGCCGCGAGATCAGATCTGCCTCGTATCAACCCATGTCGCGCATATGCACGGCGACGAATGGAACACGGACGGCGGCAAAGAACCCCTGGATCGCTTCTGGGCTTACCGGTTCCTGGTGCCAAAAACAGACTCGGATTGCAAACCGGCCCCTGCAGCCACGAGTACGCTATTTCCCGAGGATTCGTGGACATTTTCTCTCCGTGGACTTGAGGGTGTATGGGTTCCGTTTGGTGGGGGGCCAAGAGCATGCCCCGGTCGTCATCTGGCCAAACATCATATGCTAGTCATGGTGGCGGCTATAGTCATGCTTTTCGATATTGAAATTGCGGCAAACGAGCGGTCTCTGCGTGCAAGTCACGCGAATCATGGATTGGGTACTGTACTGCCGATTGGCAAGGTTCCTTTTAGTGTCAGACGGCGTGTATAGGTACATCACTCTTGACGAAGCTTGTTAGTTCTCTCTGCTTCAGACATTGCGTTTTCAAGAGCAATATATACAGTACATCTAGCCATCACAGTTTTGAGATACAAAAAAAAAGATTGAAGAGAGCGCATCGTATCGGGGACCATCCGAAGCTTCGTACAAGGGAACTTTACGTGAAGCATTTCGATTGCCTGGGGTAGAAGACGCTCTCCGCGCCTTCTAAGAAATAAAAGCGACTAACAAGACGACAAAGGCGAGTGCGGAAGAAGATACGCTATCTGACCCGGGATACTTTTGCGAGAAGGTAAGCAGAGATCAAGGCCGAGATCTGGTGCTGACCGAATGTTGAAATGCACCCATGGCTTGTACAACTATTGGATGCCAAATCGTACACGCAAGGGCTGGTAAGTATCCCATCCTCGTCAGCTCGCGACGGCCCGTCAACCACAGATGCTAGCTACCTATGGTACATATGTATGACGCACTACATTAGCGTCGGCCTATGGAATAGTCTGACATGCCGCATGAGCAGTCTGAAGCATCTGGGGGCCGTACCGTGTACTACAGCAGAACCATGCAATGGGGCGCAGTGCTGTCCATGCACTGTCTGCAACAGCTTCGCCCCGTGTAACGACCCTTGGGATGGAGGCGTGATATAACATAATGCAGCCAAGTGACCCATGCGATTTCGCACACTCTACCTAAGTAGCAGTACTCTCAGACAGAATGGAGAACTTGTTCCCTACTTCGTATGACGATGCTACAGTTTACAAGATTGACCACGCTGGACGAGTGAGCCGTGAGATCTTCCAAGTACGTGTAAACGCCAAGATACGTGATACTTCTCGCTGATGCAGCAATGACAGACAATCATTGGATTTTTCTTCGCTCTTGCGACGATCGCGTTGCTCGGCCGGGTCGGCGTCCGCCTCGTCATCCGCCGGCGACTGTTTCTGGACGACTATATCCTCTTATTCGGATATGCAGCATTGATCTCTGCGACGGCAGTCATCTATCGATTCTGTCACCTGATTTATGTACTAAATGCCTTCAAATACGAGAGAACCGTGATTCCGACTTTGCAGGACCTCCAAGCCATCGGACAGGCACAGGCAATTAATTACTCGTTACTAGCCGCCATCTGGACCGCAATCTGCTCAGTCAAACTATGCTTTCTGGCTGCACTGAAATCTCTTATCGCCAACGTTTCCAGACGCGTAACGATATTTTACTGGTTTGCGGTAGCGCTATCGATCGTAACATGGTGTCTCTCGTGGACGATAGCCTGGATTATCTGTCCCTATGTTGGCGCGGAATTGAGTACGTCGATGCCTCTTTGTGTTGTATCAGTAGACTGATAGCAGCGTAGTCCTGCACTGTTCCCCGGAGACGCCATTTGTGAAAACGCTGGCACTGAGCATAATGGTCACCTTCCTTGACATTGTCACGGACCTAATAAGTAAGCGGCAGTGCTGGTTGGAATTGGCTGCTTCTGACATGCATACAGTTGTCAGTATACCCATCTGGATCCTCCGGAATGTCCGTCTGAAGCTGAAACAAAAATTCGCCATCGCCGTGTTCCTTTGCCTCTCAGTCGTGATGATAGCCACGACGATAACTCGCATGGCTCTGACTCGTTTCAGAGGCCACGATGATTACACGTCGGAATACCTTATCTTGTACCTTGAGGCATGCATTGCTGTGCTCATGGCATGCATTGCTGCTTTCCGGAGTGTTTTCGTGGAGAACAAACGCCGGGGCCAGGAGGAGCAACACGGTCTGCACAATCTGGCTGGCAACGGAGAAGGTCCTCGGCGACCTGAGAATCTACGTGGCCGCATCCAGCAGATGAGAGCGAAGGCCAACGAGGACGCCCACCTGCAAGCTTCGATGTCAGGAACCAGAAGTTATTTGCCGAGGGCAAAATTAGATGGACCGAAGCTCAGCGGAGTCTTGACATTCATCAATAGTCTCGGGAGTCGCTCGCAGAGTGCAAAGTCGACATCTAGCCAAAGTAGGAGCGGGGCGTTGAGCTCGGTTGATGATGTGGAGAACGACGGGTGGATGTACACGGGCAGGGCGAGGCCGAACGATGCGGGCTTCGAAAGGCTGCCGACTGCAAGGGGCGATGAGGTGAGACCGGTTTGGGGCTGAAAGACAGGCTGCACGAGCCAAATACGCTACAGGAGGATCTAACGCTTTTGGGGTTGGTAGAGTAGAGATGCATTGTGATGCATATCGGGTGCGATGCTGTGCCACGCGCCCCCGTTGTAGGGAAATATGAGAGCCGGCGGGAACCCTGCATGTGCCCATCTGCAAACGCCCTTGCTTTCCAATACCTGAAGCGCCCGTGCTCTGCATGTAACCCCCGCCTCCCTTCACCACGCGCCGCCTGCGCCTCGCCGTCGTCGTTCATAAGGCAAACTCGAGCCAGGCAAATGCAATCTTTCATCTCCTCACTGCATTGCCCCTGCATGTCGTACACGCCTGTACCTCCTGTGCCCGTTCCTCTCTGTGCAGTCGCATCTACTCCGTTCCTTCGTTGCCGTAACAATGGTGGATGCGCGAACCACACAGTCTGCCGCTACCCTGAGCACGGCCATCCACAGGGATAAAGCCCACAGCAAGATGACGGAGGGTTATTCGCGACACTGGGAGCAGAACGGGGAGGCTTTGCCTGATGACGAGGACGCTCGAAACACCCGAAAGCAAAAATACGGCGAATTGGTCAACGAGTGAGTGCTTGATGCAGTTCAGAGTACCTGGTTGACAGACTGGCAACAGCTATTATGACGCCGCGACAGACCTCTATCTAGAGTCCTGGGGTCAATCGTTCCACATGTGTCGATATCCTCGAGGTCCAGAGAACAAAGAAAAGGCGACTGCAAGGCACGAGCATTACCTCGCTCATATGATGAGTCTGCGCTCTGGCATGCGTGTGCTTGATGTCGGCTGTGGTGTCGGAGGTCCTGCCAAAGAGCTCGCTGCCTTTACGGGCTGCCACGTCGTCGGCCTGAATAACAATGGCTACCAAGTACGGAAAGCGGCTGATATGGCCAAGGCTGAAGGCATGGAGAAGATGGTGGAATTTGTGAAAGGCGATTTCATGGTGAGTCTCATGCATCCTGACTTCTAAGAGTGACTTCTGGGCGACTGCTATGTCTGTCCATCGTACACTGCTGACGCATCACGTCCCAGGATATTCCTTTTGCGAACGGTGAATTCGACGCAGCCTTCGCATTAGAAGCGACCGTCCACGCACCGTCTCTGGAAGATGTATACGCCCAAGTCTATCGAGTGTTACGACCAGGCTCCATCTTTGGCGTCTTTGAATGGGTACTCACCGACAACTTCATCCCTGGGGACCCTGCCCACGAAGCGACCCGATCTGGTGTTGAGCGCGGCAATGGCATTCCATCGCTTCAGACAAAAGCAGTAGCCCGTGCAGCAATGCAAAGCGTCGGGTTCGAGCTGCTCGTAACCGAAGATCTTTCCGAGAAACAAGACGAAATACCATGGTGGTATCCGATATCCGGAGACGTCAAGCATGCGAAAGGTATCAAGGACTGGCTATTGGTCATCAGGAACACACCATGGGGTAGGGTAGGTGTGAAGCTGATCGTAAGAGTCTTGGAGACAGTGAGGGTTGCTCCGAAGGGGACGCTGAAGATGACTGAAGAATTTATCACCGCCGCGGATGCTTTGATTGATGGTGGAAAGAAAGGCATTTTCACGCCTATGTTCTTGATGGTGGGCCGGAAGCCAGATGCGTGATGTTCACCAATCGGCGGCTCTGGGTCGGAGGTGGTCATGATGCAAGAGCTTCCTGCACCTAGATTCCAATATACATCCTACAGAGGTATTTGAAAGCGGCGACATCATCCCGTTGTCGCTATCAACAAGCGCTGATGATTATTGTGACATCAACACGAAACCAACACAACCGCGCACGCGCACAATGCAAGCCAATGAAACTGACGTACAAACGATATTTTCGATACGAATATAGACTTCGGACAAGAAATGCAAAGGAACAATGGAGAGATTTTGTGGACTATGCTTATAACTCTTCAACGGACCTCTTAGCTGAACCACAACACCGTCGGAACCAAGACAAGCTGTTCGTGAGTCAAGATGGGGGGCAACACATCAGCTCACCAAACTTAGAATATATCTATTCGCGCCCTCTTGACCTGCGATAACGTGCCAGCTATCATGGTTTTTTTTACTTCCAACGCTTGTGGCCGACACCAGTAGAACTTCAACCGAACGTCTTGACAGTATTCCAACACCATGCCCCTTGCTTGCGCCTCGGTCAGATCCTGGTACATCGAGAGACTACTAAGCAGCTTACCGACAGTGTCAAGATCGACCTGGCGGAGGAGTGCCTCAACCTGGTTGCCTTTGACTTCTAGGCAATTCACGAGGCTTTGCAGTTCCATTGCCTTAGCCTCCAGATCTGGAACCGTAACGCCGGCCGTAGACATGGAAGCACGGGCTTCGTAGAAGGAATCCAGGACATCGTGACTAGACTGGTACAGGTCGGGAATGTGGTTGATGAACAGGTACAGCAGATTATCGGCCATTGTGGTGGCACTGTTGTAGCGCAAACGACCTTCGCGCGCGCAATCTCCAGCGAACCGTGTCATTTTGAGCGTTGCTGTGGTGTAATCTTTTCGAAGGTCCGATATATACAAGCCGAAGCCTTTTTAAGATATTCTGGGTGAACTTGGGTAAATTGTATTATGGGGGTCTCGGTTACCAGTGAGGCCAAGCGCAGCTGTTCATGTAGATACAACTTAGCAACATGAAGAGAGTCTTTTGAATCTGCATCAATGCTGTTATGGACCAGTACACTAAGATTTTCATACCGAGATAGCAGCCCGCCGCACACAGCGTCAGAGCAGTTTTGATAGTCCACTATCATAGATGAGGCAACATAAAGCTTGTGGTGCGCAGGTCTTTGTTTCGGAGCAACGGCCATAGCTATCCACAGAGAGGTGCAGCCTATTCTAGCTCATCGAGGGGATGACTGACGTTATGCATGAAGTTTTCCACCGCCGCAACTCTTACTTAGGCTAGCAGCCGCCCTTCAGATAATGATAAACATCCAATGTTTTCGAGAATGTCGAAAAGAGAGGTGACACAGTCCGACCTAAGCAAATCATAATATCACTTTCGCACCGTAGTGACCAATAGCTTTAGTCAAGCCTAGAGGCAAATGGGAGGCGTTGTTGACATTGAGCCAGATTCTGGACGGACACATGATACGGACTTCAAATCATTGCTGAGGATTTGATTGCCGATGCGCCGAAACATACGGAGTCGGCCCGGTATGTCGGCACATGCGACATATTGCGCCCTATTGTGCACGCAATGCATCGTTAACCCTCCAACTTTCTCGCTCGTTCCAGACTCGCGCCCTATGATACATTCGTCAGCATTTTGATTGGCTGGACCCCTAACCCTAATGATGCTCTGTTATGGCTATTTGCTCAGCAGACTTGATTGCATCTAGATAGATTTGCGATACAGTTGCTCTAGATTCTGAGCAATGGAGGCTGAACAATACATAAGAAGCAGGCATCTATCGACCAATATCGAGAAACGACAGTACTTCGGCAACCACAACATCAGGTTTAATTATCACGAATACCGAGAATCATACAGTCGTCAGTCTTACGAAATGCATATCTTCACCGTTACCAATTCTGATAACGTAATATAAGGTCATGTCTAAGCTCGCAGATCACTCTAACAAGACCCTCGAGACCTATGGATGGACTTCCGTTCCGCATGATCAATCGCTTCTTCTCAAAAACATCAATCCGTGGAATCCTGCGACGTATGATGTAGCCGAGATTCGGTTACCTGACACCGAGCTTGCAAAGAAGGTGACAGAATATGCGAGAGAGCGACTACCGGAGCACGTATACAATCACTCTATGCGAGTATACCTTTACGGTCAGCACTCCTGTACACCCCAACCACGACATATCGCAGCCAACCCTGATGACGTGAACAGGCGCCGCCATCGCTCAAAAGCACCTACCATCATTTTTACCAAGTCTAGAGACCTACTACTTGACAAGTCTGCTCCACGACATCGGCACTACCCCAGAAAACCTCCATGCGACTCTTCTATCGTTCGAGTTCTACGGAGGATACCTCGCACTAAACATACTACAGGAGTATGGCGCATCTAACGAGCAAGCGGAGAGTGTAGTCGAAGCAATAATTCGACATCAGGACCTGGGTGATGTCGGTACAATCACGACCGTCGGGCAATTGATCCAACTTGCCACTCTTTTCGGTACGTCCAAAGTATAGCAACTGAAGCCACCGAAGAAGTTTCGCATTAACGAGAATCTCCTAGATAACGCCGGCAAGAACCCTACTCTCATAAGCAAATACACCATCGAGTCAGTTGTTGCTACCTATCCGCGCAATCAATGGTCCAGTTGCTTCGCGCACACCATTAAGGAGGAGTTAGCATTGAAACCGTGGGCGCACTCCTCAGCGATTCCCAAGTTTGCCGAGACCGTGGCGGGGAACAAATTGATGGAGCCATGGGATAGGACTCCGTAATCGTTGGCCTGGATGCATATGTAGTGCTGAAGTTGCGAATAGATTGTAGAATTGTCATGACAATTGATCCGTAGTTCGAGATATTTCCTCATTGGAGGTGCACTTTAATGAGGAAGCCGATCCTGACGCTTCATATGAATCTTGGAATCTCTAGCTTTCTCGTCGTTCATTGACCATTTGCACTTACTAAGCCGGACTTCTACTGCAGTTGCCAGGTACTCTATCTCAATTTTTCGTTGTATTGATAGCAGTGCTTTCTTCTCGTATCTCCTTCATATATTCAATGTTCTCACGATGCACGCCCTCGTATGCCTGACAGTAAATCAATCTCCCTGCGACCAAATCATCCTTCACTACCTCTTCCAATTTCTTTGCCCACGCGACGGGCTCCTCAACAGGCTCGTCCAGCGCCGCCAGATACCGCACTGTAGTATCGATCAACGATTTATCAAAACCTCCAGCCTTGATCCGGTCTGGACAGCCATGCGCAGGCAATATTTTCTTGATAGGCAATTGCGCCATCCGCTCCAGCTCCCGTAGGTGTTTCTTGAGATCTTTGGGTTCTGAGAGGTAGGTCGCGGTGTCCTCGAGCATATCGCCAGCGAATACCAGACCTGATTCTGGGAGGAAAAGAAGCGTGGAATCTGCGGTGTGGATATGGAAATTGTGCAGTTCGACTTTGATGCTGCCGATTTGAAGCGACAATGTCTTCTCATAGGTCTCGGTGGGGAGCACAACGTCGATACTGGGTCCCTCACCTTCGTCGGGGTCTCTCAACTTCTCCGCGTCCTTCTCCAATCTTTCGTATGTGCCCCTGTGCGCGAGGATCCTCGTCTCTCGCAACGCCGAAGCTCCAGCTATATGATCGGCGTGGAAATGACTGTACACCGTTATCACACTATTGGCACCTAAGCTCCGCACGTGCGCAAGCATGTGGGCTGCGTGCGCAGGCGTTAAACCTGCGTCGAAGAGCAGGGCGGCATCCCCGCCGATGATACTGTATGACGCTACACCCAAGGCCAAGGTCTCATCGTACCAGTTTGAGGAATGCCAGGGGCATGTGCGCCCATCGTAGTAGGCGTAGATACCGGTTGTTCCACCGGGACGGAAGGTGCGGAGCGTGGGGAGCTCAGGAGAGTGATTGGAATTCGCCATGGGTTGAGATGGAGTGGTTATGGGGATGTGAAGATGTCACAGCATGTTTATAGTCAGCTGTAGGGCGCAGCTTGTCACAAAGGGCTGAATGTACAGTACGCAGTTCAGTGCCTGGATGAAGCCTAGGGTGAGCGGCGGGGCACTAGTCCGTGTTGGTAGACATCAAACATGACATCATCTCCCAATGATACATGTACCAACACGCCTCAGTCCATACATACCATGCTACATTCAATGAGTATCTCCACCCCTCCATCCAAAATCACACAAGTACTACTGTAGAGCAAATGTGAAAATACCAGCAGCGACCTTCCCTCCTAGAGTGCCATCATCACTCCAAGTGATCAGAATCCTCCCTTCGCCCAGATTACTCCCCCAAAGGTGTGGATAGATGCAGTACCTTGTCTTTGCGTGTTCAGTGATCTTGGGCATTTCACCGAGCTCGTGAACATCCCATGGTCCTTCAGGTCTTGGCGCAGCACCCACGTAGAGTTTACTTACCATGAACTTCGCGCATCCAATCCAGAGGTATTCTTTGCCGAGTGGTGCGAAGTCAGGAACGTGGACGATTGCTCCTTGGCCTTGCCCACAGAGTACATCATGGGCCAGCTCCCCAAAAGGCCCATGCGGCTGTGTGTATGTCGATTCCCACTTTCCACTTTTCTTAAGAAATTGGTAGTTTGCTTTGTCTGCGAAGTCCATATCTGTTCTGATCCTGGCCATGTAATTGTCAAGGCCTTTTCCTGATAATAGATATGTCCAACCATCTGGCGCGGATATATTGGACATATTACCCCACAATGGCCCGTCCTCAGGAAAGAGTGGAAACGTCCCCACTCGTTCGCATTCAATGCTGCCATCAATTCCTCTTATTCTTGCTCTCGCAACTCCAACGCCCGTTTGTCTCACTGCGTTACCGCCGCACGTTTCGACTGGATCATAGAACAACCACCCTTCTCGACCTTCACCGCCAGGGGCCTTGATAATGCCACCAAACGACCAGTTGACCAATCTTCTGTTGTCTTTGATGTTTTCTGGTCGCTCACAGAATTTCTTCTCCTCGTCCGTATACGGCACGAACTCGGGGACTTTAGGGTCCGGATGAATATATTTGCTTTTCGTGGGATTACTCAGGTTGGGGATAAGGGCAATACTGTTGTTCGTTACGCCCACAAAATCACCATTGTCGTTGAAACAGAACGTATCGCCAAACAAGTAATATACTTGGCCTCCAAGTTCGACCGATCGGCCAAGGTCGCGAGGATACTGGCGGCCAGATACGTCTTTGACCTCGCCAAGTACACGAGGAGGACAAGCAAATTTCGGTGGCCAGGCTAAACGGGTATTCGAGCGTAGTCCAGCGTGAGGGGAAACATCAACTTGTCCCTCATTGCTCGCAACTGGTGCTTGGAAATTGCTTGACAACTTTGCAAAAGCAGTTTTGAGGCGATCCATCTTAAGAAATAATTGACAATGGTTTCTCTATTGAACAATTTGAGTGGTGGGTCGGAAAGCGCTTGAAATTCTACCTTAAGGTATCAGCAGCGAGAGCTATCAACTGCAACCGAGGTATGTGCTGGATCCAGTTGTTGCAGGCTCGTACTAGCGTCAAACAGGAAGCAACGGTAGATTACATCATCGAGCAGGTGCAGGCCAGTCGCATACTACCAGACGATGCAATCCGTAGCAACGAATACAACAGAAGAGCATCTCGGAGCGCCGCTGCGTACTCTTGGTATCTCGATGTCGCCATGGCTGTCCCCAATTCCGAGACCTGGCGCTTGTGTTCGCTAATCGGACCGTCGGGCGGCATCCCTATGTTGTCGATATGAGCACAATCTAAATTCATTAAATGCGACGACATGCGGGCTCCTTTATTTGTTCTCGGCACCGTCTTGCTTTTATTCTCATTGATGGACTTCGAAAGGTAAAAGAATGCCTTCTCTCGATGTTTCATCATGAGCTAGCTCTACTAAGTGATGGCATCCTTGAAGCACCAAAATCCGATAGTGTTGGTGATATATTTAAGGCATTAGAATGTTTGTGTCGCAGTGTCGCCATTACTGGATCAAGCTGCCCCCATTGCGACAATGTTGGTCTCTCGAGCATTTGGTCTTGTCGCTACTGTGAGCAGCGTTCTCGCACAGACAATCGTATACGAAGCTGAATCTGGTGCTTTGAATGGCGTCACGGTTGGCACTTCTGTCATAGGCTTTACCGGTTCGTGGAGTCTCTTATCTGTCACTGCGTCCGTATCCTGGAGCATTCGTAGAGCACATGTCACTTCATACGTACAAAACGTCCAAATTTCCATGCGGCCGGTTACAAGGTTTCTCAAGCTCACAAGAACAGGGACCGGATATGTAGAAGGCTTCGACACTACAACGGATACCATCACCTTCAACGTTTCGAGTACCGCTTCGAAACTTTATGACCTTAGCATCGTCTACAACGGGCCGTACGGAGACAAATTCACTACTGTGATCCTCAATGGCGTTGGTGGCTCACAAGTTTCTCTCCCAGCGACTACAAACTGGACGACCGTCTCGGCTGGGCAAGTGTTGCTCCATGCTGGATCGAACACTATTCAGATACAAAATAATTGGGGTTGGTATCTCGTAGATTCGATTAAAATTGCGCCGGCCGCTAAGCGTGGGGCTCACAAAATCACGACTACGCCTATCAACAAGAATGCGAACAGCGATGCGAAGGCCTTGCTCAAATTTCTCGGCAACATCTACGGAAAGAATATCCTGTCTGGCCAACATGATCAGGCCTCGCTTGACTGGGTTACACAGAACGTCGGCAAAACTCCAGCCATCGGCGGTTATGATTTCATGGACTACACTGAAAGCCGGAAAGCTTACGGCGCTTCATCGACGGACGTTGAGAAGGCAATAGCTTTCGCGAAGAAAGGAGGGATAATCACCTTCCAGTGGCATTGGGGAGCACCAGCAGGTTTGTACAATACAGCCGATCATCCATGGTACAGTGGCTTCTACACTGATGCTACCGACTTCAACATCGAGACGGCCCTTCAGGATACCACCAACGCCAACTACACCCTTCTCATTAATGATATTGACACCATTGCCGTAGAGCTGAAAGAACTCCAGGCCGCAGCGGTGCCGATCATCTTCCGTCCACTGCACGAGGCTGAGGGCGCGTGGTTCTGGTGGGGAGCGAAAGGACCAGAACCCGCGAAAAAGCTATGGAACATTCTGTACGACCGACTGACGAACCACCACAAATTGAATAACCTGATTTGGGAGTGGAACTCCGTCGCTGCTGCATGGTACCCAGGAAACAACAAGGTCGATATCGTCAGCGCAGACACCTACAACCAAGGGGATCATGGGGTAAGTGTTCACCTCAGCACGGTGTCGAGAACACCAAAAGCTAATGTGTGTATACTAGCCGATTTCCGCCACGTACAATAGCCTTCTTGCCCTGACAAACGACACTAAGATCATTGCTGCCGCAGAGATCGGATCTGTAATGGAGCCCGATCAGCTGCAGGCATACCAAGCAGACTGGGTATACTTTGCAGTTTGGAGCGGGGACTATATTTCTGGTGGCTCTTGGAATAGCTTAGACCTCCTCAAGCGGATCTATGTCAGCGACTATGTGCTGACGCTGGACGAGATTCAAGGTTGGAAAAAGGCAGAATCTGCGAGAGCATGGGACGCATAGACTAGCCTGCAGTGTCTTAGAAGTACTACGAAATGAAAATACAGTGTGAGAGGAAGCCGAATACGGAGGTTGTGCTCCAGGAGAAGCACACAGTCGCCGTATCATGCAGAATTCAACCTACGCTCGACGATGGGACCATCGCTTCCTATACTCGTTCCAACCCTTCTTCTGCATATCTGCAATCCTGGCCTCTGGAGTTCCGACTGCTCCTAGCAGCTGGTTTAGGATCTCTTGGTCTTCCATGCCCCAGTCCTATGCTAGGTAGTAGACGTTTAGTGACAAAACAACACTAAACAAGACATGACAGTGAAAGTGGATTCTTGACATTCGATTATGGATGATGCTTTGGAAAGACTATTTCCACCAGGGGACCAATTTGGAGGCGGAGTAGCTGACACAGGACGTAGGCGAAGTTTTCTGCTCGGAGGTTCTTCCCACCCCAAACAGCGGTGCCGCGATCAGCATGAGAAAGCTTTTGATGACAAACAGCAAGCCTCATCTATACTCAACCGATGACCTCGAGAACCACCATGCGCGCGCTAACACCGGCTCCACGACGATAGTCACCCGAGTCAGCGCTGACGAGCTTTACCTTGCCGTTCGCAAGCAACTTGTCGATCTCAGCACGGTACCCAACTTCCTCCCAGATGTCATCCAGGATGGTAGCCACGATCCAACCGCCTTTTTTAACGATGCGAACGAATTCCGACAATACCTCTGGGCCCACATGGGCGTGTGTAAGGGTGCCGACGCATGTCACGGCATCAAAAGTATCGGTGCCCTCTTCGAGTGGCTTGGACAGGTCGGTGGTGTCAAGGTTTGTGTAGACATGAAGGTTACCAGCGACCTTCAACATACCAGGGGAAAGATCGATGCCACTGATATGCTTGGCACCAAGCTTTGCGAGAGCAGCACCAACTAGGCCTGTGCCACAGCCAGCGTCGAGGATCTGCATCTTGTCCAGTGGTTGCTCAGGGCCGAGATGCTTAGCTAATGTAGCGGCAGCGAGGGTAGGGGCGACATAGTCTTGGTTGGGTTGTACCAGGTCTGTGTCATACGAAGTAGCCCATTCATCGTAAAGGGAGCGCAAATCGGTAAGACCTTTGGCCGAGTAAGCGCGGTTGAGCCACTCAATGTTGGTGGTGACAGGTTTCTTGTCCATGTTGGTGGTGACAGGGTTGTTGTTGGTGGTGGTAACGGTGGCCATGGCGATAATGTTGCTTGGTTTGGACAAATGTGGTGGGTGGTGGTTGCTTTGGGGGACTGGGCGATTACGTTTGGGCTTAATGACACGATTGTTGCTTTCGGGCTCGGCCTTGGGAGTCACGGAAACGATCTGGGAGTAATTGAGTATGTTTGCTACTTCCAATTGCTACCAGAAGTCAGCCTTGGCGAGACAGGGGCGAATACTTGTTGGACCTTTTGCTTCTTGAGAGTGGTGGGAAACAAACGCGAGAATACTGGCTGCAAGTGCTTCAGTGAGGGAAATACGCGCGGTTTAAATAGCGCAACAGTTCAAGGATGCGATCAATCGTGTCCACCTAAGCAAGAGAAAAGTGGTGTAGGAGAGTCCGAACTCGCGCAGTTCACTGCAGTTCTGCTCACCATTCACAGGCTCAGGAACGCCCCGAGCCCTGGCGTTGAAGGCCGAGATTGGCTGCGCGGTGGTGCCCCACAAGAGCCAACTTCAGTCGCGCTGTAGCAGACGTGCGATATATCAGGCAACCGAACTGCGTAAGTTTCGCGCTGCCATCCCTGCTTGTTCCCCGCTTCTACGAGTGGGGTGCGGATGGAGCGGTATCTCCAGGGAAACATCCGACATGGTGTATGTACCCTGGTACCGCGGCCCAGTATGCAGCTGACATGGTCTGCCACAAGTCCAATAGAAACGGAACGTAGAGGAAGCCGCCTGAGAGGAACGGTGTAGTGTAGGAGAGGGTGGTGTAGTGACGGTCGAGACAGCGGAGATGGAGTCGCTCGGGTGGCGTACGGGGCAGGTCGATCGGCCTAGTACACAAAGGCACCTGCAGCTTGGTGTTGAGGTTCGACGGCGCTAGGTAGAGTTTGTCCAAGGGCGTCGCTTGTACGTTGTGTGTTAGCAACAGAATCGACAGCCCTCTGGACCTGGGCACGAGCTCCCCCACGCCCTAGACGGTCGAGCAACATGTTCTCCGCAGTTTCCTCCATTCACCCGCGGTGCCTTTAGTGCCAAGCGTGAGGAATGGCGTCAGGGCCACAGGGGATCTTCGGCTGCATCGCCGCATCGTCGTTGGAGCAGGATTGCGCCATCGCTTTCGGCCGGGGCGCAGAACCGAGCGCTTAGCCGCTATCGTCTAGCATCGCAAAGTGTTGAGCACGTCGTTTTACGCGCCCCACGCGCCAAGGCACATGTGTATCCGGCAAGTCTGCTGAGACGGCGGTAGTTGGCGTCGTGTCTGTGTTGAGTCGACTTACTGGTCAGCCTGTCAGAAACAGTGAGGCCTTCTTGTGATGTGATGGTACAGAAACAACAAGACAGGAGTTGCAGACCTGACAACCATCGCAGTGCCCAAGACCGTTGCTCAGCCGCATCAAGGCGGCGATGTTCTCTCTTCTTCTGCTTTCCTCCGTCTGCAAGACTCGTCATCGAAACAATGCTCCACAGCCACCATGTGACTGCCGAGTGTAACCAACGGGACGTCTTTGGGGCTCGTCATTGCGGACATCGCGGCCAGGATATGCCGAGCTTGAGCTGTACTGCTCCCTGGTGTCGATTCCCAAGCACTGCGCAGCCGCGAAAGACTCTTGTCTAGACTCTTTTGAGGGTGCACCCGCTATTGCATGCAGTGCATGTCCAGTCCTGGCTCTTTGAAGAATTGTGTCAGGGTCTCCTCCACCGCCCACTTGATGTACATGCAAGATTTCCGTCGTCAAAGTTTTCGCTGTGATCCTTGGTGCTCAACACGACATCATGGCGTCTGTGTGAGCCCGTCTTCGTGAAGGAAGCTGTCAATGACACGAGACCATGAACGGAGAATATTGCCTTCTCATGCTAAGTCTTCTCTCGCCGTTGTTCCGTAAAAGAGCGTATAACATTAGTAGATTGTCAATCATTCACACTGGAGTACTCGAATCGAGGCGCGCTACCACATCATGTCGCGGCGTTGAAACGGTAGCATTGTTGTGAAAGAAATGTTATTATCGAAGAAGATTGCAGGTGAACTGGAACGTTTATCATGTTGCAGCGCGGATCGTTCGTCAATATGAACAGTTCATGTTCGTACCTACATACCCTCTGAGGAGTCTCGTAAAATGTCTCCGCTTCGGGTAAGCGCATCCAGCCATCACGACTCCTCAGCAAGGTGCAGCCGGCGTGGACATCGAGACAGCAAATTACCCCGCCAAATACGAGTATTCGGTGAATGTTTCTTCCGTCTGAAGACCATGTCCACAGAATCCGCCTGGCCAAAAAGTCGCCGTCAAGTACCGCCATGCTCAAACGCCGATGGCGGGGTATCGGCGTCTGACGCCATTGCCGACGAGTTGGAGCTCCTCCCACGCGCACGTCTTTCCAAAACCATTAAACCAGACAAACCCAAATTTTCTCTTCCCTCATACAATGGCTCCCAAACTCCTCTACCCAACCTCCCTCGCAATTGACGTCGGCCTGCTTGAGGGCTTTGGCGTTTCTCTACATTCCTACGATGTAAAGGAGCCCATCCCAGACAACCTCGTCGATGCCGAGATCCTCGTAACCTGGACGAACCCTGTGCCTCGGCTCCAAGAGGAAGCCAAACGCCTGACCAAGTTGCGATGGATTCAGTCTCTCGCCGCAGGCCCCAATGACGTGCTTAGCGCGGGCTTCGATTCCTCCAAGATCACCATTTGCACCGGTTCAGGATTGCACGACCACACTGTTGCAGAGCACGCACTGGGGCTTCTGTTGAACGCGGCACGTCGCTTTTTCGAGATGCGGGATTACCAACTGGAAGGGAAGTGGCCAGGTCATCTGGGCGGACCGCAACCTGATCGTCCAAAGGGAAAGTTCACATCACTGGAAGGTGCCAATGTGCTGGTCTGGGGATTCGGCAACATCGCGAAGACTTTGACGCCATGGCTCACAGCACTGGGTGCGAACGTGACTGGCCTTGCTCGAAGTGCCGGCGTACGCAATGGCGTGGAAGTATATGGAGAAGACAAGCTTCAACAACTGCTACCCAAGACGGATGCCTTGGTCATGATCCTGCCCGGATCTGATGCAACGAAACATGCTCTGAATGCAGAGAGGTTGAAGTTGCTCCCAAACCACGCCTGGGTGGTCAATGTTGGTCGTGGAACTTCAATTGACGAGGCGGCCCTGGCCGATGCGTTGGACAAGGGAGCCATTGGTGGTGCAGCGCTCGACGTATTCGAGACTGAACCTCTCCCTACGGATTCGCGCTTCTGGAAGACACCAAATACGATTGTAAGCCCACACGCAGCAGGCGGCAGACCGCAGAACCCAGAGACGCTCATTGCGTACAACCTGCGGAAATTCCTCGCGGGGCAGGAGCTCAAGAACATTGTATGACAATCAATCAATTCGAAGCTATGAGGGCTTAAAATTCAGGCTTCGTACTTATATCCTTGTATTGATGTTGATTATCCCGTGTGAACATCTCAAAGTTTAGAATTCTGACACCTGTGCATCCATGATTCTCTCCCTTGAACTTCTGAGGATGCTCTCACCATCCTAGTGGTGTCCTTATTCAGGGCCTGTATAGGTTCTGATGTTATGATGAATTCTGCACTAACAGGACTCCCTAGATAACGTTGATGATCGTTCATGCCGCTACAGGAAGACAATCACTTCATAATGCGGAGTTGATGTAGTCGAACGCATGGTCCCCAAGATTCCAATGCGTAAAGAGGGCATACATAGCAATGGTTTCGACTCTATGTCGTCTAAGCTGAGTGTGCCTGAAGAATGATGCCGTCACTTCCGAGAAACAATTGTGTCGGACATCCGGTATACATAGCGATATCGCTAGTCCTATCGCTAGTCCAAGTGTCCCTCGCCACCAGGTACTGGTCTCAGAACGTTTACTCGTCCTTGACACCGCCGCGTCCAGCACGCTCAGCGGCCTCGATGCTCTTCTTATCGGTCTTGATTTCACCGCCCTGCATAGCGCCCATGAGGCCACCAGACTGCTTCCAAGGCCTCTGAAGATCGCCTGTCGCGGGCTGGCCGAAGAGATGGACCTTGACAAGGTTGCCCTCGAAAGCGCCCTTGAGAGGAATGACAGACTGGATGAGCAGCGGATTGGTGTACTTTAGGTAAAGATGCATGAAGCCCATCATGCCGACGCCCATGAGCTGGGCTTTGAACAGGCCTTGGAGCTGCTGAAGATCGTATGCCTTTACGGTGGTCGCGACGAACTTGGGCTCCTCGCCGGATCCCATTGGAGCGGGCTCGACGTATTTGACAACGGTCATGTCTGTTAGGGACCTGTTAGCGGGATCTGCAGACCACAGGGAGGCCTGCAGTGGCCACGCAACATGTACGCACCATTCTTCTTCTTGATCTGCGCCTGCACGTAGAGGTAGATACCGGCGATGATAACGTTGGAGAGGATGTACAGCGCTCGCACGCCATTCAGGACGTTGGGATCATCAAAAGGAACCTTCTTCGAGATCTGCATAAACGCCAGAATGATGAGAAGGTTGGTACTGCACGCGATCGTTAGTAGAGGCGATCTTGTACACTGGAGACGAATACAGCCACGTACATCTGCGGGTTGAGCGCCATGGTGTTTGTTGGTAGAGATCGCGGTGCCTGAAAAATTGATACGCGTTCGTAAGAGGCCTCGTCTCGTGTTGTCAGTATGAGCGTGGTGGGAGAGGATGAGCTGGGGACGACTTTTGTGCGGGATGCGCGTAGAGCTTGCGCAAAAGAGGCCAGTTCTTGGGGTCAGTGCCACTAACCCTTGTTGGGCTTCCACCCTTCTAGCCGCATCCAAAGTCTTCTCTGACCACATGCTCGATTGCCATACCTTTCTCACTGAGACACACGGGGACATTGTGCTTGCGTGTTCTATCAGAGCACTTTGAACCACTTTGCGTATGGGAAACATCATGGACCGTGCAATTGCTTGTTGAACCCTTAATGGTTCCTCGCTACGCGATAGACCCTTCGCGGCATAGGATTTACTTGTTCCCTTGTGCCAAAGAACCCATTGAGAGGAACATGAACGTAGTTTTGGTGCTTGCGATACTGAAGTACAGACCATCAGCTGCGACCTCCTCCTTATCGGCACTCTACGTTATCTAAAGTGGTCACAGTGGTCACGTGCTCGCGCGGCTGGTCAGGCAGCTGCGACGCGACCGTACCCCCTCGCTTTTCAAGAGCGCTTCAGGACGCGCCACTGCAGGCGATGATGCGCACATAATCGTCGCGGTCCTCTCACAAAGCCGTGCACCTGCCGCTTCCTCGTTTCCCCTTGTTAAGTTTGTTTCCAGTATTCGCCACCACCGGCGTGAGCGCGCGCAACTTTCAACGCGACCCAATCGGTGGCGCAAGCTAGGGGCCTCCAGCCCACGATTCACCACCCAGGGCGATTTACTTTCGCAGCTCTCACTGTTCCCAGCTGCGGTGGTGACTTCAACTCCATAGCGCTCCTTCGCTCCGCTGGTAGTTGTCAACTGGTTGAACCTTGTCGTCCTGTCCAGGAAATGGCGCCCCGACGTTCCAGCCGAAGGTCGTCGAACCTCCCCAATGTAGAAGAGATGGCAAACACTACGACCGCTACTCTGAGCGCTTCTTCTGGTACGCTTATCCCTTCACACTAAGGCCATTCTATTGTACATCAACTGACCTGCAAACTCAAGTGCGGAAAAGTTCTCGCCCTGCTACAAAGCGCATCCGCTCCTTCGTGCCTGATTCTTCCGAAGCTGAAGACGACATAGTCGAGCCCGCACAGGCTGGCGCATCGAACAGCTCGACCCGGCAACTGCTCAAGGCAGTTGCGATACCACCGATGAAGTCCTCTGATGCGAAACCGAAGCGCGAACAAGACAGCTCAACTGGATCACCTTCGTTCGAGAATTCGGACTACGAGACCCCAGGGACCAGCATCTCCACAACGCCGGCTCTCTCCGTCGGCCATGGTGCGAAGATAACTCGCAAGAGTGGTCTTAGCGCAGCTGTAACCGCCGGATTTGGTGCTTCATCTTCTCGTAAGCGAACGCGCTTCATGATAGAAAAGTTAGAAGAAGATGAGAACACCGACATCAATGCTGATGCTCAGCTTGCGATGCAATTGCAATTGGAGGAGAACGAGTTGGACCCCAATAATCACATTTCGCTTGATTCATCGTCAGACGAAGAGCCACTTGCGAAGCGGAGGGCGACAACTTCAAAAGGCAAGGGCAAGGGCGATGCTGTCGTGGAGGATGCAGTCATAGTAGGTTCAGATGACGATTCGCTCTCACTGACTCTTACAACACCAACATATACCGGGAAAGGCAAGGGCAAAGCTCCCGCAGCCGCTCACCGAAACAGCTCACGAAGTCGTTCAGCTCGTGCTCGTGCAAAGGCAGCGAAGAACTTTGTGCTAGACTCTGATCTAGATGAGGACGTGGATGACGAGGACGAATTCAAGCTGGACGACGACGATGATGTTGCGGATTCCGCATTGGACGACGAGGACGACGCGATCGGAGGTAAAATGGACACTGGTAGCGACAGTGACGATATACCACTTTCGAAAGTCAGCAAACGTGCTCTGGCTGCCCTCAATACTGAGCCAACCGCAGCAAAGAAGCAACGCGGCAAGAAGAACAAACGCCTGACACGGGAAGAGAAGATGGCACGCCTCCGCCGTAATGCGCGGTTTGCTCATATTGCAGACAAATGGGAACGCAAGCGTGCGATGAACCGCGAACGTGCTGAGGAATCTCATCCAAAGCTGCTCACCATGTGGAAAGAGCTCGAAGAAGTACTGGTGCTTGAAGTGCAACAAGCCGAACAACCGCCATCCATCAACCGCCGTCTGAAGCCTTTCCAGCTTGAGGGCCTTAGCTGGATGACACGGCAGGAGAAAACCGCTTATAGAGGTGGTCTTCTTGGCGATGAGATGGGTATGGGCAAGACGATTCAGGCTGTCTCGCTCATCATGTCGGACTGGCCGCAGAAGGAGCCCACGCTTGTCGTCGTTCCGCCTGTGGCATTGATGCAATGGTCCAACGAAATCGGAGCATACACGGATGGCAAACTTAAGGTTCTCGTCTATCATGGCACCAATTCCAAGTGCAAAAAGATGACAGTGAAAGATTTGCGGAAGTACGACGTTATCATGGTGTCGTACAACAGCTTGGAGTCTTTGCACCGCAAGGAAACCAAAGGCTGGACACGTGGCGAGGATATTATTAAAGAAGCATCACCTTTACACGCCATTACGTACCATAGGCTCATTCTAGACGAGGCTCACAGCATCAAATCTCGTACCACTGGTGTCGCTAAGGCCTGCTTCGCGCTCAAGGGCACCTATAAATGGTGTTTGTCGGGCACTCCGGTACAAAACCGAATAGGCGAATTCTTCTCTCTGTTGCGATTCCTTGAGGTTCGGCCTTTTGCAGATTACTTTTGCCGAAGCTGCGACTGTGAGCAGCTACATTGGACTGTCGATGAAGACCACATGTGCAAAGCATGTAACCACGGAGCTTCGGAGCACATCTCCGTCTTTAATCAGGAATTGCTTAACCCGATCACTGGCGATGATCCGGAGCTCCGGGAGGACGCCTTGACTAAGCTGCATATGATCACTGCTCGCATCATGTTGCGTCGCATGAAGCGTGATCACACGAACTCGATGGAATTGCCTATGAAGGATATCGTGATCCATAACGAATTCTTCAGTGAAGTGGAGCGAGACTTCTCAACGTCCATCATGTCGAACTCCGCTCGTAAGTTCGACACTTATGTTGCGCAAGGTGTCATGCTCAACAATTATGCCAACATCTTCGGTCTCATCATGCAAATGCGTCAAGTTGCCAACCATCCGGATTTACTTCTGAAGAAGAAGGCAGCTGAAGGCAGTCAGAATGTTTACGTGTGCAACATCTGTGATGAGCCTGCCGAGGACGCGGTTCGCTCTCGCTGCCACCATGAGTTCTGCCGAGCATGTGTGAAAGACTTCATGGACACTTGCGAAGCCTCCGGCACCGATGCTGATTGTCCCCGCTGCCACATCGCTCTCTCAATCGACTTCGAGCAGCCAGAGCTTGAGCAAGACGAGGAGTCAGTCAAGAAAACTTCCATCATCAATCGGATAAAGATGGAGAACTGGACGTCGTCTACAAAGATTGAGATGCTTGTTTATGATCTTTACAAGCTGCGGAGCAAGAAGCAGACACTCAAGTCCATCGTGTTCAGTCAGTTTACATCGATGCTTCAGCTGATTGAATGGCGTCTTCGGCGCGCTGGATTCAACACAGTCATGCTTGATGGTTCCATGACACCCGCTCAGCGTCAGAAGAGCATTGAACATTTCATGACCAATCCGGACGTCGAGGTGTTCTTGGTGTCGCTCAAGGCCGGAGGTGTTGCTCTGAACCTGACGGAGGCTTCCAGGGTATTCATCGTGGATCCGTAAGTGATTCCTCTTGTTTTGCTAACGTACAACCACTAACACACGTAGATGGTGGAACCCTGCAGCCGAGTGGCAGTCTGCTGATCGTTGCCATCGCATTGGACAGAAGAGGCCTTGTGTTATTACTCGGCTTTGCATTGAAGATAGTGTAGAGTCGCGGATGGTTGCGCTTCAAGAGAAGAAAGCAGCCATGATTGCTGGAACGGTCAACAACGACAAAGTCGCGATGGACCGCCTGAGCCCGGAAGACCTGCAGTTCCTGTTCCGCGGTTCTTAGGCGATTCATGCGCAAGTGCATGACACAAGAGCAAGATGAAGGCCACCCAGCAATGTAATTATGACGGATATGATGCACACCGGCCCAAGGGATTAGCTTTAGGCTTATGGTTTACAGACGGCGATAGGAGCGATCGTTGTTCTTATATTGAAAGGCTTAATGGGTATGTATCTTCGAAGCGGCGTCGTGCATGGTATACGTAAAAGGCACTTCACAGCAGTTATATGGCGCATGGATAGCGTACGATAAAGATTGTGGTAATCGCTGAATCTATGTTTTTATGCTGTCAGATTTGCGGTGCTTTGCAACAAGGTACCAACTTGTTTGTTTAAGGTGCTGTTGGCCTGTGTACCACATGTCCTGGCGTCGGCATAATCGGACCTGCCTAGCATCGTGGGGGTGGATCGTCGCTTCCCCAGATTTTGGTGCAGCCTTCGCTTCAACGTCAACGCCAGCACTTTGTACATAGTAAGTTTAGCATGACCTTCCCCATGCGCGCACCGATTTTACGAGTTTCGGATTGCACTCCGGTGGTGCTCATTCGACTAGGCTCGTTGTGCTTTGCGCCTCGATGACTTGTGCGCACGTCCAGGACCTGAAGCCGTACGCACCTTGATCCGCGATGACTCGAACCGTAGGAAACGCAATAGGGCGTGCAACAAGACGCAAATGTTCGTTTGGTACAAATGAAAAGAGCTTCGCCAGTCGCCGCGGAGCCGAGGAGATGGACAAAATTGATGTTTTTGCCTAGACATAAATTTCCTCCTTTAGGTCGCTATTTGGTAACAGAAACCTATATACGGTCAGACGCCCAGCGTTGGTCCCGTTCCGCTGCCGCCAGATCGACCTTCATCATACTCGTGATGCAAAACATCATAGCAGCCCAGACCACGCCCGGGCTGGTGGTATTGCGCTCTTTCGGATATTACGGGTGTGTGCAGGCGGTCGTTGATCGTGAACGGCGAAAGCTCATAGCACGTCCTGACAGACTGTTGCTGTCGTACTTTCACTCTCGACGACACTAGGGCCTGACTTGACGGTGGATTTCAGTCGGACCTTTGCTGGCCGTCTCTTCCTTTGTTTACTCATTTGGGGCTCCAGCCGTTGAACGTGAGGCACCTTGACTTGGCCAGAATGGCATTCTTCCTCAAAGCTGAGGCATGGAATATCGACGTCGATCGCTATGTGAACCGAATCGTTCCTCCCTCACCGCTTCACTGGTTACCGACGCCAGTTTCAAGATTTCTTGGGTACAGGAAAGAGCCGAAACCAGATGTAGGAAACGTCTTGGGAGCCTTTTGGTCGTTACTGGGAGCCTTTTGCGGATTGGCGGTTGTCGCTGCGGTGTTCAACAACACGAGAATTATTCAGATGCATCATCCGCCTGCGTTGATAGCCTCTTATGTGAGTAAACTCTATTACCTGTATATACTAGTTCGGCCAGGAAAGTTGCGCGATACAGAAACGCATATACTTCCCACGGCCTTATTCGCAAATCCATGTACAAGACCAGGCGATGTCTCATTGATCTTGGATGGACGCGGATCACGACATGTTTCCGATTCTACTTCTCTATCTGCAAGCTCACTTAGGGAAGGGTGCTTCAGCTGTGCTAGAATACAACGCTATCCGTTCACCACTTGGGCAACCGCGTAATGCTCTCCTCGGACACACTATCTCAGCCATCATCGGCGTAGGGATTACAAAGCTTTTCCGTCTCCGCTCGGATTTCGAAAAGATAAAATGGATAGCAGGCGCAATCTCGTGCGGCACCGCCTCGGCTGTCATGCTCATCACCGGCACAGTCCATCCACCAGGTGGCGCCTCTGCTGTCCTCGCTGCGACATCGCCTGAGATCACAGAGATGGGGTGGTACTTTGTGGGTGTAATCATGTGGGGAACGACTTTGATGCTCATCGTCGGCCTGGTCCTCAATAATGTTCAACGCCAGTTTCCGGTGTACTGGTGGACTCCGCTACCTCTCCACGTAACGAGGAGGCACGACGTGGAAGTCGGGCCTAATGGTACGGGGGGATCCGAGGGAAGGATTGAAGATCTGGAGGATGAGGACAACGAAGAGAAGTCATCATATATCACCATCTCTGCGCGCGGAGTCACGTTGCCAGACACTCTAGCACTCAATAGCGAGGAGTCGGAGTTGCTCGAATGTCTACGACATCGACTTGCGAAGGGATCCTCTAGATCGTCGCAGTATTCGGTATCGAGCGGACTGCGAACATGACGATGGTTCCGAGTCATGGGGCTGTGGATCATTGAAGCAGTGGTGGCGTTCGTGAGCGTTCGTGAGCGGTGCCTTTAGTTACATTGCGCGGCATCTGGTGGTGGTTTGCATGCTGCGTTTGGAGTCCAGGTCTGCAATTTGCATAGCGTTGGTGGAGACATCGTTACTTGGAGCGTTTTCAGGGTACAACCACCAATAGGCGTTAGTGCTTTGTGTGACACCTACGTCAGGTACTCTTAGGATGCGCTTCTTGATAGATGATAAAAATAATGAGGCATCACGGTTTAGACACGGACGCCAACCTATGAGGAGCACCTCCCGAGTGTTCTGTGGAATCTGTAGAAACAACCCCGATGATGCGCTGGCTTCTCGTAGAGGTCCCGGAAGGCCGTGGTGGTGGCGGAGGCTCATTTGTTGGCCCGTGCGGACACCACCCCGCGCCACCCAACGAAAAATCGAAGCATCGTTTGTCTGAGTGTCTACGCACATGTTCTTTCTACCTCACACGGCTGCTCTCCCTCACTGCATCATACCCTCCACACTTTGTTTGTTCTCGGATACGACGGCGCCTATCAAGACGTCGTTTTCGACCTGACACGAGCCTATCGATAAGGCAGCATTAGCGGGGCAATTTGAATCTCACGAAATTTCATCGCCCCTCCTCCGTCACCTTTACATTCGACACACAAACCCAACATGGTCTCCGCATCCAAAGCCGCCCGCGACGCCAAGCGCGCCGCCGCCGGCAAGGAAAAGAAGACTCCTGCCTCCAAGGTCTCCTCTAAGGCCGCATCCAAGAATGCGTCAAAGGCCAACTCAGTCGACGGAGACGAGGCTCAGGACCTAGAGCTGAATGAGGAGGTACAGAATCTCACTTCGCAGACAGACAAGCTCGGTATCTCAGACCGTGTTACTACCGGTGTGCTGGCGTCCCTCGAGGCATCGCGAGACGTCAAGATCACTTCCGCCTCGCTCGTGTTCCACGGCCGCGTCCTTTTCAACGACACAACCCTCGAGGTCAACTACGGCCGCCGCTACGGTCTCCTAGGTGAGAACGGGTGCGGAAAGTCGACCTTACTCAAAGCTATCGACTGCCGCGAGTTCCCTTTCCCGGAGCACATCGACATCTACTTGCTGGACAAGGGTGCGCCAGCTACTGAGCTGGGTGCGCTAGACTGGGTTGTGCGCGAGGCCGAAAATGAGCTTGCCCGCCTAGAGAAGCTCGCCGAGGAGATCTTAGAGAAGGATGGCCCGGACAGCCCTGTGCTCGAGGAGATCTACGAGGTTGGTATGGCCGGTATGCCCGCCGTTGCACCGCTAACATTTCACGACAGAAACAAGAAGAGATGGACCCCTCTACTTTCCACGTCCGCGCTGGTATCATCTTGACTGGTCTCGGTTTCAACAAGAAAACTATCCAGAAGAAGACCAAGGACATGTCCGGTGGCTGGAAGATGAGAGTTGCCCTCGCCAAGGCCCTTTTCGTCAAGCCCTCGCTTCTCTTGCTCGATGACCCGACTGCCCATTTGGACTTGGAGGCCTGTGTGTGGTTGGAGGAGTACATGAAGAAGTGGGACCGTACCCTCATCCTCGTTTCGCACTCCATGGACTTCTTGAACGGTGTCTGCACCAATATGATCGATATGCGTCAGAAGCAGCTCTTGTACTATGGCGGTAACTACGACACATACATCAAGACGCGTACTGAGCAGGAAGTCAACCAGACCAAGGCATATGAGAAGCAGCAGGATGAGATCAAGCACATCAAGAAGTTCATCGCTTCCGCGGGTACTTATGCCAACTTGGTCCGACAAGCCAAGTCTAGGCAGAAGATCCTCGATAAGATGGAGGCGGACGGCTTCATCCAGCCTGTCATTGCTGACCGAGTCTTCACCTTCCGCTTCGCTGAAGTTGAGAAGCTTCCTCCTCCTGTGCTTTCGCTCGACGACGTAACCTTTTCGTATTCTGGCAAGGCCGAAGATAACCTGTACGAGCACCTTGACTTTGGTGTCGACATGGACTCCCGAACAGCTCTTGTCGGACCCAACGGTGTCGGAAAGTCCACTCTCCTCAAGATTTTCACAGGAGCGCTGTCACCAACTGGGGGTGTTGTTTCCCGACACACTCACTTGAAGCTAGGTGTGTACAGCCAGCACTCAGCTGAACAGCTCGATCTCACGAAGTCGGCTCTTGACTTCGTCCGCGACAAGTTCTCCCACATTTCCCAGGATTACCAATACTGGCGGCAACAGCTTGGCCGCTACGGCATGACTGGTGAAGGCCAAACGGCCAAGATGGCCACGCTTTCCGAAGGCCAAAAGAGCCGTATCGTTTTCGCGCTGCTGGCCATTGAAAGTCCCAACATGATCTTGCTTGACGAGCCTACCAACGGACTGGACATCCCTACGATTGACAGTCTGGCGGACGCAATCAACGTTTTCAGTGGTGGTGTCGTCGTCGTGTCCCACGACTTCCGGTAAGTTCATCCATGTACACGGTAACGCCAGACCCTTTACTGACAAGTTTTAGATTGCTTGACAAGATCGCCAAGGACATCATGGTGTGCGAACACAAGACGGTGCGCAAGTGGGACGGCAGTATTGCCGAATACAAGAAGCACCTCCAGAAGAAGATGATCAAGGATGGTATCCTCAAGTGAGGGACCATCTCTGATTGGCAGTAGAAGCGATCGCATGTGTGTTTGAGTTTGCAATTCGGGCATGAATAAAAGTTACCAAGAGCTGGATGCATGAAGTGCGTTTGCAGGAACAAGCAGCTCGCAGGTCCCGCTCCAGTTGTCGCAGAAGGGGCCAAGAGCACCTGGATATCCTGCGCTTCACGATGCATTGGGACTTAGAGGCGTTTATAGACGTGCGTTCGATGACAGAATGACATCTTGTAGAACAAGACACAGTCCACCGTGCTTTATGAAGCTAGAAACTTGTGGCGTGCCGTCTGAGTGTCGACGTGACGCAAGTGCAGGGCTTGAGCACGCGCCCCAGCGTGACCTGTGGGTTGTGACGGTCGCCGGTTAACCCCGCGAGCTTCTTTGGAGCTTCCTCCATGCCCACACCTTCATTATTGCATACCGCTCGCGATTCGCTCCACGGTTACTGTGCTCGTTCACACGCATATTGACACCCGAGCTGAAGACTGATCCTACATTTGAACAGTCAGCTTCTACCCGTATTGTCCCTCATGGCGGAGCTCACTACAACGAAGCTCAACGCCGAGTCGCACCTGCTGCTTGTACGCCAACATGCTTCCCAGCCACACCCAAAGCTAATCGCACCGCACATAGGACCAACCCCTCCTCCGCATGCCCCACGAATTATCGCGGAGGAACCAGAAGAATGCCCAGCGCTATGTCGAGAACAGCACCAGAGACGTCCTTTCGTCCCTAACCGCCGCCACAAGAACAGCTTCCCAAACCGCCACGCCCGACGCCACCCTCACCTCGCTCGACAGCATCATCTCCAAGATGCAGGGCCTGAAGAGAAAGCTGGAAACTCTGCACGACGAGGAGATGCGCATACACAGGTCGAATCGCGCGCGGTTGCAGCACCTGCAGGATCTATATGAAGTACAAAGCCTGGTGGACCTCAAGTACGATGAATGGAGCAGGACACGGTTGTCGCGGCTGCTAGTCGATTACCTGTTGCGGGAAGGATACTCGGAGAGCGCGGCGCATCTGGCGGCAAGCCAGGGCATCGAGGAGCTGGTCGATGTGGATGCTTTCGTCGCCTGCCATAAGATCGAAAAGAGCCTGAGGGAAGAGAGGAATACAAGTCTAGCGCTGAATTGGTGCAAGGAGAACAGCAAGGAGTTGAAGAAGCAAGGAAGCATGCTGGAGTTTGAGCTCAGGCTGCAGCAATACATTGAGCTGGTACGACAAGGTCACCACGCGGGCATCGGGGACACAGACACGGATATGGATGGCCTGAACGGTATCAGCCTTGATGGGGATACTAACGGTGCCGGAGAGGAGAAACTGGTCGAAGCACGGGCACACGCAAAGAAGTATCTGAGTGCGAGTGGGGACTTTGCGCTGCTGCGGAAAGCCGCAGGCTTGTTGGCCTATCGACCTTGGGACGACGTCAAGCCTTACAGTGTATGTCCAACTCCTTCTACAAGCGCAACATGACAAGAGCTAACATACAGTATAGGAGCTATATTCCGACTCTCGCTGGACCCACCTTGCACACCTCTTCCTGACAACCCACCACACACTTTACTCTCTGCCGCCTCGGCCTCTTCTTCATATAGCTCTGTCAGCCGGTCTCTCCGCACTCAAAACACCTGCTTGCCACTCTGCTTATGCCGCACCTACGACTATGCCGCTCACTGCGTCTTCACATGGCATCACATCGACATCTGTATGCCCCATCTGCAGTACTGAGCTCAACGAATTGGCACGCAACGTGCCTTATGCGCACCATAGCAAGAGTTTGGTAGAAAGTGATCCGGTGGTTCTTCCTAACGGTAGAGTGTACGGCAAGGGACGTTTAAGAGTGTTTTGCACCAAGGTTGGGGTTGAACCAGGGTGCGTGAGAGACCCGGTGGAGGGATTGGGCGGGATGAAGTGGAGAGAGACCGATGTGAGGAAGGTGTTCATCTTGTGACTGGTACTCGTCGATATCTTCGTGAGGGCTTAGCGGGAGTTTATGGTTTCACATTTGCATAGCGTGGCGTTCAGTGTATGAACTTGGGCGTGAGAGAGATAGTCTTCTTATGCATCGACCGATATCGCATTTCTCCTTCCTCTTGACTCCCTGGTGTAACTTTTCCACCTGTATCCCTTGCACTCCCAGTCTGACCACCTACGGCTATGACAGGTGCCGTGTCTGGTAGTTCCTAACGACAATGATTCGTGCCGACACATACTCTTCTGGGGTCTTTAGAAGGCCATTCCTGTTCACTGAAGCGCACCACGTCTGTCCGAATAGCCTAGATGCGCTGGTAGAGCCCCTTAATTTTCTCCTGTTTCGCCGGTGTGAAGGCGTGAATTCTGACCTGTTGTGAACTTCCAGTCGCTGGTCACATGTTCAACCCGTACATTATACCACGCCGAACTAGCGCGACACCCTGTTGAGAGTATTAAGCGCAGTGTTCCGAGGGGACCAGCTGTATAGTCCAACCTTGCGGCACGTTCTTCACCCTTCCTCTGAGTCACTGTCGCTCTCCTCTCTCGCCCTCTTCTTTCCCTTCCTCTTCTTATCATCCTCCTCCTTCCTCTCCCCTGCTTTCTCAAATACATACATCCGCGCCCTCCTATCCTCGCCCTTCCATGCCCCACCCCCCCTCAATAGCCCCCAACGTCCTCACATGCGCGTACCCTGGATAATCCTCCCACTCAAACTTGTAACTTTCCACAACCTTCAGCCCAGCATGCCGCGCCAGATCCCGCACATTCCACAGCGTGTATGGCTCGCCCTCGAACAGGCAGACTAGAACTTTCCCGCCTTCGCGGAGAAACGACCGGCTCTTATGGGAGCATAGACACGAGTTGAAAAAGCCGACGAGGAGAGCTTGGTTGGCGCGCACTTGCCGATTTACGTCTGTGGAGAGACCGCCTGTGTGCGGGAACATGAAGGCTATGGTGTCCCAACCCTCTTCTCTCTCCTCTGCTGAGCGGAGTGTCTTGAAGGAGCCGAGCTTCGTGGCGTCGATGCCGTGGTGGAACGGCACGGGCGGTGTCAGTGCACTTAGCTCGTCATATATTTGCGCAAAAGTAGGGTATTTTGTGCGTACTTGTTCGTCGGTATCGAAGGAGGTGGCGGTAACGTTTGCGCAGGCGTGCTCGGTTACGAGGGATTTGGTGAAACTGAAGTCGCCTTCTCCAACGAGGAGGATGTGGTCGTAAGTGCCGAAGGGAACTTGATGCCTCTGTGAAGCCTGAACATGCGGTTTTGCGGTGGCTGCAGCGGTAGGACTTGGGTCGTTGGTCTGTTTCTGCTTCTGCTTCTTCGAGGGCGGTGCGGAGGGCTTCTGGAGGGATTTCGCGGCGGCAACGGCAGCTTTTTGGTGGTTGGCGATCTTGCGGGATGCGTCACGTTTGAGCTCACGACGCGCACGTTTGGTCTTTGTTTTGGACATGGTTGTGATGGGGGGTGCTGGGTTATCAGAGTCCGGAGGTGTTGCGGGGAGATTTTTGGAAATGGAACCGTCTTCTTGAGCTATGACCATGCTCGCACACGTTGCTCAACCTCTTTTCTCGGAGAAATGTGCTGCATGTGTGGTTCGATGCAGACGGGTAGCATTGCTCTAAACGGACTAAATATACACCGGACGTGATGGGGTACAGCCATCTCAGTCTGCCAAAACCTAGATACGCGCTCTAACCAGATTACAACCCAAAGGAACAGACATCATCACACAGGCTGGGCGGCCCATTATATCAAGTCTCGCTTTACAAACTGGTCGTACAGAGTTTTGCCGAGGGCGGCAGGCGAGCGCTCAACGACGACACCAGCAGCCTCAAGGGCGGTGATCTTGGAATTGGCGTCACCCTTTCCACCGCTGACGATGGCACCGGCGTGGCCCATTCTCCGGCCCGGTGGCGCAGAGATACCGGCGATGAAGCTGACGACGGGCTTGTTGGCCGTGTTATTCGCCTTGAGGAAGTCGGCAGCATCTTCTTCGGCGCTGCCACCAATCTCGCCGATCATGATGATACCATCAGTCTCCTCGTCCTGCAGGAAGACCTTGAGGCAGTCGATGAAGTTGGTGCCCGAGAAGGGGTCACCGCCAATTCCGACGACGAGCGACTGGCCAAGGCCGGCTTGGGTGGTCTGGTTGACGGCTTCGTAAGTGAGGGTTCCGGAGCGGGAAACGATGCCGACGCGGCCGCGCTTGTGGATGAAGCCGGGCATGATACCGATCTTGCATTGTCCCTGGGATATGTTAGTAGTGCGCGGCGAAAGAGTGTTTGGTACAGCGTACAGGAGCGATGATGCCGGGGCAATTGGGGCCGACAAGGCGCGTCTTGTTCTGCGTCTTGAGCATGTCGGTGATGCGAACCATGTCTGTATTCATTAGCACCGTACAAGGGTGTAGCAGCAGAAAGAAGCATACCGTGTTGCGGGATACCCTCAGTAATGCTATGCCGACTCGTTAGCTTCGAAATGCGCGCAACAATCGGAAGAACCTACCATACTACCAAAGGAATCTCAGCGGTGAGCGCCTCCTCGATACCCTTGGCCGCAAGCGGTGGACTGTAGCAGGATCAGCTTGTGGACCAGCCAAACGCGATAGACCATGCATACGGAACGAAGATGGCGGAGGCGGTCGCGCCAGTCTGCTTAATACCCTCCTCTACCGTCGCGAAGACGGGCTTGCCGAGATGCTCGGTGCCAGCCTTCTTAGGGTTCGTGCCGCCGACGACGTTTGTGCCTGTATCTCCGCGTCAATTGGGCTCGTGAGGGGGTTGTCGAGACAGGTTTAGGATTGCAGCGCATACCGTACTCGATGGCCTGCTGGGCGTGGAAGCTATTCGTCCGTCAGCACCGTTCGCATCAGGCACGCTCTGGATGCGACTCACGTTCCCTGCTTGCCAGTGAAGCCCTGGAACAGCACCTTGGTGTCGCCGTTGATGCGCAAGTTCTTGATCGTGTCCGCATACGGTGTGGAGCTCGTCGCATAGTTCCTGGCGGCCGCGTGCCGCAGCGCCGAGCTCAAAGGTCGTCGTATGGCCTGCATCGTGACGGTATGAAGTCACGAGAACAGACGTGTACTGGAGAAGGGGAATGGATTGATGGAGAGCTGTTTGGATGGGGGTTGTCGCGGAGGAGACACGATCTGCACGGTTGCCCTTTCGGAGCTTGGCCAAAACTTTCCAGCTGCTATTCGGCCGGCAAGCGTCTGAGCTCCCGGCTTCACACGAAAATGCCTCGCGGATACCTCCGTCACCACATCTATTTCCATCCCTACCTAATCATTGTACGGAGCCGCCCTAGACTGCGCAATCAATCCGCATCCTCTCAGCGCGTTGATGGTTGGGACTTCTATAAATTGAAGGAGCATCACATGCAGGGAGCGCAAAACCGGAACTCGCACACACTGTCCGACGATGCAAAAAGCAACGAGTCTGCTCCAAGGTGCAGGAATTGGACATGTACAATCTCGCCGCTGAAGCTCGACGAGACCTTCTCTTGCGCCATGTCTCTCCAGAGTTCATAGTGTTCCTCGAGCTTCCTGATAGCGTATTATATGTTGCCTTTGTGAATGCAGCTGTCGCAAGGCGACAATGGTAACAGGACGTCAGATTGGTCTTACCATCGGAGCAGTGTAGGCGTTCAGCAACGTCTTCTGGCACAGCGGACCTCCAAAAGTAGAGACACACGAAGTTGGACGTCATGTTTAAGATCCAACGCTGCACCAGTGTGAGGGTCTTTCACTAGCCCAAGCTAGCTTAGCTCGCCATCTTGCCCAAAAATCACAACCCCCCACTGACTCCACGAGCACCGCAGAGCTGCAACTCTTACTGCGCTACAGACAACACTTTACCGTATCGCTTCAAGCGACACGCCATGGCGACCGTCACTCTCACAGAGGCCAAGCCCAGGCACAACCGCCTCCCCAAGAATATCAAATTGCCACCAGAAAATGAACGATATATGCGCGCATGCGCGGATATCGCCTCCGCCCTTATCCAGGACTATGAAGCGCAAGCCGATGGATCAAAGCCTAAGAAGGACCTAAACCTGAATCACTTGAGGGGTCAGATCGCAAAGAAACATTATCTGAAGAGTCAGCCACCCTTGACGGCCATCATCGCGGCGGTGCCCGAGCATTACAAGAAGTACATTCTGCCTAAGTTGATTGCGAAACCCATTCGGACTTCCTCTGGCATTGCGGTAGTCGCAGTAATGTGCAAACCGCATCGATGCCCACACATTTCATACACTGGCAACATATGTGTCTACTGCCCTGGTGGTCCTGACTCTGACTTTGAGTACTCTACCCAATCCTACACCGGCTATGAGCCAACCTCCATGCGCGCCATTCGCGCACGATACGACCCCTACGAGCAGGCACGTGGTCGCGTGGATCAGATCAAGGCGCTCGGTCACAGTGTCGACAAGGTCGAGTATATCATCATGGGTGGTACATTCATGTCGCTTCCGGAATCCTACCGCGATGAGTTCATCTCCCAACTCCACAATGCGTTATCAGGATACCAAACAAAAAACGTTGATGAAGCCGTTGCAGCAGGTGAAATGAGTAATATCAAGTGCGTTGGCATTACCATCGAAACCCGGCCAGACTACTGCTTAGACCAGCATCTCTCATCTATGTTGCGATATGGGTGTACGAGACTGGAGATCGGCGTGCAATCTCTCTACGAAGATGTAGCCCGCGACACCAACCGCGGTCACACCGTCGCCGCAGTCGCAAAAACCTTCTGTCTAGCCAAAGATGCCGGCTTCAAGGTTGTTTCCCACATGATGCCGGATCTGCCCAACGTAGGCATGGAGCGCGATCTCGATCAATTTGTGGAGTACTTCTCCAACCCCGACTTCCGGACGGACGGCCTCAAGATCTATCCCACCCTAGTCATCCGTGGCACGGGGCTCTACGAATTATGGAGGACAGGACGGTATAAGAACTACACGCCAAACGCGCTCATCGATGTTGTTGCGCGGATTCTGGCATTGGTGCCCCCATGGACGAGAATCTACCGTGTGCAGAGAGATATCCCGATGCCGCTCGTCACTTCTGGCGTCGAGAACGGGAATCTGAGGGAGCTAGCACTTGCGCGTATGAAAGACTTCGGAACTACGTGTCGCGACGTGCGCACTCGTGAAGTCGGGATCAACGAAGTCAAGCACAAGATTCGCCCCGATCAAGTGGAGCTCGTGCGCCGCGATTACACAGCGAACGGCGGCTGGGAGACCTTCCTTGCGTACGAGGACCCGAAGCAAGACATTCTCATCGCTTTATTACGTCTTCGCCAGTGCTCCAAGGAACACACTTTCCGAGAAGAGCTTACGGGACAGCCTACGAGTCTTGTGAGAGAGTTGCACGTTTATGGTAGTGCGGTGCCGGTACATGCGAGAGATCCGAAGAAGTTCCAGCACCAGGGTTACGGGACGTTGTTGATGGAGGAGGCTGAGAGGATTGCGCGAGAGGAGCATGGTAGCAGCAAGATCAGTGTTATTTCGGGTGTTGGGGTGAGGAGTTACTATGCGAAGTTGGGATACTGCCTCGATGGGCCGTATATGAGTAAGACACTGGAGCCGGGGTGGGTGAGAGAATGGTAGGGTTGCCGAGATCTTGAGAGATTGGCGTCTTGTTACGAGCACACACTGCATTGCTGGCGTTGGAATTGGGTGCATGACAACTGCAGACTGGGACACGGGGGGACAATGCTAGATGGATGCATTGATCGCATATTGCTGTGCTGGAATCCAAATTTCTACAGATAACCATGAGATCGATGCTGAATATTACAAGCCCATTTCATGATGCCACTCGAACGCCACGGCGTAAGCCACCAAACGCAGCTGGCCAACATCAGTCAGATGTGCCCCCACGCAGAATCTTGAGACAGCTGTCTCCTGTATCCTATCCTGCCCCACTCCGCTATACATATTAAATTCTTCGAGTTCATATCGCCTCCGCCTTTGTATCTAGAAACAGACTACGACAACGCTATGGCGCCGCGACGGGCTTCGCGCATGTGGAGGAGGGCTTGGAAGCCGCAGAAAACGAGGAAACCCTGAATTCAATTAGTTACCACCGTCCGGTTCTTGTGATGGTGTTTTAGGGCATACAATATATATGAAGACAGCTCCGAATACTGCGCCTGCTACAGCACCTCCATCGGACGGGTCTTCCTTGCCTCCCATCATTGTGTGGCTATTTGTCTGCGGCATCCAACATTAGCATTATACTCCGTAGTATGTACAACCATGATGTCCGCCCGTGCCGACAATCGTTTGCGATGGCGGTTCTAGGGACTTAGACACCGGGAGGAGTCGACGTACTTTAAACAATGCGCCTATGACGGAGAGAATGACGATGGCGAAGATGGACACGACGATGCTGGATCAGGTTGGTTAGTTAATTTCCTCTTCCTTGCTACGATCGGAGGCATGCATACCATGTCCAAGCATTCATGGCAGAAACCAGTGGCTTCACCATGGTGGCTGTGAGGTTGGTGGGTGCGCGGCGGTCGCGGAGCTCGTGACGAGACTTGCCTCGGCGTCTGGTTGAGGCTTCGACGGGGTACGGGCGAGTGACAGTTGAGTTGAAACGTGCTGTGCAAGGTCCTGGACGGCGGTGAAAGGGCGTGCGAAGATGTCGGTGATGGCGGAGGTTGACTGTATGGTTATGAGGTGCCTGCGGCTGGTTCACGATAGCTTGGCGATAAAAGTGGGTCGCGCCCTGACGCACGCAGTGCATGTGCAGGGAGTCGCGGCCGAACCATGCATCTTTACATACTCGATAGTAGTAGATGCACCACCCCGCGTGGGTACATTTCCAAAATACAGAAATCATTTGGATATTCTTTGAAATATGAGCATGTTCATGTATATCTGCTTTATAAGATCCAGTAGCAAGGCTTCAGGTAGGCGAATGGCCGCACACACATCTCTGCACGTCTTCCACAGCGAGTATTCCAGTACAATAATGTGATCTTGAGTAATACAAGAACACCCGGAAATTGGTCAATTGTCTCTTGATCCTGCTCAATCCCATGTAGACTACGCTCTCTGTTATAGACAAAAACCTCTGGAATAAGTGAACTTGTTGCCATAAAGATCAATGACGCCCTGCGCCCGAACGCCTCGCAATGCATAAGTGTAGAGCTCTTCGCATAAGACCCCTAGCTCACGAACCTAGTTCGACTCCTCTAAACGCTCCCAGCCTTCCTCTTCTCGATGTCTTGCTTTAACTGCACCAAGTCCGGCTCATTCGCGCCAAACTCGAGCCCCTGCCTCACCCACGTTTCCGCCTCCTCCAATCGACCCATTTCCACCAAGCACTTGCCCCGCCTCCACCATCCCTTTGCGTTGTCTGCCTTCTTCATCTCCACGCTCGCCTCTGCATCCACAGCGCCCTCGGCCCAGTTCTGCTGCGCCATATTCGCCTGCGCACGGTTGCTCAGCAAACCGCTGACTTCTTCGCGCACCAGGCCTGATGGCTCCCAGTGCGGCCGGCCGAGCGCCATGTCGATTGCGAGGCCGTACAGCTTGACGGCTTGTGCATGGTTGCCTTTGCGGAACTCGTTATTGCCAGATTCGCGGAGCTTGCCGATTTGAGCGCTACGGGTGGGGTTGACGGGGACAGGCGGAGGTGGTGTGCCTGTTGGTGTGCCCACGCTGAGGAGACCGCGGTGCAGCGCGTTGAGAGCCTCCAGTTCGTTCTTCAACGCGGCATTGGCGGGGTTCGCGCTGATAGCTTTGGTGGCTGGGTCCATCACCAGCGGGAGAAGCGTGAATGTGTCGGCTGATTCCATTTTGAAACTCCAGGTGGGTGTGAGGCAACCTCGATCAACGCTTTCCAGAAAAAAGAGGCGTGGTTATGTGGTTGTGCTTTGTAGTGTACAGTCGGTTGTGGACACGAAACATTTCCGAAGAGCTGCCCGGGCGCTATCGATAAGGCCAGTGTACCCTGCCTGAATCGGCCCCGGGGCTTTGACGTCACGTGCAGCTACGGCCTGTGCTCTAGGACTTGGAAAAGCAACTATAGAGGATTTCTAATAGACGCTATTAAAGATAGATATAATATTAATATAAGACTCTATACTATACGTAGTTTAAATATATATCTTTATATTAGCTTAGGTAAAATAACTATCTATATAGGGTCTAGAAGTAGTTAGAGGTATATAGAAGTATATATTACTTAATAGAAGTTTTAGATATATTACTACCTATAGGCCTAGGGCTAGCGTTTTATTTACTTTATAACTTACTATTTACCCTTTTATATATATAGATTTACTAAGTTTACTTAAATTTTATTTATATTAGAGCTAGACCTCTACTAAAGGCTTATTAATATATAGCTAAATACTAATTTATTTTATATTATAATATATCTAGCTCTACTACTAATATAATATAGGCTAGCGTTTTATTTACTTTATAACTTACTAGTTACCCTTTTTCTTTTATATAGATTTACTAAGTTTACTTAAACCTTATTTATATTAGAGCTAGACCTCTACTAAAAACTTACTAATATATAGCTAGATACTAGTTTATTTTATATTATAATATATTTAGCTTTACTACTAATATAATACTAAGTTTTCTTTATTATTATTATTACTTTTACTATTACTATTATAATTACTATTACTATTACTTACTTAGCCTTTTATATACCTAAACTTCTATAAACTCCTACTACTACTAAATAATCTAATATTATAGAACTTCTATTTTATTATCCTTATATTCTTATATTCTTATATTACCTACTATAGGCTCTATACTTAAAATAACTCTAGGTATAGCTATATTTATAGTTTTATACTAAGTAGAATTTCTTATATTTAGAGAATACTTAGCCTACCTATTACTTCTATAATAAACCTTTTATTCTTTTTAGTTAGCTCTTTTACCTTATAGTAGTTATAGATATAGTAGCTATAAATACTCTAGAGTTTTAACTTATACTTTAAAAAGTATTTAAAGTTACTATTTATTTTTAAAGCTTTTACTACTATTTACTCTATCTTATATAACTAGAGTATCTTAATAATACCTATATATATCTCTTACTATATTTTTAACTAGTTCTTAACTTACTTAATCTCTCTACTATTTCTAAATACTACTATAGTTAACTAGATTCTATAGAATTACTACTTAGCTTCCTTCTAATTCTATATAGCCCTTTTACTAGTGCTATAGATAGTAGGCTACACTACCTATAGTAGCTTATTATTAATAGTTAGCTTATTACTAATAGTTAGGTTAATCTTAATATAGATCTAATATATTAGTAAGCCTAGATCTATAAGTAATACTATTAAAAGAATAGACTATAGTATACTAAAATTAGGTATATTAAGTACCTTTACTTTAGTTAGAATATATTATAATTAAAGGCTTTAATAAGTAATAGATTAAAGGATAAGAGAGAAAGTAAGGTAGAATAATAAAAGAAAAAGTATTATAGAATAATAGAAGAGAAAGTATTATAAATAGCTATAATTTATCTATAAATACTTATTTTCTTCTAATAGAGCCCCTCTAATACTTTCTCTTAATAACTATTTCTAAGGTTATAGTTATAGTTATAGTTAAGGTCTCTAGGCTACTCTCTATTATTAGAATTCTTAGTATTATAGAAAAGAGCTTAGTTTATAAGCAAATTAATTAGAATTACTATATAAGAAAGGACGGCTAGTTTAGCCAAATATATATATAATCTTAGAAGGAGATCTTCTAGTTTCTATATATAATTACTATATAATTAAATAGCACATCTTATATAATTAAATAGTATAGCTATTACTTCTTTAACATATCCTCTAGGTAAGTAATAATTATTATTTACCTATATATAGTTTTAATTACCTATCTTAGTAAAAGATACTCTTTTCCTAAAAGAATAATCTTTATAGAAGTATAGTAAGTACTTTTTAAGATTAAACTAATCTTTTATACCTTTATAAGAAGCTCCTTACTCTGTATTTCTAGCTTTATATACCCTTTTATAGCTTAATTACTCCCTTACTTAGCTTAAGATTATAATTCTTACTTAGGTAATAGAGTATTATTTATCTCTAATTTAAGTATACGCTCTAATTAGCTAAAGTAAGTAAGCTTCTATTACCTAGTAATAAGTAGTAAAGTAAAGGTAGGAGCGTAAATACTCTTATAACTTATTATAATAAGGTAGTTTTTTAGTTACCTTATTTTCTTTTCTTAATCTCTTAATATCTTTCTATTAATAGGAGCTTTTAGTATCTTTAATAAGCTCTTTAAATATAACTAATAAGAAGCTAAAGACTTATAATAGCTTACTATACTTTAAGCTACCTTATAATTAACTTCTCCCTTCTCCTAGGCTTTTACTACTATAAATATAATTTTAGTAAGTAAGATATTTACTTAAGCTTAGATTAAAGTAAAGTATAAGGCTACTATAGTTACTAAAGCTCCTTAGACCCTACCTAAAGCTCCTACTATTAAAGTAAGAGCCTTAGAGATAACTAAGCCTTACTTAAGTAATTATAGGATAAAGGCTAGCTAAGGTAGTATATATATAATTAATTAAATTAATTATATAAGAATCCTTAGTATAAGTAAGGGCCTATTTTAGGTTATAAGTGCTTATATATACTACTAATCTAGTATAATCCCTATATAGTAATTCTAATTAATTAGCTTATTTACTAAGCTTATTTTCCTTAATAATTATAAGCCTAGTACTTTAAAAAGTTAAATAAGATACTTCTCCCTATATACTTTTCTTTAAAAATACTTAGTAAAACCACTCTACCTATCTAAAGATTAATTTAAAAATTAATTACTCTATTATAATAGTAGAAGTCTAGCTAGAGTAATACCTACTTAAGGGATTATTTAACTAGCCTTACTAGTATAACTATTTTAAAATTATTACTAGTACTAAAGAAATCTAGGGTAAAGTTAATTCTAATACTTCTAATATAAAATTAATTAATTAAATAAAACTAAAGTAACCTATACCTCTTCCTAATTCTAAGTTACTTATATAACTAGAGCTATTAACTATTTAGAAATAGGAGGAGTATAATTAATCTATAAAAACTATAAAAAGTATAGAGAAAACTATAGAATTAAGATTATAGAATATTAAGTAGTGTTCTTAGACTAGTAGACTAAAAGTATAAAAATTATAAATCTCTAGAACTAGGTAAATAAGACTATTTTACTTAATTTTATAGAAGTAGTAATAAATACCTTTCTTAAAATAGAGTAACTAATGCTTTAAAGCTTAATTTAAAAGCTTAAATAGGACCTAGCTTTAATAAATATAAGTATAATAACTTTTATTAGATCTAAATATTAGAACTACCTTAAAAAAGCTTATTAGTAAAATAGTAATATTTCTAAGTAGTTTACTACTTAGTAGATTCTTTATTATAAAGTACTTACTTATAGAATTAAAAATATTAAAGGAATACTTATAATATATAATTTTCTTAATATAATTACTATAAAGATTACTCCTAACTAGGGTAAAGCTAAAAAGTAGGAAGTAATTAAGTAAAAAACCCTTAGATAAAAAATTAACTTCTTAGAAGAAATTAGTAGGGTATTTTTAATACTCCTATAGGTATATAAAATAACTATTATTAATAGAAGGAGCTTTAGAGTATTTATAATACTAGGTAGCTAGGAATTAAATAGTAATAAGAAGAAAAATACCTTAAAAAAGAAGCTAAATAATTTAAAGAAAGGCTATTCTTACCCTTATAAAACTTAGAATTACTATTAGAAGCTAATTACTTACTAAAGGCTCTAAATAGTAATTACTAGAGTATATTCTAAAGGATTTCTACTAATTATACTAACTAAGAATAAGTATACTAAGATTCTTAAGTATTTTAAGCTATCTAAATAGAATAGCCTATACTCAAATATAATTTAATAGGCTAGAAAACTGGAATACTAGCTATAATAATTACTACTTTTAAGAAATCTTAGTTTCCTAGATTAGTAGTTACTACCTTAATTAACCTAGAAGATCTCCTAAGTATAATTAATAAGAATTACCTAGTATACTATACTTATAATACTTCTTACCCTCTCTTTAAAAGTACTATAGTTAATAATGCTACTATAGTTTATCTTATTAATAATTAAAACTAGCTTATTCTTAAATTATTTAGAAAGTTAACTACTAATAACTTAGTATATATTAAAATATAGGCTTTTCTAATTACTAGAATAGGAGATAGACTAATTAAGAGAGTACTTAATAGTAATAAAGGGAAAAATACTAAGAATCTATTACTTAAAGATATTAAAGTTATTAAAGGTTTTTATATAAATATTATCTTAGAAGCTTATTTAGTAAAAGCTAGAATTTAGTATTTTAGTTTAGATTATATATTATATATTAGAACTTTAAAGAATAATATTATTATAGCTACTACGCTGTAATAGAATTATGGGACTTACATTAATAACAGCAGCGACTAATTAGATTATGTAGGGGGAAGAATACAATTATAGGTTAGATGCTAAACATAATATAGATACGTAAGAAAGTTATGTAATTAGATCTATAGATCTATTAGACAGAGCTATAGAGCCTAAATCTATAGAATCTATAAGTAGAGCCTATAGAGCCATTATTAGATAGTAGTATATAGAGATAATAGATTACTACTAGGTAAAGCCTTTATTATTAATCTATAATATAGTCCTCTATATCTAGTTTCCTTATAGAAGATTACTATTAAGTCTTTAGTAACATATTCTTATAGTAGTAATTAATTAAGATTTACAC